TGGTGTTAATCCTGTGAATAACTTTCTGTTTAACAGTACCAGTGGTATTAATCCAATGAATAACTTTCTGTTAAATACTACCACTGGTGTTAATCCTGTGAATAACTTTCTATCTAATGGTGGTGTAAATACCAGTACCAGTTTTGAGTTTTCAGGGGATTTGGAATGTAATCATTGCAAGTGTTCAAGAGATACTGAGATAAGGTTAAGGTCATAGTTAAGCTTTTTTCTTTTTTTTTCAATTCAGTTCTAGCCCTTATTATGCCCTCTGGGAAATCTGTTTTACAGCAGGGTCCAACGCAACAGTACAACAAAAAGAGACAACATCACCAACACAGAATACAGTACAACACTGTTTCAGGAGGTAGAATAAAGGAGTTACTTTACAGCATTTGATAGTGAGACTGCAAAGAGGATGAAAGATTTCCTGAGTCTGTTACTGTTCCACTTGGGGACACAGAGGCACCCCCCTGATGGAAGTAGGGTATATTCACAATGGAGGGGATCAGACACACAATGTTCTTGGCCTTGTTTATTACCACCCTCTGTTTGTAGAAGGTTGATCTAATTTGCCCCAATGATTTTTCTGCTCATCTTCACTGATTTTCGCAGCTTGTTGCATTTAATGATGTTGCCATCCCACCAAGTAAGTAGAAAAGTGTTCAAATACTCCTGTCTACTTCAAAGTAATCACGTTTCATGAAAAGAAAGTCTCTGTTGGCCTTTTCTTTGCAATAAGCTCAATGTTGGGAACGATTTGGGGTATGGTTTAGAAGTAGGGTTAATGAAAGTGTTGGATTAAAATTAGGACGAGTGCTATGATTAAAACAAGTCTAACCAAGGAATAATGGTAGAGACTATATGACTATATGCTTTTGCAGTTAAGGCAGGGCCTGACTTTAAGCAAGGACAAGACAGTAGTGACTATGACTACTGTCAGTTTTCTAACCAGTGTGGTGGGGTTTTTGTTAACTATATGATGAAAGTTAAAATTATGAATTAATTGAAATATATAGCTATATATACTGGTAATATTAAAGTACTGTGATTTGTAGTAATTCAAAGTCATCTGTTTGATAGAATTTAAGATGTCCAGTCCATTTTAGATTTTGTATTTCCATTTTTTAAGGAAAAAAGCAAATAGAATTCAATTTTTAGGATGTGACTTAGAATAAGGTTAAGGTCTCAAGGGACAGGGTTAGAACTAGAGTAGGAAACAGATGAAGATGGGATTATGAGTAGGGGTGGTGCACAAGCTGAAGGTAGGGTTTGATTGAATGATATAGGTTAGGATGGGAGTTGTGGTTAGGGTAAGAATTAAAGAGTTGTTAATAGGGTCTGACTTAGAATTAGGACTTGAGCTACAGTTACACTTAGGGTTGGGCTTGTACATAGTGTCAATGTTAGTGTTGGCGCTAAGTTTAGGGTAGAGGTCTAAAATTAGAATTAGGGTTTATACTATGATCAGGGCGAGATGCTTAACATTATGTTCAGGATTATGGACAAGGTAATAAAAGGATAAAGGGAATTGGTGGTTTCAGCTATACTGGCTCCTGTGGTGTCTTAAATCTTCTTGCTGTGCTATGCACAGACGTCCTTGGGATGTCCTCTGACACTCACCCTGTTGTTTCCAGTCTGGTCCTTGTAGTAGACCCAGTTCAGGCTCTCAATAGAGCGGAACTGGACGCTGTATTTGGTCATCCATTCATCAGCATCGCACCGCCCCTGGGTCAGGATGCCAGAGACCACTTTCACTTCCTTCAGATCAATCTGAAGCCACTGGCTGGTGTCCTGGAATTTGGAGAGCCAAGCACACCTGTAAGGAACACCCAGGACATCTGTCAGTGTGCAGCCTTAAACCACAGTATATCAGACACCGACATGCAGCACAGGAGTAAATACTCTATCCAACCCTCTGTTTGCAAAAGGTGTAGAACTTTTTGTCTGTGTAGTGAAAATCACAGCCTGTCGTAGTTAACACCATGCTTAGTAAATTAATATCCATATAAAAAGCTATAATAGGCTATGACTTGTTATTCACAAGCCTATACATCCTTTTGGTTTTTAACATAATTACTTTTATAGATGTTTTGGGTTTCACTCATATTCAAAAATCCCTTTTCAAACCTCCCCTCCCTTGAACATTCAGTGGTAAGGAAGGAAATGAGCCATGGTTCCATATTATCTGCAGTGCACACCATATCACCTAAAAATGTGTTTAGGCATGCTTTCAAAATCACATGGCATAATTCTGTAGTGTTATTTCATCTTTAATAATTTAGTAAAAAAATCAATACATGGGAGACCTTGGCTTTTGAAGTAACAGAGGTTATTGGTTATCAGTTTAGAGGTTGGGGAAACCAGGGCTAAACAGTAAATTGTATATTGAAGGCAATGAGAAGTGTGTGTGTCCTGACTCACCCGAAGCCCTGGCTGTTGAGTCTTGCTTTGCTAGAGGTCCAGGAGGAGTACCAGCCTGTGTACTGGTCCTCATTGGAGCAGCTGATCTGCTCTGGGGCCACAGACCCAGACTCAAAACCCAGCGGCCAATGATAAGGGCACTCTGGAGAGAAGACATCACCAGTCAAGTCTGTCAGTTGATCGAAATCAAGCTGGTTTCACGGAGCCTCTCGTAAATAACCTAGAGACTGAATCTCACAACATTCTTAGCACTTGCTGCATGTCTAAGCAGGAATTTTTATGTTGATTTTTGCATGAACACAATGGCTAACTTGTACTGTGCTATTTTTAAATGAGCATATATACCAATATTAGTCAAATGTTCACATTTTTTTTAATTTCAGAGATTTTAGATTCCTTTTGGATTATTAAATTATTTGGAGATGAAAGTCTCCTTCAGGTTTGTAGGAGGAAACACATCATCAGTGGTAACTCCTTCATAACAGATACTAATGCTTTAATGCTTGTGTTCAACATTTGGTCCTTTGTTAGGAAACACATCAACATGAGAACAGATACAAAGGAGAGGATGTTCTTTGGCCCACCTACATCAGCCATGCTGACAGTAGCTAACTGATCTGGGGATCTAATTAACTTTTCACTCCAATTACTAAATATAAAGAAATTGGACAATTTTGGAGACCTTAAGCATTAAACTAAATACTGTGTGGTGGGACTTCACACCTTGAGTGGCTTGATATCATAACGCATACGGCTGACATTACAGGTAGTGCGAGCCGGCTTCCCAGCGCGGTGATGTCACCGCCCTTCCCTGTGAATAGCAGGGACCACAGCTGGCGGGCTGACGGGAGATCTCCCTTTAGCTCAGCTGGCTGGGTCCCTGATGAGTGACGCCGGAGGCCCGGGTTCAAGTCCCCAGTGGTGGGGGGACCGACCTGAGGCGGCAGCGGTGAGGGTGCATACCCTTTTGAACCCGAGAGCGCTACAATATGCTCCCATGAATCCAATCTTTCCTGAACATCTGGGACAGTGGAGTACACTAATTTGTAAAATTCCACACATGGCAGAGGTATAAAATTGAACAAATCATCCATTTTCTAGCCACTTCTTCCAATTCATGGTTGCAGGGGAGCCAAAGCCCATCCCTGTGAGCAAGAAGTCAGGCAGACACACTTACACCTAAAGCCAGTTTTCCCAGAAGACAGTTAACCTAAAAGTATGTTTTTGGACTATGGGAGGAAACCCATGCAAACACGAGAGAAAATACAAACTCCAAATAGCATCCCAGGTCTGGAATTGAACCCAGGGCCCCACCGTGCCACACTGACCAAACCATACTTCACATATTTCCATTTTATATTACTTGGATACATAGTCAATAATATGTAGCATTTTCATACATGGTATGGTAATTTGTACATCATTTACATGCCAACAGATGGGTAGTTACCAATGAGAGGTGAGAGGTGGTCTGCTGATGTTCTCTATGTCAGTGTCAGCCAGGCGACAGGGTAGTAGTATTTTCTATGCCACCGAGACACCTACATTCTAAGGATAAGCATTCATTTAATTAAAATAAATTAATTTTATTGTGTCAGAGCTGGAAAGGCAGGTTTGGAGTTGCCATACCCTGATACAAAGTAACACTTCCTTTTCTATCAGCATCTTCTATCTGTTTAAATAATCTGTAGCCACAGTTTTCCCAACTTAAGCTCTCTTTTCTATGCAGCAGTGAAAGGCACAACTACACTTTCCACCACAAAGGCGACTTTGTTATGTCAGGAAAATTAATAAGAAAATGCTGACAGAAACCTGAGGAAAGACAGCATAAATTAACACCAGTGTGCAGTCATTAATACTGCCCTGAAACCTGTGAACATGCTACGAGAATCAACGCAGTGGTGACAGTCATTACTGCTGACCAGTGATGAAAGACAATCTGAAATGTTCATTTCTGGCAGTGCCTGCCAGAACCAAATTCGTTTGCCTCTGAAGCTCACAATCTCACCATAGTCAGTGTTCACAGCCTTTGCATGCAACCCAGCGCTCATAAGCTATTCTCCTAATTCTCTCTCCATGCAATATCTATAAACAGCCATTTCGGTTTAATGAGGACAGATGGCCATATGTTAATGTTAAGCTCCATCCCACTGTCTGTCCCTCCACACTCACAGTGCCATGTGTTGACTAGGTGCTGCTCTCTCCGCCTGTGTGTGTCTCCAGTCGCCTGTGAGTCAGAACACTCTGAGGTCGCACCCCATACCTGCCCTGCCGGCTCACATCAGTGCGCCAGAGCAGAACGGTGAAAGATGAATCGCAGCCCTCGTGTGTTTTCGCGTGCACAGCAACGCCGTCTTTTTGAAATTCGGTGAAGGGCAGACCCTATTTTAGTCACAGTAATCTTCACATCACTCTGCAGTAATGGGATTAACTGGTACATTCTGACTCTGTCTCTCTAGCTGTGTCTCCTTCTTTTCCTTGTTTTCTCACTCTCCACTTTCTCTCTTTCTCATTGAGAACTTCACAGATTTGTTGACCATGAACAATTACCGTGTTTTAAATCGCTTTTTTTATGGATTTGCTACATTTCTATCAATACAGTAAATCAAACTCACTTGAAATCAGGATCATTGTTATCTTAGCATAAATCAAAAATAACATTTGGAATGGACATGAACTGTATCATTTTATGTGATGCAAAATCCATAAACAGATGAAGAAAGAAATTTAAAACAGCCTTCTTTCTGTGACATGTTCAATACTTTAAAAAACGAGTTAAAGTTTAAGATAACTGCCCGTGCAGTCCTGCTCAAAACAGCTTTGCATGTCATTCAATGAGAAAGTACTTTTCTTTCCTTACTGAAAACAGTGGCTTCATCCATCTAACCAGTTCACTAGCCCCAGCTTTGTTTATCTTTCCCAAACTCTCCTTTACAAATTCTGTGATACCCTTTCACTTCATCTGTGAGCTCCTCAAACCACAACTGATATTTTATAATAATACATTTTATTTTATGTAGTGCCTCTAAAAGTAGCCTCTCAAAGCACTGTACTGTAATTATGTTTATCAAAATGTTAATATTGAACCGAAATATCTCATTTTCTTCAGTTTTGTTTTCTTTTCCAATTGCTGTTTTTTGTGTGAACCCTCCAAAAACAAGGTACCCATTTAAGGTTTAAGATTTAAGAATAAGGTTGATTATCTTGCTGTTTCATTAAATACTTTTCTGTAGTCCTACTATCCTGTATTAACTACTAACAAAAGAAGGAATATGAAAACATTCTAAAATGAACACAATAGTCCGAGTGAGCATTCATTTTCACAATGCAGAATCACCGCATATAATTTCATATAATTTCAATGTGCAAACATTTAATAAAGTGATAAATACCATAAGAGTGCAGTGACAGGCCTTTCAGCACCATGATTGCTTAGGAAAAAAAAATCTAAATCAAATCTGCTTTTTAAAAAATATGCATGAATAAAAATCACAAAAACAATACAAACCATTTCAAGGAAACACAAAATTAATCAATGTAATGAATGTATCATTCTGATTTTATCAGTGAATGAAAAGGTCAAAACTGCCTGCTACCTGCTACTTTTTCTAATTGAAAGTTAAAACATCAATTTCATGAGGGCACAACAACAAATACCCTTATTACTTTCACATGGGAGGAAGAGGGAGATGCCAGACAGGTGATTTTTCCTGACACAGCACTCTGTCATTTCAAGACAGATCCTACTATCCTGTTAAAAATCTCTCCCAACAGACACCTTGCAATTCATTTTTCATAAACACATCTGTCAGAGTCATTTCAGAGCAGTGATACAGAGGAAACCGAGTGGGGACTGTCTGTCTATTACTTTAAACAGCAAAAAGGTTGCATTTACTCTCTAGTTCCCTCACTTGAGATAACAAAATGAAAAATAGATAATAAATTACAGTGAAGGAATTATCAGGATAGCATGGGTTCAGCAGGCAATCTAACATCGCTCATAGGCTTCAGATAAAAGCCATTCTAACCATATAATTGAAGGATTAAAAATGGCAATACATATACTGATGGACAAATTAAAAACTATAATGAGGCACAAAGGACTTACTCAAATATTTTAAGCATAGATAGTAAACACAGCAGCACAGTGTTGCAGTTGTTGCAGTGTTGCAGTGGTTAGCACTGCTGTCATGATGGGCAGTAATATAGTAATGATGTCCTGGGCTCAGTTCTGGAGCTGGGGTGCTCCATCTGCATGGAGTTTGTTTGTTCTCCCTATTTTCACGTGAGTTTTCTCTGGGTGCTCCAGTTTCCTCCCACAGTCCAAAAACACACATTTATTGGCAGTTTAATCGACTTCTGGGAAAACTGGAGTGAGTGTGTGCATTTGTGTCTCTGTGTGCCCTGCAGGGCACCGGCATCCCATCCAGGATGTACACTGCTTTGCACCTGTTGTTTGCCGGGATAGACTCTGGTTCCCCTGTGGTCCTGTACTGGACAAAAGGGTTAGAAAGTCGATGGATGGAAATCAAACGAAAGAAAATATGAACAAAATACCCATTGAAGAATTAAGATATGCCATCTTCTGAGAGAATTGAGGCATAGACCTGATCAGCCTGTTAACAGAATAGTTCTGCCAATCTTTCTCTGCAGCCACATCCAGTTGGTGAAGGTACTATAGGTATCTCTTGTTGATTGGCAAGTTCATTTCACAGATGTTCTATTAGGCTCAGGAGCTCATGAAATGATGGCCAAAACAAGACTTTGAGATTGTTCTATTGAAGTTATACCATTGTTATCCCAGTGCTGGAAAACTGACAGATGTTCTTGGCTTTCAAGAATATCTGGCACGGGGACTTTGTCCATGTGTTGTAGAGCAGGAAGATTCCCATTGATTGGTTTAAACAATGCAACAGGGCAAACGAGCATGCAGTTCAATAAGACATCTCCACAAGCCAAGTCTTATTTCAGATCTGACAAGGGCAAAATGACACCAATGAGCGAAACACTTCACATCTTTCTCGCTGCCACCTCAGATGTTCCGTGATCCCCAAAAGATGGTACTTTCATCTCTCAGTTGTCATCATGTTACCCCTGAATGGCCTCTGAGCCTGCAGATCAATTTCATTGACCCGTCACAGTCATTCTACTAAGCACAGGCTATTTTGTCCTAGAATAGCAGCCAGTGCAGTCTTCAATTGATTGTGCAGATGGAGGCAGCAGGCCCGGGCTGGTGTGATGACCCCACGTCTTCCATGATGCACTCTGTCCCTTACACATTTAATTTCCTGGTGCCTATGAACTCTTCTGCTGATTGTTGAACCTGAACATCTCATTCTCATTCAGAGCTTCTCTCAGAGACACATCAACCTCAGTACAGACAGAAACCTTCATTACTCAAGCAGAGCACGGCCATTTCTTTACACTGTTCTTGGATTCATTAAAATATTGTCCTTATTAAATGTCTGTTTATACAGATTCTTAATCAACTCATTTTGTAAGTTTTAATCCAAGTTAAATCCCGAGCACTGAGCATCTGTTTTTTTTATTAAATCACAGGACGTGAGCTTAGTATCTTGTTATCTCAAGGGACAATACTACTGACACATTCATTAATACCTATTCACACCCCATTTAAAGTGTAAATAGAATTATCTGTGTTCACAATGAGCTACTGATGTAAAATGTAGACTACTGCAACTTCAGTATGAGTCAGTATATGGACAATAAGAAGAGGATGTACATCCACACATGAAATCATTTCAAATTGGAACAGATTAAACAGATGTGTGCTGTGCCTTGCAAACATGAAACAGCTGCTTCCACAACATACAGTGACAAAAACGCACTACCCAAGTAAGTGCTTCCTCTGACAGTGGGCCACAGACTGGTCTGCTGCTCTAAGCAGTGCAATACAGTGACTGTTAACGAGCCTTCACCTGGCATGCATTCCTGGATGTTCTTCTTGCTGGGCCACAGAGAGTTGGACTCGCCCTCACAGTCACACTTACAGGCCTTCCCCATCCACGGGTCTGTCCTCTCCTCCTGTAACACAAACAGGGCAGCACGGGGGATTTTTTTTCATTCAAAGCTTGATTTTAATTTTAATAGCAACATTTTCCCAGGTGCAGAGATGAGTGAGATCATATGGATTATACATACCTCCTCAGTAGAAGCTCTTACTAGGGCTGTTCCAGCAGGGGAACACATGTTGCAGAGAGAGGGAAACAAATCAGTGTTAGAAGAGCCACCGACAATATATTCTGATAGAGCCACTGAATGATAAAACACAATGCATTAAATTATGAAATAACAATGCATTCAATAATTAAGTAACTCACAACTGATACAGACATGCTGTAACAAATGTATGCAAAGATTGTATGAGAACACCTCAAACATGTTAGGTATGTTTTTTTCTGTTTCCACTAGTTTCTCATTAGCATTTTGAAAACAGGTTTACAGGCACAAGTTGTGTTCAGCATCTACAGAAAAGCTATTTTTGTCAGAATGTGTCATCCTATGAACATGCACTATACAGTATATCCATCCAGTTTCTGAGCCCTTTATCCAACTTAGGGCCACAGGAGAGCCAGAGCCTATCCCAGCAAGCAATAGGCACAAAGCAGGACACACTTTGAATGGGACACCAGTCTATCATAGGATAAACACAGATACAAACACAGACACACACACACAACAGGACCATTTGTCCCAGAAGCCAATTAACCAACAGTACCAGCATGTCTTTTGACTGAGGCAGGAGAGCAGAGCACCTGGGGGACACCCACATGAATACAGGAAGAACTACAACTCCACACAGATAGCACCCCAGGAAATGAACCCAGCACTCCAGCACTGCAAGACAGTAATGCTAACTACTGCACAACCATGCCACCCACAGAGTATACACTGTACATTCTTTAAACATATAATGATATGAAGGATGCTAATATTGAAGTTCTGTTTTCTCCATGCTGATAGCACACTGATGCTGATACACAGATGGGTTACAAACGTGCAAGAGGGATAGAGTGAACCTAAACCTCATTCGGAACACCTGTCCTGCAGCAACTAGACAAAATGTCCGGACACCATATTACTGTGCATCTCTGCACCAGAGGAGGTTCTGTGCAATGAAAAATAAGTATACTTTAAATGCCTGAATCCCCCACTCTTGTAATAAAGTAAGCACACAGGGACATACCTTCAGACAAGAAGAGGATGGACAATAGAATATTCCCAAATTTGATCTCCATCTTCCTTTTACCTTGGATGCAGAGTAAACTGCAGCCTTTGTCAAATGGACTGGATTATCTTAATCCACAGAGCACTAATGGCCTTCTCTAATGCTCTTTATCTCATTGCAAAGCCCCTCCCACATCTGTGGAGGGTCTGCTTTTCTAATGCGATACCAAGAGCCTTCTACTCCACTACAAATATTAAACCATTCCCTCAAATCCCACCTTTGTACAGTTACTACTGCACTCAACTGAGTATATGTTCAAATCCTAATGGGTCACCGTTAGCTGTCTCTGCAAAGGCCAACCATTAAGGATAAGGAACAGGATAATGTTTTAAATGAAGTGTCGGAGTATTTTTTTCTTAATGTGCAATTATAGACTTACTGGCAGATTCTTTAAAACACTAAGTGGGATTTCACTCAAGCTTCTGTCATCTGCGTTTAGACCCACAAAATCCCTTTTTAAAGCTACCCACATCCACACCACACCAAGACGAAAAGGACAAGAAAATGAATTGCTCAGTGAAACCACCTAAACCGTGCATTTTGATGCATAATATGGGAGGTGACAGCAGCAAACAACTCTGAAACAACCTCTGACAGGAGCCTGTTTGTGTTTATTTTTAACATCATGATTATTTAGCTGACAGCTGATGACTGTTCGCTGTTGAGTCCAGAGCACAGGGTTGTCAAGGGCTGAAACTCGAGACCCACAGTTCAGGGTTTAACCACTCACGTTACATAAGAAAAAGTAATATCTGAGAAAACAACATAACCTGATCTGTAGCAAATAAATTAAAATTCCATCAAATCTTAACTTGCATGTGAGAAGACAAGTGTGCATGAATGTTACAGGACTCCTCCAAAGGTAATGTCTGCTTTAATGCAGAACAGCAAAGAGGAAGCAATCTGTACCTCTGAGATTAAACACTGTTTAGTCTGTCACACAGTCAGCTAGCAGTGTGTGCAAGAACTAAAGAAAACACTGTAACACATGGTGTTGTTTAGTGTGTTAGTCCCACACATAGGACTTTAAATACAGTACCACGTACAGTATGTTAACTCACTGTACTGTATAATGTGGGCAACAATCTGTTATATGAATTTCTCAACATCTTTCAGAGTTATTCAAACAAAGGCTGATTAGGCCATTGATTTTTCATTAGAATTTTTATTTTAAATCATTTTTAGCTTCTTTTTTGTGGGTGAATCTATTTTGAATCCTTTTTAATACAACACTTATATTCTTTAATGAGCAACCCACCCAGAAACAATGATAACAGAGACCAATCCCTACGCAGTAATTAAGTGAACAATTCATTCAAAAAATTCATGACAGTTGTTTCAGCTGTCCCCCAGGACCAGGAGTGAATATAAATTCTTTAAAGCAACAGCAGCTGAAATACTGAGAAAAAATTGTCATTAAAGCAATCCAACCATGGCAGAAATAACTGGTTTATATTAGTTTTAAAAAGAGATTAAATGAAAATCTCCAGTCATTTTGGTAGCCCAGGACCAGACCTGAAGAGCGCTGCTATAGAAACTAATTATTCAAAGTTTGCCTATAAAATGTGGTTTTCAGGATCAGGACTGCAGTTACCTGAAATAGAGTATTCCATTTGACCAAATCAGGTATTTCAAAGTTCAGGGGAGAGAATCTGATGAGTTTTGCCCTTCTGGGAGTGACACAGAGGAATACTATCATATAGCAGTGGGTCTGAACCCTGATCCTAGAGAACCCCTGAGTCTTCTGGTTTCCAGTCAAACAGATTTTGTAATTACTGAGGCCAATTTATCCTAGTAATTGAGCTCCTTACATGGTTAGACCCATTTCTGTCTTCAATTTCTAGTGTCACAATACTCTGCTCCACATTTGCTGTTGAAAGAAATACCAAAGAGAACTCCAAATGATCAAATTGCTTGTCTTACATCTGTCTAAATAGCTCTGAGTAGGTAACCAATTAAATATGTCCTAACACAGATGGGAATTACACTGTCACACACTCCCACAAAATAGTGACTGCAATTTTCAGACGTTCAGTTACATTGCACATGTACCTGAATGAGGATGAAACTCAGAAGCTTGTTCAAAGATGACAGTTATTGCTATAACACCATCCAAATCCTCAATCACAGAACAAAAAAAAAACATCTTAGTAATCATCTAAAGATTAGTCTAATTAAGAGTTCAATTGAAACAAAAAACAGTAGACACAGGGCTCTATAAGACCCAGGGTTGATAACGACTGTTTCAAACGCTTGGAACATCTTAAAATATTGTTCAGTTAGGACTAAATTGTAAGTTAATTGAAATGAAGTTAATTCTAGGCCCTGGGGGTTTAGTGAAGGTCAAGTGCTTTCTCAAAAGAATTTCTAAACTATGTAATTGCCAAAAATCTCCTGCTTAACTAGATGAAATATCTGCTATAAATAATAGAAATAGTCTATTCAAGTCTATTATTATAAATAGTCTATTAAACCCATTAGAACCCTACTATACTTGTAGGACTGAGGCTCACAATAGCCAGGATTCAGTCACATACTGGAATTTTATAAAGGTTTGGCCTTGGCCTGACCAGACGAGGTAGCCTACTCCTGGACCAATCGGTGACAAAGATGTGTTTAAATGTCAAGCCAGACTAAGGTTCCTTAAGTGCAACTTTCCCTTCACAGGCTTTTTAAAACTGTGTACACACATCATCTTAAACAGATGAACACCCATATTCCTGACGCAACCGATACAGCTTGCTAGAGTTAAAGAGATCCAGTCTGGGGACGAATGCTCTTCTTAGGTTTTTCCATACATAAGTAATTGCCTAATTATTTTAAGAACTGATGAGAGGCATGGTGTACTCACTCCCTAAATAATGCACAACGAGCCTAATTTAAATCACTAGACTCATATTTTTTCTTCAATAACCGCCAATTCCAACTTGCCAGGCATTATTTTAGGAAGAGTACATGAGGTGTAGGTAATATTATTAAATCTTATACCATAAACACATCTTAACCAATAATTAGTGCAACCATATATAAAGGAAGAGCTAGTCAATAGTGCAATACATAAATACAATTAGGAATGAACCTTAACAAGCATTAATTTTTGCAAATTGTTCTTTAATAGAAACACCTGAATTGTCATGACACACAGCTGAATTATAGATATATAAGCCATTTTCCCAGGACAACATGATGTGCCTCATTTTCCTTTGTTTGAAGAAACATTCGTGGTTATAGAAGCTGTGGTAAGTCTTGCATTTTAAAAAGGTTTTTGAATGTTGTTTTAAAGTGGTATTTGTAAATATCTAGAACTAATGTTTTTACACCTGTTTGTAATCTTGTTTGCAGTTTTTTCCCCCTAAATGGCTAGTAGCACTACAGTGCCTTCTATTCCATGCTTTAAGACCTACTTATTAATTGGTGTTCTAGTTATCATGAAGACTTCTACCTTGAGGAAGAGGCCAACTAAACAACCTTGCACACCCAGGAGTAAGAAAGCAAACTATTCCACCTACATCTACAGATGCCTTAAAGAGGTTAGTTTATAACTACTGTATTGTAACGCATACGGCCGACAGGCACTGTGTAAGACCCGGCTTACCAGAGCGGTAACGTCACCGCCCTTCCCTCGTCTCTAGGCTGGTTCCATTGCAGTAAAACCTACATCCCGGGAGCTGTTCGAGGTCGTGGCTTCGGAAGCGGCACGCCTGTCTCTCTACAATACGAGGAGAACCATCACCAGCCGAGAGATCCACGCCGCCATGAGGCTGTTGCACAAAGCCAAGCGCGCCGGGACCGTGGACGCGTAACCCAGTTTCTGTTTTCAGGGTTGTCTTCGTCTGTGATTATTTTAATGTAAATATTTGAAATAAAGTAACTTTTTAAAAAACGCTTTACAGTCTCCCGTCTTGCCTGGGTGGGGGTTTAATGCATGGTCTTCGGATAAGACGACATTGTACTATGGCGTTACCGGTTTATGGAACTTGTGTGGCGTTTCAAAACCAACTTGATCATGTGTGGATACGTGCCTTAAAGGTGACGCAAGGACTCGAGCCTCTCGAATTAAACTCGAAAGCTTTGGCACGTTTAGGGGAAATAGTCGGTCCTTCTACTCCTGTACTTTTTTTTTCTTCCCCCGCCGGAGCTGCATTTTTAGCTTGTCTGTCGGGTTTAACGTCTCGATCAACAGCTGTCTATTTACCCGCTTCCACCGTTTAAAACTGTGGAGGGATCCTAGCTCATTTTACATTCCACCCAATTGGGGAAATACCTCTCTTTTTCCCGCCCCCTCCAAAGTGGAACGCTTTCCAGTTACGAAACTGGATAACATACTTGAATCGCTACATTTGCAATCGTGAGAAGTTACTGCAGCGGTGAAATCAGGTGTGGTGCTCTGAGAACTCAGCAGGTGGAGGCCTTGGTCCGCGAAACTCTAAGATGGGAACCGAAGAAGCGATATCTGCTAATGAGAGCAACGCAATTCATAATCCGTATTGGTAGCTTGGCAGTGTCTTTTTGGAGTTCAGACTTCAGGCTGTATATACTGTAAACGAAAACGTAATCCGTTTTTTTAACTTATTTTCATGATTATGCTGGTGCCTTGGAAATATGTGGTATTTAGTTTGTGCGAATAATATTCCAGAGTGCAGCATTCCAGACCGGTGCTTGACTTCACTACTTAGTTACTATATCAAAACTCTATTGAATTTTTGGTTGTTGAAAGTAACATTGGGTTTTGGGTTTTAGGATTTGCCGTTTTAGCGTGAAACATCGCTCATGAGGTCATTTAAATTTGAGAAAGTGCAAAACGATGTAATCAAAGTTTGTTAGGAGATCCGCAGGGAAGGGCCTCTATAAAATTGTACTGCAGCGATGTCTCATTTTTTACTACAGTATCTGGGTCAACGGGTTCATAATGAGAAGCGCAGGAGAAGCAGCTCCACGCTCACTCAGGGTTATTGCCCTTCTGGGGTAAAAGTACAGGGGCCGACCTAATCACGGAGAAAGGTGAAATATTAAGATGAAGAGAGAAATGGAGAAAGAGGCGAATATTAGCACAAACAGGAGGGGAAACCTCCCCTCCCTTAAACGGAACTTTTAAACGACTTCACTTAAGGTCCTCAATACAGCACAACATTCACGGACCATGCAAATTAAAATGTAATCTTCTGAGCAAGATGCCACATACTGTATTCTAAAGCCTTTCTGCATCTAGCTTTGGTGTAAGCCCTAACCAAACCATAGAGCAGACATACTGTACAGTAATATTATTTATGTACCCTTTAAGTGAGTTAACACATTATTTTCGATTATTTGAAAGACTATTGACTAGTCAAAACAAAATAATTGTATCTGTATTACATAATCGTCTTAATTTTCATTAAATTACAAATTACAATGCTTTTCAAAGCATTTCCATTTCATTTATGTATTTATGCTTTTATTTAATCAATATATTATCAAACATTTTTTTACAAATTTAGTAAAATCTTAGTTTTTAGATGACTAATAATCATAATCAGAAAAGACACTTTATTTTTCATGCTTCATAAAAACTGCAGTTGTGACTCTTTGATATGTGTATGTACTGTACATCACAACCACACTTTTTCCATTTGTATAGAAGTGCAATGAAGTCTATGTTTCTGCATGTTTCACCTTAGGTTTGCAAAATACCATAAAACATACTTTCAATGCCATCAAGAATTGTATTAACTGACAAGAAAGGAATGTGGAAGATCTTTGACTCACCAAATTAATCTCCAGATTAAATTATATAATTGATCATGTAGTTTGCATGTCGAAGAACATACTGAAGTCAAAGTATACACAAAAGTGTTTATGTCCTAAGATAATCATATGAATGCATGGAATTACCCAAAAATAAAATATATTGACTGTTGCCTGTAGTGGATAATTAATTTTGTGGAAAATACAAGAGTAATGAAAAAACTAAGAGTATTCTTTTTACTCTTAAAGAGTCTAGATATACTGTAAATTGTATAGTCTCATAAAATATTTTTTTCCTTTTTCTGTCTATTAATCAATTCTCTTTCAAAACAAAAGGTGCCTACCTCGACGTTCCCATATTGTCTTCCAGTGATGTCCCCTTTATTGTAATCCAAATAATATATACACAACTTTTAATGTGAATATTTTTTATCCAAACCTGAATGGCGAAACTGAACAATTTTATGAATGAAAGAAGCTGTCAGCAAATACTTCAGAGATAAAGCAGGGGATGAGGGGGGTGAGGTAAGGGGATGCAAGACACTGTATAGGAGACATCTCTGTCAGCTACAGGTAGCAATGTTCATCCTACAGTACATATCCAGCTATTAAAAATCAAATTCCTTTAACTGTAATAAGTCATTGGCCTACTATACCAATATGGTAATACTGTATGTTGTTTTCTACCTCAGAGCCACTGTAGTATCAGACCTTCAGCAGGCAATACAGAAGTTATTACAAGTGTCATAAAAGGGTAGGCATTTAATTATTGTCTAAATCAGTGTACTGTTAATATTTTACGTTTCTGTTTAATAAATTATAATGATAATCTTTTGTTGATGAGCACTGTGATGTTTACAAGTGATTGCAAAAACAACAAAAATAGCTCCTGGTCCTTATTTAAAGGAACCACGTGACGAAGAAATGACAGCGGATCCCAAACCTGAGTACTGTACAGTACATCACTTGCGGTGTAGTAGACAGAAGCTACAGTGTCTGTTGCAACATAAGCATCCTTTTCGGAGAGGATTCGCCTGTTGATGAAGACGCCAGCCCAGGTGCGTGGAGCGGCTGTACTGTTGTGTAACCTTGAAGAGAAGAAGCAATGCGGCCGATCTCTTTTGGAGCAGGAATGAATAATGCGCAGGATGGAAGCAGCTCGCTCTTCAGCGACTAGACACAGCCCTAACCTCTGCTTGGATCAGACACTCCCCCGACTCGGATGCGAATGTCTCCTGGAGCTGCTTCGCTAAATTGCAGGTGTGTGCACGCGTAGTTTGTTCATTTATTCGTTTTTTACTCTTTAAATAAATATGTTTGGTTATATTTTTTATATTCCATTTTGAAAGAAGGAGACTAACGACTACACTTGTGCTACACATGAATATCGCAGGTGAAAAAAGCTAGTTGATTCCAGCTATCGTTGGGGTGCCTTGTAGTGGTGTGTTGTGCTGTGATATTGTTCCACACATTTACGCCCTTCTGCAGGTATGTATAAAATTAACATCCCATTGTAAGGTACTCAGTGACCCTGTAAGAAAACCAATGACAAAACGTCAACACTAGAGGTGCCTTTAGAGTTGTACGATACAGTATGTTGTAAAACTATCACGGGTTGTATGGCGACGAGTGCTGTTAATACTAGTAGTGTGAAGCACGTTAGAAAATGTAAAATTGTATATATTATATAAAATATTATATATTTTTAAATGTATATTTTATAAATATATTTATAAAGAGTCAGAAAATATCATTTTAAAATATATTTTGTTTTTGTTACAATCACTCTTTGAACTTTTATAGTACGTATTTGAACTTATCTAAAGACGCTGGTAATGACAGAAAATATGTCTCAGTAAACGTTTTACACAACACCGATTGATTTCAGAACAACAAAGTCAACAAAGGTTTAAAAACGGGTGTTAAAAATAAAATACTAAATAATCTGTAATGTCAAATTAAAAATGATGGAGTTAATTCGGTAAAAAACTGCAGAAGGGCTCTTAAGGACTATGTCAATCTTAATTTAACTGGTTTTTATAATGATTTTGTCACCATGGAAACTGATTCTACGTGGACTTCAGGATAAATTCATTTAGAAAGCTGCATAGTTTGCAGGCTGTAGTTCCTTTATTCTGATTGTGTTCTCATTGCAGTTCAAATACAGCAATATTGTAATCAAGAGTAAACGTTTTCAGGAAGGAAAATTTAATGTTAAAGCCTTAATACTGTGTACAATAACTTGATGTGTTGTGCTAATGTGCAGTGTCTTTTATAGAGTGGTTTGAACTGTTGATTTATGACTTGCTGTTGTCATTACTGTTTGACACTTCTTTTCTTTATTTGGATTGTCTTTCACATGTTACTGGTTGTGGTGTGTGGGTTTGTCACATGATTATGAGGTTTAAAGAAAAACAATAAATCTGAGCAAACCTCATTCAATAATTTAGTGTCTTTAGTGTTAATATTGTAACCCTGTGTATAATGATCTACAATGGCTAACAAATGCATTCACCCCCTTGGACTTTGTCACATTTTATTGTGTTACAATATGGAATCATGGTGGATTTAATTGGGACTTTGTGCATTTGATCAACACGAAACACTATCATGTCAAAGTAAAGACAGAATTCTACAGAAATACAAATGCTCACACCTGAAGAAGGCTCCACGGCCCAAACATTGTGTTTTCTTTCTTCTTTTTTTCAGCATGGAATAAACCCACAGGTATTACTTGTTCCAGTATATATTATTGTGTATACATATACATAGAAAGATCTAAATATATATCTTATTGCACCTTAAGAAACATCAATACATATCGACCATTTATCATAATAGGTTCTGTTCATCAACCGTAAAGTTTTCGTATTGTCGTTCTGATAAACCTACGCGAGGCCAAGCTGTAGACTTTTGTTTTGATTTGTGTCAATCTATGGCAAAAAATCCCAATTTAATTTCCATATTTTATTTTCACAATAAAAAGTGAAAAGTGAAAGTGAAAACGTCCAATGGGGGGGTGAATACTTTTGATAGCCACTGTATGTATTAAAAGGTTGAACTCTAGTGTGTGTGTTTTAGTGAAGGTTGAATTCCTTTGTATAAAATTTTACCATTTAAATGATTAAAAATAATTTGTTTCAGACTAAAGGCCTCTTTTAACCCTGTAGAAAAAATTTAAACAGTGCAGTACATGTATTCATTGTGCAGGATGTTGTCATAATGGCAAAACATATGATTTTTCTGGTAACTATTTTCTGTATTGTCAAAAGTGGTCATAAAAGATGCACTTGTTATCAAGCAAAAATAGTATATTTATGTACTTGAAAAGTTGACTTTCTCAATAAGTTGACTGGCATTCTGTATAAAATACATTATTTATGCAGAGACTGCAGTTTGGCAGCTAAGAGACACATCTACTGTAAAATAAGCAAGAAAGGCAGAACATTTATGAGCCAAGGCAAATCAAATAAAATGTACTGTTGTTAATTGGTTGCTATAGGAACTCTTGTATTCAGGAACATATGAGCTTTTTTTTAAACAGCTCAGTAAAGGCACATCTCATTTCAACTTGTTGGTTTTGCTGAAGTTCAGGTGTCGCTGTTACAGGAGAAGGTGAAATTGGACTGAATTAAAATAAAAATGTAATTTGGCTGGTCCTGCCTTTTTATTCCATGCACTTGGTAATACATGTGCTAAATATGAATCATTCCCTCGGCAGGCATATAGAAAAGTACCTCCAACAGCCACCCTGGGTCAGCATCAAAGCTTTGTTGGAAATATTTGATGCTTGATCTTGCAGGTGGTGATTTCTTGTATAATTTTATGCCTTGAGAACTGTGACAACAAGAGTTCGGTTATGTTATGTTTTATTTCTGGGGAAAAAATATTAAATTATGCAAAAAAGTCTCTGAAATCTGACATAGCAAAGTTTTACCCCCTACTCCCCCTAGTTAAATATGTCATGCAACAGATTTTTACTGGAGAAGAGCTTTTTCTTATACCTCTGTTCCAGATCTCACATGTGCTGTGCCGGTTACTGTTGAACATTTGTTTGAAACAGTACAGTACGTGTTTCCCTGATATCAAGAGCACACAACTCCAGCCCTAGAGGACTACAATCCAGCAGGGTGATGTGTGGGTCTCTTACTTTTATCTCCATGAATTCGGGAACTAGGGAAACATGTTAAGACAATAATCAGATTACAGAGGTAGTTAGGAGTTTGAGTCAAATGAAAACCTACAGACACTTCAGGACTGGATTTGTGTCTCCCTGACCTAACCTGTTTTTAGTTACACTTTTAGCTGAGCCACTGTGACATTTGTGCATGTGACTATGTATCACTAACTGGAGCTTATCTTCTCTTCTTGTCTTCCTTTAGCTCATCTTTGTTTTTTGCTTTGACGATTACTTCATTTTTATGTTAGAAACTCCAGAAAAGTTAATAGAATCTTAAAATCTACCACATTTCACTCCTTTATCCTTATTTTTTTTCCTGGCCTCTTTGTGCATTTTTTGCACTTCTGTTGTCATAAAATACCTTTATAAATTGCTCTAAGAATGCTCTTTCCACCAGGAAAGTGCTACTACATTATGTAAAAATAAAAAAAACAGTCATCTGAATGTTTGCAAGGCAAGGGAGTGAACCAGTTCCTGGGGATGACCACCTGCTTTTGTCTGTGGGTGTTTGCATGTTCTAGAAAAATACAAGGATCAGTTTTTTTGCTTGTATCTTGTGTGAGAGAAGCCCACAATTCACAAGGAACACAGATGGAGTGGTTAATTAAGGCAGCATTTCAAAGGCATGTTGTTTCTCAAATGTAAAAAGGAACAGTCCTTTGTTCTTTTTGCGTTTACAGGCATACATAACATCAGAAAAACATGATTCTTTTTATATCCCAACATAAGTTTTTCTGTTTTCCCAGTGATGAGACAGAATACCAAGAAGTCATCAAAGTTTACAGCTTTTTGTGAATCTGTCACAGCAGTAGCACACCAATACACTATTTTTGTTTTTAACTCTAAACTTCAAACATGACAAACATAATAAAAAAGAGACCATTCTGTCTGTTTGAATTCTAATTTATTTTTGTTGTTTCAGAGAGCTGGTTTTCAAGCTGAATTTGAAATTGAAGTTGAAATTGATGATGTTTTATAGGCCTGTACCTATTCCATAAATGCACAAAACTGATCCAGAATGCCATGAATGATCCTGAGTTTTCTTGTGAAATGTTACGTTTTACATATACTGTACATTAACTAAATGTATAGGAAATCACAGTGAATTACCTCAGTGTCTTCTAGCACCGCATCCAACCAGGGAAACATTATTGAAAACCAGTCCAGTAAAGTTTGTTATATATGAGAAGTGTCACCGCTTGAGAGCCCTTTGGTTGTGCATGTGTAGTTTTTCTTCTTTTGAAACAGATTTGTGCTGAAGAGCTTGCAAGAGCAGAAGTCAGGCGGACAGCATTGTAGCTGTGTTCACTGTGAATCAGGAAGGAGAGGGCCCTATTAGTGTGTGCTGTGGGCTGTGACGTGGGCAGTGTGTGGTAATCCGTAAGGCTTCATAAGGCTAAGAGTAGAATTGGCTCCTGGAGGCCTGTAGAGGTCCGTAATACCACTGTTTATTCCTCTGTGGCTTCTTTCTGTTTTTATCCATTTGCTTGCTTGTTTGTTTTAGTTTGTCTCTCTCCCCAATCTCTTTCCTTTTTTTTTCAGAAAGGTAAGCCAGGAATAATGTCAGCATGTGCCCGGCAGAGTGTAAAAAGAGCCTGTTCACCAGGCTTTGTGTGACAGGACCCCTTTGTGAGCTCGGCGATGGCACGGGGCAGGATAAATGAACACACGCCACTTCTGTAGTCATGGGCTGTGGCACCTCTGTTGCCACGGAGAGCCAGGGGAAGAAATCCGAGAAAGGTGAGTGCTGTTTTTGTTTTCAGATTGCTTTTTTTTCCCTCTCCCTTTCGATATTGAAAGGCCAAGATCACAAAATGAGGCTTCTGCAGAAATTCATTCTGAATGAAATACAGAATATGGGTTGCCTCAGAATGTATCCTCCTATCAGTAGAACAACATTTTCAATTTAAAAATGTGTGTCAATAAAATATTGATACTACATAAGACTGCCTGCCAGAGGTGTTTAACTTTACCGAATTTCTGAAGGTCTGTATTATGTGGCAAGAAAGTAATAGAAAATGGACTGACGGTTTCAGTATATAAAGTCAGAATATTCATTGGTCCAACAAAATATAAAGAGCTGATAAAATATTGTGTAAAATAATGTAAAATCAGCTTCACCTTTTTGTAAGGAAGCCACAAGCATATTTGCAAAACACTCAGATTCACGCTTCTTCCTTCCCAGAGCTCCAATTTGTGTATTTAGCTCCTCCTTGGTTCTCTTCGTTGTCTCAGAAGTAGTTTTCACTCCTCAGTTTCCCTCCGTATTCCTGTGTGTCCTATTAATTTTTCCTTTTCTTAATCCCCCAGAGCTGCCTTACAAATTCTTTTATTCAATTACTGCTCACGCAGAGGAGTCTACCAAGACTCCCTCCCCAGCTCTAGGTAAGATCCCCTCCCTCCAGTTGTTCTCCATTGGTCACTGCTTGGAATTACATGGTACAGTAAGGGGTTCTCCATGTCTTATGTAGAACATTTATCAATATTGTAGATTAACACAGCATACTTGTGCTCTCGGTGAACTCTGTATCTCTGTAGCCAGCAGCTATATCACGTTGCAACTTGCAACTGGCAGCCCACTGAAGCTCAGCAGGTGTGAGCCTGGTCAGTACCTGGATGGGAGACCTCCTGGGGAAAAACTAAGGTGCTGCTGGAAGAGGTATTAGAGAGGCCAGCAGGGGGGCGCTCACCCTGCGGTCCAAGTGGGTCCTAATGCCCCACTATAGTGACGTTGTCCTTCGGATGAGATGTAAAACCGAGGTCCTGACTCTCTGTGGTCATTAAAAAGCTCAGGGCGTTTCTTGAAAAGAGTAGGGGTGTAACCCCGGCGTCCTGGCCAAATTTCCCATTGGCCCTTACCAATCATGGCCTCCTAATTAATCCCCATCTTTGAATTGACTTCGTCACTCTGCTCTTCTCCCCACTGATAGCTGGTGTGTGGTGGGACGCTCACCCCGCAGTCTGTGTAAGTCCTAATACCCCAGTATAGTGATGGGGCACTGTAGTGTAAAAAGGTGCCATCCCATTCAGATGAGATGTTAAACCGTGGTCATTAAAAATCCCAGGTCATTTCTGGGATTCAGGGTATTAATCCCAGTGTCCTGGCCAGATTTCCCCCTGGACTCCTAATAATCCCCTTCTATGAACTGGCATCTTTACTCGGTTCTCCTCCCCACTAACAACTGATGCGTGGTAAGTGTACTGGCGCACTTTGGGGCTGCACATTGGTGTTAATGGAGGAAAGTCCCCCTTACCTGTAAAGTGCTTTGAGTGGAGTGCCCAGCAAAGCGTTATATAAGTGTAAGGATTATTATTACCTCCATGTGCCCAGAGCTCCAGGCCTATCTCAGTGGTCTGTGTATCATTGTGTATCACCCTGGTGCAACTGTATAGCTCTGCCTCCTCCTGCTCCGGGAAACCTGTAGATGCAGGTATTGACACGATCCGGGGGATTTCCTCATGCTGCAGCAGGCTATCGCCATAGGGTGCAGCTTGATTATATTACTGGGACCATCTAGGGCAATGTACTGTAGCTGAGATAAAGTACAGTAGTGTATGTGTCCATCACATATCCCTACCCTTATGAAACTGTACCATGGTAAATTAGTACTCTTTGTCATTTTCCCCACTCTGTTCCCTGGAATATGCTACGCTTTACTTTGCTATGCCACGGCTTCACCATACGTCTCTGTGCTTTACCTTGCTGGTACCATGATTTCATACTACACTCTACGTGGATTTCCCTGTTGTTTATACCACAGGAAATTTTCATGAGGATTTTGTATCTTCCTGCATAGCGCTAGTTAAACACCTTGTCAGTTTTCATGTGCTTCCGAATAACGTTGCACGCAATACTTTTCACCCCACTGTACCGCTTAACAGTTTGCCCACTGAGCTCAGAGCCTGTCTGGAAAACACAAGGCAGTTAATGTTAACCTTAACCTTAACCTTGTCTGGAATAGAAACTATGACCTAGGAACTACAATGCATTGTTAATCACCATGTTACCCAATTGCATGCGTGAAAACAGTTATAACAATATAAAAAGCTTGCAGATCTATATCTGTGTATTGACACAATGAAGTTTAATTAAAGCTCAGTAGTAGAAGCCTTGGGACATCATCTATTCCATCTACTGTATATCCCTGTTTACTGATGGTCCTCTGTGAGTTTGCTGTATGTTAAACACTCTCAGAAGGTCTTTGGTGGATAGGTACATTAAATGCGTCCCAGACTATTTTATCTTTTCAGGATGTTAGCACCTGTCTTCCATTACTAAACATACTGTATACTGTATGGTAGTTAAGCAAATCAGATGAAGACAGCTAGTTATTTTTACTTATGATAAGCAGAGTATCGGGTGCAAAATACATTTTAGTTATCCAGTTTCTTGTTTGCTCAGTTCACTAAAATGATATTATTTATTTATTTTGGAAAGGTTTAACAAGAGGAGAGCTTTATTTGAACACTATTACTTTGCTAACTTTGCAAGACAAGGGAAGCTACAGTTTTTCAAGCACATGCAAGGAGGAACCCTAAATTAGGCGAGGAAATAATACCATATAAAAGTTGAATTGTTCTGCATTCTTCCCACAGTCCAGAGACATCCAGGTTGATCAATCGGCTTCTAGGAAAATTGGCCCTGGTGTGAGTGTAAGTCTGAGTGTGAGTGTGAGTGTGTTTGTGTCTGCCCTGCGATGGACTGGCGTCCGATCCAAGGTGTATCCTGCCTCGCGCTCATTGCTTGCCAGCTCGGTCTCCCCCTTCGACACTGTTCTGGATAATGCGGTTAGAAAATGGGTAGATGGATGAAGTTTGAATACAGATTTGGAATAAACACGGTACATATCTATCTCGCGTGCGCTGTCATTAAGTTTATTGTGGTAGTAGAATCACATCATTGCATGTTCCATTAAATTTTTTCTGGTCAGTCGGATCAGTGAAGTTCTCAAGCTGCTGCATGGTTTTGAAACAAGAGGGTGCTAAGCCAAAACTGAGAGAAGATCTGCACATCTACTGGCCAGATGGCTTTACTGTGGATCCCGTTCCTGGTCAGCAGTATGCAGTGCAGCTGGAAGCAGTGCTCTGACCACGCGCTCTCTGCGGGATCTGTGCATTACAGTGATGAAGGCAGCAATCCTGATCCAGCGGTGGTACCGGCGCTACATGGCACGCCTCGAGATACGGCGGCGATACACTTGGAGCATCTTTCAGTCCATTGAGTACGCAGGGGAACAGGACCAGCTGCAGGTCAGTGAGGGGCAACAGCAGGGCCTGAGCCTCTGTGTGTCCTGGGGTAAGGGAACCACGGGCTTAGCCACTTAAAAGAGAAAGAGTTATGCTTCACTTTACAGAAGGGGAGGTACTGTAAGTGATTCAGCAACTGGATGTTTGTCCTATTTTCTATGGGTGTTTTTTTAATGAATCCAGTTGGCTGGCACACTTAATTCAAATCCAAAATGTGTGTCACAAGCCCATTGCCTTTCTTCAGCCCTGGTGTGATCTCCTGCCACCTCCAGGAGTTGAAGCAGCTGCTCTTACGTATTGTACATACTAAAATAAATTCTAATTTTGGTCACTGGTTTTATTCCTTTTGGCAGCTATCCAGTTTCTTCAGTTTCATGCTGGACAACGTCACCCAGCTTGGTGTGAATGGCCCAGGTGAGTGTCCTCTGGGTCTCTGCAGCACGGCCAGTGACAGTGTTAGGAACATGCAGTGGAACTGTCCTGGGTCTCTTCTCTGTGAGGGGCTCTCTCTTTGCAGTTCAATAGATGACATTTCATTGTCGAGCTCTTGAAGATCAATAGAGCACAGCAGATCACTTTGGGTCGCTTGGCCCTCGAGGCTAGGTCTTCCATGTGGATATTATGCCAGTGTGATCCATTGAAATAAGTGCACATTGCAGAAAAAAAAGAGTAGTTTGACATTGAGGAGGCCTTGCCTGAATGTCAGTTGAGGGTAAACATTGTAGATCTTTCTAAAACTGCTGTAATTTTGCTGAAACGTTTCATGGCTTTGTCTTGTTCCTAATCATAGCCACTAAATCTGGATTTTGCCAATTCAGATTTACAGACTTATTCAATTATTTTTGGTTTATTTTTGTTTAGCTCCAAGTTTGTTAGTACCTGATCATACTTTATTTTTTTAATTGCAATGATATTCCCCTAAAACCTAAAGCTATTTGGTACCAAGCTTTTAGATTTTTGTCGCATGTTGTGAAGCTGTCATTCCTGTCATGAAGTGTTGCTCCCATGGCCTAAGTGATGTATTAAATCTGTTAGGAAGTTATCAGGAAGAGAAATAGAATTATTGTTTCATTGTAGTATGCAGTAAATGACCAATATTAGACAGAGCATTAGAATCATACTGTTTAGTAGAGAGTAATGAAAAGTGAATTGTTGGCAGTACAGTATATGCCTCTTAAACAATACTATAATACAGTATGTCTTCTGATTAAGAGTCTTAGTGTCATAAGTGACAATGGTTGAACTGCGTTCATGTTTTCTTTCATTAACTAAATGCACAGTCGCTTTTAGTAAAAATAAAAACAGGCCTTCCCCTTTTCAGAAGATTGTTTCAGTTTTTAGCTCTAACAAAATGAAAAGATGGGCTTCATCCACATTTTTTCCGCCTCTCTTAAGCTGCTTTAAAAAAGAACATTACCTAAATAGAGAGGCGGTGTTGCTTAGCAACATGGCACGATACAAGTTTCATTGCTGGTAATGCAGAAGGCACCATTATACTGTTGCTGCAGCTGCATTGTTATGTGCATAACTACTGTGTTATGCAATTATAACAGTTTGAAGACAATTATATTAATTGCCACTTCATTTGAACAATGGGTTTGAAAAATCCTTGCAAAACTGAAGGGATCATAGGTGCTAACCTGAACCGTCTGAATAAGTAATAATTAATTGCACCATTTTTTAAAACTTTGTTGATTTTGTTTTGGGGTATATTTTATCTTCAGTGGTTTTTCATTCTTTAACGATATTGCATAAGTGTGGTAAAATCCAAAATTAAAAAACTAGGATACTGACTAGATGTGACACTAGCCTGTGATATGTAGTGCCCTGAATGTTTCACCACTGTCTGTTGAAATGGCTGTGTTGTTCTGTATCCTGGCGTGGGAGTTTGGCAAGAGATTGTTCTATGCCTGTGTGCTTCTTGAGAAAGGAGGAGGGTGCTCGTGTGTATACTGCATCTCCACAGTGAGAGGGCTCTTCACAAGCTGATGCTGCAAATACAAGAGGCCCTACTGGCTGTTTACTATTTGTTGGTCGAAGTACAAACAAGCCCATTGGCTGGAAGAGAGGAAGAATGCACTCAAGTGTGGGCTTATCAGCTCTCATTGGCACAACTGGGGCAACCACTCTGAGGAACTGATCATTTACTGTACAGCCAGCGCCAGTGTAGACACCGAAAGTAGCTCTGCAAATTACGACATGGGAATTAAATTTGATTTAAGCAACAGTCGCTTTTTTCTCTTAAATATGAAACATGTCCAGAGTTCCAGTCTGTTACTTGTGTGAACATTTGTGTTAGTTTTCCACCTGATAAGACTCATAAGTTCCCAAATAGGAATTTTCTCCACTCGGTCCTAGAAATGCATGGTGATCAAAGAAAAAGAGCAACACACAAGCTCCACAGCTCTCTTCTCCCTCAGTGTCTCTCGGCTGGCACTCTAACACTTTCTGAGAACGTATTGCTCTGTCAAAGGCACAAGACTGCATTTTTGTTCCCTTAAAATAAAAGAAACGTGTTGCCTAAGTGCAGGTTTGTCAAGAAACGAACACAGTACTCTGGTATCATTGCCCCTTACCTTCTTGATTTAGTGAAATAAAAACCTAGATTTAAACATGATCATCACGTCTTTTGGCTTCTCTTTCACAGATCTGATTTCCCACTTCCTGTGTCCAGCAGGCAGCGCGCTGACGGAGGAGGGGGTGCCAGTCCAGTTCGAGAAGATTGAAGTGCCAGACTCCTACTCCGGCCCTCGGCTGGCCTTCCCTCTCACTGTGGCTCATACCAACGCGCTCCTCAGTGCCTTCAAGAAGCAGCAGGTGCATGGCTGCAGCAGCACGTCCCCCTGCGCTGTGCTCACAGGGTGCAAAAATGACACCTGCAGTGCAGGAATGTGTGTGGGACAGCCTGTTTCGCTGCCGTCCTTTCACAAAGCACCCATATAGTGTTCTTGGTTCATGACACGTGAGCAAATGAGCAAGATACAGTAGGTGAAATGGCCTGCTGCCATTTGCTATATATTTGAATTGTACAGCAGATGTTTGTTGGAGTGATGAAGCAGTATTTCGGGCTTGCATATCATCATTTTTAGACATGTACACATGGTTCTTTAGAACTGACTTACAGTAACTGTTTTAGAATAATGCAACACTGGAAATGTGAAAGTAGAAGGTTCATGTACAGTTGTTGAGTTTTTTTTGTCAAAATCTGAAGTGAACATCATTTAGGTCAGTTAAAGCATTGCCCCGTGCAGTACATGCTATCAACCATTTTCCTCCAAATGTTGAAAATGTAGTGCTCTGCATTCGGTAGGAAGTCTAACTCCATCCAGGTCGCATTTTCCTTTCTTTTCAGACCCTTCATGCCCGATATGTTCTACAGTTGTTACACGAGACGAAGAAGTTCTTGAAGCAGATGCCAAACATCATTCACTTGTCGACCTACACCAAAGAGATCACAATCTGTGGTAGGCTGTCCCTGTGGGCTCAGTCGCTTCTTGTTGGAACCGACACCCAGGAAATTGCCATGTGATCTCCGTTTTTTACCCAAAAAATCTGTCATTTAGCCAAGATTTAAAAAAATAGAAAATACAGCCATATCACCCAGCAACTCACAACTGGCAACCCACTGAAGCTAAGCAGGTGTGAGCCTGGTCAGTACCTGGATAGGAGACCTCCTGGGAAAAACTAAGGTTGCTGCTGGAAGAGGTGTTAGTGGAGCCAGCAGGGGGCGCTCACCCTGCAGTCCATGTGGGTCCTAATGCCCCAGTATAGTGACGGGGACACTATACTGTAAACAGGCGCCGTCCTTCGGATGAGACGTAAAACCGAGGTCCTGACTCTCTGTAAATCCCAGGGTGTTTCTCGAAAAGAGTAGGGGTGTAACCCCAGCGTCCTGGCCAAATTTCCCATTGGCCCTTACCAATCATGGCCTCCTAATAATCCCCCTCTATGAATTGGCTTCATTACTCTGCTCTCCTCCCCACTGATATCTGATGTGTGGTGAGTGTTCTGGCGCACTATGGCTGCCGTTGCATCATCCAGGTGGATGCTGCACATTGGTGGTGGTGGAAGAGAGTCCCCATTACCTGTAAAGCGCTTTGAGCGCTATATAAGTGTAAGCAATTATTATTATTATTATATTGAGTCTGCTAGGGTTTTGTTAGTCTTGTGTTTAAATGAAGAGCAGAATAAAATGTTTTTCCTGTACCACTCATTAAACAAATCCTTAAACTGGTTACAATAACAAATGTTCGGCTGAAAACATCCTCTCCTTCAAGGTCAGTATTATTAAACATAATGAGGTGTTTATTTAGAAGATCTCCATCTTTGATGAAGCTGCTGAGTGCAGGAGATCAGAATGTTTATTTGGAGTTTGTGTCAGACAGGTACTTGAAATGATTTTGTGAAAGTGTGATTTGAGAGCCTGGTTTATTAGCTGTCTTCAGCAGGCGTAAGATGCAGTGACAGTAACCATAGACAAGGAAAATTTAATGTATACAATACATAGAAATATTTTAATGCCCTGGACTGTTCCCCAAGTGGTTGAAAAAAAGGCTGAATTGTTGTGCCAGCAGAGTGCAGGGAATGTTGGCATCTGCAGATAATGCCGCCCTTTTCTCAGCTGTTGTTTTTGCTTTTAGTGCAGAACCAACAGATTGCTGAGGAGTTGCCACAAGGCCAGTGTCAGCCATGTTAAGTCACCAATGTTGGCAATGATGTCCAACACAAGACCTCGTCGTGCCATGTCCATTTTCTGGTTAATTTGGCCACTTTGTTGCTGCTGAGGGGAGGGTAGTTTTAAAAGCTCCAGGGTCTATGGCTGTTCATTTTTCACTGTTCCAGTAACCTTGCTGGAGATTAACAGACAGAGAGCAGTGAGACCCACTGGAACAAAACACTAGAATCTGCCAGTTCTGAAGACTTGACTTTGCCTTAGACTGAAAATAGGCTTTTTGAGACTCTACCAACAGCCATCTCTGACAGAAGTCTCAAACACACCATTACTGTCATATTTGCAACTTTAGAAATAGATTTAATCTTACTGGAGACCTGTGATTTATTTACAGTGTTTTATATTAACTTTACACTTGAGGCTATAGAATCACCCCTAATATGGAAACAATGTGTAATAATTTCATACTGTAAATTTCAGAATGCTTTTTGTTGTATTTTCTCCCCCTTAGGTGATTTACATGGCAAACTGGATGACTTATTGCTTATATTCTACAAGGTAAATATTTAATTGCTCCTTAAAGCTGGCGAGTTGGGTGCAGGTTGACTGACGTTCTTAATTACCATGGACAATTTGCCTGTTTCTAACAGTTTGTGTCTTCTGTCTTTTGCACTGTAGCCATCATTCAGGAAGTGCCATGTCAGGTTTTTTTTTATGAACCCAAGGTTTCTTTGTCTTGATTAATGCACTATGTGGTAAAATAGAATTTTAGACATTTTGATATTTTCAAAGATCAAAGATCAACATGATGGTCAATAGATTCAATAGATTCAATAGACAAGGCTAAAGAGATTTAATTGATAGGTACAGATGCATACAGAAGATGTATACACCTGTTCAATCTCCTGTTTTGTGATTAAGGTGAAAGTGCTTGTAATCACAGATAACTTCATTACTGTTAGTACCTACAAGTATGCTAATTAAACTTGATTTAATGAACATTTTATATACATTGTTTTTCTTTCACTTTCTGTGTACAGAATGGTCTTCCTTCAGTTGAAAACCCATACATCTTCAATGGCGATTTTGTCGACAGAGGAAAGAAGTCGATGGAGATAATCATTATCTTATTCTCCTTCCTTCTGCTTTATCCTAATCACATGCACCTGAATCGGGGAAACCATGAGGACTACATAATGAACCTGAGGTAGAGCCCGTCCTGGTTTCCCGCTGGGTGAATGAAATGGTTTAGCAAGGGAGCGTCTCACACAGTGAAATAATCTCTGTGGAACAGAAGTTTAGCTTGACAGTAAAGCTTGCGTCACACTACGTGACTCGACACGACTTCTAGTCGAGAGCATGTCAAATTTAACAACTGCAGTTGCTGAATCTCGCTGCCTTTTCTGTCCTAGAGAGTCAAATTATACGACTAAGAATCGCAGGGGCTGACTAATTACACGATGCCCTCACGACTTTTCATCACGGTTCCAAATCTCGTATTGCACCGCGAAAATACCGCGAGGTCGCCTCGTTTTGGCAGCCAATCAACGAGGAGCACGCCGGAATAAGAGGAGGAGCACCGCACGAAAGTAAACAAACAACAAACAAGAAAACAGACATCTGTGCTGGCTCCAAAGTTCGATGAGCCTCTCCTCCATTCTCACAGTCCAAAACGCTCGCTTTCCTTCTTTCCTTGCAGCTGCAAGGTATGCATTGGACTTCCTGTTGAGCGCTCAGTGGCTGTTGACTGTCGCAGACACAAGAGCCCACCCCTACGACTTGCGACTCGCTACAAGAAAATCAAACCAGCTGGATATTGTTGCAGCGAGTTGCAGAGAGTCTTAGGGGCTGTTAAGAGCGCTCTGACTGAGTCACTGGGGTTTCACACTGCACACCTGATGGTAACAGGCACGCGCTGTGACTTTCGACAACTCACTGTGATTTTCTTACGGTTATGTAAAAGAAGGCTAGCCTAGGAAAAGTAATGTAGTGTGATGCAAGCTTAATAATAATTCAATAATAATTGCTTACACTTATATAGCGCTTTTCTGGACACTCCACTCAAAGCGCTTTACAGGTAATGGGAACTCCCCTGCACCCCCACCAATGTGCAGCCCCACCTGGATGATGCGACGGCAGCCGTAGTGCGCCAGAACGCTCACCACACACCAGCTATCAGTGGGGAGGAGAACAGAGTAATGAAGCCAGTTCATAAGAGTGTCAGTCTTTCCCGTCTTCTCCCAGTTCAGTGCAGCACTGAGCACATGACATTGGCAGAAACAGTATGGTAGCCTACTGTATGTGGTTAACCCAAGGCTCATATGCCATTTCACATTCTGTTCAGCGCTGCTTGTCTGGATAAGTTTTACAAAAGGGTTCTGACAGATGAAAATGTGCAATGAATTCCTAATCAAGGTGAGGACAAATTGTGTATGCATAGTGGCTAAACTTTTATTTTACTGCTATTCTATGCCAGTAGCAAATCACTTTACATACAATAGTCCCATCTGTAGAATTTCAAAAAGCTAATTATGTCTGAAAGAAACTACATAAAGCTAATAATAAAACAAAAAGCAATAACCTTGGCTGACTTTGAAATCAACTGTCATTTGGTAACTCTTCATTTGTGGGCTGCAGCATGAACACGCGTGGCAAAATGTATTATCCACATTAATCTAAATAAGTGGTGAAAAAAGACTGAAAGTATAAAAACAGCATTTGATTTGTAAACCAGAGGGGTACCATTTCTAAAATGATTAATATTCAGTGTTGTTTATTATATCAACTTTTCAGCTGTACCTCCCTGACAAGCCTTTCATCTTTGGCAATTAAAGCTCTACTTTGAGTTGGAAAAGAACAATCAGAAATTATAAAGAGGTTTTGAGAGGTTTAATTATTGTAGCCAAGCAGCTGGGTCTCTGCCACAGATGGCTGTGTCTTTGAACTCCTGCAACCCCATTATGCTAACAATACCCTGTTAAAAAACAGCCGTTTAAACTGCAGAAATGTCAAAACAGAATGTTTCAGAGTTCCATGGAATTGTGCTTTTATGCACTGCTCCCTTAAATTTGTACTGGAAATAAGAAATAACATTATCCTTATTTTTTTCAGTTTGATTGTGTACATCCCTTTCTCAGCGCAGTCAGTTAAAAGACACTCCACTGACGTCCATTTACCATACATTTCCATAATTTAACCTTATGTGTGGCGTAATTAATAGACCCCACAGGTTATCAAGTGGATGTAGATCTACAGGGATGAATTACACACCTGGAGTAAAAATGCCTATCCTATCACTGAGTGCTCATGTTGTGAAAAAAAAAGGCCAGCGGTACTACTGTATTTAACAGGCCGACAATGTTGCATAGCATTTTTTTTTTTCGCTTATTGAAATTCATTCGATCTTCTCAAATAGCAGTGCAATAAGACATGAGGAAATAATGTGTTACAGTCATTGCACAGCAGTAACACTTTACAGTATGTGTCAGTTACAGAGGTATTTCTGTCATTGCAGGTATGGCTTTACAAAAGAAGTTATGCAGAAATACAGGGTAAGGCTCATTTTTAATACAAGGTATAGCAATCTAGTTTTGCTGATATTCTGAATTGAATTTCTATTTTAAGTGCCATTTGTTTCTATTTAGTAATTAGTTCATTTTTTCCTGGTAGGAATTGGCAGTTATTTTCTACATTGAAAGCTCCAGTTGTTTAGCAGTCCCCCCCCCCCACACACGCACACTTTCCTCTCTCGGAGGCTCGTGCATTGTCTGCCATGCGCTATGAGCTCCACAGCGCCTCACAGGAGAGTGAGCTCCGACTGGAGGGTCAGCATGTCTTTCACTGATCTCATGGAAAGATCGTAGCTGGCTAATGTCATGGCACAGGTTTTGACCAAAGTTCGGACCAAAGTGCCCAGCTTGTGCTCTGAGCAAAGGTCCTCACTGTTTTCGGTCTCTAGGGAGCCCCCGAGATTTTTCTTAAAAGTTTTGGTCACACACTTGTTAATCCTTGAAGTGTTTTCTGCAAAACCACTAGGTGGTGTGCAATTATTTATTTGAATTATTCTTATTTTATTTTGATTGCAGTTTCTGAAACAGCTCTTTCACTGTCATCTAGTCATCAGGACTCCTTTCAAGCACTGAAAATTGTTATTTGCAGATCTGGTGGACCAGCTTCTGGGAGGCACTCAGTGCCAGTAATTCTAAATAGAATTCTACTGTGCCTACTGTACAAGTTGAATGAAGCTTCAGTGAATCAGTCAAGAGCTCCATCCAGTGGGAAACTGACATCACTACAGTACTTGCACTCAGCAGAAATCACCATGGCCTTCTTTGATTAATAGACTTCTTTCAAATACGATGCTTACAAAATGCCTTCTGTGTTTTTTTTTTGCATAAGCTGGATTCACATTTTAAGTCAATATAAAGAATGCTGTTTTATGTTCTTTTATCATCACAACCACTTTCAATAACACATTAAGTGCAAGGCAGGATACACCCTGGATGGGACCCCAGTCCATTGAAGGGCACACACAGACATTACACACACTGACCTCAGGGACAATTTATAGAAACCAATTAACCTGCCAGCATGTCTTTGGACTGTGTGAGGAAACTGCAGAACTTGGAGGAAAGCTACCTTAACAAGAGGAAAACAGGCAAACTCCAGACACATAGCACCCAAGGAATTGAGCTCAGGGCTCCAGTGCTGCAAGGCATTTTCCTTTCATATTTTTTAGATGATTTGATTATTCATAGTAATTGTTGTGAGGTTTTTGTTTTGTCTGCATTTTTCTGTATTTTGCTGAAAAGGTTCTTGATATTGCCATGGGTAGGTTTTTATTCAAGATCTAATTCTGAAGGCTTATTTATTATTATTTTATTCAAGATCTAATTCTGCAAATTATCTGCAAAGAAAAACATGTAAAATTGTTCCTATTTTTGCATTATAAATTATGAATTAAAGGGAAGCCTTTCATGTTGAATGTATTGCATTACTAAGAAGTGTCCGTAGCATATTAAGCTTCTTGCTCCAAGATTCATTGTACAACGGAGACATTTAAGATACTTTCCACTGCTACTTTTCTGTGGTATTTCTGGCCAATGCACTGCATGTAAGGTAAGATCATTTCTATTGCAGGCCCATGGGAGGGATATTTTGCAGATTCTGCAAGATGTCTTCAGCCTGCTTCCAGTGGCAACAATAGTTGACAATAAAGTCCTGGTTGTTCACGGGGGCATTTCTGATATGACTGACCTGGATTTCCTAAGCTCCATAGAAAGACAGAAGGTGAGCATCTGTCAGGAACAATATGTTGTTTGTGCTTTTGTTAGAGCAGGTTCAGTTATCTATGCAAAAAACAGCTCAGCCTTTATGCTAATTTCTCAAACAAACCTCCAGTTTGCAAAGGATCAATTAAAGGTTTATTCAATGCTGAAAAGAGAAGAGAAAAAACACAACGTTTTGTCCATAGTGCCTTTTTTCACACCCGAAGAAGGCTCCACAGCCGAAACGTTGTGTTTCTTTTCTTCTCTTTTCAGCAGGGAACAAACCTCTTTACTTGTTCCTTTCCAGCCTACGCACGCTGGCACCACTACCCACCTGAGCTACTTTAACCGTTAGTTTGACAATTTCCTGTCTTCCTGCTATTGCAGTTCAAGTCGGCACTCAGGCCTCCCAAGAGGAGCTTCTATCACAGTGAGGAGAGGGACCACTACCAGGGCCAATGTGCTGAGACCCGGGGGAGCCCAGCCCCCAGACGGAGAAGAGGCCAGCTACCCAAGCAGAACAGCAGCTCCTCTTCGTCCTCATCTTCCTCCTCCTCGGCGCCCTCTCCTGCCCCCTCCTCCTGTCAATACAGGAGCCCCGCTCCCGAGCACTATCCCCACATTCTGGAGCTGCCCTACCTGGACTCCAATGTTACCATCTTTCGCAAGGCAGCTCAGAGAGAGGAGCTGGAGTGGAAGCAGGTAAGGACAACAGGCATTACTTCACACAGCGTCATGCAGACTAATGATAGCCTGTACGTCTGTGAGCTGCTAGGTTGGCCTGAGACCAGTGTCTGTCCCCCAGCTTTAGGATTAAACTGCAGAAGAAGAGCGAGGTGATGTGAAATGGAAAGCCTTATATTGAAAAAAAAATGGTGATTTATTATTGTCTAAATTACATGTAGCAGGGGAGTAATTATTCTAAACTATTCTCTATTTTATAATCATTTTATCTAATAAATACCTGTACTTTCTGATTGTGAATATGAATCATGTAGACTTTCACTGGTCATAATTTAGTAATCATGACAGCAGTAATAACACATTTTATTTTAGCCGATGACCAAATAAGAACTTTTGGAAAAACTCACAGCCTCAATAGGTTTTTTTTTTAATGAAAATGTCATTTTTAAAAATTTGGTCATGGCGAAATCTTGAAAGCCCCTGTTGATTTTCCGACCTTCTCTTGTGAAGGTTGTCGACTTGCTATGGAGTGACCCCAAAAGCCTGAACGGCTGCAGCCCCAACACTTTCCGAGGGGGTGGCTGTTACTTTGGGCCTGACGTGACTCAGAGGCTGCTGAAGAAGCACAGGCTGAAGCTGCTGATACGCTCTCACGAGTGCAAGCAGGAGGGCTATGAGCTCTGCCACGATGGCAAGGTAATAATAATAATAATTATTTACACTCATATAGTGCTTTCCTGGACACTCCACTCAAAGCGCTTTACAGGTAATGGGGACTCCCCTCCACCACCACCAATGTGCAGCCTCCACCTGGATGACGCTCACCACACATCAGCTATCAGTGGGGAGGAGAGCAGAGTAATGTAGCCAATTCATGGAGGGGGAGGCCATAATTGGTAAGGGCCAATGGGAAATTTGGCCAGGATGCCGGGGTTACACTCACTCTTTTCGAGAAACACCCTGGTATTTTTAATGACCACAGAGAGTCAGGACCTCGGTTTTACATCTCATCCAAAGGACAGCGCCTGTTTACAGTATAGTGTCCCCATCACTACACTGGGGCATTAGGACCCACATGGACCGCAGGGTGAGCGCCCCCTGCTGGCTCCACTAACACCTCTTCCAGCAGCAACCTTAGTTTTTCCCAGGAGGTCTCCTATCCAGGTACTGACCAGGCTCACACCTGCTTAGCTTCAGTGGGTTGCCAGTTGTGAGTTGCAGGGTGATATGGCTGCTGGCTAGGTACAGCACAGCCTGAGTGCCTGGCTCCTCCAGATACCAGCAACACTTCAGCATCTGCAGGTTCCACTGTATTGGCTTCCACTGTCGTTTTCTTTACACTTGTTTCAGTTCTGCACGCGTGGCATGCTGCTGTGAAGGATTATTAACAGGTTTCCTATAATATTCTAGTATAGCTTGAAAACAGTGCACTGGGTAAATACTGAATCCTTTTACAAATTAGGGGCAGCTAAATAAAATGTACCTGAGCTGTAGGTAAAATCTGAGGCATGTGAGAAAAGGCATACACTTATTATTCCCTGGCACAGCCCTGGTGAAAAAGTAAATCAGTGTTAATCTTTCATCCATCCATTCATTTTCTAACCTCTTCACCCAATTCAGGGTGGCGGGGGAACTGGGGCCTATCCCAGCAAGCAAATGAGCAAAAGGCAAGATATATCCTAGACAGGATACCAGTCCATCTCAGACACAAACACACATACGCACACTAGGTCCAGTTTTCCTAGAAGCCAGTTAACCTACCAGTATGTTTTTGGGCTATGGGAGAAAAACGAAGCAGTGCAAACCCACGCCAACGTGGGGAGAACATATTCCTGAATTGAACCCAGGGCTCCAGCTCTGCGAGGCAGCAATGCTAAACACTTTGCCCCAGAGTTAAACTTGTCAAAATGATGTGTTAACCTATTACACAACTGCACTATCTATACAACACATTACACAACTCTTGCACATTGCTCTGCAGCATATACTGTATGTTCAAGGCTATGTGTTTCAGAGGGCTGTGTCCTACAGAGCCAGAGACCTAGTATGCTAGCCTGTAACATGAAACACTATACAGCACCTTAACAAGCGACCACGAGAAATAAAGACCTGCATTCTAATGAATAAATCAGCACTAAATCTCCCTTACTACAACAAGGATTCCCAAAAGAGAATTACAATCAGTCTCGCTATTCTAAAGATGCATAAACAAATTAGAACATTTTTAGTCTTTGGATTTCACTATAAAGGAAACCAGAGTTTTAAAATCTTTTAAACCAGCAGCCATATCACCCTGCAACTCACATCTGGCAGCCCACTGAAACTAAGCAGGTGTGAGCCTGGTCAGTACCTAGATGGGAGACCTCCTGGAAAAAACTAAGGTTGCTGCTGGAAGAGGTGTAAGTGGGGCCAGCAGGGGGCGCTAACCCTGTGGCTCATGTGGGTCCTAATGCCCCAGTGTAGTGACAGGGGCACTATACTGTAAACAGGCACCGTCCTTCGGATGAGACGTAAAATCGAGGTCCTGACTCTCTGTGGTCATTAAAAATCCCAGGGTGTTTCTCGAAAAGAGTAGGGGTGTACCCAGGCGTCCTGGCCAAATTTCCCATCGGCCTTTATCAATCATGGCCTCCTAACAATCCCCCTCTGTGAATTGGCTTCATTACTCTGCTCTCCTCCCCACTGATAGCTGATGTGTGATGAGTGTACTGGTGCACTATGGCTGCCGTCGCATCATCCAGGTAGATGCTGCACATTGGTGGTGGAGGGGAGTCCCCATTACCTGTAAAGCGCTTTGAGTGGAGTGTCCAGAAAAGCGCTATATACGATTTTCCCATTGTTCCAGACTTCATCAATAAGGCTTTGAGAAGTGCCTTATCTTACAATAAGATGTAAGATTTTATGACCCACTCCTGAATATCGGAATTGTAACAATGTGCAGTAAATAAGCTTTAGAGAAAAAATAAATCAGATCCATTTACTGCTGTACCTTTTGTAGCTGTCTTGAAAGTGTTTTTTCTGATGTTTTTTAAAGGTAATCACAATTTTCTCAGCCTCCAATTACTATGAAGAGGGCAGTAACCGAGGGGCCTACATTAAAATGGGACCTGACCTTGTGCCTCGTTTCTTCCAGTATCAAGTCAGCAAGAGTACCAGGAAGATGACCCTCCAGCAGAGGTAAGTGTGGATTGGGGGTATTTTATAAAACTGTACAAATTATATCAATACTGTTTACCACCAAAAAATCCATTTTAATTAAAATAACTATTTCAGTAAAGGTTGATCACCGAAATTGTTAAATGTGTTTTCTGAAAAAATCACCTATTTATTTACAATTTTTACTTATAAGCTCTTTTAAAAAACAGTGCTGTACAATAGCACACTAGTAATACACACAGCAGAAATAAAAATCTGAACATGCTAGCTACTGTAATTGTCTTCTAGAATGAGCTGTTTGGGTTTGTAAGCATCTGAGAATTTCTTTACTGCACACATGTTTACTTTCCCACAAAATTTCAGAAATTGAAGTAATTGCATCAAAGTGTTTCTCTAACGGTTAACCCGAGCATAGTCAGTATGTGTTGGAGAATAGGGTGGTCAAAAGTGTGCAACCAAACAACAGTTTAAATTAAACTGAATAGTTAATTAAATATGAGTGTGGTTTCTTGTTCATTCTTGCGCTCTGCTTCCTTCTTGTTCTGTTATAAATGTAGTGCATTTGACTTTGAAAAGAATGTTCCATCACATACTGTATCTCTTCCAGTTTGGTGTTATACTCCAATTGTTTTTTTGCATTTTGTTTTGTTTTGTTTTCTAATTGATTGTGTAGTTTTGCACTTGATGGCCACTGGTGGAGACCTGTGGAGCAACCAATGCGTGGTCATGCTTGGAGAACTGTTTTGAATACTGGTTTGTGCAGTAGATCAAGCTAACGCAATTTGTGCTCCTGTCTCTTCTTTCTACACAGAGTTAGTGTGGCTGAGGGCTCAGCCCTGAAGTCCCTGAAGGAGAAGCTGTATGCCCATCGGTCTGATCTGATCTCTGCTTTCCAGCAATATGACAGAAACCTCACAGGTTGGCAGAAGCTCCAGGTGTTCTTTATGTTCTGTAAACAGAAGCCTAAGCCTTTCTCACGCAGCTTTCTCAGCTTGCACGGTGCTTGAGATGTTTCCGAGAGATACTAAGCTAATGATTGTTTGAAATCATTTGTTGTAGCATAGTGAAATTATTAGATAGCCCAGGAAATTGTTTCCTGCAATTCAGTGGTCAGAATTCAGTGCCACGAAGCGTCTCACGATGGGCCCTGCCATCGAGTTGAGAAGTGTTCCACTCTTGACGAGCCTGTTTTCCTGCTGTGCATCCTCTCGTCAGGTCGGATCTCTATCAGCGACTGGGCTCAGGCAGTCGAGTCTGTGCTTCACCTGGACCTGCCCTGGCGGACCCTGCGCTCTCGGTTGGCGAGGATGGCTCCTGACGGGACCGTGGAGTACCTGTCCTGTTTCGAGGATCTGCAGATAGGGGAGCCGAGCAACGAGGTGAGAGCCCCTTCAGTTCTAGAACTTCAGTCGTGTAAATGAGTGAGACCTCTCTGACAAACGTGCTACCATGGAAAGGAAAAACAGAAGCTTGTTCTGTTCTTTCAGGTGACAACTGTGTAAAACCTCACATTTCCATCTCTACTGACTTCCCATTAATTTTACCTCTGGAACAACAAATGAGAAAACCTATTCACATGTGTGTTGCATATATGATTGTGTGTGATTTTAGTCTAATGTTATATTCTCATACTGAGCATTGAGAATCTTGTGTACTTTGTACACGAGAAACTCCTTCAGGTTTTTTTAAACAGTGAGAATTCATTGCATATACTGTAAGTGCACGTTTGATGGCTTTAGTCAGACCATGTTGATGTGAGAAGTATTCCTTTTAAGGAACCTTCCTCTAGTAGGAAATTAACACACCAATTAAATAAACCCCATACGGTATCACACTGGCTTCCACTAATCTAATGAATTTCAGAAAAGGGCACTGTTCAGTCAGGTACATAGCAGTGTGATTGAATTCATTTGTCTATCAGTTATGAAGGAATGTAAGTGAACTTGATAATGATAACATTCAGTCCATCAGTTCTTCTCATATTCCTTCACACTGAGTGAATTTGATTTATCACAACATCAAGCCCAGACATGAACATTTCTAGGGTGATGTGGTCTGGTCATGTGCTGGAATGCGTCATGCATTCCAGGCAATAATACCTTAATGCATAATAAATCCTTTTCTAATATTAGTGCAGAGCTGGCTTTTAACCAGTTTCCAGTTTGTCCCTGCATTTCCATGGCTATAATCTCTGTGGCATGGACATTTCCAATCTAAAACAGCTCGATTCTCATGAATTATAATGTGAAGTTTGAATGTGTTCTCAATGGAATTAGATGCTTGGTCAGGAGAGTCCTGATGAGATTTTAAAAGTCCTTCAATCAGAGGATTCGCAGAATGTCATTTCCTTTTCTGCTGGTTTTCTGCCAAAAGGTATCTTGTCTGCACAGTAAAGGGTGAGAAGAGCTCCGCTAAACTGAAGACTGCTTCTCAAAAAATATGTGCAGGAAGTCTCACAGATTAGAAACCCTGTCAAGACTTTGATGGGAAGAAACTTACTGTGCTCACCCATATTTTGTAGTTGCAGTGCTGAATTTTTGTTGATGTGCAGTTAGGTCGACAGAAGCCAGTGGTATTATTTCCCCCTGTATTGGATAAAGTGGTTAAAAATGGATGGAAAATAGATTAATAAAGACCTTTGTTTTGACGGCAGGTTTTAATGCATACTTTTTGGTCCTTTAATGTGATTTGCTATTACATCTCTTATGTATTTTGCATTTGTAGTACTGTGTAATTGTTTTTTCAGCAGAATCTATCAGTAGACTGTTATTATTACTTGCATTGCATTGGTTTTGTGCCTTGACTAGATGTTGAGAGCGATGAATCAACTACTATGCCAAAATTCTTCTCCTGCTGTGTGCTTTCTAATTCTAGACCTCCCATGCAAATGCAAAACTGCATCTGCTAACATTGAATTTCACTTGCCATGTACTGTGTGTGCTTGCTTCTACTGTACATCCTTTTCAAATCTTCCTTTCATAACCTAATTTTACCTTCATCATTGGCCAATCCCACACAGAATGCAAACTGGACTAATTTGTTACTGATCCCTCTATCAATATCATCTGCATACATGCAGAAGAGCAGCAGTCCTAGCTGTGAGCACAGCTGCCCTTTGCACATTGCCCAGCTTACTGTAGATGTTTCCCCTCTTACTAGTAATTTCTGCATCCTATCATGTACTGTATCCAAGCTGGAATTCACCTGTTTGGTGCACCTTTAACTCCCCCAGCTTCATGTTTAAGAATGAGTCACATGTGTAACTGGGATTTCAGAAAAACCCTTTTACAATGTTCCCCACAACACTGTAAGAATTATAAAAGTATGCACTTTTGGCATGTACTTTCCTGTCCCATGCTTTCTCTCCAATAACAAATCAGTAGGCTACATCTGTAAAAAGCAAATGTCTGCATCACAGCTGGTGCTTACTGTCTACAATGAATGGCCTGGCCTTAGTATGTGAGCACTATTTCAAGCAGCAGCCAGGAAAACTCAAAAGAGTGACAGGATTGTTTTCTGGTTTGCATGTTAAAATGCATTTTATGGCTGTCCTGTACTTGGCTATTTAATTACACTTCTTTCTGAACTTTTGAACAGTTACACATAATCATTCATAGACAAGGTGCTTGATCTATTGCCCTCTGTTGTCTCTTTTTCAACCCATGAGGGACACAAAACAGACAACAGTGAAATATGTTGTCTGTTTACAGTGAATACAAGGCTTACTGCAAGACCAGTATATAGAACAGCTGGAATTTCATTTAAATTGATAGGACATAGAACACCTGCTCAAGCACACTTGTTTTTTAAATAGTTTAAGGTTTATAAACTTTCGATATGTGCTTTATGGGTAACATAGAAGTTAGTGATGCTTCCTTGTAGCTCTTTGGTTGTGGGTCTGATTCTGGAAGGGGGTCCTTTTGTGCAGAGTTCTCAAGTTCACTTGTGTTTACACAAGCTGTTTCCTTGCACCTTCTCAGGACATACTGACCAGGTTGATCAGTGTCTTTAAACTGTTCCTGTATATATACAGTAAACTTGTGTGTATGTCATGTCATTTGCCAAACCGCAATTATACCATACGGTGTCATGGGAAGCCAGAGCCTACCCGGCAAGCAACGAGCGCGAGGCAGGGTACACCCTGGACAGGGCGCCAGTCCATCGCAGGGCAAGTAAAGGCCAATTATACTTGGGGAGAATTTGGGGGCCACAGTAAAGGCCGAGGGGGAGATTTTTGGCCCGGACACCAGGATAACTCCCTACTCGTATTCGTAGCTTCAGTGGGTAGCCAGTTGAGAGCTGCAGGGTGATATGCCTGCTAGCTTGTGTGTAGGTGTTATCTGTAAAAACTAGTATGCTGCCCAGGGTGTAGCTCTCTCCTTGTGCCCTGTGCTTCCAGGATAGGCAACAGTATACTAAGATTGAATTTCTTCTCAATGTGATTAAAACAAAACATCATGTCTCCAAAGCTTACATCACTGACGTGTCTTGTTGTGTTTTTTTTAAACAGGTTACCCCTAACCTCATGGAGACTCTGTATAGATATCGCACTGACCTGGAGATCATATTTAATATTATTGACAAGGATCACTCAGGTAAATGTAATTGATAAATGTGTTTGGCAAGATATTAGGTATGATTGCAGTTTGGTATCAGATGATTATTTCCAGTGTTTGTTCTGTTGTAAAGACTGCTAACATCTTTCTGGATTATTAAAAGTTGCATTACAGGTGCAATTGTCAAACTTCCCTTTTCCAGCACCTTCATCAGCAAACCTTTTCCTGTTTATAATAGTATAAAGTGCTCTGAGTGGCTGGACACATCTCTATAAATCTGTACAGCAGAATTGTGACCTGCCGCATGTTTCCTAGGATTGATTTCCATCGAGGAGTTTCGTCAGACCTGGAGACTGTTCAGCTCCCATCTTGGGATCGACGTTGATGACGGAGCCATCGATGATCTGGCGCGCAGTATTGACTTCAACAAAGATGGCAGCATCGACTTCAATGAGTTTCTGGAGGCCTTTCGTGTGGTCCACAAACTGGACACCAAGGAACACCAGTGATGGGGAACGGTGCTGTTTAAAGACATATAGGGATGTACATTTGTAATTGGGGGAAAAAGATAAATGCTATTGAAAGAGGCTGTGCGTGCTCTGAGCAGAGAGGAGAAAGCAAAACACTAATGGAAATTGCTTAGTTGGCTGGAATGGAGTGTGAACTCAATTAAAAGGAGAGTAAAACTGAGGTTGAACCTCATGCAAACTGTTAAATTTCTAGCAGAAGTTTTGTAAAAATGGATTTTAAAAATGGTAAGCAACAGACTGAAAGTCACCTGCATATCAGTCTGTGGAGAATGTGAACTTTGCTCCACTCTGTCCTGCACAATAGAACACCTCTGTAAGGGAAGATCATGTGAAAAGCAGTATACTATTTACAGGACTGAAGATTTTATGCCGCCAAGAGTGGTTTAAATGGGAAGAATAAAAATGATAAGCAATATTTATTCTGTCAAAAGTACAACAAGCAGAATCAATAATAACTAATGAAGACAACTTGCAAAGTAATACTAACCTGAAAGATTCTTTTCTGTGCAGTAGAATTAATCTTTGGAGTTTTATTTAAGTAAGGAGCCAAATGATGAAATAATGACTATGTACATATGGAACAAGCATAAATGTCTGCTTTTCCTATTTATTTCAATTCACAACAAACACAACAGATGTGATTTAAAATTATATGCAGATCCACGGCCCATCACCCAGACAGCGGTATACATACGGAGCCAATATTTAAGCCTCCACATGGGTGAATCTTGGAATATCAAGTTGTTAATTGAGTTACCTTGTTATATTGGTAAAACCAAAACAAAATCTGTAAAAGACTAGTTTGCAGTGTAAAGCAAAATATTAAAACAGTCTAAAAAGCCTCTACAGGCAAGTCTTGATTAAAATTAAAAGAGCTGGAAAATGAGAAGAGCCTCAGAAGTCTTTTTTAGAGGTCAGGATAAGTGCCACCCTGAACCAATGAAATCTAACAGTCCCCTTCAGGCTTCAATCTGCTAAGTTTCAGTCTGTCTTCTAAACATACGGAAAGTGAAACATGGGCAAAATGAAATGAAAAAATAGACACATAATGTTTAATGTTTCATTCTGAATCCGGCCTCTGGAGGTTCCATAACATGCTCAACAGACTTGGGGGTCGAGCTCCGAAAACGATCTTTCTGAAATGACAGAGTCTGAATCCCAAATAATAAGGTTGACCAAACATGCCTGCAAACAGCCTTAAAATGCATTCCATCTGCTGAGATACAATATACTGTACATACATGACATGTTTATGTTGGCTGTTTTTTATTTAATTTGATCTTGATTTTTTTGTGGTTTTAACAAAGTCCCTTTAAGCTGCAAACGTAGAGCTATAGACTCTGTGGTAATACAGTTCCTTTATATACCTTCAAAGATATCCTGTTTGAATGCAGCAAGCTTTTAGGTGGAGTTTTCTTTTTCTGGTGAATATTGACATACGTTACTGTGTACATGCAAGTAATTAGACAAGTGTAAATAAGAATTATATAGTACCTACAGTGTATGAATTACACAGTTCTTCCTGATAAAAATATATTGTATTGTTAAAATAAACACTTTTTATGATGAACTTCATTTTAACCACTTTAAATGAGGTACAGTAACATGGTGCCATGTCAGTTAACACTGTTGCTTTGCAGGTCTTAGGTGGCAGGAGGTTTCGTCGATTTCAGGCAAAAGTTCTGTGTGTACTTGAATATTTTCCTGGTGTCTGTGTGGATTTTCTCTGAATGCTCTAGTTTGGAAAAACATGCAAATTACTGGTGTTCAAAATTGTTCCTGTGATGGACTTTTGTCCCATCTAAGTATTGCCCTGCTTTCTGCTGTGTTCCACCAGGATACCATATGGGTTTGCCATGACCCTAACCAGGAGTTAGCATGTTTTGCAAATTGTATTTGGTTTCAAAGACAGAATGAAGACACAATTTCCATACAACTCAAAAATTGCCCCTCCCCGAACTCTTGTACCATGGGTACCTCTCTTAATCTTTCTACCCAAGAACTCCTAAAACCAGGTCAAATAGTTACTGCAGGTGGGTATTTCAGTAAGATTGCGAAAACTGTACTCTCAGCACCCCTGGGTGCCAGTGAAGCTCCTAAGTTCCTAAGAGTGGCCAAGGCAGTTGCCAGGCAAGGAGGCTCCCTGACATCTCTCGTTCAGTCCTGGGTTTGATTGTGGAGGGGGTTCCTTCCAGAACCTGTGCCAGGTTCTTGAGTTCTTGGCACTGGCTGACTTCAACGAGGATGGCCCAAGAGAAGGCTACACTTCCCACTGGGCAGCACTGGGTTAAAGTTAGAATTCGTCAGCCAGGTCAGCTCAGCTCAGGGCGCAACAGTGACCCCTGTGACTTGGTATGTGTCTGCTAGTTTGCAGTGACATTGCTAGGAGTTGCACTGCTCTTCCAATTGGTTTTAACCCTCCTGTCAGGCACTGTGGAGCTTACACTGTGTCGGATAATGAAGGGCTCCACAGGTGGACATGTTGGAGGAGCCCATTCGAGCTGGAGCAGGTCAAGACTGAACTGGTACATGTCAAGGCAGGTCAACGACCCTTCCAGTCATCACCAAACAGTCGGCAGTTCCAAATTAATTCAGTGTATAATAAAAATGTATATTCTAAATTCTGAATAAAAGGGGGACGTGTATTAGTGGTTCAGGAGGCTGTACTGATGCAGCTGTTCAGGCACACTGAAAGATTGTATAATAAATTAGTCTGTCCCCTCATTACTTCTTGCTTTGTCTGCATTCAATACATAATTACAATTTAAAATTTGGACATCAATGTCAGTTAAGTTCCAGATAAATATCATTAATATCCTGCAGTCTGCAAATGCTGCAGTGGTTTGCTTTCTATGCTTCAAGCATTAGGTTTGCAGTACATCTCTTGTAAATCATAGATGAAAGGCCGATTTAAATGACGCCATTGTCAAACAAATCAGTGGATTGTCAAAATTACAATTATCTTTGAATAGCCAGGGTTTTACGATGAATGAACTGAAGTGTAATTATACTTTGGATTTCAAAGTGTTTCCAAGCATTAAACTATAAAAAGGGGGTAATTATTTCTCGTATTCAAAAAACACGTCACAAAGAGTTTTAAAGTGCCGTAGCTATTGTTGCATTTTTTTCTAATGGTTCTCAGACTGTCAGAAGAGGCTTTTTGAAACATTTTTAATGTATTAATTCCTGGTTTTTGTGTACTCTTGTATGTTGCCTTGAGTATTTACAGCAGCTGGAGGGTTTGTGTGTAAAGGTTATGTAGCAAGCTGGGAATCCAGATGTGCCGTCAAGACCAAGGGCCTGTCTTTCTGTGATTGAGTGTCTTTTAATTAAAAGGCAACATGTGCAGTTAAACACAACTAGTAATAGAGGCAAAAGGGGAGAGTGGAATGGCTGGCTTCTGGATTGGATGAATTCCAGAAGCCTGGAGATAAAATAACAACAGAACAAGCAGAAATGATGGAGCCCCCACTGAGAGAGTCCAGGCGACTCTTCCCCTGACTATCCGTCTTCCCTCGCAGGACTCCCTCTCTGGTTTGATTTTAAACAGAAATTGCATAACATGAGTTGTGCTTTCGGTGCTACAGATTATACCCAGAGCCGTGACGGGTTAATGAAAGACTTGTGAGTTTATGTTGAGAGACCCTAAGGAAGATGAAATCATTTCATTTTTAAATGGGTAAATCGAAGGAAGCCCTTGTAATTATCGCCCCCTAGAAAGAATCAAGCATTTTTTTCAGAATGTCAAAATTGTTAAGAATACCAAGTTATTTAGATGGTAAGATTTATCTCAACAAATCTAGCTCCCAACGTTTTTTAAATTTCTTTTCTCTCCGCTTTCTAATTTCCCTTATGTTCAGCCTTTATTTACTTTACATGAGACAGGAAGAGTAGGCATGAAGTGTGTTTGGGTAAATGAGCTTTGATTGTGTCAGAACATTTTCTTGCCCTCCCTTTGATTTAAATTTTTTTCATCTACCTTAATAACACGTTAGTTCAGATTTTGACAAACTAATGAAAATCTTTTGGAGCCTAAACGTGTCCAGTAATCCCGAAACACATTTGAACTTTACACAGGAAACCAAAAAGCAAAAATGTACTGGGCAAAGTAAAATATTGCTTTTTATGTTCTGTTATATAAATATTTAATAAACAAATAACATTTCTTTATTATATCGCTATAAATGCAACAACAGCAACAACTATTATTATTATTATTATTATTATTATTTTGATTATTGAGTCAGAGTTACTTATTATTCGAAGACTGAACTTTGTGGAATGATGACAAACATCACAGCTTACAATAAAAGTGCTAAGGCAGGTGAAGATTTCAGAAGAGCTAAAAATCTCTTTTTCTTCTGAAATCTGTTCTCAGTCACAGAAGTACAAAGCCGGTGAAGGGAACAGCCAGAAGGCCCAGCCCTGTGATGTGTTGCAGGGGGCAGGGAGTCCATGGTCCAGCCTGCAGGGACTCCAGCCTGGCGTCTTCCTCCCTCCTCTCCTCCTGTCAGTCTCCACAGCGATCGGCCAGCAATCTGTACCCCTCTCACCACCTGCTCACTGCCTCTTCATGAGGGCTGTCCGGGGGCTGCTGCCAGCGCTGCTCTTTCTCCAGGCTGCTCTCACGGACGGTAAGGGGTCCTCCCGTCGATGCCTGATGCCTGAGGGGGGGGGCTGCGAAAATGTTTTTTTTTAAAGAATTTAAGGCAGGGTGCAGAGAGGGTGGCTTTTCAGTTTGCAGTGCAATTTCAGTCAAAAAAGTGATTAACAAATTCCTATTTACCTTTGTAGTGAACCATATTTTGCTTAAAGGAAGGATTTTTAATGACTTCAATCCCTAATTCCTAGTGTTTTAGGAATAATGGGTTGGTACTGACTAAAAATGCATTATAATGTGAGAGCTCTCGTTTTAATAGCAAAATGAGGATACCCTTTGCAGTTAAATGTTGTAAATGAATATGTTGGGTGCAGAAACCCTGGGAATGAAGGAGATCCTTTTTTGTCATGGAACTGGGTCGACATTTATGGCTTTACAATATGTCACAGTTTGCTCATAATTCAGATAAGAAAAAGTCAGAAAAATAAATATCTTTAAAATCTGCAAAGAAAAAAAATATTAAGGAATAAGGCCCGTCCCTGTGATGTGGACACAGGGTATTTATCCAGTCTAATATATTAAAATGGAAAATGGAAGAATATGTATTTTTGAATTTAGGATTTTACAGGTAAGGTAAATGTTTTATTGATTCCATTCACAACTGGATTTCTGAGTAAAGGAGAAGTGTTTTCTGCCATTTAAAGCAATAATACAAACTTTCAAAGGAAACAGTTTGCCACTTGCGGTTATGAACTTTTTAAAAAAAATGTTCAGGATTAAGAAAATATTGAGTTTCCATACTAATAAAGGTACCATAAAAATGTTCTTTTGTTAGTTTCCCACAAAATATTTTTACACTTTCTTCCAAAGGCATTAAAACCCCCTTATTTTTCCCCCTTTGTGACAGAGATCTGGATCTGTAGCTCATTAGCCCTAAGGAACAGACATGCCTGTAGGATTTCTGATGGTTGAATGTTCTTATCAGTATCAAAACCAGATTTTCTGCCACTGTGATGAAAAGCTATTGGATCTTAATTACGAATAATTCAAAGCACTCTGAAGGGAAATCACTTTGAAATGTAAAAAAAAAATCAGTACTCTTAAAATTACATTACAAAATAATATTCAGGCTTTTAGCACATACAGTACAGTAAGCATTCCAACAGTTTCCAAGACCCTCTATATATTAAGTGAACATACTGTTCCATACTGTAAAGTCTGCTCTAATGCCGTGATATTGTGGCAAAGTGACAATCACATTTACAAAAAAAGCCCATATTAAATAATCAATTACTAACAACATGGAACATAATTTAAGTTTCTCATAACTTAAATATGTTAAGTAAGATACATGGTTCAGTTATCTATTAGGAATGGCCAGGTACTATAATTGACAGCTGTGTTGGTGTTTTCGTTGATCTCTCAACTAACTAACTGAACAACTCGGCCTCCTCAGTGCTCAAGGCAAGTTGTTGTGAGGGTTTAGAAACTGACCATTTAAAGGTGGCTCGTGAAACCTGTTGGACTGTTGCTTTCCAGGAGGAAGGCTGGCCACCCCTGATATACAACTAGAACTCTGTTTTGTTAGGCTGTCCTGTTTATGCTAAGCAAGCAAACTGTGCACATATACAGTACAGTACAACTTGAGTATAATGTAGAAATTTAAGACTTCACTCTTAAGAATGAATCACTCCTATATTTCATGCATTTGGTAAATGATATCACTACACACTGTGGGACCTGTGGTCAAGGTGCCCGTTTTTCAACAATTCTTTCCTGATTGTTTTTACAAAGTCTTCATAAAAACTTTGTAAAAAACTTCATTAAAAAACCTCCATATTTTATACAAGAAAACGTAAGTCATTTTCTTACTGAATTCGCTGAAATGGCATGATACAAACAAAATGATAGAAAATGGATGAACATGACCATTTTCTTATTTCACATCAATTGATTTTTAGCTGATGTTATTCATAAAGACATTAATTATCTATCTCTTTGTGTTGATTTTATTTATATATTGGATGGATATCTTTTTATAGGTTAAAAGTCACATTTTCCTGATGCTGCGCAGTTTTTGTCAAGTAAAGCAGATTAAATAATATTTTTTTTGCCCTTTTCTTGAGTGCAATACCCCTGTAGTTTCAGACACCATCGCCAGCAAATATACAGTACAGTATAATGAACTATGGCACTTGTAGGAGTCCACTTGGTCCATTAAACATAGTGGACGTATTGTGAGCTGATCAGAAGGGTTTGGTGGAAAATCCAATGTATATTAATTCAAGTGTAGTTTTAAATACTGCTGGTTTCTGTGATGTTCTTTATTTATTAAGTTATTACGTTGGCTATTAATTTTCTTGGTTTTGCAGACTCTAGAGGAGAAAGGTGCCATGGGTTAAGACACCTGGAGAACGGGCGCACGTTCTTCCGCTACGGGGGGCTATACGTGACCTTCACCTGCAATCCAGGGTTCAGAGTTCACGGCTTCCGCACCAGCAGCTGCATCTCTGGCCGCTGGACCAGAGCTCCGCCTGCATGTGTGGGTGAGTGGCAATATACTGCGTCAAGATCCCTTCAAACAGCAGAATGGGATCATTTAGCTATTTCTTTCCATTTAGCCATGTCACCCTCCAGCTCACAGCTGGCAGCCCACTGAAGCTCAGCAGCTGTGAGCCTGGTCAGTACCTGGATGGGAGACCAACTGGGAAAAACTAAGGTTGCTGCTGGAAGAGGTGTTAGTGGGGCCAGAAGGCGGCGCTCACCCTGCAGTCCATGCGGGTCCTAATGCCCCAGTAGAGCGACAGGGACACTATACTGTAAAAAGGTGCCGTCCTTCGGATGAGAAGTAAAACCTAGGACCTGACTCTCTGTGGTCATTAAAAATCCCAGGGTGTTTCTCGAAAACAGTAGGTGTGTTACCCGGGTGTCCTGGCCAAATTACCCATTGGTCCCTACCAATCATGGCCTCCTAGTAATCCCCCTCTATTAATTGGCTACATTACTCTGCTCTCCTCCCCACTGATAGCTGATGTGTGGTGAGCGTTCTGGCGCACTATGGCTGCCGTCGCATCATCCAGGTGGATGCTGCACATTGGTGGTGGTGGAGGGGAGTCCCCATTACCTGTAAAGCGCTTTAAGTGGAGTGTCCAGAAAAGCGCTATATAAGTGTAAGAATTATTATTATTATTTCTCTGTACTGTAGATGTTTCTTGTTCACTGCATGCAAATACTAAGCAAAAGAGATGTTCACCAATCCAGTCTATTGTTAGTGGAAGGAGTGAGACATCCTTTCTCGGGTCTTGGGTAACAGCAGGGGGACCCAGGTGAAAAAAAACCCTTGCCCTCCAGTCACTGCGCTCCTCACACACCCCCTCTCCTCAGCCTCAGGATGTCCGAACCCGGGGGGGATACTCCATGGCAGCAGCATGATGACCCCCGACAGATCCTTTGTCTTCTTCATGTGTGACAAGGGCTACAGGCTCTTTGGGTGTCCTCTGCTGTACTGCAGGGGAAGAACATGGAACAGCACTAAGCCAGTATGCAAAGGTGAGCAATTCAGGAAGCACAGTGCAGACCTTTCCAGTACACCACAGAGCAAGTCTCCATTACAGTCAAGACTTCAGTTACATAATTGAATTGACTATTAGTTTAAAATGTATCTAATTAGTTGTATAACTGAATGTGCCAATATCATGTGCCAGCACAGATCCAGCAGTTGGTAATCCTGATTGTTATAACTGGAATAGTGCAAGCCTCCTGCAAGCTGAGGCCGGGATTGGGATATTTAACATTGTTATCCTGCCCACTACTGCAAAACTGTGACATCACTTGCTGGATTACAGGATTACTGAAAGGATGAGTTATAATTAAGGAAATAGTTGTATTGGAGAGCTCCAGTGTAAAATACTTTCTCTTGAAGGCTGAAATGTTTGTGGTGTTTTAGAAATTCATACCGGTATGCTTTTACTTTGCCATTATTCCAAACAGTTTTTAAAATGGTTAACCATAACTTTGCCATGATTTCTCTGTATTTACAAACATCTGCTGCTTACTCTACATTTGTCACGATGTCTCAAAGTCCAGATTTGTACTGTGGCTAGAAGGACTGTATGGACATGAACTACAGTACCTGGGCTGTTTTCTAACCAACAGGATGCATTATTGTATTTCAGATTGTATTTCACATTTATATTTAATGACTGACTGCCTCAGTATTGTTTCTTTTTTAATCTTGCATCTGTGCAGTGCATGATATTCACCCTGCTTCTTGTTGCAGAGTCTGATGTGATGAGCTCAGACAAACAGAAGCTCCTTGCTCTGCTGAGGTCCAGTCTGGCTCAGAATCTGAATGCACCATCGGCCTTGAAGAATCTTTTCCAGTTGCAGTATGATAGCAGTTTGAGTGCCGCTTCCAAGGACATATTCCTTGATCCTGGGCTACTGGCAGAGGAGCCAAGGGCCTCAAATCCCAAACAACTATACTCAGCGGGGGCACTAAGACAGCTGACTGTGAGCAACAGAGTACCAGAGCCCAAAGAAAAGGAGGTGTTTATTGAAAAACAGTACCAGTCTGGTAGAGCAACTACAGGAGGAGGGGAAGAGTCAGAAGAAGTATACAGTAAACCAAGCAACTATGAAAGACCTCTCTACAAGCCTCTGTCTTCACTGACATCACCAGCCTCTTCCCTGTCAATTGCCAAACTCTCAATGGCACCATCACCACCTGCTCCAGACGAGGAGAGCTCACCTTCTTACTCACAGGACAAAATGCTGCTAATGTCACCGACCTCTATGCCGGCAGAGCATGATGAGAAAACATATGACCAGACAACCTCACATCTAGTGTTCTTCACTGAACCATTCACTATCGCTTCACAGACTGTAGAAGAGCAGCAAGCACAGCACTCCATTTATTCCAAGACACATGAAGCAACTGTCACCTCTGAGTCCGTGACTAATTCTTTATCTTCAGCCTCGACAAGGAGGCCACAGCTCCCTGCTTCTCCAAAAGCACGCATTATAGACTCAACTGCTTCTCAGGAACTAAATCGACCTTCTTTTGAACTATCATCAACAACCTCAGATCAAATTCCTTTACTGGATAGCTCTGTATCAGCCACTCTGTACCATGTTACCAACACACCAGATACTTCAGAAGACTCCTTACGCACCCCTTCATTTCCACAGGCACAATCATCAGTACTAGACAGCTTTAATACATCTTTAGTATTCAAAGGCAATATTGCCAAATCTGGGTCTATAAATAAAGACCATGCAAAGTTTTCTGAGTCTTTAGCAAGTCCACAGAATTCCACAGCTTCTACTTTCCTGGTAGGGGAATCATACTCAAGATATTCAGGAAGTGCACCTCACCAAATTAGGTCAGAGATGAGTCCTGATGCATCTTTCAGTGATATGAATCAGAAAACACCTCTTAAACATCCTGAAAAAAATAATCAAGGCCATTTAGAAAGGACAATTATATTTTCATCTGATGAAATTAAGACTAACGTCACCTTTCAAGACAACACTGAGCATAGTACTAGAGCTGGAAAAAAGAACAACAAACCTACTACTGCCTCCTCTGCGACAGGTGTGCTTCAAAATGTCTCCTTAATCTCAACAGATAATCTGAAGCCTGTGATAAACAGTCTGGGACAGTCTGCAGCCTCTTCTGTTGGTAAATCTCAGGAAAAACATGCTCACCAATGGAACATCTCAACAACAGAAGAACAAAGGAATTTACAACCATTGAAAGACAGGCTGGCTAAAACAGCCTTCGTTGATTTGGCAACCACACAACCCAAAGCAGGCATGTGGGTAACGGAACATGCAGATATGGACACAGGACATCACAATCAACAGCCTCCTGCAACCCAGGGCACCACAGCAACAGCAGGCACAGCTGCTGTGAGCACAGAACAGACTGCAGTAAATGATTCTGCTGAACAGGCTACTACAACACAACAGGCAGTTGGCCTCAACCGGAGTGACTCAGAATCCCTGATGTCATCACCTGGAACCATGAGAATCCAGACACAGGAACGTCTGGATCAGACTGGAGATGCCACAGTCCACAGGATCAATGCACTGCCTGCTGCTGGCTTGCCAGACCCCACACCTAGTGGTTCCCATCACAACTTTGTGGAAATCACAGCTGATGAGCTGCCACTGCTGGGGTCACTGAAGCGGAGGCCTGTGTGTCCTTACCCACCACTTCCTCCCCATGGAACCTTCTATTTCCGTACAGCTGTCAACCCCTCCCCATGGCAGTACAGACACTATGTGCAGTACTCTTGTTACCCTGGATACACACTCGCCAACGGCGATGTCTACAGCTACTGTCTACACAATGGCAGATGGAGTGGGGTCACGCCTGCTTGCTTAGGTTTGTCACTGCTCTATATTATTTTTAGGTAAGAAAGGATACAACACAGGGAGTTTTTAACAAGGTCTTGTCAATATATTGACTGGAAAAGTTTCTTTGTTGACCAGAGGCGAGTTTTGCTTATCTAGTCACAGTGATTAAACGTACAACTGTAGCACATCATATATAATCGAACACATGGAAAGAAAACGAAGATATCAAATAAATATTTGATATCCTGAAGTGAAATCTAGCCAAAACAACGAGTCCCTTAATAAAAAATAATATTTGTCAAACACATTACTTGCATAGAATGTACTAGCTTTTATCCACAAATAGTTCATACATAATCACAGTAAGATTTTTCATGTGTTACTGCTATGGCTTAAATGTGTTTCTAACCTAACCAAAACTACAATTCACAAAGACGCTGATTCCTTCCTTCGCTTCAGTTTCCCAGTCGCAGCCTCTGTCCCTTGGCTGACCTCTCCCAGGAATTCAATCAGACTGTCATATCACATCCAAGGATGTGGATGGCAAAAAATCTCTTAAATCACCATACGCTGAAACGATAGGGTCTAACTTCCAACTGGAGCAATTTTCTTGGAACTCCAAGATAACTGAAGAGGTTTGAGGCCCTACTCCATAACTGACGTGGCATTGCTAGAGACTTCTTTTTCACTTACCTTTGAGCCTCTATGAAAATGGCTTGCATATATTCCCTTACTCCTCAAAAGAAATTAATTGCCGTCCATATCGTTTTGCACCATTTATGTAACAGCCCCAGTCTGACTGTTGTCTTTGACTGTCCAGCAAAGGGTTGGCTCAGTGTGTCACTCAGTTGTTTAATCTGCTTTGGCTGACTCATGGCTCTGATGTAACCATGTGGGTTATGAACAGTGTTCCCATTAGAGCTAACACCTAATCTAAAATAAAGACTTCAGAAGTGATAATCCTTGCTTACTGTAATTGTGTAGTAAATGAGTAATTCATCTATTGAGAGACATAACAAAAGAAGAGGGAGCAAGCAACCGGCCATAGTTAGATATTTAAAACTTTACACTGACAGAAACCATAAAATCCCTGATGTAACATTTATATGTTGGGAGCATAAATTCTAAAAGGATCATTTCCATCATCTGTTATGATGTTATTACTTTTTTCCTGGTGAGAATTCGGCTCTCTCTAATCGAAGCAGGCAACCGTTGCTTTGATATGTGGTTGTTAAGCCAATTGAGAGGCCAAACCACTGGAGTATTGGTGTTTATTTTGTAAATTGTAAAATTTATTACTGTAGTGGCGACTGGCACTCTGTTAAACACATCAGCCCTCATAGTCTGAGGGGAGCTCCCTTGATGTCTGTATAAAATGGACTTCTGGACTGGAGATGGATGTTTTGAAGACATGCGAAATAATAAACTGCTCTCAGCCAATTGCAGTTCCCTCTGCTCGGGGGGGATAATTATGGTTTTCAGTCTCGTCAGGAAGGAACACCACAGGTTTCTGCAGAGCGGTCCTCGGAGCATTTACCTCAAACCAGACCTGTGTGCTTTGAATTACAGGACTGAACTTGGGCATTTTCCCAATCAGTTTGCATTACTGCCCTTACCTTGCCATTATGTGTACAATAAAGCACTACACAGTCTTCCGACATCTTCTGCTTTCCAGTTGCTTATTGCAGAAGAGGCCTATAACTGGCTAGGCAGAAACAGTATTACAAAGATGAAGTTTAAAGTATATTACTGAGACTACTAAAATATAACTGAAATATTTGCAACTTCAACTGTATTGAGAAATGGAAACTCTAAGGCATGAAGATAAAAAAAGCACATTTTTGTGCATTACTTCATAAGGCCTGCTTATAAATGGAGTAGAGTGTTGGGGCTGTTACTGTCTCTTCAAATTAATAAGGTTTCATTCTTTTATGAGTATGGATTCGCTTTATTAGTCTTTGTTAATGTCCTTACTATGATAACATGAGACCTGAGGCTGTTCTGATATCTCCAGATCAGAAGGTCACTTGACAGGAGGTACCACATGAAACCTGTCATCTTGCTCCCAGGAGTTCATGTTCTATTTCCCTGTATGCTTCCTAAGAGCAGACCTACAGCCCTACAGCCTTTACTATAATAATGAAGAAATAGTGAAGACTGCGCAGTTATCAAGTTCCACACACTTATCTAACCTAGCAATCTTGTCACAGCATGTTCACACACTTATTGCAAAGAGACCTAAAGACAAATCTTATCAGGCATGAAATGAATGTCACGTATAAAATACAGAACAGCACCAAAGCAATTGTTGAAAACCGCACTTCACTCTTGATTGCTATTGTCTTTTATTCCCTGTCCCCTGCTCCAGAGGTCACCCCTTGCTCTGTGAACAATGGAGGCTGCTCTCAGCTCTGCGAGGTGACACCTGAGGGCCGAGCGCAGTGCAACTGCAGAGATGGCTTTGAGCTGCTGCAGGACAACAGAACATGCAGAGGTAATCGCGAGGGTTGGGGTTCAAGAGGGGGTGGCAGTAATGAGGCCAGCAATGAAGAGGAGCTCACCGGTTGGCATAGAAATCTCGGGTTTCCCTTTTTTGTGGGGGTTGTTTCAACTATGGATCAAACTTTGTTCTCCAAAGAATATGTAGTCCTGCAAAAGTGACCCTCAGCTGGGGTCACAAGCCCACAGGAAACTCAGGTACTGCAGTAATGTACAAAAAAAACACTGATTCATTCCTTCCACTGAGTTCTTCTCTCTTTGAAGAAAAAAAAACATCTATCCATTTTCTAACTGTGCAATCCAGGTTATGGCCACAGGGGAGCCCATCCCCGCAAGCAACAGGTGCAAAGCAAGGTACATCCCAGACAGGACGCCAGTCCATCGCAGGGCAGAGACAGACACATGTACGCACACACTCACACTGGGGCCAGTTTTCCCAGAAGCCAGTTAGCCTACCAGCACGTTTTTGGACTGCGGGAAGAAACTGGAGTACACGAAGGAAACCCACGTGAATATGGGAGGAGAGCATACTGAGTCCACACAGATAACATAATTGTAACCAGGGACCCAGTGCTGTGAGGCAGCAATGCTAACCCCAGTGCCACTGTGCCACACTCATAGAAACACCCTTTTTCATCTACTGTGTATGAACATATTGTGCCGACAAAGAAAAGTGTTTGCCATGATCAAATAAGTCTGATTCAATGTAAAAGGTTAAATAAAGATATTAACTGTAAGACAAAAACATATTGCATAATTAATTTTTCAGTGGACTACCTGAAATTATCTTCCGAACTTAGACATTTAGCATCTGCAGGTGACGCCCGATTTGTTGATGTGATTTAGATCATTGTTCTTTTGCTTCTATTTATTTGTTCCTGCAGTGGCTTTGTTTCTCACATCATGGTTACTTCAATACTGTGGGTTTAGGGATTCTACATGTCAGTTCTAATTATAGACTTTAGCGATATACCATTCATACTCTGGCACTGAAATGTTATTCCATTTAGTTAAATACTTCTGCAGCCTCGTCTCAGTATAGCAACAGGCCTACAAACAACAGTAAATGAAGGACTGGGTTCCCCTCTTGCTCCTTCCTGAAATCTTTACAAATACAACCCTGAGCTCAGACATCTGCTGTTATGCTTAACTGGCTGATACTGATGTTCCTCTTCCACCTTTCTACCTTTTCCATATGCAATAAAAAAGTCTCTGGCTAGACTCCCCAGAAGCCCATACACCATACAAAGTCCACCTTGCGATGTTGACTGCAAGGAATGACAGTAAATGTGGACATTTACTCTCATTAGCCAGTAGTCTTAGTTACATTCATTTACTTTTATCTAGTCAGATATTATTTCAAAAGCAGATATGTTCCCCTTGAAACTGTATGGGTTTACTGTAAGAGAATATGTACAGGTCAGGTTGGCTCCATAGCTAACAATGCAGACAGATGTGGAGACACAAAAAACATAAGAAACTACAGTATGAACTATGGTAACCAAATTAAACTATCATAAATAATAACAGTTGACAAGCAGCTTGTGAAAGATTATCTCATCACCTTCTTCTCCCACACAAAATACCTTTTTTGCAGCTCTTCTGGTTGATCTACAACACAATAGTAGTAGGGTTTCTATCAAAGAAGCATTTTACTGCGGGGCACAGAAAAACACATCTTAATACAAGTACTTAGCTGAGACGCTCTCATCACCTTCCTACCCCTGAGGATCAGAGTACCATCAGAGTGTTTCAGCTGCACACTCATAAGGTGGGATGTTAGGGAATTGTCTGTGTGACGTTTGCTTAACAGGGTGTTGTGGGTTATTCTGATGTTCTGTAGATGTGAATGAATGTGCAGAGGAGCTCCACTACTGCCAGCAGGACTGTATCAACACCTTTGGCTTTTACAAGTGCAGCTGTTGGCCTGGATACCTGCTGTCAGAAGATGAGCGGTCCTGCTCTGGTGAGTGCTTCTACTCAGGGCCTGTAGAGTCTGCCATAGATGTTGCCCCAGGCTGGCATGCTCTTAAAGGGGAACTGCAGTTTGCCAGATGAAGAGCAATTTCTCAGACTGGTCATTAAATCTTGGTTACAAAATAAATTCATTGACGACATAGAAAAATTTAGCAAACTGTGAATTTTGTGGATGTACTGTATGGTTGCAATGTTGTCGCAAACCCCACAGGCGAGAGGAAGAGTTGACTATTCTGTGTAGTCTAAAATCACCTTTTATGATTAACCATTCATCTGATAGCTCAGGAGGACCTTCAGAAAAACCGTATAATACAACTGAATTTGTATAAAATGATTCGAGAGCCCTATGTACTTGTCTCTGATTATGCATATTTTTAATGATGCATTCATATCTCTTCAGAACAAGCATCAGATTACATACCTGAAAATTATTGTGGCATCAGCAACATTAATGTAAATAAAAGCAGCAGACAAAATAGCAGTACTAACCGAGACACTTTACTCTTAATTCACATATATTGTAACAAAAGACAATATTAGAGATACAGTTCAGGCTTCAAAGGTAAAGGAATGGAGCTGAAGAAATGTCCTGTCCTGTCCACAGATGTAGATGAGTGCCAGCTGCCCATTGGCTTTGCCAGCTGTCTGTTTGGCTGTATCAACACTCCAGGGAGCTTCAGATGTCACTGTCCAGAGGGGTACAGGATGGCAGCAGTTGAAGGTCACTGCATAGGTGAGAAAATGTCAAGGCTTTTCCTAGGTGTGTTTTTTAGATATTTTAAAGATTCCTAAGCTTCTTTTTGATCTGTCTTCCAAAGGTTCACCCATCTAAATATTAACACACATACCAGGGCCAATTTTCCCAAAAGCCAGTTAACCCAGCGGTCTATCTTTGGACTGTGGGAGGAAACCAGAGCACCAGGTGAAAACCCATGTGAACACAGGGAGAACATGCAGATAGCACCCCAGGAACTGGGCCCAGGGCCAATCTCTGTCCGCTGACCCACTTTTCCACCCTATTTTGCCTTCAGTATTCTTCATTTTATTAATAATACTATACACCTAATAACAAATGACAGTAGTTGGTTCTTCAGTAAAAAAACTTTTTATGAAAGACTGGCTTTGGGATTAAAATGTTAAATACAAAATGCGCCTATAGAAGCTTCTGCTGCTGTTTTCAGTTCAGTCATTTAGCCAAGAGGCACAGTAATTCAACAAGAGTTACTCAGACAAACTTCTCCTGTGTGTTACCTGGGGGATGACCGCCACTCAGGCCTCGTCTGATAGGCCCTCCTCTTCTCGGGCAGATGTTGACGAATGTCTGGAGAACGACGGGCGGGGCCCCTGTGCCATGGAGTGCCAGAACGCCGCCGGGTCGTTTCACTGCTCCTGTTCCTATGGATACAAGCTGGCAGGAGACGGCCGTTCCTGTGTAGCCGAGTGCCCCTCGGGATATCGCAAGCACAGCAACCCTACAGAGAGCAGCGGCCTGCAAAGAGAGCACTGCACCGGTACAGACAGTGACACCCGGCTTACAGCGGCCTCGGGCACCTGGGGTTTAGTGGAAGTGTTGTGCGAGGCCTGCTGTTGATGTGTTTCTTCTTGTAGAGGGGTTTAAAACCTCAACATTGTAATTGTAACTCTGGACATGAGTCTGCCTTGCCAAGAGTTAGCATTACATGTAACTCACACTTTTCTGTCGAAGCCCGGGAGGAAGTGAGACTAGATCATGTGCTGGCGAGAGCATTTCTCCATTCAGTAAATATAACTTGGCTTCCCATGAGCTTCACTCTCAACAAACAACGGGATTAGAAATTGAACCTATTAGAATTTAATTTTCTTGAAGCATGGTTGGCCTCCTGAATCAAACTGTTAATCTCTGACTTCATCAGCTGTGACCTTCCTTCAGATATCGACGAGTGTCAGGAGCCAGGACCCCGTCAGCGCAGGTGTGAGTGGAGGTGTGTCAATTTGCCAGGCTCACACCGCTGCATGTGTCCCAGGGGCTACAGACTGGACCCTGATGCCTACCACTGCCAGGGTAAGCTACACTGAGCCAGTTAATGTGACGTCTGGACAGAAACTCAACTGACCACTAGTGGAGTGAAGCCCATCATGCAAGGGAATTTGATTAATAATACGGCCTTGCATTTGTTTAGTGCTATTCATCCCAAAGTGCTTTACATTCAGGAGGGGACACGCACTTTACCACTGAAGTGCAGCACCCAACGGGGTGAGACACAGCAGCCGTATTGCACTGCCATCCCACCTACACAGCAGATCAGGTGAAGTGAGAAATTTCTTCACTAATTGCATTATTAGAGAACTGTAGGTAGGACACAATGAGGAAACCTAAAGTGGAACTTAGCCAGGACACCAGGGTGAGCATCCCTGCTCTTATGAACAGTGCAATGGGACCATTAATGACGAAATAGTCGAGTTTAATATTTCATCTGAAGGGCAACAGTCTGTATCACAGTATCTCAAATAACTGTACTGGAGCATTGGTATTGATATTCTGGGGTAGAAGGAATAACGACACTAACAACACTTACAGCAGCAACCTGGTTTTCCCTGGAGGTGTCCACCCCACTCTTTAGGAGCACTTCTGAGATCTGACAAGATCAGGCTTCAAGACGTAATGATTCTGCTGCTTGGTCTGGACTAAGGACTAGTAGCAGACTGGGACTTACAAAATGAACCCATTTGCTGGGCTTGAGGCAGATGAGACCCAGGGGAACTGGGGACAGCACACTGACACTGGCCGCAGTGCAGTGCTGTGTGCAGCAGGGATGCAGAACCACAGGAGGAATGGTGGTGTAACAGGCAGGGGTTCAAAGCAGAAATCGCAGGCTGGCAGAAATGCAGTTGCTCAGCCAGAAAGCCTTGCAGAGTTGCATGCATGCAGCTGTGTTTAGAGACAAGTGAAAGCAATGCAGAAATCCCAAACAGGCAAGAGGTAGTAGTGTTGGAGAAGATTAGGCCAGGTTGGGCAATCTGGGTTGGATGTGGGAAATGTCAACAAAGCAATGAGGAGATCCAGGAGTCAAGCCAGGAAAAATACAAAACATGGGAGTCTTTAAAGTACGAAAGGAAAAAGCTTGAGAACTCAAGTGACTCAGAGTCAAAATTTCATAACAGAACCCTGAGCAAGGTCTGTTTAGCCCTCATATATCCTGAATCACCTGAAGGGGGTGAGGGAGTAAATTGTTTCCAGGTGATCCAGGTCTGCTGTCAATTGGTGTCCATGGCTAATGGCACCAAGTGACAGTGGTAGAGCAGAGGTCAGCTGTCAGGCCAATGCTAGCCCTGTGCTTTTAAGCCTGACACTAGGTAATTAAAGCACAGGGTTGGATGTGACACACAGGACGTTCTGGGACGTTCTGGGTGAAGGTGAAACACTGAACAGATAAAGTATTAATTCAGATAAAGAACTGATTCCAAAAATGTGATATTGAAGAGGATACAAAGTATGCTGTTACTAAAAATCACTTCCTTAACTGTCATGTTTCTAAGAACTCAAAACATTTTATAAGAATACACAACACATGGATTCAATGCATCGTTTTCTCTTCTCTTAATTTTCCACTATGCAACATTGTCTTTTTCATATACCACTGAGTATAAATTGACATTTCTTTACTTCAAATTCTATTTCAGATATTAATGAATGCAACTCTAAAAATGGAGGCTGTTCTCACATCTGCATCAACTACAAAGGCGGCTTTCAGTGTGCCTGTCCAGAACACTACAGATTTGCTCCATACAGCAGGAAGAAGTGTCAGCCAGTCAAAACGTAGAGGAAGGTGTAATTGCATGGAAATCAGGACCTGTTGTTTGTGGATTCACCTTCTGGCTTGGGCTTCTGAGCAGAAAGGCAACCCCATGCATTCCTGCAAGATCCAGCAACACTTGAGGCCAGCTTCTTAGGCCCCAAATTAAAGAACAGAAGAGCCTGCTGTGACAACACAGTTATTGCAAGTGCATTAAACAGCACATGAATTGTAGGTTGTCAGCCAGAAGCAGAGGTATTTCAGAAGAATTAACCTCTAAACACCCATGGCTAAGAGATAAAATGGACCCAAAAACAATTGTAAAGATCCTAGTGTTTTATTTTCTATAATTTCATGCATTTTCAACAATTTTGTGTTTCATCTAATGATAAAGTTGGCTCTAACCAGACTCCTCAAAGCTCTCTTGATCTTTTACTGTTGGTATGTTGTTCTGGGGCCATGTGTCTTCCAACAGTGTTACTACAGCTTCCACTCACTTTCTCTGTGGGGATTTTCTTCCATTAAACTTTGGCAGTGTTGTAGGGATCACATGTCATTTCCCAATCCCGAATATCCTGCTCAGGGAGAGGCAAAACAAAAAGGACAGCACGTCACCTGTAAAAGGGAGATCACTTTTGTTGTCAAATTCCTTATAATTCCACACTCATAATTAAAAAATAAAAAATGACAAGGCTGGCAAGAGAAAGGAAAGCCTGCTGCTTCACATACAGCTTACCGAACGTAGCATAGCAAGCAGTAAAACATTGTAATGTAATTTTTTAGTTCCTTTGAAAAAAGATTGGCTGCCACCAGGTTTTGTGGAGGACATACAGTTCAAACTAAATAACAAAAATACTTCTATTTCTCTGTATATAACATATTATATTTTTGTACTTGTATATAGTGTAGCCCATTACAAACACAGATTTCTACTTGTAGCGTTGACCATTATCAAAGCATTTTTACATTGTGAAACTGTTCGGTTGCAGAATAAAAGTATTTCTGCTCTTGAAATAAAAAATGTATCAAACAAATATTTTGTATGCTTGTCTTTTAATGCAGACAATGGGATCCATTTACTAAAATCAATTCTACTTCTTGGCTCTGAATTTGTGACTTGCTGCTAAGCCTGTAGCATTATTTTCCATGACTTTCTATGTTATAGAGTCTTGTATGAATTAAACACAAACTTGTTCACCATCAAGTAAATTATAAAGCTAGTAGTTCTATACAAAAATTCTATCATCTAGGCGCCTGTTACTGACTTGCCACATTCAGTAGTGGGACTAACTCCCCATTCCAACACTGAAGTTTAATAACATTTTGTCTGGGATTTTTCTTTGCAATTCTTGCATCCATAAAAGTCATCAGTTTGAGCATTCACATTTTGATTAAAATATTCAAATGTGTGAACCACCACTTGAATATCAGAGAAAAAAATGGGTCATCATTGGGGGTTAATACTTTTGCAATCCTTTTTACTGTAACATTCCTACATGCCTTCTATTCAGTTTAATACAAATCTTCAATATTATGAAGCCCAGATCAGGAAGCAGACAAAGATTACAGCAAAATGCACTCACTTCAAAGCCATCAAGAGCCTTCTTTAGCCTTAATTCAAGCACTCTCTCTTTGCAATACAAAAATGAAGTCAGTCTACAATAAGATTAAGGTTCACCCTCTCCTACATCCTTTAATTGTTTATGTCAATTACTGCTCTCAGGGGACAGGACAAAAAAGATCAGAATTCACAACTGACTAAGCAAGTGTAACATTTACTTCGTTTTTTTACTAAAAGAAAAATTAACAAAAACTAAAAACTGAACCCGCAGTATCGAGGTACCTCTGTCCACATTGCCGCACCAGTCCTGCCTGACAGATTCACTTCAAACTGTAATGGAATCTTTTTCTTGAACCACAGGGGAAAATCTCACCAGTCACTGGACCGGTCTGCACATCTGGGTCTGAAACTAGGATCTGAACTAGGACAGACTGCAATCATATAGGATGAAATAAAAGATTTGCTGAACAAAACCTAAAGGAGATACTCTGAAATATAGTTAATTTTTACTTGTTGGTTGTAATAATAGTCTGGATTACTTTTTGAATCAGAGGGCTGTGATTTTAAAAGATGTTTCCTTTCAAAGGCTAATGAATAAGAACATTGATTGAAATGAAATAAGGCCTTCTGTCTCTGTACATTTTCTTTTTTTGCTACTGATGTTCTTCCAGTGGCAATGATTATGAAAGAAGTCAAAACTTTTTTTTTTAAATGTGAAGAATTTATTTTATTTGGAAGATAACAGAAATGAAAGGGGTCCGAAAAATTGACCATACAGATGATTTGCGACACAGGAAATGTTCAGACAGCAGCAGATGAGCCTGCAGTTACACATGACTTTGGAAGACTTTACACAGCAGCAATGGGCCCCAAGTTAAGTTCACAATGAGCATGATATCAGATGTGAGAAATGCTAACAGACACAGAAGCATATACAGTACTGGTTCTTTTAAAAGATAAAAAGATAAGATCAAATTCATACCAAAGGAAGAGTGGACATAAGGTGAGATGAGCTAACTACTACAATAAACAGGACACCGTGGGCAGATAAATGGCAAAAGATTCAAATTATAGTACATAATAAAATAAAAACCTCATGATGTGAATATCAGAAAATAATGTGACCAGTGGAAAATTTATAATGCTCTAACTTTGTAGTGATAGCAAAAACAACACAGTGAGAATAATTGTAAAGATCTTTGCAATGTGTCGAGGAGAAACAATGTCCTATATTTAAAGGTCAGGCAGGATGCTGAACACATTCTTATACAATTTAAAACTCTGAAGGGAATTTTATGTTTACAATGACTGAGGAGGAGCATGACAGTGATGAAGACTTGACCAAAGAGCATCTGTCTGTTCAAAATACATTTTAAATAGGAGTCCCTAAGACAAGTGCTTTTAGCCCTTTTAAACCAAATAAAAAACGAATGGCACTTGTTTCCTACTGAAAAAAAAGTCAGTTAATGTAACATGAGACACTAAAGAGTATGAATTCTGATACATTTATGCACATTTGAGAGGAATATTGCCAGAATTCATCTTTCTGATTTAATAATAAACTTGTCCCCGTTCAGACTTTGTTTTTGCAAACTGCCTTCAGAATAACCAAGAACATAAACTCCCCTCAAGTCCAGCAATCACTGAACCAATTAACCAGAAAAACTGTTCATAATTCACTGATAACATCAATTTGTGGTATTCAATCCCTTCCACTGTCTCGGTTTCGTTACCTTTATAGCTATCGTGAAACTGTATTACTCACATATGTGACGTGACTCACCACACACAGTAAAGAAAAACTTCAACCGGGTATTTCTCCATTAAAAAAAGAAAAATAATCAAACTTAACTCATCTGCCAATAATGTTGAACCTAGCCTACATTTTATCACACAACTGTCATTCTAACAGAACTTCCTGTTAACCAAAAATGTATTATTTAACCTATTAGACACTTAACAAAATATGTATCTATATTCAAGTCTATCACTCTAAAGACGTCCTGTATTGTTAATAAATATTTATCACAGCAAAACATTAAATTCATTACATAAAGGTACAGTACCTTCAAGTACACTGGTATCAATTATTCAAGTAGGTGTATTTAAATAATTTGTAAGGCAATCACAGATCATACCTTGATATCATAAATTAAAATATTACAAAACAATAAATAATAATGGTCTGTGTATCACCCTGATTAAAAGCTATAAAAAGAATGGTATTTTACACTATTCTAGTAAAACAGTAAAACCAATAAAAAGTATGCTTTATTTTCACTGCATGAGGCAGCTAGTACTGGGAAGAAAGTCCTGCACATAGGTAGCGACGGCTTTGGAGAGGTACGTCATGGTGCCATAGCTGCCACTAGGGGCGCTGTCATAGAAAAACGTGCAAATTCCAGTGGCCGGATCCTGCTCCAGAAAAAACTCACTGGCTCCGAGGGCTTTCTGAAACACACAGGGAAAAGACACAGGAGCTCAGAACCCCCTAAATTTCTGAAGAGAACAGCAGACGTTCTCCTGGCAAAAAATCCCTCTGAACATGAATAATGTTCATATCAGCAGCCATATCACTCTGCAACTCACAGCTGGCAGCCCACTGAAGCTCAGCAGGTGTGAGCCTGGTCGGTACCTGGATTGGAGACCTCCTGGGAAAAACTAAGGTTGCTGCTGGAAGAGGTGTTAGTGGGGCCAGCAGGGGGCGCTCACCCTGCGGTCCCTGTGGGTCCTAATGCCCCAGTATAGTGATGGGGACACTATACTGTAAACAGGTGCCGTCCTTCAGATGAGATGTAAAACCGAGGTCCTGACTCTCTGTGGTCATTAAAAATCCCAGGGCGTTTCTCGAAAAGAGTAGTGGTGTAACCCCGGCGTCCTGGCCAAATTTCCCATTGGCCCTTACCAGTCATGGCCTCCTAATAATCCCCGTCTATGAATTGGCTATATTACTCTGCTCTCCTCCCCACTGATAGCTGATGTGTGGTGAGTGTTCTGGCGCACTATGGCTGCCGTCGCATCATCCAGGTGGGGCTGCACATTGGTGGTGTTGGAGGGGAGTCCCCATTACCTGTAAAGTGCTTTGAGTGGAGTGTCCAGAAAAGCACTATATAAGTGTAAGCAATTATTATTATTATTATTATTATTATTATTAAATTAAGAACGACTACAGGTATTCTCACAAATATAAGAACAGGTCCCTTTTCACATGGTTGTTTCACATTACAGGTTGAGCTGTAATCATATTTATATAGACAATGCTGTCTTTCTTAAAATACAGCATTAAATAAAAACAACATTAACCACCAAACTGAGTGAAACTGATCTAAACAAAACAAGTTATTTGACTTACTAATAACAAAAATAAAAAGCTGAACTGTTCATTAGGTACTTCATGCAAGGTACAGTACATATATTACTCTTGGTGATTAAACTTAAGAGATTCATTCTAACTGTGTCAGTAAAGTGGCCCTTTTATAACAGAAGAATCATAATCATTATTATTGTTTTGTCCCAGATATCCAAGACGCTACCTCTAAATTGCTTGTTTCGGTTATGTGGTGATGTTTGCAGAAGTGCTCAGAAGCTTTATGTACTGTATATTATGGGGGTTCTGCATCAAGTAACAGTAGGTAGCAGTCTAGGTGAAGAGGTTGACTTTTCATTGTGGAAAATAGAGCTTAGAAATGTAAGAAATTACAAATGAGCTACCTCCTGATTTTTTCCAATAGAAAATCTGAGATTACAGGGGTCATACATCCTCAAAATACACAACACCCAAGGTACTAGCACCCAAACTGGCAACATCTCCTTTCTTCTGTTTTCTTTTTCTTGATGGTATATGCAAAAGTTTAAGCAACCCGGGCCAAACTGTATGTATCAGTGAAAAGAAGTTGACACAACCTTTGAGTGGTGCAGACTTAAAACATGACATCTGTCTGCAAAGTTTAAAGCACAATTAGCATTCAGAGTTTTGTAGATATCTGAAATAACAAAACAGTGAATATGGCACTTTTCCATACAACTGTATGTTCCAATGTATTACAGCTCACAAGCTGAGGTAAACATGATGACTGAGATCACACTCCTGACACTGTCGAGCAGAGTGGTCAAGCAGGTAGAGACCATGTGACACCGGATGCTCCATGTGCTGCTCCTGTGTGTGTGTGTGTGTGCGTGTGCGTGTGCGTGTGGGAGGGTTGGAGGGAGGGGGGTGGCAGTACCTGGTCTTGGCGGAAGAGGTCGTTGGCCATGTGGACGATGCGGTCGATATGGATGATACCTCCAACGCTCTGAACCTCCATGTCAGCTACTAGCGTGAGCACCAGGATGGCCTCTACCAGGAGCTGCCTGTACTCCGGCTGGGGGACGTGGTTCAGTACTGACTCCACATGCACCGCAAACTTGATCTCACACGCCGTCATCTGGAGGGAGAGGAATGCACCGCCACAAGGGCTGTCAGCAGCTGAGGGGGCAGCTATGCGCACGGTTTCTGCAGTGCGTTAACTCCTGTTTGTAACAGTAGAAGGGCAGGTGTGTCGGTGTGTTTTGCTTTCATGAACATGAAAGCAGCCTCCAAAAGGGACTTTTTAACCATAAACAGCCACCATGAAAGACAAAAACAACTGAAGCAGGTGTGGAGGAGTCTGTACTATGAAAACTTAAGAAAACAGGACTAAGCATCTTGTATATCCACACTTAACACTTTCAGCTCAGGAACAGTTTTCCTTCAGATGGGCAGATAAACACAGGTGTGGATTACAACAATCATAAAAAGCATCTAAAAAAACGAACTTGGGTAACTTGTTGATTCAGGAGGGTAAGGAAAGCCGAACGTACCTCTCGAGTGGTTGAAGAAGGCAGTACATAGCCATCAATGGACAAACCATGACACTGAAACGGTAACATTGCATTATTTTAAACTTTTACCATTTAAAATGATACTACCAGTGTCTTAAGGACAATGTTCTTGAACTGTGCTTTGCAGATTAAAGGGGAACTGCAGTCCCAATTTCTCAGACTGGTTATTAAATCTTGGTAACAAAATAAACTCATTGACGTTTTAGCAACATTCTACAAATTTCGAAATAAGCACAAAATCGTGAACTTGGTGAAAGTACTGTAAGTCGCCACGTTGTTGCAAAACCCCTGTGTTTGCCACCGGCGAGAGTAAAAGTTCCCATGAATTGTGAAGTGATGTGGCCCTTCCTGCTCACTAGTTACCATAATGACTAATGTATTGCGAAGTACAAGTGAATAAGTACAGGTTGAGCAGCAGACATTTCACTGCAGAAATGTTCCAATGGGACCTGCACGCAGAGTTAACAACTAAGTAGTATTTGTTGGCAAAACCATCACGAAATCAAGAGCAATATATATGAATATGGGGCGTTGCACACCAGGAAATTTTGTCTATTTTGTGATGTAAATTGGAGGTTTTTACAAGTTACTGTGCTTTTGTTTTACTTTTACTGAGGTTTGAAATGCATCAATGTTGATTCTTTCTAACCCCTAAATATAAAAACAGCTTTGCAGTTCCCCTTTAAAAAACAACTGTAACTTTTTAAACACTCATTGGCTAAAACAGTCCTACTAAAATCCTCGCCATTATCTCGTAATTATGAGAAAATTATCTCATAATTCCAAGATCGTAATTTTCGCGTACTTTCATGCGATAGCACAATTGTCCTCCTGTATAATACCAATTTATCGCTACGTGCCGACTTACAGTTTTAAGCAGTGGGACTGACTGCACATATAACTGTTCATAACAGAACCATCATTGCTTTGATCTCTAAATCCCACAAAAGTGTTCCTCATGCTTATAATGATTCTTTTCACATTTGCTCAAAAAATTGCAAGATTTCATTATGACTAAACCCCAGTCGAAAGTAAATCCATACGAATTCTGCAGTGCGACACAACCATTAAACCGAAAGTGCCAGTCAAGTTCACAGTAGCTTCAAGATGCATTCAGAATCATTGCCATCTCGTAATTACGAGATAAGGGGGATTTTTCCCCCCCTTGGTGGCAGCAATGTGCTTCCGTACTCCACTGTATGTAACACACAATTTGAAAATTTAAGGATGGCGGAAGCAGAAAGGATGCAGAATGCCTGTGAGGGAGAAGTCCGTCTCCACGCCGCTACGCACCTTCTGCAGGATCTTCCACACCTTCTGGTAGAAGCCCATGGGCACTCGGTTAATGGCCCCGTCCAGACGCCTCCTGCGCAGCCACTGCCCCTGTCGCTCCTCCCAGTGCAGGTGTGGGGCTCCGGCGCCCGTGGGAGAGAGGGTGCCGCTGGGGGAGGAAGGACTGCTGCACCTCTGAAAGACAGGGAGGTCCTCATCACCTGCAAAACCGATCTGATGGCTTTGTTTATTGCAACCTCATAAGTATCTCCAAATGCTACAAAGGAAATGGACACTGTTGTCGTTCTTCCCCTTTGATCTCCTCAGTGCAATGCGACTGAGACATGGAAAATAAGATGCGCCGGAGAAAAGACATTCTAATGCTAAGCCGAGCTGCAATAAAACTGGTTAGTGAACGCTGGTATAATCAATTCAGTTAATGAAGCATGGGTTAGATTTCGGATTGCACAGGTACACTGTGAAATAGCTGTTAAGGTCATTTGCTGTGCACGCAAGTTTCTCTTATATGGTAATGTTGTGAACAGGCCAAGTAACTTAGTGATTCAAGAAACAACTGTGCTTAATGACGGAGAAATACATTCTTAAGAGATGCTGCAGTGGAATAGGTACAAAAGTGTATAGGCACAAATTCAAAATAAAAATGGGTTTTCACATCTGTCAAATTTGACTCAAACTGCGTCCTCTATATTACCAGCTTCTTCGTTTTCTACTTTCACCAGGACATCTAATTGATGATAGAAATGATACTTTGCTTTTTTTGCATACTGTTGAAATGAGCTTAGTTTTTACACAATCCCTGGTTCACTGCAGGAAAGGGAAATTAAATAAAGAAGGGGACAATTCTCATCCTGGTTTTGGCGAAGTGAGGCAGCTCCATAGACATGTCACGCCTGGATAGTTTATTCTCAGAGACACAGCTCCAACAAATCACATCACTGGGCAGGCTAGCAATCACTAAGAAAGGACTCTGAATGAAAGCCAAGGAGACAGGCAATGATTCACAGCATATTGTTTCCCTCTGTAAATGTTAATGCAATGAGCAGCTCTCTGGAGCAAGCTTGCGGAGCTAAATCGATCTCCTGCGTTTGTTGTTGTGTGAGGAAAATGCTTTTTAGCCAAAAATCTGACTGGTGGACAACGGTGCCACCATAAATCAAAATTACTCCACCTGTCTAGCACCTATTTCTAAAATGAGAGATTTTCTTTGCCTTTCTGTTTTCAGAAACGTTACTTCACTACCAAAAATGGGTATCTCGCTTTTCCTTTTTAAAAAATTTGGTAATTCGATTTTATTATGGATCTATTCATTTTGAAATTACCAGGTGCTTTAAGACAAGCTAGGGTAGACAGGCTAGGGAGTTATAGCTATAACTCTGGTTTCTCATCAGAATAACAAGGAGGTGCAGACACGTACCTTCAGCATGTCCACCTGTAAGAGCCATCCATTTGGCTCTGAGCTCTGCAGTGTCCTCCCAGGACAGCTAGCTCCAGGTGGAGGAGTGGTACATTTCTTTCTCACATCACTAGAAACTTGCCAGCACCTGGCATGTGACAGGAGCTGCTGTTTCACCAAAAAGCTAAGATGAGCCAGACTTTAATAATGCTCAGCCCAGCACTGCTCTGCCCATGAGGGGCACTTGCACATGAGGAAGGCTGTATACAGTCGGCCAATGACATCACCCAGTCTTGAACAAGTGGTGTCAGAGCAACGAGAGCAGAGCTCGGTCAGCCCTCTCAACAAATGCCCTTCCTGGCTGAGCCACGCCCTGCTTATTCTGAATGAACAACTACAGACAGCTTACAGAAAGGCATGGCATAGTGAAGGAAATTGACCTCCCCCATTTTGTGTTTTCCCACCTGCTCACAGCCCCCACACTCCCTGTGTCACAGAGTTGGGCATCGTACACACTACTGACCTGATGTGCAGTAGCACCACACACACTGTTCTGCTGTGAGCCATTGCTGATCGGCAAATAGACACTGCCGTGCAATGTCTTTGACACTATCTGTAGTTACAGATAAGCCTCACCTAGTGTTTTTTGCTCTTAATAAAGCTCAGATTGGGCGAGGAGCAACATTTAGGATCTTCAATTCACATTGATCAGAATCTTTAAAAACTTAACCACAACTGAAGCTAAACTATACATGAGCAGTCTAATACGAAGTTTTGTAATAGCTAATCCTATCAACTCTTACTAACTAGGATGGGTGTCATCAACATTACTGCTCTGTAAAGCTAAAAGTCTACTTTTTGTATTGAGAGAAACAGATGTATAAATATAGCTGTTATCTGAAAATGAAATGGCTAATATTCCTTTAACGTCAAATTCTTCATTTTAAAAAAGGTAAACATATATGTTAATTAGGTCAAATCGATAAAATGTTGAATTGGAAATGTGTGCATAATGTGAGAAACTGCAGTTTAGTTTAGAACTGTATCCTGTGAGGTGATTTGGACAGCCATGCAGTCAACACATAATCACATAACCAAAACCCAAAAAAGGTGTGAGAATTATAAAAACAAATTAATCAGCACTGTCTGAAATAGGAAAAAAAAAACTAAGGAACCCACATGCAAAACAACAGTGAGTAAAGTTTGGGATGGACCTTAGAGAAGGAAACTTATCTTGTGATGTATTTATATCTTAAGGGCAGTGTTTCGTATTTTCAGTGTTTATCTTAATATAATAACATACCCTCCTTTACAATCTAATTATCTGTCATTGCTTCTTCTCTCTATATCAATTTAACAGAACATATTCACTGCCCTCTGGGTATACAAATGTTTTTAATTAGAAATATTTAAAATATGATAGTTCTGATTATTGTGCCCTACACATGAGCCACATCTTTATGCAAGTTGTTGTAGGAGGATGGAACAAGCTACCCAGCCACATTGTTAAAGTCAATACCTTTGCTTCTTTTTAATAAATAGCTGGATGAGATGCTCAGGTGGATCAGCTATTATAAAAACTTTTTAAGGTCTTACTCACACCTCTCTTCAGTTGGAAGAATATAGATGGGACATCTCATCCAACATCTTAACAAAAATAAATGTCTATCTGTATCTGGATTGAAATGCAAGTTCAAGAGCCTAGTGATTAGTGATCAGCATCAGTTGTGAACTCTGCTCAATCAGATAAGCCCAATCACTTAGCAGCTCTGGTGGGAAGCTAATAGCATCTCAGGCTTTATAATGACCAGTCTTGGTGTTTTTAACTGAGATATTAAATCATCCAACGGCATGTTTAATGGGACGTTACATGGCAAAAAATAAAGAAAACAATTTACACTACTGATGGTTTGTTCTAGACACTACTAGGTGGTGCATTTTCATGGTTTATTTCAGACCACTGCTGCCTTTAAACTTGCAATGCGCAAGGTTTAGTGTCTTATTAAGTCTCAATTACAGAAATATCAAAACAAGTTAGCAGATTTTGCAGATAGTATTCTGAGACAAGACATGGGGAGTTGTCTCCATGTTAAAATTTGTCAGAAATATAAACAATATCAAATGGGTGTATTCATTGTTATTTGTGTAAAAGGCCTGCTGTATATAGTGGAATGTAGAGGGAGCAGTTAAGTCCTCAGTACTTCCTGTACACCTCAGTGAAAGCTAAACCAAGTCAAGGCAGGCAGATCTTGTCACAAATAATAGCCAAAGAAAATGCACAACCATCATTATTCTTTTCGTGATTGTTTTTACCGTTGACCGAGGAGACGTTACACTGCTGCCAATGGAATGACCACTGAAAAAGATCTAAAAACAGAAGACAAAAAAGAGACCATAAAAATACGAGATGGACAGAGTGAAACCAGCCGAGGTGAGAAGGTTACAGGTCTGTCTGCCACCTGTCCCAGCTTGAACATGCTTGAGATCTTTTCCATTCCTACTCTGTCAGCCACCAAAGAAATTAAAACCATTTCACAATATTAGTGCAGGTTGAGGAAAATCTGTTAAACTGCTCCAATTAAACTAATAATCTGCCAAATTAGATCATTGGGAGTTGTGCTGAAATGAAAACCTGAAGGATTGCTGTAATTTTCAGAGTGTCAAAACAGACTCAAGAGGCACTACCAGACCTCAAGTTTGAATATACTTTTTCACCCAGTGAATTTTTCTGGAAAAATCTGAGAGAAAACAAAACAGCACTTCACTGATTGAGCTTCCAAGGCAATGAACATACAAGTCTGCTAAGTCGACTTAAAATACTTACACAAGCCTTAGTCAATAATCAAAATTAGAATTATAAAAATAGTTGATTTCTGCTGCTGTGTATCCATGTCACTCAGACCAGGTCTCATGTCTGCTCAGCAAATCTTTATTACTCTCTAAATGGAATCAAACCCCTTTTATTTTTCCACTCTAGTCAATGTAGCAGGGTAAATAAAGTTAAGGGAACAAATGAAAAAATGACAAAAGGCAGGAGATTAATTAAATTTAAAACCAATTTCAATGTTTGTTGTATTTATGTATTATTCTCATACTGTCATAATGATATTTTGTAAGAAAAATTTATCTTTGCTGGATATGATTTCATTTCCAATGGTTAACACTATATAAGCTTAATTAGCCTGGCAATTAATCCATGTTGCTACACTGTATTATACAATTCTTCAGGGCTTCGCCAGCATATCAGAATCTATAGGGATTTTATTTTTTGTTGATCTTGTATTTATGTAGATTTTGGTGATGTGGCTAATAGTATTAGGAGCTGCAGTTTCTTTGTGCAACGCAAATGAATAGCTAGTAGCTGTGGAGTCAAAAGGAAAAACATGCCCAAACAACACTTTAACAAACTCAACCTACACTCTGTGCCCTTGGGTCCTCCAGCTGGAATCAAAACAAAGGGACAGAAAATTAATCCAGGAAAAAAATACTGATAATCAGAAATGTTCAAAAGAACACATTTCATACACATTTTATACAGAACCTGGATGCAACAGAGCCTAACTGATGTAATTTCAGAGAAATAATACTTCCATATCTTCCGGGGGTGCTTCCTGTGAGACAACATTCGGTTACACAAAAAAATAAAAAATATTGGACCCAGGTCCAATGCAGTAACCATTAACTTAGTTGATTCAGGAGGCCACAATCACAGAGGACTTTAACTTGAAGCCTGGAAGGCTATGTTTTTGTGTGCTTATGATGCTAACAGAAATCTAGCCAGCTGACCTTGATAGATTAATATAAACAATTATTACAATATATATAAATATTGGAATTATATTTGTTTGCTATATTACTTGATAGAGTAATAAAAGAAATAACAATATTTCCAAATATCTGAACTATATTTGCTTGCTGTTTGTTATGTTCTTAGTATAGAGTTGTCCATAAATTTACTATGACAACGCTCTGTCACACAAATCAGTCTTCCACTTGGATACTTAAAGAATCCCCACAATGGTTGAGCCTCACTGACCACTCTCTGTTGCTTTGTCATCTGAAGGTGGGCTTATGGGCCTACCTGCTTCATATCACTCTTGAGTTTGCTGATCCCTGTGCGCTCCGTCTTGGTTGCTCCAGTGTGGCCCAGTTCATGGATTGATATGGCTGGGCTGGTGGCAGATGATTCGACAGGCCGCACTTTGGAAAAAGATAGAGATAGGACAAACATGACAGCATTGCCTATCTTTTTAGATCTTTATCTGCTGATCATAAGGCACACTCATTTTAAATCAATTTGGGTATATTATTTAGATACTTCAATTAACTACACTATGTTTACTGTTATCATTATAAGATTATAATGGAAATGTGTAACTCTTTAAGTATTGCAAATTTCACTTTATGAGTACATATGCTACAAACAATCAATTGTTAATAATTAAAATATGTATAAATAATTTCATTAGCACAGGTGAGTTATTCACACTGTATTAACACTATTATGGTTATTATATTAATAACTGTGTTTTTATATTACAGAGCATAAAGAACCATAAATAAAGTAACAATAAAGTGTTACTAGACCATTTTATTGTACAAATATTCTTCTTCACCAGTATTGAAAAGGTTTCTCTTTTTCAGCACTAATAATGCAAGAAAACCAGGACAACTAATAAACTCTTTAGCTTTGTTTTTCAATTTGCCATTTTCAGTCATACTCAAGATTCTATAACTAGAGGGCTTAAAATTGAGGATGGTGTTAATTAAATACAGTGTGTATAACAAACAAGGCATTCTTTTGAAATCTTAAACACAGGTGGGTGACCTCCCTCCCAAAGTGCCCTTGTGGAAAAAAAAAAATGTTAATTACTGCTTCATAGACACCATGTTTTTCATAACAAAGGCAACACTCACCACTTCTCTCCACCCCAAATTCCTTCCCACTCAGGATATGATGAAGAAGGTTTTTCATGTCAGAAGGGCTCAGATTCATTAAACTTTCAGAAGCCTCTTCACCTGGAACAAAGAGGAAAATAAATAACAAAAACAAAGCTACTGCATGTCCGCTTAGACAGAACAATGACAAACAAACAAAAAATTTAATTCCCAGTCATGAGTGGATCAACTGTACTGTGCTTTAACAAATACACAACAGCTTGCATTCTGGCTAAGTCTGTGACTAATCTATACAAGTTTTCTTCTCTCGGTGACGGGGAACGCTCACATTATGCTTCTTAAGCCTTGCTCCAACACTGAGGATTCATTCAGAAACGGAAAACAAGCTCAGACTGATCTCCACATGTACCATTTGATACGAACCAGATTTCAGATTGTTATTCTTCTCCATTTTTGAAAAAGGAACCAATACGCCCATTTATAACATGCTCTTCTACAGTTCGTAACTGCACAGCTTTTCTCTTGCTCGGCACGACATGCAGACTACAGGCTCATGGGAGCAGAGCCACGGCCGCTCGCCCCCTCTCTGTGCCCCTGAGTGTTTCTGGCCCCTCCGAGGAGGCGACGTACCCGAGCAGTGCAAACTACGGGCCAGCTCTGTGGCCATGACCTGGATGATGAGCCCGATCCTCAGCCTCAGCATGTCTCCGAACAGTGCAGGCTGAGACCTGATGTACATGGCCAGGTAAACAATGATCTCCTGAAGAGAGAGCAAAGCACACGGGAACGGCAGTCAGAGCCCCTGCCTCGCCGCCTTTCCTCCTCAGCTTCGGCTCCAGACTCACAGTCCGGCTGTCAAAGGTTTCATTTATGGTTCAGCATGTATTTCAATGAGAAAGATCTATTTATCTGTCTAAGTTTTTTTCATGCAACATTCTACAGAAACTCACTCGTTTTATTTGAGGTCACAGACAGCACGGATATAGTCAATCTAGGCTTGAAATACAGGCTGGACTGTACCTGAGAGAGGACAGCAATGCTGATATCCTGCCCACTAGCTTCATAGATCAGTCTGTTGAGCTCCTCGGGGGGCAGGGGGCTGGTAACAAGCATTCAGAAAATATATATTTAAATCACATCTGGCCGACATGCACAGATATTGATGCTTCATGCATCATGCTATGTACAGTACAACATATTTATTGTTCCTGTCGTCTACATTGTGTGGTGTTGTCCTTTGTACATGGGCCAGATAAATGTACTTCAAGTGGGCCTTATGTACCAAAAATTGATTATCCATTTAATGTTGGATCATTTTGATCAAGAAATTAATGAAAAAGAATATCCTTTTGTGCATTATTTGTTTTATTGGGTTCCCTTTATCTATTTTTATGACTTATCTGATCTAATTTGACCTAAGCTCCTATCACATTTTAGGTCACATTTATGCGGAAATTCAGAAAATTCTAACTTTCTAGCACCACTGTACACACACCTCTTGCTAAGTGACTGCTTAATTTATACTAATTTGTGCTACAAAGAAACAAGTATTTTAGTATTTCTAGAACTAATGCTATTGCTCTTTGGTAACAGCTTCTTATTGTACAAATCAAACAAATCAATCATATTGGGTTGTGATTTAGAATTGCAAATTAACATCTTCTGTTGAACCACACAACATTATTTTTTTCTGTGATAACATATTTACAAGACTCTTATCGCTATGTTCACAAACCACCTTTTGAGATCATAGAAAAATGGAGCGAGCAGTGTTTGTTGATTCAGTCACTGAGCACGCTTCAAAATTTGGAGTAAGTGTGTGTACAGGGTTCCCTGTGTCAATTTCATTTTGAGACACAATCTTGGAAAACTACACTGTAGATTAATCACAAATTCGAACAGTGAACAGGGGGCTGTGAAGAGATAGAGATAGAAAACCACAGGTAGCATTGTGTATGCAAGACTGTTACAGTAAACATGACCAGGGGCCCCTGTTTTGTGTGTTGGCTACTCGGGCTCTGACAAGGTGGGAACCGAATCATGGTCAAAATTTGACACGTGGATTGAACAGGTTGGCTTGATAAATTGGACTCATGGGTTTGACACCACTCTCTTACGCTGTTATGACCTTCTCCCGGGGCTCCGGAGGCAGACCCACTGTCAGCTGCTTGTGGTGTGAAATGAGATCGGTGCAGGCCTGCAACAACACAGACAAGCACCCAATTGGTATCATCCAATCATATAATAAATATGGGGGCTTCAGTACATCAGTGGAATACGTTTCAATACTAGATTCTCTTCAGCTCGGCTAGAGATGGTTTCTCCCATTTCTAATTTTTCTCCCAAAACTGTGACTGTGAGACAGAAAATGAGGTAGAGAAGATTCCACAAAAACGGCGGTATTGTTTTCAGGGCGGTGAAAAGAGCTCTCACCTCTGCCAGCACTTCCACTCTCTTGCGCAGCATGCCCGAGATGTAGCGGATCAGGCCCCATTCCTTACAGCTGCCAGCCTTGCCATAGAGCTCGTTGAGCAGGCTGTGCACCGTCACCCCACTCTGCCCTGGCAGCTTCACATCCCAGCCCGGGCCCCTGCACGGCAACACAGCCCCTCTGAGAAAGAGCCGCACTGGTCTCAAAGAGACACAAATTCCGGCAAGAGGCCCTTCATCGGCTGTCTGCACCTAACTGACGGTTTAGTGGTCAAACGCTTCAAATGCTTTAGCCAGCAGCCATATCACCCTGCAGCTCACAACTGGCAGCCCACTGAAGCTCAGCAGGTGTGAGCCTGGTCAGTACCTGGATGGGAGACCCCCTGGGAAAAACTAAGGCTGCTGCTGGAAGAGGTGTTAGTGGCGCCAGCAGGGGGCGCTCACCCTGCAGTCCATGTGGATCCTAATGCCCCAGTATAGTGCTGGGGACACTATACTGTAAACAGGTGCCGTCCTTCGGATGAGACGTAAAACCGAGGTCCTGACTCTCTGTGGTCATTAAAAATCCCAGGGGGTTTCTCGAAAAGAGTAGGGGTGTAACCCCGGCGTCCTGGCCAAATTTCCCATTGGCCCTTACCAATCATGGCCTCCTAACAATCCCCCTCTATGAATTGGCTTCATTACTCTGCTCTCCTCCCCACTGAGAGCTGGTGTGTGGTGAGCGTTCTGGCGCACTATGGCTGCTGTCGCATCATCCAGGTGGGGCTGCACATTGGTGGTGGTGGAGGGGAGACCCCATTACCTGTAAAGCGCTTTGAGTGGAGTGTCCAGAAAAGCGCTATATAAGTGTAAGCAATTATTAATTATAATTATTAAATAATGGAGGATCAAACCACACTTTCCACAGCGGTTTCAGTCCATCAGGACAGGAGAATCTCTGCGTTTCAGCATATATCAACATACTATAAATATGCTAAAGTATATACTATACTAGAACATGTTTAACTATACTACACACTGCAGTTGTCTGTAGCTTTATGTATTTGTACAAGCTTAATAACTATCCTTAACCCGCCTCAGAAGGGCTTTTCAAATAGGAAGAATGAAACAGAAACCAGGCCTAGGAACACTGTAACATACTGTATTTACTCAGCATTGTTGTTATTCTTTTATGGTTGTCTTCAAATAGATTGCTCTTCTCTCTGTAAGGCACCTACCCATTCAGTTGCTCAGAGCCTCATTACTTACTTTATGACATAGAGGATGTAGAGTATGTCTGCCTGGTCTTGCAGAGTAGGACACTCTTTCAGCTGCTCCATAAGGGATTCACAGTCCACATTTCCATGGGCATCACGGGGCAGGTGGAGGTCAGAGCTAGGGTCCTGAAGGAACAAACGTAATCTGTCCTCTATTACCCTATCGCGTTCCTACACCAAAACTGAATTCTTCTGAATCTTAAAAAAAGAGATTTACCCTTAGGGTACCTGAAGGGGGACTCTTATTGAGCTACTGTTGAGTCTAGACAGTTCATGAATCATTAATCTACAGTATTACTGGCCTGATGTGGCCAAATAGATGGGCTAATTAGTTCCTTATCTCTCTTATCTTTGCCTCTTCATACATGGAGAGAACTCTCAGTCACATGCTGTCATGTGGCCTTCTAGGACATTCAGGAACATTTTGAAAAAATGTATAATAGCATAAAATGAAATTATTGCTTTATTTCTGGTTTGTTAATCTCAATAAAATTAGAATGTTATCAGTTTACTAAAAGAATGATTGCCTTGATAGTTTTCACGTACTGAGGTATTGTGCCATAAATACGAGTGATATATGACCACACATATGGCACAGCCATATGCAGTACACACTATAGCCACAGACCTTGGCATGGTATGAATGTGGTACTTCCAAAAGGTTCAGAGACTTGCGGTGTCTATTCATGACTGGAGCAGTTGGCAAATACATGGAGACTTCTGAAAGAAAACACAAAGAAATTACTATCAAAAGAGCAGCATGACACAGAAGTGCATTGCTGCCATCAGAGGAAAAAAACACTCCTGAGTTATCTCATCATTATGAGACAGTGATGATCATTTGACTGTATGAACAACCTGTTACATTGTGCAATGACAACACCTACAAGCTACCGATAGCTGAGCTGGAACTTTGGGTTTTGTGTTCCTGACAATGTGCAGCTCTGCAAAATGGACTTACTTTTACCTGGGGTTTATTCATGAGGAAATATTACAGTTTGTACCTCATGTGAACACAGTTTTAACCACATGTATCCTTAAACAAGAATCAATTCCATTGCTGAAAACTGAAAGTCAGTTCATGATAATGCAGGCATTGTATGACAATTGTGCTCTTTAATGTGAGCATCACACACAGCAAAAGATAACTATAATTATAATCTCTTATAATCTTCTCTATTCAAGACTAGAAAGGTTCAGTTCCTTCAGTCCGTCAGTGACTTCAGCCCTGGAATGTACATTATCTGGTTGCTCTGCTTTGGACTGATTCTAGAGAACCACACTCAGGCCACGTCACTGCTGTCCAAAACATCTAAGAAGGTGGTTACGCTAGAGCTAATGGTTTCATGGGAAGACTGGATGGAGGAGGCCAGTGAAAGGAAGAGGGCCAAAGATGAAGACCTGGATAATCTGTGCCATGGGAAGTGGTGGAAATCACAGAGTGAGCCTCTCAAGGTGGACTACAGAGAATTTGCAGGGCAAGCAGCCTAGCCAATGCTCTTCCCTGCTCTTTGCAAGCTTACTGGGCACCTGGAGACCCTGGGCCTTGGCCACCATGGACAGGATGTCTCGAGTGGTGTGCTCCGCGCTGAACACATGCTGCTGCCCCGGCCGGGGGCAGATGGACGGGAGGTGGGACTTCTGAACTGTACTCTGGAGCAAATGGTCGATGTATCGATCCAGCTCATCTTTTGAGTTATCTGAAGAGGGAGAAAAAAAACACTCCTCGTTTGTTCCGATCATTTCTTGCATGTGAAACAAACGTATACTGCCGGATTTCTATAAGGTCAAAAGTCACCTTTGGGCATCAGTGCAGACTGTACCGAACAAGGGATTTTCAAATACAATTTGCAGTTTTATGTTAGTGGAAGCACTACTTTACAACAACTTTAAAATGCATGTCAAGTGCCATGAGATGACATTCTTCCACCCAATGTATTCTAACCCGAGATTATATCATGTGGCTTCAAGGATCACTTGCTTTAGTTCAGCCCAGCCACATCAAGATAGAAAAAACCCCAAAGTGGATTTTCAGTCACATCAAGTGCTCTAATAACAGTTTTGATAAACTGTGGGATGTATGCTGGAGAAAGCAGGAAGTGGCTGTAAGAATGAAGGGTGAAAGTAATATTAGTAATGAGAGAGGACAGGATCACATAAGTAAATTAAGGATCATTATGGATTAATTTTAAAGGCACTCTGAGACACTCCAGTAATAACATGGAGCTTTGGGCGCTAGCCTCTTCACAAAAAGCAAAAAGAGCTAAAACAACCATGGTACTTCACTCTGAACAGATAGTCTCACTGTTAATTGAGAAATCCCAGGTCTTGGCCAGGATCACTTGATGCAGGACACTAGTAACAACCAGTACTGTTTCCACTGAACAGCTATGAGCTGACTGAGCCCAGGGTCACCACCCTGCATGCAGTCTAGTGCTGCTGCTTAGTTCTTTATTTCTTTCCCAGGCTCTAGTGAGGAGCTCCAGCAGTCATTATACTTGACAAGTTACACAATAAATCACCACTGGCAGGATGGCCAGTCCAGACAGTAAGACTGTAATTGAAAACGCAGCTGTAGGAACACCACAATGTTTTTTTAGAAATAAAAATTATTTTGTCATTAGCATCTCTAATGCTTACAGTGACTGTTTTCTACAGACACACATATGGCAATGGAACGCAGCATAAATACATTTCTGTGTTTTGCTTTCTGCTGTACATACAGTCTACAGAGACACCGTTTTGAATGGACAAGGTAAAGTTTGGAGTTCACTGGCCAAACAGTCGCTATGTGGAGCAGTACCTGTGTCGACGCACTCCTGTGGGTCCTCCTTGTCTTGGTACTCTTCACCACTGACGCTGTCGCACTCGTCGTCCTCCTCCAGCAAGGCCTCATCACAGTCTGTGTCCAGGAAGCTCAGGTGTGTGTGGAAAGAGGTGGTGAGGAAGCCGGACAGCTGGCCTGCCTGCACCCTGCATGGGAAGCACAGCAGAGTGGGGGGCTGACTCACGGCCTACCAGAAAATAATTGCCATTATTTCGCATTGGGAAATAATTCCCAGCTTAATGTCGAGTTGCTTAATATCACCATTTTTGAGTCCCCATTAACGATGTTCAATGGGGAACATTTAGTATTCATTTAATCTGAAAACATAGATTTCCTTGATTTTGGCAAGAAAATCATCCCAGAACTAAATCGGCAGTCGGTCTTCAACCAAAAATATGGCAATCGGCTATTTGACACTGGTAGTGAGAGGACCTTAAACAAGGTATCGCTACATTTGCGCAACATACTTCTCCATTTTACAAACAACACACCACCTGCTGTGAAACTGGTACAGATCTCAGGCACATGTTTAACTCACTACTCTGTGTTTCACATCACTGCTTTCCTCTGAGTTGCAGTGTGCGTTTTCTAAGAGCGACCAAGCTGCTATTTTGGAGCACTCATCATTTCAGTGCTGTGAAAGCAGGAAGTGCCCTAATGCATGCATGTCTAAGTAATTAGGGGAGCTCTTTCAAAGTCAGGCATCATGACATTTTAGAAGCCCTGGTACGTTTCAATGAAGCGCCCCCCAAGTGGGATGCATGATTCTAGCCTGGGTCTTGGAAAGGAAATCCCTAGGCAAGGTTAAGTGGCAAAGGATGGTAAGTGAGTTCAGAAAGCCCCTGGGCTCTATAAAGATTAATCTACAGAGTATCTTGTTTATGATCAGTTAACCTTGCTCCTCCAAAGTATCCGTCTTGCAATTTTCTGAGGGTGGCCAGTATGGCTGGATCAATATTCTCAGCACCTTCAGCTGGAAGAGACAAGAGATCATGGGTTGCTATAGTTTACTTCCACAGTAGTTGTCGGCTTTTGCACAGGACCTTCTTAATTCTCATCACAAGAATTGCAGGTCTACAAAATCAACATTTCCATCAGCAATACACAAAATACATGACTTTGTGAAACACATCAACGTGCACAGCAAGTACAAAACAAATTTGTTTTATTAAGAAAAATCTCAGCAGTTCCCAACAGGCTCAATCACTGAAGATGGAGGACTGTTTGCATCTAATGATGGCAGCAGAATGAATTATGAAATGTATAGAAATATTGCCAGGATAGACTCTGGCTCCCCTGTGATACTCTATGTTGGATAAATTGGTTAAAAACTGGATAGATGGATGCTTATGTAGAAGAAAATGCTATCACACTAATTAGATGCAGCATGACGATGACCCATAATATACAGCCAGTGCAAGTTCATCAGGAGAAAAAACAGTGGAAACCTTAAATTTCCCAAGACAGTCACCAGATTTATATCAAAATGAGCATGCATTACACATGCTGAAGAAACACAAATTAAACCAGAACACCCTGAGAATAACCTCTCAAACAATTACAGAAAAGGTATGGCAAGTTCAATGAGTCACAGGTACCTTTATGCAGTTATTGGTTCAAATGGATATACAACCAAATACTGACTTTTACTGAAGGTTTTAATTTAAAGGGGAACTGCAGTCCCAATTTCTCAGACCAGTTAGTAAATCTCTGTAACAAAATAAATTCACTGATGTTATAGAAAAATGTTAAATTTCAAATTAAGCACAAGATTGTGAACTTTGTGAAAGTACTGCAAGTTGCCATGTTGTCACAAACTCGCATTCAAGTTCCCAAGAATTGCGATAAGATGCGACCCTTCCTGCTCACTAGTTTCCATAATGACTAATCCAATGTGATGTACAAGCTAATTAAAAAAGGTTGTATAGAGGACATTTCATCACAGAAATGTTCTAACATAATATGCATGCAGAGTTAGCAAGTACAGTAAGTAATATTTGTGGGCAAAAGCAATATTTCTATTCGATTAAAAGCGACGTATTGAAAAGCCTGCCCATAACGTTACCGGACATTTTGCTGCCTCGTTCTGAATCGTGCGGTGCATACCTGGAAATTTCATCTATCTTGTGGTGTAAATTGGAGGTTTTAGAAGTTCCATATGTGTACATTTGACTTTTATTGTGGTTTGAAATGCACTCATCAATGCGGATTCTTTCTAACCCAGAAATACGAAAATAGTGCTGCAGTTCCCTTTAAAAAATACCTATATTAATGGTCATCATTGATCTAACATATTTGGAATGTATGCATGGACTGACCAATATAAAACTTGCTACACTGTACTTAAAATCCATATTAATATCATGATTGCAAATACGAATTGCTTGACTGTAAATGAAAAATATGAGTTCTGACTTTGCAGTCCAAATGCAATTGGAAGTCCCTGTACAGCTATAAGCGAGACAATAGAGAGAATGCTCTTCTTTCTTGGGCGGAAGGCTCTCTCACGTACGTACTGAGCATGCTGTGCGTAATGGGGAAGGTGAGTGTGGGCCGTCCGGTCATTCTCCAGCAAGATGAGAGGTAGGCCAGCTCTGTGCGCAACATCTCCACAATCATGTGATTGTCCAGGGCCAGGTAGAAGTGGTGTTGGTCAATGAACTGAGGAAAGGACAGACAAATAACTAGAATCATAACGCACCACCTATCTACTGGACTCATGCAAGCCGCGTTCTGTGACAGATGGTAAAAAGAAAGGGACAAAATTGACATTTCTAATTGGCAGTGAGCTTCAACTTCATACTGTATATGGTCAAAGAAATGAGAGTTCCAAGGTTTCTCTTTTTTACCTGCGGCGTGAATGTGTAGATACGGTTTCTTATAATATACAGCTTGGAGGTTCCCAGAACTCCAATGTGTCTATATGGCCGCCCACTCAACTGCAGTTTCTTGTTATTACCTAGAACAAACACAGAACACGAAGCACTGTGAGAACAGATGTCTATCAAGTATTTATATCCTCCACTGTTATTCATCTGCATCCATTATACAACTCCCTCACCCCACCCCCACAACAATAACACAGTTACCATTTTAAAATTAGCAAAGGATAACCTTCTGTGACACGACATCCATCGGCCTGCAAAAATGTAAGCCCGATCTTAACATCCATTAAAAACAGCATCGCGAAATTCTCGTTTGTTTTACGTGGAAAGCAATGCCCGTTGTTGAGTTACAGGGCTTCGGCATCGCTCAGTGCAGCTCACACGCGTGTTCACATGGCCCCTACCGAGCTTGACGTAGATGTGGCTGAGGATGCGGGCTGGCATGACGCGGATAGGGAGGACATCTGCCACCGTCTGGACGTCCAAGCCATTCTTCCGCAGCAGCGTCTGGATCTTCTCGGACTCTGCCACCAGGCACACTGAACGCCGCACACACCCCTCGCGGTTAATTAGGACAGGGAGCATTCTTTGCATTTTACACAGAGAGTTTCAACCTGAAAGATTCCCCAGACTCTTGGCATACAGTACAGGGGGGACCCATTTCAATCAGACTGTCAGAGCCACCATCAGACACCAGCAGGCCCTCTACACAGCAGATCGGAGGGGGGGCGGGGGCTAAGAAATTGCTTCACCCACTGAATTCAGGGGGAACTTCAGAGAAGCCAGACAGTTCAAGCCCAGATCTTAGCCAAGAGTTTAACACCCCTGCTCTTACATTTTAAAGATCAAATCTTCCTTATACAGTACATGCTGAAAGAGTTTTAAAAAGTTCAATGAAAGCTTTTTACCCTATTAAGGGTGTTATTCGAAGAAAAATCTTAGTAATAGCTGAAACTAAAAATCTAGCATGTCTTAATTGAAAATATGCACTTTTATTAAAACAGTCACAACCCTGCACCCTAGACAACATGTTAGTGAATTGTTCAAGTGAAGTTCAAAGGTACCTAACAAACTTCAGCGAGACGCATTTGTAGTTAAAGCCATAACTAGTCACAGACCTTGCACGACAACGTCGGGTTTGAAGGATGTTGAGAATCTTCTGTTCAGTGGGTCAATCTCTCCCGCCGCCAGAAATCCCTGTCAAGGGATGAAGAAAATGAGAATCTGGATGACATTAACACAGCTTTCACTCTTTCACTCTCCGTCAAAATAATTCCAACAAATAAAAATACAAAGCACAAAGTGAAGGAAGAACCTCATCACATGATGTGTGAGCATGTTGCAAATTCTGGGAAAGGACAGGCAGTAAAGTAATACAAGAGAGCCTATGGTTTTGTATTTAACATGGACAATCATCAGGCAACAAACGTATTGCTGTTCACAGTTTAATTAATGTACCTCAATTTCATTAAGACTGTAAAATTGCTACACAGCTTGTTTTAACAGGTAAAACTAAAGCTCCTAAGACACTCTTTTATTCTCAGGTGTACAAGTTCACATGACCTGATACAACCTACCGGCTTAACTCAACTCTCAACTTGTGTGAGCTATTGTTGGCTTCACACACCCCTTTTCTATGCTCTATCCATAATTATAGCAATATAAGTAATAGGTGTATTCCATGCTGAAAAGAGAAGAGAGAAAGCACAACATTTTGGCAGGTGAGAGCATCTCACTTAAAGAAGGTTTCACAGCCAAAATGTTGCGTTTTCTCTTTTCAGCATGGAATTCACCTATTGCTTGTTTCTTTGCAGACCACGGATGCTGACGCAGCTACCCACCTGAACTATTATAGCAATATAAATATACATATGTGAGCACCACTGTTTTTTTAACCACTAAAACCATAATTACCGAATGAAAAATGACTTTTAAGCACATAAATAGTAGGGAGAGGAAGGACACCCATGAGGAAATGCTGAGAGGTCAGTAAGATAAACGTAAAATAAAAAAAAAATCTTAAACTAATTCCCTCAACAAATCACGTGGATACCAAGCTGCTTCACTAAGTCACACTGAAGAGATAACATGCTGCTCTGGTACTCCAGCTAACTGCCTGTAGGTGAGGAGGCGAACAGCGAGACACCAGCAAGCACAGGCCTCACTACTGGCTCTCCGTGAGGAGAGTCGCTTCCTCTGTGTGTGTGGGTCTGCTTGGCTGCCTTTATAATCAAGCACAAATACGGAAACAGTTCTTCAGACAGCACCTTCGGCTCCCCACGTGTCCAACAGATGGAGAACAGCTTGGTTTAGCATTTCCAAACATGAGGCTTCCTGAAGAAGCTTTCTCCCACTTAAGGAGGCAATGTGCAGCTTCGCTAAGGATTAAGCTTATGATTCTAGTTCATTTTAAGAATGTAACCACCCATAATGTGCAGAAATCAGGAAAGCTTACAAATCGACAGTGTTTCCTCTTACTCTTATAGAGTCCCAATACCCATATTATCATAGGTTTTCTTTTTAAGCAATGTAATTTACATATTTTAACACAGAGGTCTTGTAAGTCTGCATTTATAATGCGAGTAATTCCTTTACAATACCTGAAAGGCATTTAATCTAAAATCCATATATATCCATATTTATTGGTCAAAGGAAAGAAGAATGTCTAATTAAGTCTAAATTCAACTACACCTCATGAAAAGGAAATTTCAAGTTTCATGGGTACCTCGAGACTGGAGACAGTTTTATGGAGTACTGACCTAGATCACATAATTTGTGAGATCAGTTAAAGTAAAAATGAATATCTGAAAGGAAATAAGCATGCCTGAATATGAGATTGATTCATTATCATTTTTCATTATCTGCAGACACCAACAATCCATGCTAGTACACCAACAGAAAAGATGTCACAGTGCTTCTACATCTCATTATCTTTTATTAATTTTGTGTTTAATCTTCACTTGAAATTTAATTAAGTGATCTGGCTTCTTGTGGGATCATGCAAAATAAACCCTGAAGTAACACCCGAGGTCAGACAGCACGAGAGAGCAGGAAACAGAACAGTACAAACCTTCATTACATCACCTAATAGACATATCGCCCTCCTCCCAGCCTTGAAACAACTGTTCTATGAATATCCATTAAATCTCTTATTGAGGGCATCAGGATACGATTTCTGTTTTCTATATCTTTTTCTCCTCCATCTCAGAGCTGTGTTTTCCAACTCCAGTGCTGAGACTCACTAACACCCAAGCATTTTTCTTAATTTAAAGATGGCTCCTGTCTACAAATACTGTGACCACACACAGGGGAGAATAAGAAAATGCAGGCAGACCTTCCCCCCCCAGTAATGGGTTGAGCACCAATTGAAAGAGGCAATTTGAAGAGTCCTTGGCTGGCAGTACTGCAAAACTGAAAGCACCCGGGAGGCACCAGGGGTCGCTGAAAACCTAGTCACAGTCTCCAGCCAATAACCAAGGCTGGAGCCTGGGCTTTTACCGGCTGCATCGCTTTGGGAAGCCAAGGGACTCCCAGCAACACCCAACAGTTTAATTTCAGTAACTCCCCTACCGGACATAGCACTGCATTTAAAAAGCACTGGAAACTCCCCATGGAAGCCATCCACCGGGCATAACAACTCTTTGAGAAAATCAAATCATCTCTGAGAGTGGGGTTCTGGGAGACAGAGTTGGGAAGAAGCGCCAAGTCACTGTAGCCACCGCAGAAGCCTACCTCAGCCAGAAGGCAGCCCAGGATATACAGAGACTGGCCCCACATGTGTGGGAGCTTCCCACTGGCCACCCGATCCACGGTGTGCGGGTTCTGGTATTCCTCCTCCACCTGGCAACACACACGCTACACAGTCAGACACACAGCGCTCGCTGCCTGGAAAACTCGCACGAGGACAACGTCACAAACCCCTGCAGTTTCTGTTTCTTGTGAAGTGAATGCTGCTCTGTAACATATGCCCCGGGACCCTTTGTAGATAAAGCCACTGAAACTATCCTGCCCTTCTCATAACTATTGAAAGGATATGCTGCTGTTATTTTTTGTATCAGTATTTGAAAGAGGCTGAAAATCAACCATTTTTTGCCTCTAGACATTGGACTATTCCACAAATGTTAGTCCTGTACAGCAATATATATATTTTTTTGTTTTCAATCAACGACATCTTTACATTTTATATGATATATTAATGTTATATGGTATATAAGAGTACTGATGATACACTTGGTCTTTTCAAGGTTATCTGTGGCTTCAGGGAAAATAGATAAAACTTTACACCAGGTCACAATAACACAAGAACAGAGATGTCCTTGTGTGGCAATCAGACAGCTGCTACTCTGTTTCCTGGGCTGAAATACCTAATTAGAAGCAAAAATAACATCAAAAGCACCATAGGGCCTTTGAAATTAAATGCTCTTATTTTAGTTTTTTTTGCTTTAAGACAACATGACACTTGGAAACTTTTATATGAGGCTTCTTCTTCTTATACGAGGTTTCTTAAAATGCATTTCAAACACCATGACAGAATACCAATTAGCCACTGCAGATTCCTTTATGTTAAACATTCTCAGACACAGAAAATTAGGTTTAGCCAATACTTTTTTCTCAAACTCAAAATGTTTTTATGACTCACAGGGGAAATAAACGGGGAAAAAAAACTGCACGTCCTCTCTCCCAGTCCTGTCACAGACAGACACTCAAAAGGAAGTCCCTGTCCTACCTTGTCAGCTGGTACAGCATACAGCTCAGGTATCAAACGGATGCCGTTCTTCTTTCGAATGAGAATCCCCTCCAGCGCCTCCCTGTACTCTTGTACCTGTAAGCACCAGCAGTTAGAATGACTGGTGAAGATGGCTCCACCTACTGGACACATCTGGGAATACATCTCACCAAAAAAAATGCAGCTTTAATAATAAAATGATTATTAATAATACAACTTTTATTTGCGGAGCATCTTTGCAAACCCAATGAGGCTGTACATAGTGATAAAAAGACAAAATAGTACAATAGAAAGTAAGAGAAGAAAATATATAATTGCAATTTCTGTATAATTTGGCAAAAACGTAAGATAACAGGGTCACAATTTAATTTCTGTGTGCTACCAAATACCATTTAGACGTTTAATTTTCCATAGAAAAAGGAATCATTCAAATCCAAGTCCAATATGTATCTTCTATTTGTCCTGGAAAACAGAAGGTCTTCATCTGCAGTGCTGTGGCTCACCTGTACGTGATCTCCATTAAAAATGCCATCCAATATGAGGTATGTCCAAAAAACCGGCCATTCGCATTCTATGTTTTCAAACAGTTTTAGCTCAGCAGGGTCGTAGTGCAGACGACTGGGGTCCTAAGAGCAGGAGAAGCACACAGACAACACAAGAACCTCTGAAATTGTACCCCAAGTTTACATGTAATTCGCAGTAAAAAACTGTAACAAAAAGGGGTGTTTGTTGATTGAGAATTGTAAAACAAACAGATCTTTCCATACAGAAATAAGAAAGACAAGTACAGATAGGTGTAGGGGGAAAAGCAGACCTATACCACATGGCGTACCTCTTTAGGCGTTTTGTAGCCATCTCTGAGAAATCTGCAGCAGCCATAACGACCCTAGAAAAAAGAACCACAACAGATTGAGACCCCCTGCCCCGGGGAAGAAGAAGGGTGCGATTCTAGACACAAATACCGCATGGGGAAGAATGTGTGCAGAGGTCAGTGGCAGTGGAACATGGTTAAGAAAGCCCAGGTTCATCTCTTTCTTTACGTGTTCCAATAATAACATGAAGACTCAACCAGTCAAGCTTGAAAACAGAATGTATAACCTGTGCACTCTTCATTAATGGTTTGTCTACACCTTGTTATGAAGCTGTGTGGAATTATCATAAAATAAATCTGAACGCTTTATTTCACCACGTAGACCAACCAAGGGTGCAAGTGACCTACCTGTTCACATTGCATGAACAGGTGAAGTGGAAAAAAAAAAACTTTTTTAAACCAATCTGCAATAAAAAAGACATTTGAAACGTGATATGAAATAAAAGTTCACAGGCTACATAGTATGCACACTTATATAAAATGTAAAACTATATATATATATGATAGAAAATGTATCAATAAATGCTTAATTAAAAAGTAACAAAAAATGTGGTCAATTTCAACCATTAGCACAAGACAAAAATTTAAATAAATAACATACAAAAACTGCTGAAACAAACTTTGATGCAGAGCGCCTGAAGTGGTACACTTAAACATGCTCACATGACGTACCTGAAGAACTGTTCCACTTGTTCGGTCAAAAACTTTGGGAAAACAATTCATGAATAATATGATGATGGGACTTGTAAGGGTAAGCCCCAAGTTGATCAGCAACAAAGACTACAGAGTAACCCGAGTGACCAGAGAAACAGGTTCTTGCACTGTATGTTAAGACTAATCAGAAAGCAGTAAGCCGGAATCCCAGCTTACCTGCAGTTTAGTGATGATCTCATTCTTTGTGATGTTCACCAGGTCTGCATCTTCCACAGCAAAAGCCGGAAAGGAGATGACAGATAGCAGTCCTGAGTCAATCTCCTTTGAAGTGGAGGCTCTAGGCAACATGGAGCACAGAATAGACTGAAATAAAAAAAAACAAACATTACAATTTGATTTGTTAAATACGGCATACATCTGCAACTCTTTTCTGTCTGGATCAGTTTCAAGACTGTATTTACACGTTACCCACTTCACCTGGTAACAGGGCTGCTTACCTGGCAGTGCTCCACCTCATCGGGCAGAACGTGAATAACAGACGTCGGTCCTCCATGGGCCCCAAACAGGTCCAGCTCATCGATTGCTTCTAGCGCTGCCTGTACAGACAAAACAAAAACACCAGCTCACTTCAAAGTCCTACACAGGAGGGCAGGAGTGACCACGAACGAGAAGAGGCATTCGGCCCATCTTTCCCATACATTTGACCCATCTGGCATGTTTGGCAGTTCGCAGCTTATTGATTCAAGCATCTCCTCCAGCCATTTCTTAAAGAAGCTAAAGTAACAGCTTGGACCCCATATCTTGTTCTGGTACAGAACTGGTACTGGGTATCTTCTTGTACAGAAGTCCCTCCTATTCTTGGTTTCAAAAGCACGTTCACTAGTTTTCTCTTGCGTTGTCTGCTTCGCTTTGACTGCTCATTTTGAAGCGTAGACTTTGTCCAAGGCATTTGTGCCCATTTACAGCTGCAACCTGGTTTTCCTTAGAGGAAACTGGAAAGAGTACTTTCCCAGTAAGAACCAGTACTTTACTTGATTGGTTGTTAATAATTCTGAAAACCTGCTGAAAGGTGGTGTATTTTTTAATGTAATGCTTCGATTCAAACTCGGCAAATAACGAACATCACTCATACAAGGGCATTGTTTCATCGACGACGCTGTAAATTCAGAGTAGCTGGGAATCCCTGCAGGCTGTTCCTCCTGCCTTAATAACTGCGCGAGTCGAGCAGAACTGACTCCCGGGAGCGGCTGTATACCTTGGCCATCCCCACGGAGCTGCCGTTGAGTTCGGGGATCCCCTGGTTCGTCTTGTCGCCACGCTCCCACATCCCGTAATCCTGTAAACGGCAAGTCAGCACGAAGTGGATGAAGGAGAGTAATCATCAGAAACAAGCGCCCATCGTTTCATATTTAGAATTTGATTTTCGGACTCAAGATGATATACCAGAACGTTCCTGAGCTGGTACTAGATGGCTGCCAGACCAATGTTGCTAAGCTACATCAAGCACTCCCGATATTTACACTGTGTTGGGACGGCTCTAGTTGTTGTAGCCTATGTACACAGAATTGTTTTATGTAACATACATCACCATGAAAGGCAGCTGAGTATCCTGCATGGAACAGTAAAGAAGGAAAAAGTGTAAAAAGTCTTCATGAAGCTCTTTACAAGTACAGGCTGATCTTTAACCATATACTCATCTCTGATCATGACCTCTGCAAATGAGCAAAAAGCCAAGGTTGTGGGTAAATGAAGTGGCAGAATTGTGGCTTCTCAGTCATGCTGTAAGGTGTACACAACCTGACAAAGCAAGCCCCTTTACTCTCAGCTCTCTGGGCGGAGGCTCAGAGTAGACTTCCTATGCCCCTGGAACAGGAGGTGGCAGGTGAAGTGATCTGTGCGCCTGGTAAGGATGCCCCCAGGGAGGTCTGCATTGGAGCTCCTCCGGGCACTGGCCAACTGAGAACACACTGGAGGGGCTAGACCTCTTGTCTAGGCTGAGGGGAGGAGCTAGAATCCATTGCACTGGTGGAGTATGATTTATCTGACCTGGAATCTGAAGGCTACCTCTGGCACATGGAAATGGTCATGCATGTCCTTAGTCCTTAGAAACACAACAAGCTCACTTGATCAGGGTATTGTTGCAACTGACAAACAACTGCCTTCTATAATTCAGCATTTAAAGTGGTCTTCAAGGGCTACTGAGTGGCCCTGTATTCCAGGCGTTTCTGGTTTGTGTCTGGGTCATGTTGTCAGTTCGCTGTGACCTCCAGCCCCCTGAAGTGATGGCAAGTCTCAGTCACCCAGATCCCTTCAGCTTTGGTGTCCTAGGAGCCTGGGAGCCCGCAGGGCTGTCAGGGAGAACTGAGCCGCTCTCTCTGACACAGATACAGCCTGCGTGGGACCGGCTCTGACAGTGTGCAGTCACCCCCCGTACCGACACAGGCTGTGCAGAAGAAAGCCGAGCTGTCCAACGTTCGACAATTCCAAAAATTAAGGGAGAAATCATGCCATCACAAATTTAAAACACCTGATATTTTAAAAATCAGCCTTTACAACACACTGCACCCAATTGATTGGTTAATCGAACTGCATTCAAACTTACAGCAACTTTGTAGGCAGCTTCAATGTAAAACACAAGGTTCTGAATAAATGAAACTTCGTCCAAATTCGATATGATGCGTAGACCTGTAGGATAAAGAAAGGTTATGTCATACGAGTGCATGAACTTGAGGCACTGAACATTTGTTTTGCAAATACTGTGATTAGAGGTCTGTGGACCTCTAGGGATTCAAGTGTTAGGAATTCATCTGAAGTCAAATCAACAAACCTCCTTAAACAATCAAATGAACAGATTATAAAAAAAAAACATTTGATTTTCTGAATCCAAAGCTGATTTGAGGTCTCTAAGACTACAGATGCTAATTTCTGACACCAATTACAACATAAACAATACTTAATATACAGACGTGTAATTCTCTGTGGAAAAATGTATTTCACCAGCCCACAGAAAAGGAAGCTAAAGGGCTTGACACCTGTCAGTTCAGAAATCGCTCACCTGATGCAGTCATCTGTGCCAGAAAGAGGAGGTACAGGGACGTCGCATCCACCTGCAGGTGCCCCCACTGGTCATCGCCCACAACGGTGCTGCACGTTCCGGTGTGGTACTTGGCGTGGAGGCAATCCTTTGTGCTCTGGGTGTGTTTGAACTTTTCCACTTTGCCCACCTGAGGTGAAATATTCATATTCTCAAAAAACCCGTGACAACTCAATACATAATATGGGCACCCCACAGTATCATAGAGGTGTACCTAACATGCAACACCCAGACATTTTCTAACTGCTTTATCCACTCAAGTGTGGGTGAGCCAGAGCTTATCCCAGCAAGCAACAGGCACAAGGCAGGGTACACCCTGGATGGGACACCAGTCAGTCACAGGGCACACACAAACACAAACACACTACTCACACCAGGGCCAATTTTCCTGGGAGCCCAATAACCTTCCGTATGCCTTTCGACTATTGAAGCTAACTAGAGCACATGGCAAAAACCCACGCACACCCACGGGGAGAACACACAAACTCCACGCACGTCAATTCTGGACCCCCAGGTCCAGAACTGAACCCAGGCCCAGAACTGAACCCAGGCCTCAGCTCTGAGAAGAAGCTGAGAAATATAGAAATACTATATTTTCTTAAATTATTAGTCTTCCTTAAATTGTTTTTCTTTTCTTAAACACTCCTTAGCATTTCTGACCGTTGTGCACAGGCCATACAAAGTAGAAGGTGGTGCACAAATGAGAAGTCACGTAATTGAACAGGAAGAATACTGAAGACAGCCCAAAGACTTACCTGCCTCATCATGCACTGCAACAGCCCTTGCATCAGTTTCACAACACTCTGCAGGGACAGAAAAAAAGCTTTTTTATATGTACTTATCAAAATGATACACAATCTAAATGAATACCTTTTACACCGTTTTATAACAATATTTATTAATATAACTCATCAAGACTTTTATGATGTTTGTAGGAATGAGTAAAAATATTTTTAACATTCCACAGACTATCATTCAAAGTGAGAAGCTTTCCAGCTTCTACTCGCTTCCTGATCGTGCCTCACCTCAGACTCCCTCTAAGCGCAGAGGTCGGACGATTCCCTGCCTCATCGCGCACTGCCGCAACATGACATGTCAGCTAAATTCATACCGCTTTTAAATTGTCTGGAGCAAGTGAAAATAATTTGAACATTCCGTCATTCGAGGCGAAGACGCTTTCCAGCTTGTACCCCGCTTCCCGATCGTGCCTCACCTCCGACTCCCTCCGCGCGCAGAGGTCGATTACCTGCTCGAGCTCAAAGGCTTTGGCCTTGTCCTCGTCGCGGTCGGCGTTCTTGCGGTAGGCCATCCCCAGGCCCCAGACCGCCAGGATACTGTACACGTTGTCTCGCACCCAGGCGTCCCGCTGCTCGTCGCTGGCCGGGAGCAGTCCCGTGACGGCATTCTGAAACAGACAGGCCGAGCGCACCTGTTCAAGCTCGTCATTTCCTCCCCGGGCCTTCGACCCGCACACCTCAGCTCACCCTAAAAGGCACTGCCCCGGGAGGGGGGTACTGCAAAGATTTCCCTGCAGTTCAACCTGCCCCGACGTTTGTCTGGGGTTGGTCATATGTCGGGGGACTTTTCTCAGCATGGCACCCCCAGCAGGGTGAGCCCGCGCTCTGCAGGAGCTCTCCTTGTCCTCCAGCCTCAGAGGAAACGGACGGACAATGGCCATGGACTCCCACTGTAAAAGCAGACAAGCCACCCCCCTCGGTTTTTGGGAAACTGAACAAATGCAGCAGGAAGTAGCACGTGGTCTCACAGTTAGCAATGCTCCCAGTTCACACTGGTTTTGCCCTGCGATGGGCAGGTATCCTTTCCAGCGTATATCCTGCCTGTTTGCCGGGTTAGGCTCCGGCTCCCCTGAGACTCTCAATCAGATGAAGAGCTTAGAAAACGGATGGATGGATACTGGGGGTTCACAACCTTTCCCTCGGCACTGTACTCGCAGACTGACAGACTGCCTCTCAAAACGAAAATAAAATCTTTAATCTTTAATATAATCTTGTGAGTAATTATTCAAAGCCAAGTTGTAGATAAGCACCACTGACATCACAGTATAAAGAAAAATAAGAACTGTATTAGATACACAAATTCACAAACCCCTCACTCAAATTATACATTCTACTACTGAAATAAATCACTCAGTTCCATGCAAGGGACACATCCATAGGCCAAGAATCTAAGTGCTGCAGAAAAATATTTGCCCTCTTTAAATTGACCTTTGCTCACACTGCTGTTTATTTTTATACTGACTGAGGAGGCAGGTTATACATTCCAACACGAGGCTGTACAGTCTGTAGGACTGTAGGTCCCCTTCACCCCTCCTCTGTGCAGTCAGAAAGCCCTATAGCTGAGAGAATATTTACAGACATGCACATCACAAAAGAGGTGTGCAATGTAGCAAAGGACCCAGGACTTTTGGAGTAAGCAACTCCAAAAGTTATGCAATTGCAAAAGTTAAGACAACTACTCCAATGTAGATATCGCTGATCAATGAAAGCAGGAAAGATACTGCTGAGGTTTGGCAGTACAATATACACTTTCTGTATATTACAAGAGATGAAATGTTCTGATATTGTGTGAGTGTAAAACTGTAAATTATACAGGATTCAGTCATTGTAAAACACGGTGTACACTATATATAGACACATGCATACGTTATGACAGAAGTGTAACGTAATTGTTCCACACACCCGAAACCTGTAGCCCAATGTTTTTCTAGGTACTGAAGCGCATTTCGTAACTCGCTTGACCTCACACGCTTAACTCAGCACAGTATTCTGTCCGGGAAAAAGCGACGCGGTACAATCATCCTCGGGTACTGGGACTGTGCAGTGCTGTACTGAAATTCAACACCTTACCTGATGACAAAGAATGGTGTCCTGCACCAGCCTGGCGTAGCCATCGAGCCTCACCCCGGAGTTACTCCGACTCCGCATTTTCTCTCCTGCGCGTTAGCCTGAGGCAAGGGGACGGTGCAAGGTACTGTGAAAACGAACGCCCAGCGAAGACAAATAACTCTATACCTAAACTATCTTTTGATAACTTGTAGGAGTGCCACTGACGCTAAAATAACTGGAGATGACTGACGTCACATATACACTACGTTTCGTTGATCTCTACGAGCGGCTGTTATGTACAGACTAAGCAACTGACCTTGGTTCACGCACTGCAATGCAAAACGATATTGAAAATAATCTTTGAAAATGAATTAGATGCATGAGAGCGTAACACAACGCGATACAACACGGAAAACGAGAAAACGGTAACGTATCCGCAATAGTGCATAACTTAAAGCATTAGTTTGTCGTCTTTACATGAATTACTGCAACGCAAATATGCTTGCCGATGGTCACACAACGATCAGTCGCATCACCTCCATTCCTCCTACCGCAGAAGAGCTAATACACGTCGCAGCTTTATCGCTGTGCGGGTATCAATTTGCAAATCAACAAGAATTTTGTTTTGCACCAAAGGCTATCTCGAATAACAATAAGATTCCTCCCCCCATTCTCGACAAGGTCCTATTTGTTTTATATTTTAAAAAAATATAAATTAAAGCTGGTTACATAGTTGCGCGAGAGCCTCCCTTCAAATCGAATGTAATCATATCCTTTTGGTTTAGCTTCCTTTTTTTCAGCCGTTTTTATGTAGTTCACGTACCTTTCAGTATCCTTTATTTGTCTTCTTCCGAGACCTGAGTGCCTAGTTTTCTACTTTTTTTTCCGAAACAGGGGGCGCTCTGTCGTTTTCAGCAGCCTGTGCAGTAAAAGTACTGGAGAATTTGCACGTTGTCAGTCATTGGTTTGCTCCACTGTAAATGCTGCAATGCTTACATACACTGTAAACCCCTCCTTGAAATACGCTCTGTGTCGATTCAGAATAAGTTACGGTTTATTCACGTTCTGTACTAAAATATGGAAAAATGTGTTTAACTCAAATAACATTAAACTCAATGAGAGCCAGGTTTAAAGTTGTTTGGAGAATAAGAACAAATGACATTACAGAGAACGAGCCTTCTCATTAGAGAGATAAAAAGACTGTCCTTTAACCGTATTTTCTAAAACATGTTTATCCTTCTAATAATACGTTTTTTTGTCAATACCATATATTTTGCCCTCAGATCCTGTTTCTGTTCAAACATTGAACAGAAAACAAAACAGCACTTAGAAAACAAAAATAACTTTTACTAGTGCTACTGGTGTCTAGTTCAAATCTGTTCTGTTTACATTTTGTGATGCAGGTAACACCAATTATCTCCCTCTCCCCTTAACACACAGAACACACGTACTCCTCCTATATTTGCAACAGTTTAATACTGTTTGTATATTTGTAGCAGCTATGCATGAATCTTCGATAGCTAAAGAATTTAATGTCATTTAAGACATGACAACTTTCATCCTCTAATTTAAGAAAAAAGCTCAAATAAATCCATTGAGGATGTCTCATCCTCACAAATGTTGTAAAGCTCATTAACATTTACTTTCAAAAGTATGTAAAAATGGAGCAACTAAACCATAGATACGGTATTAAAAAAAACTTTTTCACAACACTGTATCATCAGTCCAAAAGGAATTATTGTCTCTGTTGGGGATGATGTCTAAAATTTCATAGTAATACACACACAGGCCAAAAGCATCCCCTGAGAGCAATTTGTTTCCACTTAATAACTCTTCCTGAAAATAGTGAAATTGTCTTTTTTAAATACTTTAATTATTTAACCAAAGTAATCTTATCTGACATTTCACAACTCAGAAGTAAGCTGTTCTGAAGTACTTGAGTAGCAAATGTATTGGAAGCAAAACCATTGTTTGATTTCTGTTGCTAGGCAATTCACTGATAGGTATGCGGTTAATACCAGATGTATTTTTTATAAATAACCCAACTAATGAAAACAGTAATTGTTGCAGAAAATGCTCTTATACTGGATGCAAAATATAATGATTAAATCAGGGGAAACTGAACAACTGTCTTAGTAAAAAGATGGTATCTGGCCAGCTTGAGGCTTTATACTCTCAAATGGAGACAATTGAATTAAAAACATTAAATAGACCAACACTTTTTAAGCCCTTTTAAGCAAGATCTAAGAAGCTGAGTAAAGATACGCCTGGTCAGTAATCTTTGCAGGAAAAGCAGTTATTCCAAGAGAGGTTTTAAATGGATGGATTAAGTTGCTTAAAATGTTTTGAAATCCTTCTGTGTGGGGAAAAAGCGCCACGTATATGCAAGGAACCGTTATTTTTAGAGGCCTCGCACGTATGTGCTTAGTGAATTGGCTGTACATGAACGGAAAATTAAAATGTAAAATGAAAAGCTATTAAACAATATAGACTTTGTCTTATGTAAAAGCATCTTATTGCCTCCTCGGGTTCGACTGAACAACAACATAAAAACTTATATCATTCCACTAATTCAATATATTTTTTGCTTAAACGGTTATGCCGTTATACGAACGTTACTACTGTCAAATAAACTTAATGTAACCGGAAACAAGCAGATTGTTATTCTTCTCCAGACAACACTATGCAAAAATGGGGTGGGCATTACCGATGTTGTGTTGATTGACGGGCACGGTAACCTACCACCGACCCTGATTCTGCTCCGTGTGAGTGTAAGGGCGGAGATAACGGGAATCTCGAACCAATGGGAAATCCAGAGCTGAATCCGTCCACCAATCAGCGGTACCCGGCTGGATGACAATCCTACGTGTTCATCCCGATACAGAAGAGAAGAGGAGACGGAGGGGGGTGCACCGAGAATATTAAACTCACGAGTCACTGTGCGCACGTTTATGTATATGTTTTCTCACGTAGGAGCCTGATCACAGATTATGGTAAGTTGTTGGGAGTTTCCGATTTATCTGAAAGCGGCCGGGCTTCGAATTTTCTTTTTAACTGTCCAAAAATTGTTGTCCGTCAAAAAGTCTAAACGCACTCGTGTGATGTGATGCATGCACTGAAACTGTTACACTTGCAATATAGTGATGGAAGAAAACGGCTTGAAAGCACCATACCGTATTGAGTATTATTAATTTGGTTTCAGTGACGGATACAGTAATGGTTCTTCTGCGTATCAGAAAAGAATACTCCGTTTACTCTTTTTGCTTCTCTCTTTTTTTCTTACTTTGAATTTTAAACTAAGTCGGGATGGCCTGGTGCTCCTACTAATATCCCTGATAACATCAGCTAGGACAGCCTATACAAGCAGCGATACCGCACGGCCAGCAAGAATCCGTTACATACATTATATTTCTTGTCAAAAAGACCGATAGATATTTACACCTACATTAGACTTCTGTCTTTTCCGCACGTCAGAGATGTTATTAGTAAACATGAATAATGAAACACTTCGGGGTGAGCGACCTTTTTTTTGTGAGTTGCTCACCCTTTTCTCTGTTCTTTTTTTTTTTGACAAGTGTTATTTTTTTTTAAACGGTGCAATCGCGTCTTTTCAAATCACAGGATCACTTTAGTGTAAATGAGCTAACGTATAAGACCCTGCTGCTGAAATCCGAGTCCCGCAGAAAGGTTTGGAAAGTTAAAGATTGCTCTGTATTTTTTAAAAAAAATATTTATTTCTGCGTAATCACGAAAATATAGTGGTCAAATGAGGCAGTTAAAATAACTTTCAGTTATTAACATCTTTCAAAGCTAAGGGAAAGCATACGTAATACTCGGTTATAGTCTGCACCATCCGTTTTTAGAAATCCAATATTGTACTTGTATGGGTGTGGAAATAATTATGCGGGACTCGACTCGAATTAATGAGTGAGTTCTGTTTAGTCATTATATTTATTTTTAATTATTAATCAGCTCTTTAAAACATCTAAAGTATTTTACACAAAAAAAACACGGCAGGTTTTTAATTATCCCCTTCGTTAATACGGCATGCAAAACATGCTTGCAGTCTCAGACACTTTTATTAATTGTGAACGTGCCGAGCAGGTTGGAAATCAAAGCTTTGCAGAGAGGATAAAAATACGTTAAACCTTGATACATTTTGTATTACCTGTGGTACACTAATTAAGCTATAATGAGAATCACGTTTTTAACAGCAGCTGTACGCTGCCAGGAAAGAGAGAGATAATTGTGAGTCCTTTTTTGCCAGTAAGGTCATCATCATCATTTCATAATGAAGTTACATTTACCTAAACTACATTTGTAACAAACCAAGCCTGTTGGCTACTTCTCACGAGTGAGGAACGCTCCTCAGCAGTATCTTTATATTAGAAGCATTAGTGAAAACATGAGGATAGTGCAAAAGACAGGAGTGCAACAATATGGAGAACACATTTTAATTAAAGTTATAATTGAATTTGTAGACACTGCAGATGTTGTGTTTTGCAGACCTAGTCATCACGTTTGTGTCGAATAATATTTAAATAACTTATTTTTTTTTCTCCATTTGAAATAATTTAATTTGCCAGCGGAACAGTACAACAAAGCAAGCGTTCTGTTTTCGAAAACATGATGGCTATCGCTGCACTTGGTTGAGACTGTATTTCTGCTGCAAGCTGCACAGGGGGGAAAAAAACGCAATTAAATTTGCATCGCCACTGTGCCAAATGCAAAAATGCAAATGTCCCACTAGAAATTATTTCCTTATTGTTTAGACCTTGGTGGAAGCCTTCAGCTAATTGTCCCAGATTGTACCAGCATTAAATTAAAATAAAGCATTTTTTTCCTACCTTTTAATTCAGAGTTAATGTGTGCGATCTGACCGAAATGTTCACAGCACAGAACACTGGACCACTTGAAAGAATGCACAAAAAACCCTGTTAGTCTGTCCTGCTCTAAGGACGTACTTAAACTGTTTATTTAGTCTAAACTGATGACTGGGACACTCTGAATTCATGGATGAGTTTTAAATACTTTCTGGTGTTTAAAGAAATTGACTTCATTCCTCTTTTAGCCTACCAAAACTACCAGCTAGAAATTTGTATAGATTTTATTTCATTTGTTCTGTTGATTTGTTAATTTACAGATTTCCAAAGAAGCCTGGATCGATCTCCGTTTTCTCTTATGAACATTAGTGTCCCATGCTCTGTGTTGGCGTTCTGTTCGTGACGTTAGCGTGGGGTTATTGCTGGTGGCTGTACCGCGCAACCTTACAGAATCATATAGGGGCACATGCACAGAACTCCCCCCCCATGGCCTGGAAGCCACTTATTTCTGCTTCACCTTCTCATTGAGTTAACTGGAGAGTGGGATCAATTTATCCCCTGGCGGTGAGGCTCAAAGCTGCAGTCTTGGGGAGTAAAAACCAGGGTCAGTGAGGGTCAGCAGGGTCTCCTCCTCCACCAAATGGCAACCTAGTGCTGACAAGGTCATATCAGGACTGCCTTCTCCTGTCCTCTTTGAAGGTAAATGGTTTCCGATTTCAGGGCCCTTGTCTGAAGACTCCAAATGGGCCCTCTGGGCCCGATTCAGAGTTGGCCGTTTTCATGAGTGGAGCACATGCCGGAAATATTCTCTGTCCACACCGCAGTGTCTTCGTCTCCTCCTGATCCCCCGTCTCTTGAATCTCCGGAGAGATGGAGTTCGGGGGGGGAGGGGGGGTCCCCTCTCTCCTCCGTCCTCGCCCTCCTGTAACCCGATGGCAGAACCCGGCGTGTCTTTGCCCTTGCAGATGCAGTTCATGCTGCTGTTCAGCAGGCAGGGGAAGCTGAGGCTGCAGAAGTGGTACGTCCCGCTGTCGGACAAGGAGAAGAAGAAGATCACCCGCGAGCTGGTGCAGACCGTCCTGGCTCGCAAGCCCAAGATGTGCAGCTTCCTGGAGTGGCGCGACCTCAAGATCGTTTACAAAAGGTGATTCACCTGTCGCAGAGGTCTGTTAGGACATGGGCATTTTTAATCGCAGGGAAGATTGTGTGATGTATTGATTAGCTGCTGAGTAAAGATTCGTTGTCTTTTCCTCCCCCATACGTTCGTAGAAGCCGCGGGTGATGCTAGCAACCGTACTAAAAGAAAGTCGCACCTCAGCAGCGTATCTTGTGTTGTCCAGCCTCTTCTGGAGTTAGCCCTCTCACAGAGCGCACGTGATTGTCCTCCGGGTGTGTCAGAGGTGCGTGGCTGCTCCTTTAGCAGCTGGGTCTGAGGGTGGGGTGGTGGGGGGGAGGTTTGGGCCAAAGAGAGCAGAGCAAGCCGGAGCACAGGCAGACGGGTGGGGGAAACCAGAATGTTACTTGTGCTTCATTACCTTCCGTTGCCTTGACGACAAATGGGATTGGCTCCCGCCATGGAGCGAGAAACGCCAACCCACACGCTGGAGCAAAACGCAGCCCTCTGGGACGCTGACCAGCCCCTGACCTCAGGCTGCCAGGCAGCTCGGGCCTAGCGCCAGCCAGCCACGGTAACTCCCAATACAGAGACCTAGTGCGCCATGTGAAATAAAGACAAAACAGTGTTATTACTACTCTTTTTTTTTTCTGCAGCTCTGGTCAGAGAGGCAGCTAGTTTTTTTTTTTTTTAGAAGTGTTCTTTCTTTTTCTCTGTGAATGGGTTTAAGCGAAATATTGTCGGTTAAACATAAAGTGATTCTGCCCTCTTGACAAGCTGGCGTTGAACTGCCGTTGTTTTGAACGGCAGTGGAAGCCGCCGTTGTTGCTGCGGGGGTGTTAATACCAGCCCCTGGACCGTGATGGAGGCTTTAAAATGGCTCCCTCTTGAAGAAGTGAAACTTGGGCAAGGTGTGTGTGATGCCTCGTTGTGTAACGAGTGCTTTGTTTGCCTGGTACGCACAAATGCTCAATGAAGAAAAGGGGAAGCTCTACAGAGCTGTGTGTATGGGGCTGGCCTTGTGATCTTTCCAGTTTGTGTCTCGGTTCAGTGGTGCTCTCTGGAGCAAACTGCTCCCAATCCAAACCCCTGGCAGGTTACAGTGTGTAACGCAGATGCTCTGATAAAGGTTAATAATCCTTAAACATGGCAGATGACCTTTCTGCACTGATGAAATCTCTAACCCAGTTAGCCCTTTATATCAAACAAAAACTTGCAAGCTGCATGTTTACACTTTTTAAAAAATTGTGTGCAGACTGGTACCTGTTGTTTTCCTTTTATGCAGTAATACACACGGATCTTCAAATTAGGTTTTAGTTTTTGTAAATGTGGCCTGAGTTTCTATGGTATTACAATAAGTTATATGCTCCAGGCTTGTCTTCTGGTTCGGTGCTCCAGAGAACAGACTTTGATTTAAAGGAATGCCATGCCCTGCTGTTCTTTTCTTAATTATTTAAGTGAAATGAGAAATCTTGCCCAGTTGATGTACAGTGCTGTCAGGAAATCGGGATACCTCTGGGGGGGAAAAAAGGCTATTATTTAGGGGAGATGGGATGTTCTTGCATCTTACAAAAAATATCAATATCTAGCAGTCTTGGACCATAGGTTTCAAACACAAAAAAGTAATTGTTTTTTGACAGTGAACAAATGGAACAACAGGATCACAGTGTCACTAGTTATCTTTCTGTAAATTAATATAACTCTGGTGTCCCTGCAGACTTGTGAGGCTTTGGTCCTAACTTGTAGAACCAAGCTGGCGTCTGGGGTGACAGAGTTTGGATCCGTTTGGTCCTGTGTTCCATCACAGTCATGCTCTTTCTTTCATTTGTCTTCTGTCTTTCCCCAGACTGAATGCATGCAAGAGATGGCCTTCAGCATGTATTACAAGACATCAAAGATTTTCTTTTGTTCACACACAATAAATTGTGCTGGCACTTGTACTGGGCAGAAAATTAAGTGACAAATCCAGTAATTTTAAAGACTATCTGCCAGAATATTTTGTTACACGGTCATGCCTGACATCTTTTCCTCTGAATGGATTGATGCACAATTCAGAGAGAATGAGCATCTTTCTTGTGCATTCAAAATCAGTTGAATATTAAGCAGAAGATGCGTAAAATAATACATTTCTGTTGTTTCCTGTCACAGACTTCACAAAAGATTTTAAGTTCAATAGGGACCTAAAGTCAGTTCCTATATTTTTTCATTTTAAGAACAGTCTTGTTAAGCCAGGTACCCTGCAGATATTGCTATTTAATATAATTAACAAAGAGCTATTCCAGACAGCTTTGCAATTCCTTCCAAGATGAAAGCCCTTGGCATTTTCATTATAGTGTTATTATTAAAAATGCCTTTTCTTTAAATGACGTGTTTTATGTCCCCAGAGAAATCGAGATTTCTGTCATTAGTGCATTCCTTTCATTGCTAAAAGCAAAAACGATTGGCTGTATTTTTCCATGTTAGAATTATTATATAGGAAGAAACGGTGTAGAAATTACATCTCCAGTATGCATCACCCCAGTTCGCTGCAGTTTCCGTGGCAAACTTCTTTTCTCTCATGGACGATGGAGAGAGTCAGCTGCTTCTCATGCTCTTGCAGGAGGAGTCATGTGCTCTGGGGGGGCTCTGGAGTGGTCGTTCTTATCCTTCTCCATCGCACGGCACACGGACACAAAACCTCTGTGATACACCGCCCCTCTCCACGCACGGTTTAGACACACGCATGTCACTTTCTTAACATTCCAGCCAATACTGATATCGGTGCTTGACTGAAGCTTGCTTCAAAGCACATAGCCCCCTTATCCTCGCAGGAATTAAGAGTGAAAGATGGGCCATTCACTCAGTTGCTCCGAGACGGACTTGGTTTTTGTTTTTTTTTTATACTGTACCTGTCAAACGTGAAAAACCGAACTTGCACCCCACACTATTAATATGTAAATAACCTTAGAGCAGGACCTCTGTGTCATGTATGTACATAAATATACACAATATTTCTTTTTGCATCACTTTCAATAACTGCTTAGCCAATTTGTGGTCATGGTGACCCAAAGCCTATCCCGGAAAGCACTGTAAATGTTTAATCGTGAATTTCAAGGGGGCTCGTGCTTCTGGCTTTTTCCTTTTTTGTTTTTTTTTCCAAACTCCCTCCGTAAACAAATGCATTCGAAGTTGGGGGGGGGGGGGGGGATCAGATTCTGAAGGAGACGGACTAAACAATTAAAAAAAAAAAAATCCTGGAGAGATTTTCTGCAAGAGGATATGCAGTAAGGGGCTTTTATTCTGTGTTCCAGGTACGCTAGCTTGTATTTCTGCTGTGCCATAGAAGACCAGGACAACGAGCTCATCACACTGGAGATAATTCATCGATACGTAGAGCTGCTGGATAAGTACTTCGGCAGCGTGAGTGTTTTTATCACACTTGATGTTCCCATAGCATTCTAGTTATTTTCAGTGTAACCGCTGTGCGCTCTCTCTGTAATTTATTGCATTCAGTTTTTTTCCCTGCAATACTGATTTCCTTTGCCATAGAATGAAGAGGGAGACTGATTTTGTTACAGTTCTTTAATTGCAAAGATTACTGCTTTAATAAACAAATTGTGAATTTGTTTCTCAGGGATATTAAATCATCAGAGTGAATAGAGAACATCACCGCATTAAGAAAACAAAATGCTTTATATCAGGAAAAAGAAGGAAACCTAACATCTGATGTGGCTGCGAGAAAATATACTGGTCATGCAATGTTTTTGGGGGGGTTTTTGTACATTTGCATCTTGGCACCTTTTAAAAACTGAGGCAGCATAACCGAACTCCCAGCACAGCCCTGGTTTAGCTGTGTGCGTGTTGGAGTGGGTCACGTGAAAGGGCGCTTTCCCTTGCAGGTGTGTGAGCTTGACATCATCTTCAACTTTGAGAAGGCCTACTTCATCCTGGATGAGTTCCTGCTGGGAGGCGAGGCGCAGGAAACCTCCAAGAAGAATGTGCTGAAGGCCATCGAGCAGGCAGACCTCCTGCAGGAGGTAAGAGCCCCAGACTGGGCTGAGATCACGCTGCTGCCATGACAGATTCTCGTAATTATGCTCTATGTGATCACACTTGCTTCCTCTCGTGTCCTCGTTTCTCTTATGCCTTCTCCTTTCTGTCCGCAGCTTCTAGCTAGATACCCCTGGTTGTCTTTTCTGGGGCCCATATTCGAATTGTGAGGCAATTTCTTGATGATTTATTCAGTTCAGTGAAATTGATCCAAGTGACTGGAGTGCTTTCCACACCCTAGTCTCTCCTCTCCGTTTGCAGTCTCATTCCAGCGGCACTTTAATAGTGCAGCTTACTGCATTGATTTCTTTCGAAATCGGGCTTTTACGCAGCAGAAAAAAGACTCCCATCTTATTTAACATTATAACGTTCCTGAAAAGGCCTAGGCGTTACTCCTTGTAGTTAGTTGTTAAAATTAAAACACATTGTGTGCTCTTTCAAAGCTTCAGGGAGGTCAGGGTTGAAAAGTGAGACTGGGGTTTGGCAGAAGGGAGGCTCATACAGAAAAACCGAGGTTTTAGTGCCATTTTTGCATCTTGTAACACAAATTCTTGGGCTTTAGGGGTAGAGTTTTTTGTTTTCTCCCTTGGTCATTATGATGTGATGTCCTGAAAGACAGCAGCACATTAAAACAGGGAAAATGGGGAAGAAAGCTTCAAACACTTGGTGTGTAATGAGGGATTATCAGTCAGAAGGGGGCCAGAATGTTCTGGGCCGCAGGATGTCCTGGCACAGCAAACGACCACCACAGCAGGAGAGTTGCTGGGGTGAGTGAGAAAATGGCACACTTGCAGAACAGGCCTGCCACACCAACGTTTCGATACCTTAGAGCCTGGTTATTGCAGGAGGCACGTGGAGCTGTGCAGAAACGATGGCTCGTATGTACTGCAAATTGTATTGGTGTACAGCATTTTAAAATTAATGTGTCTTGATATAGTGATGTCATTTGCCAAAACGCTTTATACCATACGGTGTCGTGGGAAGCCGGAGCCTACCCGGCAAGCAACGAGCGCGAGGCAGGATACACCCTGGACAGGGCGCCAGTCCATTGCAGGGCAAATAAAGGCCAATTATACTTGGGGACAATTTGGAGGCCACAGTAAAGGCTGAGGGGGGGGGGAATTAAGCCCGGACACCAGGATAATAACCTACTCTTATCGAGAATGCCTGGGAATCTTTAATGACCACCGAGAGTCAGGACCTCAGTTTAATATCTAATCCGAAAGACCGCGCCCACTACATTCAAGTCGGCTGTTATTTAAATGTGCAATACTTTGATACCCAGTGAAAGAGGCCTTTTATGATCATTGCTTTGAAATGTAAAGGTTTAATATTTTTGTGAGAATGAGAGAAATTAATGAGCATTTGTGTGTACATGATTAAATTGATGCTCCCGAGTATAATTTACGGGGTTTTGCAGTCAGGGTTTTAGTCAAAGTAAATTTTATTAGTAAATCAATATGGACATTTAACTTTAAAAATACTGCAAAGCAGTAGTATTTTAATACACCATTTGTAGTATTTGGGTAGCAGATCAAAACCCAAAATATTCATATAGGTACTTTGTCAAAATGGCAAAATAAAAAGGAAAAAATAAGATGGTTGTGAGAAAGGTAAGGGAATGCCTGAATAAATCCAAAGAGTCCGTATACATGAACAAATGTGAAGATTCAGAGACATGTTCAATTGCTGTCCTGCTGTATACTGGCTGCTCTTAAACTACAGTCACAGTAGACCTCAGCCATAGCAGCAATATTAAATAATGAAGGAAAACATTGTCATAAATAAAAAATGGGGTAATTTAGACGAACCCAACTGAGCATGTGGTTTACTTGTAAATTAAATGCATTAAAATTAACCAAATCAGTGGAGCATGAGTTAATACAGCTCCTTGGGAAACAGTTTTACAGTTGATAAATGGCCGTGTATAATGACATAATAACTTGAGATATGCATGCATTTCGCTGCTCTGCAGAAAGTGTTCCATACCTCAGACAGAGTAGAAGAACAGAGGAGGAGTGTGAAGGGGAAACTAGCCAGGACCCCTTACCTTGAATAATCTGAAGCACTCCAACACAAAGCCAAAGGACCGTGTCATGTTTTTAGACAGAAGGGAGGAGCCCAGCAATGTGTTTTTTTCTTTAATTAATAATAATAATAATAATAATTGCTTACACTTATATAGCGCTTTTCTGGACACTCCACTCAAAAGCGCTTTACAGGTAATGGGGACTCCCCTCCACCACCACCAATGTGCAGCATCTTTAATACTCGGATTGTTTTTAGATTGTTAGATTGTTTTTTCAGTGTTGTGTAATTCTAGCCATAAAGCTTTAGTGCAAGCACTTGAAGTGAGTGCACATGAAGCATGTGCTTTAGAGGTGGGGGTGTTGGGGAGAATTAGCATGGGTGAGAGCTGGTAGATAACTTAACTATCTTTGGCCATTTAAACCTGTGTAGAGGCTTCGTTCATAATTTAGGGATCAGGTGAGTGCTTCTTTGTGATCCCCTTCGAAATTGCCTTACAATTGGTTAGTGACCAGAGACTTTAAAATGCAAGAAGATCTTTTTAATTTCTTAGATGTGAGGCCTGAATTAAGGGTGTGAGGGGGGGTCAGATCACCAGGTGCTCCGTTTTGTAGCCCTCGCTGGAGAGGCAATGAGAAATTGGAACGAGGGAGTACTGTTATAAAGTGCAAAATCATGGAGACAACAGCATAGTGGAGCAAAATCACTCAAGAACAAGGGAAGCTTAAATTATAGGATCTCCTTTTTTATTTAAACTAGGAGATTGCAAAGATTTGCTCTTTGGCACATTTTTGCAACTTTGGTTTTGAAAGTGAATAGACAATTGTCCAATTTTCCTGAACAAATCGGTGATGTCGGGCTTCTTGGTGTTTGCTCAAAACTGTAGTGTGAAGCAGGCGAAATGGCACAAGATGACATTTGAGTCATTTTGAAATGACCTTGCAAATGCCAACATATTTATTAGAAAACTATGAAGGATCATTAACATTTTGTTTCCTCACTGCATCCGTAGTTCAAAAAACTGAAGAACTGCAATGTCTATACAGAGTTTAGAAGCAAAATATGAGCCTTTTTCCTTTCTTTGTGGTCTACATACACACACACAAAAAATAGACTAGTTCGGATGAAAAGTCTCCTGTCATGTTCCACGTAGTCATTATCGAGAAATTCAGATTTCTACCAGAGTCTGATAGGCCTGATTTCTGTAGGTCAGAGGCTTACAGCCAGACGGCAGCTGCCGCAGAGTTTGGCATTTCCTGGGCACGAGTCTCTTTCCCTGGTTGCTGATTGTGTTTTCCGATATAAAGCCGCAGATGATGTGATGTGTTTGCAAAAGTAATTTGTGGGTAGCGATTCTTTTTTTTTTTTTTTGGTCATGCAGTGCAGTGTTCATTCAAACATTTCAATTAATAAAATTATTTTGTTTTAAAATAAATTTGTTCCATATATTGTTCAGATGTATGCGTCTAGTGTTACACAAAATACATTTGTTGCCTGTGGATCTTTAAACAATAAGTATTACAACTGACATTAAAATAACAAATATTAATACATTTTATTGTATCACTTATACCCTGCTCTTAAGTCAATTTATTCAAGTATAGTTATAAATCACTCTTCTCTGTTTTAGCCTTGCATTTTTATTTTCATTTGCATTCTGTACATACCATATAGCTACATAAAGACTAGGTTTAGATATCTCCCAAAGGAATAGGAAGAAGGGCATCTGTATTGTAGGATTTTTAATGATTAATGAAGTCTACCTACAGCATTAACACAGATTAAACATAATAGCATCCTTACAAGGTGGATGCTAATATTCCAGCAGGGTAACAAATATATCACATCTGTTTACAGCAGTCAGGTTCCATCAAGCAGTTAACCAGTACAAGACCAGGACATCCTGTCCTGGAAATCCTTTGACACATTTTCTTAAGTCAAGGCTTCCCTTTCTTTTTGTTCCCATTATCCTGAAATGGACAAACTGAAAGAACAATCTCAGTATTTCTTGATATCAGGAATCCGTTAAGAGAAATGGAAACATGGCATCAGATTAAGTACACAGCAGTCTGATTGGTTAACCATATGTTTGGTGTCTCGAGCTCCCTGCAGCTGCTAGTTTGTGTTCTGCGGACAGCTGTTAGGAGACATATACTGAGGAACCTGACTTCTTTCACTGCAGAGAGACATCGCGTGAAAGAGGATTAGAACGCTATCGCACCTGCACATTGCCTGTGTGCTCTGACCTGCTTATTCAGCTTGCAGGGTGAAAGTGCTGAGGCTGGTGTTGACCTGCTTACTGTAGGAGTGTATACAGTAAAAGTGTCCTGAGAGGACCCTTCTAAACATCAGGAAAAAGAAGCACTGTGATGCTTGTGTATGAAACATTTCTTATACATTGTCTGCTCCTCTTAACTCTTCTTGTGGAAATGCTAAGCAAGTCCTTTTGCAAAGGCTGGCTTCCTGAAAGTTTTATCAGTGTAATTCTGAAATATGTACTAGTGTAAAACTTTCTAATTTTACAGTTGGAGAGAGTGTGCTGTATGGTTGTATGTCACATTCAAAGACAAATCAGGGGGATTATTCTGTTCAAAACGAACTAGTCACACCACGAACTATTTTATCATTTAAACAAATGAGGCTTATTGATTATTTTGTAGGGTAATGTGTATGGGTTTTTTTTTTTAGATCTGCACTTTATGCCTTCTGGCAGTCCTAGCTGTGTTCCTTTTTAGTACTTGTTCTCACATTTCTCTTCTGGTTTATCTCAAAGAGCTTTTAACGCTGTGTTTTTAGGTTTTAGAGTTATGAACACAGTGTATAAACCAAGAAAATACATTTTGGCTTCCCCCTTCGTTTCGGTGGACTAATTTCTATGCTGTTCAACAGTTTTCTTCCTGAATTTCAACAATCACAAAAGACTGATAATTTTCAGGTAGAATTAATTGACACCTTCCTTACTATGAAGCAGAGGTGTACCTCGAAAAATAATAGTAGTTATTTGCCCTAGTGGATTGTAGAATAAAGGCCTCTGTTCACTACTTTCTCCAAGGCCTTTGTAGAGACAGTTTAGTTGCTGTTGGAGTTATTGATGTTGAGGCTCCTTTGGGGTTTTGCCAGGAAAGGCGCTTGTGTTGGAGTGGGGCTCATGTCAGTGCCCTGTCAGCTGGAGTGCCGCTGAGGGTAATGTAGGGGACTGTCGGCCATGAGTTCCTGGAGTCACAAGGACCCCGGCATCTTCCTGGGTGCTTGCGGTAGTGTTGGTGTAGGACCCGCCTCTCTTCCAGTCAGCTGTAAAACTCCAGTACGGAGCAGCGAAGCCTGCGATATGATGAGCAATCAGTGGCTGAAATACCAGTCGGTAGGAGGAGTCTGCCTGCGTCCTTATTCTCCCCCGTGCGCAACTGCATTGTTCAGCGCTATGAGTCGAGACGTGAAAAATACAAACTTGGCGATTCAAAACCAAGTGGCTATAATAATAATGATTGCTGACACTTATATCGTGCTTTTCTGGACACTCCACTCAAAGCGCTTTACAGGTAATGGTGACTCCCCTCCACCACCACCAATGTGCAGCCCCACCTGGATGATGCGACGGCAGCCTTAGTGCACCAGAACACTCACCACGCATCAGCATTATTGGGGAGGAGAACAGAGTAATGAAGCCAATTCATAGAGGGGGATTATTTGGACGCCATGATTGGTAAGGGCCAATGGGAATTTGGCCAGGACGCCGGGGTTACACCCCTACTCTTTTCGAGAAACGCCCTGGGATTTTTAATGACCGCAGAGAGTCAGAACCGGTAGAATCGTAGAATCGGTTTTACGTCTCATCCGAAGGACGGCACCCGTTTACAGTATAGTGTCCCCGTCACTATATTGGGCCATTAGGATCCACATAGACTGCAGGGTAAGCGCCCCCTGCTGGCCCCACTAACACCTCTTCCAGCAGAAACCTTATTTTTTCCCAGATGGTCTCCCATCCAGGTACTGACCAGGCTCACACTTGCTGAGCTTCAGTGTGTTGCCAGTTGTGAGTTGCAGGGTTATACGGCTGCTGGCTATAACATACAATAACTGATGATTATGTATTTTAAAAGAAAAAAATTAAAGTCAGCACTAACAATGGTACAGGAATAAGGGTTATGGTTTTGTGTGACATTAAAGCTAAAGTTAGGGTTAGATCTGGGTAAGGATTTGTCTAGGGTCTGGTGGTTAGGTTTGCTTTTCCTTTATTGCGTTACTCGGGAAGCAAGTTTCAAAATGCACTATGTTGTAAACAGATAGTGAACCTTCTTTCATGCTTCTGATGTAACTGTTATTTTCCGGTCTATCAGCACCCACACAAGCTTCTCTGTCCCTATGACCATAACCCACAAAACTGCTGCTAAATGCATGCAATGAGAAAAACCTGCATTATGAATTCGTAAAGGAAATACAAAATAGAGAATTTATTAATGTTGAACACATTGTGAATTTGTAATGATTGCAAAGAGTATTACAAAAAGTATTACAAATCAATATGCATTGTTAAACCAGAAAACATCACTCATCACTAATGTTTTTGAATTAATACAAATATGCAGACATATAACGTTTATTAGTTTCGCACAAGTCATCAAACAGTCCTGCCTAACTTATTTTCATGTCTTTTGTTTTGCCCTGTGAGACTGTGTCGTGCGTACTGTTGTTGTGGCGTCCCCTGTGACTTCAGACCCCCCCCAGCCTTCAAAATAAAGCAATCTCCATTTTTGTCCGAAATTCAGTTAGACCATAGTGCCACAGGTTTTGATCTGGACAAAACAGGGCAACCGATTTGTCGTGCAAATTTTGTGCATTTCTAATAATCCTCCCAATTATGGGCTCCAAGCCTACAGCTATGATGCATATTATGCTTTTTATTGCTCAATACAACGATAACACACTGCATTGAAGTTGCATTTGGCATCAAGTTGAGAAAGAAAAAGATGCCAGTTGTGCTGTCAGTGGACAAATAATCAGCTGATCATTATAGACCCAATCAGCTGTGTGTAATGACCCTGGGAGAGGTCAGTTGAGGAATGTCTCTCCTGCATAGCAGCAACTGTAGCTTCAAATGCAACTGAGTGTCAAAGAGAACCATGAACACATCTGTAGACAGACAGCTTCAGACACTGGCAGCACTGGGCTCTCTCTTAAAATGTGACTCAACATCACAAGACTGCTTGTCTACATGGATGATGGCTCTTTAAACACTGGCAGAGTGTGGCATTTCCTCTTGAGTCACAGGTCTGTATGTGTTTGGCAGAGTCTGAGCACATGTACTTGCAGTGGAAACCATAGACGCGTGTCGGAGGTCTTTGTAGGAGAACAGCTTTGTTTCAGTTGCAGGAGCATATTTATGAGGGAGGCAGATGTCGACAATTTTAGGAGTTGGCCTGGGTGTTGGGTACTGCCAAATGTAGCTGTAAAAAGTATAGGTAGCGATTTCTTATGTATTGGAACCCGATTTGGTATGATAGGACTGTTTTTCAGAAAGTGTTCAAAAACTATGTCCTAGCAGATTTGTGGAATAAACCTCAATTCACCCCTCTAATGTTAATTTTGAATAAGCCTGTGTGAAATTCCTTGGCTTGGATGTGTCATTTATAGACTTTCAGATGTATTTAATCTTTTTTTTTAATTATTCAAATACAAATTTATACTGAAGAAGATGGATTTTGTTTTTTTACCTGGAGGTCTTTAACAGAGATTTATGATTATATTCTCTTCCATCAGGAGTCAAGAGATGCCACAGTAATGTGACCAGAAGCTAGATTTAAATTTACAAAATTGGAAATTACATTGAAAAGGGATTGTTTTGGAGTCAATATATTGCCATTGGGGAAAAAATATGGAATTTTGGTTAGGTCATTTTTTTTGTGAACCTTATGAAAAGGGGTAAATGGTAAATTCTCACCGTGAAATTGTTTAATGTTTTCTAACTGCTTTATCCGATTCAGGATCGTGGGGAAGTTGGAGCCTCAGGTGCAAGGCAGGGTGTAACCCTGGGCGGTACGCCAGTCCATCACAAGGCACACACAGACACAAACACTCACTCAGTTTTGGGGTCAGTTTTCCCAGAAGCCAGTTAAGAGCTGCACGTTGTTTTTTAAACATTTTTTCATTCCTTGATTTTGGAGCAGTACTGCCTTGTGCCCGTTGCTTGCCAAGCAACGAAATATGCTGCCTGAATTGGGAGAAGTGGTTAGAATGGAAATGGATGGATTGTTTTCCACATTTTCAAATCGTTAACTATTTTGAAGAGATGTAGGCAATTGCCACATCTTTTTTTTTTTCAGGTTGAGTGTTGAACATGTTCAATTAGTCTAGACATTCCTAGCACTCTGTGAAAAGCACATTCTTACTGAGCTGGGCTCATAAGAATGGGGACATTTAGCAGTTTTCACATTTTGATATAAGACCCGCCAGACTGCTTATGAGACGCACGAAACATAGATAGAGTGATCGAATTAATTCCTCATGGAAAGACTTGGCTAAAAGATTAGGTAATGTAACGGAGGGCTTGGGTCTGAATGTTGAAGACGATGATTGATGGGAGGAACTGACCGTGAGTGATATTTCACTAACAGGAAGATTCCCTTACAGGTTTTTCCTTTTTTATCCTGTGTACGACATTTGTGTCTGACTGTGCCAAAGTTTTACATTGTATCTTCGTAAGAGTGGGCAGTGTGCATTTTTGCATTCTCTAATCTCAGGATCAAATATGAAAACCATTAATTCTGTTTTCAGAACCAATAGTTCTGTTCACTATTAATTGAGACCTTCTGCAATAAAATACTTTTCATTATAAACCTTTATTAAATCTTATACCACCTAATAGATCATTATATAAAATATAGCAGCATTAACCAACTTTGTGGCTTTAGTCAGTTTTTTCTTCAAATGTAAGCCCTTCATAAGTAAAGCGTAGATATACTTTCTTAAGGAAACATTTCAACTACATTCAGTGAAAGAAAAAGAGCTGTTTTTAAAGTTTCCATGCTCTTTAGAATTTTCTGTTTTTCTCTTGTCATTTATATGGCCAGAATCTGTAGTTCACATGAATGCTCCAGTGAGACGGAGGGCTTATTTCAGTGAAGCATTTGGCGATGCTGCTGTTCATCACAAGTCTTTTCACCTCTAGAATCCGCAGCAGACGTGTGACTTGTTTCTTCAAGGTGTGGAAAACTACAAGCAAAAACTTACTTGATTTTATGTTTGTAGAGCCAGAGTGAAGACTGGGGAGGTTTATCCACTGAGGATATCTTATAATGAGGAGAAATCAGGCCTTGGCCTTCAATGCACCTTCTTCCAGACTGTTGGTAAATACAGTAGTGACCCACTGAGCCAGCATGGGCTTCAGGAGGGAGCTATGCAGCTTGCACGGGGTATTGACTGACATGTTGCTTGGATAGTGTTGGGGGAAAAACCTGAATCCGCAGTAAAAATGCTGGGATTTCCTTTGTCTTGCATGACGAGAGTTAAAGCGTGCCTGGGGTGCCTTGCTTTTATCTTTTGTCCCTTTTGACCTAACCGCATTCTCAGTGTGCAGTGGTGGTCTTCCTGTGTTCTGCCTGTATTGCTTTCTGAGTCTCATAATTGCTCTTTTACTGACTATGTAAAAGCAAAGCATTTTTGAGGAAATTACTCCCATTACAAGGGGTGTGGAAATTCATGTATCGAAAGCTCAAGTTATTTCTTTTTTATCATTCCCTTGTCTAAATGTTAGGTATCAGATGGTGTTTGCATTTCATATTTGACTTGAATCAGTCAGTCATGTACTAATGGCAGATTATTACCTATTTGTCTGCCTCCATTACAGTAAAGACAAGAAACTGTACAGGGAAAAAATAACCAAATACAGAGGACATGAAGATTTCCTCGCCCTACTTGTAAAAAAAAAGTTTAGTTTGATATTGTGAGACTTTATAACTGCAGTTGTTGGTTTAAAGACTGAAGCTGAAACTCTTCTGGGTTGCAACGCTGCATGTTGTGCTGTTGAAAACCTAAAGGGTTTCTTTAGATTAAAAGCATTCAGTGCACTGAGAGTTTGATGTACCCTTTTATTCAAAGTGTTTTCAGCATTAAAAGAAAATCTGTTATGAAGTGTTTCCTCAGTGTTGCATTCAGGGTGGTGTTGATGTTGACAAGGATATGGGAAAGCAGTACAGCGTGTTGGTTTTTTTTTTTTGCCAGTAGCTCAGCAAGACGGATCTTGTACTCCGTTTTTAAAGGGCTTTGTTCTACCGTGTTTCTTTGCTGTGGCTGAAGCAGCTGTGGGATTGTATATTATACTTGATGTGAGAGAATCCGGTTGGTATTCATCTGAGGCAGCAGTAAGCTCACAGAGGAACGACTCCACGCAGGGTAGTGCATCAGCAGAGGGTTTTCTCCGACACCAGAAGGAGAAGTGGCCCGCCTGCAGTACTGCTTCGTGAGTGTCTGGCGTGTCACAATGGCTGTACAATTCAGACGCCGGGGAGACATTCATCACCTGGTGATGTGCAGTCTTTACCTGCCCCAGAACATCTGTCTGAGCAGATATAGCTATGACTGGAAAAAATCCAAACTCTATTCTTGAAAAGGCATATGGGGTTTGGGGGTGGGGGGGGTGGGGTCCTTTTTTCTAAATTGTTCTTTGACCCTGAATTGGACATAGATGTTTACAGTATCACATTTTCATATTGCAAGTAACTTTCTGTTTTGATGGCATACAGTATACATCTCAGTCTATTTCATTACTTATACCTGATGTGCCTAACTGTAGAATCTTCTTTATATTGGTTGTATGTAGTTTAAATACTCCATGTATTTTTAATTGCCTTTCCCCCCCCAGCAGTAACAGTTTATGTAAGAGCAGGTCAGCTGTGAAAGTCTGTGCTAAAAATGGATCATGACTGCCTTTATTCAATTTTTTTCCTGGAAACCACTATGATGTGCTTGTTTAGATCACCTCAAGACACTAATACACTCATATTGCTTCAGGTGTTTTCATAGTGTCCACTACTTTCACTCAGCTCAGGTGCATAATGCATATCTCACTTGGATGTGTTCCAGACATTTAACTCCAAGATACAGAAAAGGTATTGAGAAAATGACAGTTGAGATGTTATTGTGTAATTCATAAGCTTGATTTGCTTGAAGCAGAAGAGCTTCGACTTTTTTTTTCCCATGCATTACATACTTTTTTAAAACTTAATATTATTGCATTGCTAATGAAGGCCGAGGCCATTTCAGACTAAGCGCAAGGCCTAGGGCTTTAATGCATGCTTAATCAGGTGGATTGCAATTAAATTCAGGGATTTCTGGTCCGAAGGAGATGAACTCCATGGGGCGTAAGACGAAAATTCTTCGCAAATTAAAATATTGCAAGAATCAACAAGCTGCTTTGGCAGAATTCTGAAAATGCTGGGCTTTCCAAAACTTAAATTAAATGCGTGTGAAATGCCCTTTCAGGCAATTTGTCTTTGGCTGGGGGTTCAATATTGGAGATGAAAATGAGCAAATTCTTGTGCGCAGCATTCAGTGAAGAAGAACGACTTGAGCTTACTGGTGCAGAGGCTGTAGTGGTTGAAAACTAAGTCATTCTAAAATCAGAGAGTGTGTAAGAGGGGAATATTAGAAGATTAAAATTAGATTAAACAAAAGGTGAAAAGCTCTAATCAATAAACTACTGGCACAGTACAGGCACAATTATCTCACTCTACAGTTGAATACAGTGTTTAAATACAATTTTGTGAGTAACTCGTACACTCCTAAATGCCCTCCTCTAATCACTAATGTAATGCTACAGAATGTGCCAGCTGCTCCTGCTCATGGGCTTGGCAGTGTCTTTGCTCTTTAGGCTAACGTTCCTATTATAATACTGAAGCTTATCCTTGCAAGGTTTGGAAGTTTACCGATGAGAACAGTAGCCTATCTGTATAGCTGGGGCTGGAGTTATGTATTTTGTGACTTAATGCTTTCCCAGTCGTACACTTTTTTTTTCAAAGAAAAACAGTGCCTAGTTAATAGGGTTAGACAAATACTGCAGAGGAGAGGCCAAAATGTCTATCAAGGAAGATTGTGGGAGACAGAGGACTACTTCTGGTCCAAGTCATTCTAATTAGCATTTCGCTTGTCATGCTGAAGTGGATCCACCAGAAAAGACTGCAAACGAAAGCCCACCCCCTTGTGCGGTTTGTGAACGAGCTGGAATTCTGCCGTAGCCTGCGTCGACTACACAGCTTCGCAACCTTGTGTGGGAGCCTTTGACAGGCCATGGCATCCGCTCTCTCGCTTGTTAGGTGCTGTGGTGTTGTGCTTTCGTGTCCTGTGTTGTGCGTAGTGCTTTGTGTCCTCCAGCTTGGCCTGCTTCCTGCTGTTGAGATGATCTGGCTTGGGGAGTGGGATCTGGGTGGGGAGGAGGGATGTGCCTCAGTTTGCACTGTGAATAAGATGTTGTGCATTTCTTTCCTATAGCCACGCCATGAGTATTTTAATGTGCCTGTGTACTAAAAGGCTGTGCTGCTCATCCTGCATGCTGATCTCTCCTGGCACGAGGCTGCTTCCTTGTCTGCACTACGCTGTCTGGGCTCTGGGACTCCTGACAGTCCGTCCATTCCAAGCTGTTGTGCACGAGCTCTCATCACTGCTTCACCGTGTAATCTCTGTCATGTAGGGTACATTTTTTTTTCTTGTTTTGTTTTTCATTTCTTGCCTCTGTTATGTCGGAGTACCTCCAGCACGTACATTAAACGACTGGTGTGCTAGTAACAGAAAAAAATGTGTTTTTCAAGTACCATAGTGTTGCTGTTAATAAAGTCTGAAGAAATAGTTCTGTGTTTTTAAATACCTGTCCATGTTATTGAACAGTGGTTTGGAAACAGTTGTACAAGCCTTGTTTTAGAAGAAATGTTCAGTTGTGCCCAAATGTGTTAGATGGAGGTGTTGCTGTGAAACCCTAAGATTCTAAGATTTTCCACATGAGAAGCTGTCCTGATACCCTCTCAGTTGTTCTTTCTAAGAGTCCTTCATTCTTAGTCCTTAGTTTTTCTTAGAGGAATTTTGTGTCACTTCTCAAAAAGATAAGAGTCTTTCTTTAGTTCAGAAACCAATGTCCAGGATTGTTAATAGATCAAAAATGACTTGTGTGGCTAATTCCACTGAAGAAGGAAGTGCATCATTCAAGGTAAGAATTCTTACCAGCAAATGGACCCTTTAGGTAAATTTCTAACTGTTTTTTTCCGCACAGCAGGGATGTGTTTTTCAAGTCACCTGTCATTATTTTTAACAGTGGAGCATTTATTTTAGCATTCAAAATAATTGTTCTGCTTTTGCACAAGGTCAGCAAAATAGAGCTTTTAAATATTCTTAGGAGAGACTATGTTAAGTTTTATAAATTGTCTGGAGGTTGTTTTCCTTTTCTGTATTGGTCATGACATGATGTACACTACCACAGAAAATGATTATAGTCCATGTAAATGAATTCATCCTGTATAAATGTGTATTAAATTGCTTTTCCTCCAGATTTCTTTAGGCGCGGATATTTGTTAACTAGTTGGTGCACTACTTTAGGCTGTCACATGGATAGAGTTAAAGGCAGTTCAACGTTCCTGCTGTGTGACCTGATGCACCGAATGTTATGATGCCACTTTGAGGCTCAGGTCCTAAAATATCGAAAAGGCGAGCTTGATTTATAAGCAAGAGGAATTCCAGCATTCTGTTTTCTATCATGTGGGAAGAGGTCAAAAGGAAGTAACACATGTTAGGTGTACAAAACACTATCTCTTTATGCTGCACTAATGTAAAAAGTCTAGACATATTGGATTTCTGCTATTAAACCATACCTTACCTGTCGCCCTGGAGAATGAAAAGCTGATTGTAGGAAAAAACACGCCATGAGGTGAGTTGAAGAAGAACATCTACTGTTCTCCATGTCTGTGGAAGATGGAAGCAGTTCATTAAGAATTCGAGGAAGGTTCAGCTCTGTCTGTATACATATGTACAGTATTAACACGGTACCATTCAATCATTTGGAAACACTGTTTCCTCTAGGTACAGTACATTTCTAGCCTTGAACAGATAAATGCCCGTGTTAAGCCTTTGTGATACTAGGAACGTCATGCATCATGGGAGGGTATACAAGTTGCCTGATAAATGTTGGTTTCTCTAATTTACTGCATTTACTGTAGAGAATTGGAAATTATATGATCAACATCCCTCTATTACACTCTGTCGTTGCACTGATATATTTGGACAGTTAATGGTCTTCTCTTTGAAAATACAAACCTTGATAAATATTGGCAAAAATCATCTACCTTGTACTAGGAAATGTAGTTTAATCAACATACAAACCTGATTAAAATATCACCAGACTGTGAGTGTCATAATAGGTTTCAGGAAGGAAGTGGGAGATGCAGGTTTTTTGATGTGTCACATACCCTTAATGCAATGCTGGTGTGTCAGTGAATGCTGACGGTGCAATAGGCGTCTGAAACATTTGCTGCTCTGCTGTCTCTCAGCAGCCTAGCTTCAAACTGCATGAAAAAATTCACTGCACTTTTACATCTCTACATCTGCCTGGAGACTGGCCAAATGGCATCAAAGATCGATTTCCTCATTTTCTTTGACACTACTTGCGAAGGTTAGGAATTGCACTTATAGATCCTGAAAATACATGTGGTGCATTGGAGTATTGTGTAGAATAGTAGAAATATTCTATAATCCAGAACATTCAGCATGCGACGAAGTTAACTTCTCACATTTGGTGTTGCTTAATTTCCATGAGTAGAATTCTGTTCCGTTTACCTCCCGTTCCTCTGAGAAATGTCAAGCCAAACTGCTGAAGGAGGATTTTTACGTACACACCTGCAAGCTCATCTGTGAATACACATTCCTGGATTCCAGATTGGTATCTCATCTGGGCTTTGTTAAAAAGCCTGAACCAATTTGATTTAAGTAGAAAAAGAACTCTAAAGAAAATGTCCTGATGTGCTGTTTTTGTGGCTATACCATAATGAAGTAAGCAAGCTGTCAGGAGGGTGTTGAAGAATATTGCATAAGGTTAAGTTATGCATGGCCTTAAATTTTGCTTAAAATGGTGAGTGGCAATAGCTACTGAATGAGTTCCTTGGTTCATCCTGTTTTCCAAATTGTAATAGATTTATATTGTCCTGTTATAAATTTATGATCTAAAATTTTACGTAAAGTTATAATCTTAAACCTAACCCTACAGTATGTAAGATTATACAAATAGTGGAGTCCTGACTTAAAGTGTAGTGTATATGCACTACATACACTGTCCTCTTGAGTGAGTTTAGTTTTTTTTAAATTAAATTAAAAATAATTGTGGTACTTGACTGAATTCAGTCAGCAATAAACATTGTGAACCACTGAAAAGTTGTCATGACTTTGATCTTGTGATCTTTATAAAACAGACAGGTCAGTATGTGTCTATAGATCATGTCCACCTAAGAGTTGTGTTCTACTGTAAGTGAAAGAATCTGTGTCAAATTGTCACAGTAGTTATATCAGTGAAGAGAAAAGATTGGAGATTGGTAGTAGCACCATAGAAAACCTTTTCTGTCATTACTCATCTCTGTACACTACAGATATTGTTTTATAATTTATCCAATGATAAAGTGAAAGCCTACAGTAAAAGGACTGAAATAATTTGTTGTTGAATAAATAAAGTGCAGATAACAGCCTTATTTCTGCAGTTTTAATGTTTTAGAATGAATCTTAAGTAAAATACTTACGTTATCCTGCACAGAGTTGTTAAGCAGATTGGTTTTGATTGATTCCTTTTTAATTTAAGTAAGGGGAGTACAGTTTCTTTTCCGTAGTCAAACCTCAGCAAATGTCAGAGATTAGCGTCCTTGTTTCTAAAACCTCTGTGGCTTGTCTTTGTGTTTGTTTGACTGTGCAGTTGATTTTGCATATATTAATTAAAATCTGTGCTCTTAAAGTCTGTGCATGTGACATTCTTTAATGGATTTTGGTTTTAAGCTGGGTTACTGGTCAAATGCCAGCTATCCTGAAACAAATTCTTAACCTTTTTTCATAAACCCAATTTGATTTGTCTTGAGAAAAATGTCTTGGGTAAAATTGTAGGGTGACATTGTATACATATATGAACACTATTTCGTATATATACAAGCTATAAGTATGACATTTTAAAAAATGCTGATAAGAGTAAACAATCCTATGTAACTGAGTTAAGGCAAAAGATAAGAATTCACAGTGCTGTCTAGAAAGACTGAAGTGCCATGTGTTTTTTAGCTTTTGGAAACGACGAGGTATGTGGACCTTATGAAGCAGAAATAAGCGACTCAGATGAAGGGTCACAGAGACTGCAGAGTGTTGAGATTTTCATTGTTAGAGATGTTTAAACACTTCAACATCTTGCCTTCTGTTTTTCCAGAGATCTCTTATTGTGTTTTGGAGTCAGTTGCTGTTATGTCTTTGGTTTACGGTGCAATCGTCATGCAAGAATTTAATTAATCACCTTTTCCATACAACAGTGTGACTTTGATCGAGTAAAATTACACAGCTCCTGTGATCCCATGCTGCACTGTTCTGTGCCTTAAGCTTCCCCCTAGATTCTTTTAGTCCTATAAAATATTCAGACTTTAAGAAAAATTGTTTCTGCTCAGATAAGAGTAGAACACTAGCCATTTGTGGTATAAAAAAACATTATTATTTTCCTAAGGTGTTCACTGGATGGTGGATAGGTAATCTGTCTCCAGTAGTTGGCAGTTATGGGTATGTTTGGTTTAGTTGTTAAAATCAAAATATAAATGTTCTTCAGTGTGAAAAATGTAATGTTTTGTTTTCAAGTGCACAGCTCTGTCCAGATTAACCACATTTAGTCCTTAGTTTTGGATGGAATCAACTTTAAAACCTATGTACTGTGTATATATATGACAAAAGAAGGTGCAGAGGAATATTGTACCAAGAGGTATTTGACATTAGAGCTGGACACCATTAAGCTGAACCACAGAACAAATGGTTTGTATTTGACTATACAGTACATAGAGGTACTTGAAGAAAGGCACTTGTGTATGGTTCCACATTGTCCATTACAAAACAAAATGTTCTGCAAATAGGTTGCAGAAAATGAGTTTGCTATAAATTAGCATATCCGTTTCATATTTTGGTGAGGTGTGACTCTGTATTTGTGGTGTTTATGATGTTCATTTCAATGAAAATGAAAAAGAAATTCAAACCTTCTGGGGTCCGTTTTATTCTTATATTCAGCTGAATTCATTTATACACATATCCAAAATGATGTCATGTTCTCACTGTAATGACTGTTAAACAACAGATGCTTTTTAATAAGAATATATTGAAATGGCTCCAATTAACAAGCTCCTGCTTGCCTTCCTTAAGGTAATTGGATCAAGTAAGCGTTATTTTATCCAAACTTGAGGGAAGAGTGTAGGTACCCTGAGCTGGAATGCTGTTTTAAACCAGTGGGTGGGTCAGCATTCTTTTTATACTTATCACGGACTGAGAACTGTGTCTGAATTCTGAATTTGTTTGAAGATAGAATCTTAAGTCCCAAACAAATGAGTCAAAAAGGTTTTCTTTTTCATATAACATAAAACCCATTCGTAATATTCTTTGAACTCATAACATTTCTTCTCTTTACTTTTTGGCAAACGTCTTGTTAGGATGCTAAAGTAAGTGTTGGTAACATTTTGCATTTAGCTTTTGGAAGAGACAGTAATGCTTTCTAGTAGTCTTATTCCCTTACAATTTCAAATGTGTTTGTGTGCATATACCAAAAAAACAAATTCCATTATTGAACTGTGCTGTTTGTTCTGTATAAATGGATTATGGGAATTAAGTTTCACTGTATATGTTTCACTAAAGAAAATAAAACAACATGAACCACTGACTAAAATTGTTATTTAACTATTAACATTAACTTATGTTCTAGATATACAGCTTGTATTGTCTGCATTAAAACAAAAAACAGACTTGGAATTGACTAACACATGTCAAATGTGACCCCAGAGGATTGTTCTTACAACTGTGCAAGTGCTCTTGAAAATAATATAGAACATAAATGTTTAACGTTATTATCTTAGAAGCATAGTAATCAAAGCAAGCTGGGGGTTCCTGGACTGAATTTTGTCTTTGCTTACATGACATTATTTGCTTCAAGTACTAGAATCACCAGACTGGGGTTTGTTTTTTCTGTCTCCGGAGAAAAATGAATCGGGGTATTTTCCTAATTGGCGCGACAGCAGTCCATGTACTACATCGAGTCAGGTTCACAAGAAGTGAATCAGCCCCTTAAAGGTACTGGAGGAATAGTAAAGATGTTGGTTCAGACACTGATCCTTGCTTCTGTTAGAGAGGCTTTCTTTTGTTTAAAATGACAAAATCTCAAACGGAAGCATATATATCCAAACATGTTTTTTTTGTTAGCAATAAAAAAAATCTGAAACTTGTTTCCCAGTATCCATTAAAGAGAAACATTCATTATTCATGGTTCAGTAGTTCATTCTTATTTTTTTTTTTGGTCTTTTGGAATGTGAATAGAATTGTATGGAGCGTTGCGAAAAGAAGAAAAAGAATGGTCCATCAAGTGAACAGTCTTTATAATCTCACCTACGCTCTTTCACCAGTGGCATTTAGTGCACCAGAGTCATTAAGAAACAACATCTTCTCACAGCATCATCTCAGAAGCTATGCATTCTTTTAGAAACTCCTTCATTGTTCTCGTAACCTCATTCTTTTGTTTTCTGTAGATTCATGAAGCTTTTTTTGTCATATTGTGCGTAATGGCAGCTCCCATTAACCTGTGCTCAGTGTTAAAGGACAGTGTCTGGTGGTCTCTCCCATGCCTTTCCCCCTCACCTTCTGTGATGCTCTTCTCCCTTCCTGCAGGAGGCAGAGACTCCGCGCAGTGTTCTTGAAGAAATTGGACTGACATAAAGCTGACCCACCACCACCTTTTTCGTCTCCAGTTCTTGTTTTTCTCTGCCTACTGTTTCTGTGTCCTGCGAATAATGTAACGCTAACTGTACTCATGGTGCTGTGTCAGTAATGAGGCATCTTATTCTTTTCATTTTAAAAAAATATTGGTACTGCATACACAGTATTGCACTCTACAGAATTAAAATGAGTAACAAAGGGATCACTTGATTAAAATTTGTGTTCACTTTCAGAGATATTGAAACTGCCTTAAGATATCCAAACAGTATTTCTGATGTGGGAAGGATTCAGATCGAACTGTGCGACTTTCATTTCTGTGTAGCTGTAATGTAAAAACAAATGTTGGAATGCATTTTAATCTGAAGAGTCAAGGGTAACAAAGGACTGTCATAGTTAGATAGCCACCTAGGTTTAGGTTATATAGGTCCTTTGGAGTTACATGCACCATATCTTTAGGTCAGTTGTTTTTGCTTTTCCTAACATGTAGCAAGTCTCAAAGGAAATAGAATGAAGGTTTTAGAAATTATTCTTAATATGGGGAGACGTAAGTGGTTCAGGACCAACACTTAGATTACGGGGACAAAAAAGATGGGCAGGGGGTTTGTCACTTTCAGGGCCTCTTTAGTGTTTACAACCAAAGAAACACTGTGTTAGTATTCATATACTTTTGTAAAACAGAAATTATATTTTGGGAAGAACTTTGCATATTATTTGTGATGTTAAAAGGGAAGAGAGAAAGGGATTTATTGAACCAAAGAGTTTTTTTTTTCCTTTGCCAAGCCTAATATCCTAAAGTAGTGGTGCAGTTCAGTACTGCATACCATGAAGTGTGCTGGCAATGGATCACAGTACAGTAGAGGTGAAAATACTGTTAAAACCTTTGATATCACTACCTGATACGTGAAATTTAGCTCTATGATATGATATTTTGTGGTAAATAGCATACAGTATGTACCCATCGACATTTGACTGTGATCTTTAAGTTTTTTATGGCCCTGGAGAACTTTAACAAAACCTTGATTGGATTTCCTTTAAGAGGTATTTCTTTCCTTTGTGTAGGTCACTGGCCCCAACTTTAATTTCATTAGTTTAGATATTCTCTGTCATCACTCGTGTGTCCCACAGTGGAAAGGTGTTGTGTTTTGTAATGTTGTCTCTGTAAATCAATGTTGCAGTGTTTGTTGTTCAAATAAATCTATTTACACCACTTCAGCTTTGTGTGACATTCCCTTGAGCAGTTCTCCAGATGACGAATAATAAGAGGCTTCACAAGCTTGATACCAAAACTGACTTTTATGGCATCTTGCCCTGATCTTGATCTTTAGCTAAGGCAGCTTTTAGTACTCAGTTTTTTGGAGTGGAACATTTTGTCAGTTGGAAGGGATGAAAGACCAAAGATAATGTTTGCATTAGCTTGTACAGCAGATTAGAGGACTAGGCTGCATCTAAAAGGGTTAAATTGGTTCTGTTGAATTCTAGTTCATATCCCCCTCAAAATAAAACTGAACACAATAGCACTGAAGCTCACAAGCAGAGTGGGTTTGGTCACGGGATAAGGAGTCAGCCAATTTTAAAAATCTTGTAGATTTTTCTGGTTGGCATACAACAACAACACCAGTGTGTCACTCCTCACAAAAAAAAAATAAGCAGTTCTAAATAAAGGAATTTGTCTTGATTAGAATGTATTCATGGCAAACAGTAAAAGAGAGGCAAAAGAGAAAGTTCAAAGCAAGACTATATACAGTGTGAAGTTAAGGTTCAACATTGTTGCAGCTGACATGTCACTACAAGTATCCGTGATGTTCCGATAACCACACAGCTGGTGTGATAACGTACAGTACTTGTTTTCAGCCTCTTTGTATTAATCTGGAACGGCTTCTTATTGAATAAATGCATTTTATAACGGATCATGTGTCATTGCAATATGGCCACACTAAGAAGGGCTGCGAAACAAGGATTTGGGATTTATACTATTATAGGCGGTCCCCCTTCGACATTGCCTCACTTATGTCGTTTGATGAATGGAGGAACGCGACATAAAAAAATCCCCATGCATACATAAAGTCGTGAGTCCTCCCATTAAATCTTCAGCTTGTGTACTCAGTATGTTCAGCAAAGTTTCTATGACCTTTGTAGTCTCAGGCTGACTGCCTGTTACTTCAACTTCATAGTGTCGTATCTTTGCAGTCCCTTAACAATAAAGAAGTATGAACTGCACTGGTGCTATGCTTACATCCACGGAAACGTGTCGGCATTATGCTGAAAATTCGATGTAATGTAGTAAACTGGGTGAATGAGCAGTGGACATTGGCTGTGCCCTCAAATCGCCACTAAGGTACTAAGTGCTAATGAAATATATAGGATGGCTAAAAATACCTTAAAAGTAAAAATAACAGCAAAGGAGTGAGATAATGAAAAAAGGAGTGATTACTGACATTGTGGATTGAAGATCTCCAATACCAAAACCCTCCAAATCAGCTTAGCCCTCATTCAGGAGGAAGCCTTAAACTTTGTTATAATGGCTACAAAATAGTTGGGAGCATTTACAGTTATGCAAAAGAAAGGCCGCTCGTGGTTGCTTTCACTGTTTTTAGAAACAGTACAGAACCTACAGCTGGGTGCAAAACCCTACCCATTCATGTTCCAGGCAATCCGCTTCCCACTGGGTAAACTGAAAACCTCCTGCGGAGTGGTAGCTTTGTACAACTGAAATTGAAAACTACATTCCTGGAAAAAGTGTGAAGAAACAGGACACTTCATTTTGCCAACAGAAGACTTTTAAGAAGTCACACCAAAGGTAGATGATAGTTTAATGCAAACTCACCAAGAAAAGAAAAAAAATGTATCGTAACCATCAGAAGATCTGAAATACATCCAAAATACTGGAATGTACCTGCCTGTATGCAAAACAAAGGATGTAAGGGGGTATTCCATATCTAGGTTGGAGATGTTTTTAACAACCATAATTTATCCTAGTTTTGTGGATGTTTAACCAAAGTGTATGCTAGTCTTGGAAAACTTCAGGTATATCAAAAGTATAACAACCAAAGGACTAAAAAAGGTAAAAAAAGTAACATTTATTTACATATCACACAATTTTGTTTATACAGAAATGTGTTTTATGAAAGAAAACACTTCCTCTATACAGATGACGGAGTTTGGGCGTCAACTAAACATCAGAGCAATACTGACTTTTGAGATTGCTTAGGAAGTCCTTATTTGTAGAGCTGGGTAGTGACTGAAACGTACAGACCACACTCCCACTTTGTCTTCTGTACAGTTAACTCATCAGCAAGAGACACCACATTAACAGGCGGCCTACAGAGAAAGGTGAAAGGGCCATAATGTATTTAACCAAACCAGATTGTTCAAATAGTTGGTAACCTTTATGTTCCAATTAATTTAGTCAATTGCATTTTTTTGTTCTTTTAATTCTAGACATAAAATATTTTTCTGCTACCAAATGCAGTAGCTTATTAAACCACAAGATCTGGGAATGTGCTTGCAGAATGTTTGCTTCTAGGACCTCCTGCTGGGTGCAAACACCTGCCCGTACCTGTTCCAGGCAGTAAACTTTCTGCTGTGTATACCGTGTGAACTAAATAACCAACTGCAGACTGGTAACTTTGTACTACAGATTCTTCATTTTTAGCTTTTCGGAAATCTCTGCCCCTTCCCCTCTGTCCCTCTCTGGCACGCCGAGGTCTGAGCCTGCACACTGGCCCGCCTGTGGACTCTGGGCAGCGGAGGCGTTGTCTGTGGAGACGGGGGTGGTGGCCCTATCGCGGTGTATGTGCTGAGGAGTGAGGGCCAGGTTTGTACCCCCCTCATCTTCTGAGGATTTCTTTGAACCTGGTGATGGACTCGCACTTGGGGAACTGCTTCTCCTCTTACTCTTCTTCTTTTTGCTTTTCTTTTTCTTACTCTTCTTGGTGCGTTTGTGGCGGGGGCTCTTGCTCCTCGAGCACCTGGTGCTCCCGCCGCCTGGCCGTCCGGGGCTGCCGCTCCGGCTCTTCTTTGCCCTCCTCTCCCCGCTGCGACTCCTGGACCTCGGCCTTCTCCCCGAGGACCTCGGGGAAGGCCCCCTCCCCCTCCTCCTCTCTCTGCCTCGACTCCGGGACCTGGACGCGCTCCTGCCCTTTGACCTGTGCCTCTCCCTGCTGCGAGACGAGCGTCGCTTCCTGCTTCTGGACCTCCTCGCCCCAGCCGGGCTCCTGGACCGCTGCCGTCTCCTCCTCTCCCTGCTCCTGCTTCTGTAACTGCTCCAGTGCCTGTCCGATTCCCCGTTGCGCCTGTGCGTGCTCTCGGGGCTGTAGCTGCGCTGGCGTCTGCTCCAATCCCTGTGCTCCGACAGCCGCCAGCTGAACTGGCCACCCCTGTCGGGGGACACGTTGAAATCTCGGTCTGCCTCCCAGAACTCGCTGTTGGGATTCTTGTACACATGAAGGAAGTTGCAGTGCTTGCCCCTGGGGCACTTGTGCTTATTGAAAAGCCCTGTTGACAAATAAGAACAATCTTTCACAAATATGGCTGAGAGATGCAACTAAATGAGCAAGCAAGAAGGACTTATTATTATTTCCCAAATACGCATATATGTAATTTGTAATCACTTGTCACGTGACATTGCAATGCATAATAATAATAAAGCAAAATTAAAGCCAGAAAAGGCCAAATAATTTCAGAAGAGCTGCAGAAACCCGAGCTATCTCTTCAGAAAAGAACTTAACCTCTTCAGAAAACCGGTCAGCAATGTCAATGTACTCTACCCACACACCCCCCCAAATAAAAAGAATTTTAAAAAGTTTGTTTTGCATTTGAATGTGCTTCTTTTCTTGAACCATTCTCAGAATGTTCTAAATATGACAAGTATACTTGAAAAGAAAAGATTAGCACTTTTGTTTTTCTCGCCCTGCTTACCACACAGTGCCGTCTTCCACCGGGTCACTGGGGAGAACTCGCACTGCAGCTGTTTTCCTGCATACCAGCGGCCATTAAACAGCTTGAAGGCCTCATTGCACTCCTCCTCCCTGCAGGCAAACCACAGCACAGACCATTGACAGGCAGTACTCCATCAGCCCACGCACATCACAGACTTGGCTATAAAGCACCAGGGGGTTTACACTGAGAAACAATATCGAGACTAATATGAACTATGAAGGGTAGCAAGGCATTCAGACTAAGAATTCAACACTTAAAGCTAAATGTTAATCTAACTTTATACAGGTTGATGCAGCTTTTTAAAATAAGTGTCAATTTTATGTACTCATTAAATGTCTCACATTTCCTCCATTTAAAGTCTAAACTATAAAAATGTGTACTTATAGAAGCCACAATGCCTTTTATTTCCTGTGCTTCAAAACTGATTCATAAATCCAACTTAAAAAAATAACTTACTTTTCATATTGGACATACACATTTCCTCTCAGGTGTGGCTCAAAATTGCAGCTTACCTGTAACAAACCAGATCACAATTGAGCACGTCTTGATCATGTGTTAGTCCTGTCCAATAAGGGTTTGAATAGTATAAGACTGTCAAAGTATTATAAGAATTAATATTAATATTATGTTACAACTTAAATGAGAACTGCTACACTATTTATGGCCTATTGTAAAAAAGCAGGATGGTGAAAGCATCTCTTTTAATCCAACAGAAATACTTTCTTTTTTGAGATGGCTGTCGACAAATACTACTTAACTCTGCATGCAGATCACATGGAACATTTTTGTGGTGAAATGTCTCCTGCACAGCCTATTTTTTGTTAGCCTGTACATCACATTGCATTAGTAATGACAGTGACTTGTGAGCAGGAAGGGCCGCATCACGTCACAATTCGAGGGAACTCGAATACGGGTTTGTGACAACGTGGCAACTTACAGTACTTTCATAAATGTTCACGATTTTGCGCTTAGTTCGAATTTTTTACCTTTTTTCTATAATGTCAATTAACTTATTTTGTTACCGATATTTAATAATCTTTGAGAAATTGGGACTGCAGTTCCCCTTTAACAGAAAGCTTCAAATCGAGTTTTTTTCAGTCTGCAGATTCTACTGACAACATTTTTCTTACTCTCACAATCTCATCAGCATGGTGACATGGCAGTTAGCTCCAGGGAGTCAGACTCCAGCTAGGCGTCCCTATGTGTGTGGTGTTTTCATATCAACTCCCCCATTCCTCCCTGAATTCATGTGGATTTACTACTGTGGGTATTCCAGTTTCTTCCAAGGTTTAAAACAGTCTTGTCTGACTAACTATTCTTTTTGTCTGACTTGTCTGTCCCTTGAGTTTGGTTCAAATAGATTCATATGTCAGGTTTGCTCCCAGTAAAACCAGCAGTAGCCATGGGCAATAGAACCAGACTAATAAAAATACATAAAAACATGTAAAAATGCATTATGTAATGAAGAGATGCACTTTTGTGCAGTTATAAATACATTCCAGGTTAGGACTGTCAATTCTTTTTTATTCCTTACTAACCTGGAAGCAGGATCAAAAGAAATGTGGATCATGCATAGTCTGCCACTAAAACACACTGTCATTTGTAATTTGGTAATATCCACAGAGCTTTACAGTAACAGCATTGTCTGGAGGAGTGATTGGAATCTCCTTGAGAATTACCCAGTATAGCCAATGTCTCAGGTGACAGATATGTAAAGAAATTGCACAATTTAATTGCCTACTATTTATTAAGATGCTCTTCATTATAATAAATCCTCCCTCGTATCATATATAGAAAAATAAAAAAATCTTTTGACTTATGTGACCAAGCAACTGGTGAGGGAGTTTCCCCATTTGTGGGTTACTGCATACTTTTCTTCTGTCAGAAATGCAACATTTGGAAAACCTGTATTCAAAGCTTTTCTGCCCGCTACCAGCAATTGCAAACAAAGTAATGTCACTTTCACGTGAATATCTTTCCCCAGAAATGGTGATAATTCCTGCTGTGGCATCCTGACATCTAGTCAGGAAGCCCCGATAATCCTCAGCAGCTGAAGTTATTGCTCAACAGTGCACCACTGCCTGAAGAATCACAGGCAGAATCAGCTAATGCCAAAGTTCAGCTGGCTCAACAGGTCGGCATCCTTTCACATATTTACTCTCAGGGGCCTGCTTGAGAAGCACATTTGAGATAGAACATTATTTCTATAGCACAGAAAAATCGCAATTGCACAAAACAGCATTTCTTGTTTTTGGCAGGACATGGGTTAAGAGTGAGGGAATGTACAATAATGTTTGTGTAGGAAAAATGCATGACCAGAAAAAATAATGCTCAAGCCCAAAGGTCAATTCACAATTAATACCATTTTGCCTGTTGCAGGTATAGGCTCAGGGCCCAGACGGATGTGTTTTAATAAAAAGAATGAAGGTTAAACATGAGTACATGCATGTGAGAAATTACCTTGAACTGCACCACCTTTCCCACAGTTTTGAACTCAGGGAGCACATCTTCATAGAACTCCAGGAACTGCTGGAAGATCTCCTCTTCACTGTACTCCAGGCTGGCATCAGTATCGTAGTCGTCACGGCGGCTCTGTTCCATTCCGAAGGTCAGGAACATTCCCCGGATCATCATAGTGGTGCTGGAGGTCAGGTGCGTGTGCTTACGAGAACACCTGTGTAAAACATGTTTTTGATTGATTTTTAAAAGCCCTCAAAGCACTCGGCAATTTACTGTTCCAATTTCTAATCGTTTCAGTAAATTAAAAACCTTCACATACTGTATGCTTATTATTAGACCAAGTCCCATGATAACTTGCGAAGAACATGGGAAATGTTTTAATAAAAAGGGAACTTTAAGTAGAGCTACCACTTATTAACAATTAAATAGTAAGTTAAAATACTAATAAAATTGTATAAATATACTTTGGGAATTCTAATGTTCATATATCTTAGTTCTTGCTGTTTTCAGTATACAGGCCAAATTGTATCCTTAAATTTGCATAATGGCTTTAAAATGGACTGAACGTAGGTCATTTATAATAATACTTTATTACACTTAATAACATTTATATAACACTGTAAATCCCTGGGTGATGCACAGCACTCCTTATGCACCTGCAGCCCCTGTACATAGACTATCAGGTATAGAAGTAAAACATTTCTCTTTTTTTTTTTCTTTAATTGGGCATTTAAAGAGATTCAATGTGCACAAATGGAATTTAGCCGGAACACTAGTGCTAACATCCCAGTTCCTTTAATGGTTAGAGAGTTAGAACATTTGTTTAACATTTTATTTACAGGGTGTACTTCAGAACAATGTACCTGGTCATACTAGCATTAGAATGGAAATTCTGGTCCAGAGGGAAAAGTACCACTTTCTGGTCTATCAAGACAACTTAGAACCTGTTTAGTTCTTGAGGGTCTGTCATTCCAGTAACTTCCCAGGTCTAGCACATAGTTTCTAGGTGCAGACAATTTAAATAATTATTTTATGTCACTTGAATTATAGTTATGTTAGAAGTCAATCTCTTAGATGGTTACACTTAGGGTTTAAAGTTCTTTAATTACAGCAATCTTGTCAAATTACTATCTTGCTTTACTCATAAAGAAAAGTGTCATTATTCATATTGTTATAGTTTAAGGTGAAGAAATGCAAGAGCACAATGAAAGTAAAACTGATTCTTAATTTTACTTCATTAAGTGTCTGAACAAGCTTCAGATTATTTTTGTTTCTTGACAACACAAATCAAACAGTTATTTTCCTTTGGTTTAGGGTTGATTTAACAGTATGATGGCTGTTAGTTTATTTGATTTTTTTTTAAATCAAAGTGAGACAGTTTTGCTGAGATCATGTATGATAGCATTGGTCCTTCTTTGATTTGACTTAATTAATTTACCAGTGTTGTTACACAGTCCTAAAGTTCAACTCAAAAAGCAATAAGACTCATACTGATCGACTTATAAGTCGAGATAATCTTTGTGTCGAGATAATTTTTGTGTCAAACAATACAACACATTTGGAGAGTTTATATTACTAAAAAACACCAAACTTTCTATTAATTTTCCGTCAATTAACTATACACCAGGTGAAAAGGCTATATCCTATTTGTATTGGTAATAAGACGATAAAGGTGAATCTCTAACTGCTTTTCATCTCATCTTGTGTGTATCCTGAATTCCACATGTGAGGGAATGAGGGCAAAAACCAGATCCATCTGTATAGTGAGGTCATGCCCAGGCAGATCTGAACTGTGATATTTGAAATTGATTCAGCTTATGTTTTCTGTATTTCCATCATTTGTGATTTATCCTGCATCATGGTTAGTCCTGTCATTGGGATGCACATTCTCCTGCCACGCTGTGTTTGCTCAGCATGCCACATCAGTGCTTTCATTCCATACTGTTACCTAACCAAGTCGTGCAGACTGAAAACAGTGTAACAGCTAGTTCATGATCAGAATAGCTCAATGATGGTGCATCCAAATTGCTCTTTGCTATCCGCATCAGTCTGCTGCAGTGGTTATGTCAACTACTCCACAAACTGAAAAGTCAGGAGAACATTGATGACAATTTAATTAAATATTCAAAATCACAAATTCATCTCACATATGTTTTTTTTTTACTCTGCAAAGGAACAGGTAAAGGTTTATTTCATGCTGAAAAGAGAAGAAAAGAAACACGTTTCGGCTGTGTTTCCTTCTTCTTCGGGTGCGTTTTTTACCCTGCTGTAAAATGTGCAATACTTTGGACGAGACAGTGAACCAGTAAGAAAATGAACAAGCATTCAAATTGCTGTTCTCAAATGTGTATGTTCACCGTCAGTTTTTATAATAATGTGGATCTATCTAGCGCACAGAAAACAAAAACAAAATGCAGGTAGTATTCTCCTAAAGCGGCCATATATTTGGTTTCTCCGATCTTAGATGGTGCCTGATTGTAGCGAATGAGGGATGTAATTCCTGCTCGTTTTCTCAGATTGCAAATGCATAGTTCTGTACCTAATGATAACATTTTTAAGGCACAACAGCAAACATAAAAGAAACTGAGCAACACTGTACCTGTCTCCAAACCGGCAGGCTCCTGTCTTGAGAAAGAAAGGGCAGTTTTCCCTGTCTTTCTCTGTCCCATAGTCCTCTGGGGCTTCAGGGTTCACCCATGTACCACCATTCCCTAGCTGTGCCGCAATCACAAATGAAAATTCCCAAGTCAGTGTTTATGGATTTCTAGAGCTCACACTGTATTGATAAAGTACACAGCCGTATTACAATTGTATGTTATACAACCTCCAGGGAAATTTTAACAGAAGTAAGGATTCTCCATGGTTTAAGGGTAGGATAATAACCAAGAACGTGCTGAAAACAGACTACTGTAGACTTGCAGAAATAAAAGACAATGTTGGTTTTAACATTAAGCAACAAAGGTGATATTATACCAACCTGACTTTCTGCTTCATCCAGCATTTTCTGCACAGCCTCCTACAAATGGTGCAAACACAGGACTGGTAAAGACCCTGAAGTGGGCTAGCAGATATCTGTTAACCTTGGTTAAGAATATATATGTAGCAAACATCATAGTAACAGCAACAGTTAGAGTATATGCCCCAACACAGGAATACAGAAGTATTAAATACTTCATATTCAGTGGGCAGTAGCATCAATACTACAATCTGGTCATTAGGCAGTAAAGCCCTCAACCTCTACAGAAGAGATTCTTTAAAAATACATTTCTCATATATGGAATTTATTATCAGATAACATTTATTTTCACAACAGCTGACCACTCAACTCTTTACCTACTTTGAGTTAATACATTTAAAATACGAACATTCTGGACCATTTAATATACTTTATCACTTTATCTTCCCCATCACACATTTTCTTCACCCTTTTATTGTGTTTATATTACAAACATGTCTGGAGTTACGAGGGATGTAATACTAAAACTCTATTCTATTTTTCACAACTCTGTACACAAAATGCAGCTCGCCTTTGGGCATTTTCTTCACAGGGAACACAATTTCTAATTGCCTCTCAGTCTTGTTTCTTTCAACTATATCTACCTTAAAGCAGCGTTAAAAAACAAAAAGACATGAAAATAAATACGAATAATTCTATTGCAATAAAGATCTTTTACTCTTTTACATCTTCCATGGCACGAGCTAACTCTGGATTTAGCTCAGGTCTGGAGGCACTATGGATTACAACAACAGCGCTTTAATATCTGACTCTACAGAGCTGATGGGCACTATTAGACGTTGGCAGTGTTCCTGTCACTTCCAGGAATTTTACTTCAATTACCCAGCTTGACAGATAATTAGAGGCTTCTGTGATGAACAAAACTAATTTCAGACCATTGCTTATATCTTTGAAGAATGAATATGGATCACATTTTAAAGAGTGTGAAGATCCAGACCCTTTCAAGAATTGCTACGTTGGGAGAAATCTGAAAATGTGAGCACCCAACGGATACTACAAAACAAGTTGGTATCGCCCCATAGGTAAGAGGAAACAAATTAATTTCCTCTGCTGAGGTCTGAAGCTCTTATTACTTTTAATTCTTTGCTTTTTTTCCCCCCAAAATGGCCCAGTACAAGTACCTTGATTGCATATATCTGGGCATGGTTCAGCGAACTGAAGAGTGCTTTCACAAGGACCTCATGTTACATGTGAAATAATGAGGGCTGAACACAAAATCTAGTTGTGCTGAAACTGTCAAGGAAATATCTATGTTGTGCATATATTTATAGTTTTAAATGGGTTAAAAATAAAATCTCTGGTTCTTTAGTATATAAAAATTAAAATGTTGGCAAACGTTTTTCATATTAAAAACTGAAAAACAGGTTTATCGAAAGGAGAAGTACATTTCTCATAATTTTTAAAAGTTTTCCAACATGTACGGAATAAAACAGTCAAAATTAGTCTGAGTCAAGACAACCATTAAAGCAAAAAAAAAAAGTACTTAGGACACATATCATGGTCGCATATGCCCAACTTTCTGAGAGGTTTTCAGCTTTTCACTCAAAGCAAGCATATGCAACAGTGGTATTAATGCGTATTTCATTTCAAATGCAAACCTTTTTCCACACAGTTATGATGAATAATATTGATAAACATATGCATTTTATTTTGAGATCAGTATATTTAGCTTTAAAATCTAAAATAATTCATGATGGTCTATTTAGCCAAACAATAACAGCAGAAAACCTAATTGCATTATAAACTTTTACAAATAAAAAGATACTTTCTCATCCAGGGGAAGCAGGTGATCTGCAGTACAGTATCTCTTTGAGTTTATCTTGGTTAAGGAAGATCAGCAATGAATGGAACACAGCTTACTCCAGAAAAATAAAACAATTTTCTTAAGATTGTTAAAAAAATTCAGCTTTAACATTTTTTGTTTATGGAGACAGCAAAAATACAACTTAGATTTTTGAAATGTCAGAGAGAGCCATTCTGATATTTTTCATGTCATGTACAGTGCTTTGAATGGCACTCAAATGAAGTCTTCTTATATTCTATCATACATTACTATATTTCTATATTACTATAGAATATTACTATATTACCAAGTTCTATTTATAAAGTCAAATGCTAAACAAATAAGGTAAAGAATCGCTTGCCTTCAGACTTGAGACCCAGTTCAAAAATTAGAACAGCACACCATTCTAAAACTCAAATGTAAATACCAATCAGTAATGACAACAGATCTACTCACGTGTAAATAAAAATATCAGGTGGAGAGTTACTGAATCACTAAACTAAGAGAGGATGGCATAGGGGAATAGTGGGTAGCATTGAGCCTTGCAACACTGGAGCCCTGGATTGCCATCCGTGTGGAGCCTGCATGTTCTCCCAGTGTGCTCATGGGTTACTCTGGGTACTCCAGTTACCATCGCCCAAAAACATGCCAACAGGTTAATTGTCTTCTTTATAATTGGCCCCAGTGTGAGTGTGTGTGCACTGCAATGGTCTAGCATCCCATCCAGGGTGTATCATGCCCAGTGCTTCCCGGGACAGGCTCTGGGCCACTGTGACCCTGAATTGGATAAGTAGTTACTGAAAGTGATGTGATGTGTGAACTAACAGAAACAGGTAGGATATGCTGCTCTTTAGCTATCCTCCAAGAGCAGGAATCACCTCTCTTTCTCTCTTCTCCTGCTGCTTCTGCTCTCTCTCTTCCTGCTCTTTCCTCTGCTGCTCCTCCCATTCCTCCTTTATTCTTCTCTGCAACAAGAATAAAACAAAGTCACTTTAAATCCAAAAAAGTTTAGAAAGGTCCATAAGCTAATAAAAACAGAAAGGACACATTTATAATGAAAGGTGTTACTTAAACAAGTATCAGCACTTTACAGGATGACAATAACAATAAGAAGACTACAACAATAGATAAGAAGATTTCACAAGATAAGACACAATTACAATTACAACAATAACAATAGAGGAGACCGTGGAAGTGGTACTACGAAGAGCAGAGAAGTGAAGAATGGAACCAGTTAAGTAAAGGCTTTTCTGAAGAAGAAGGTTTTGAATCTGGATTTGAAGGAGTTTAGAGAAGGTGACTCTCGGATATCCTTGGGCAAAGAGATTAACTGCCATAATGGGTATCTATTATCCTCCAGCTGCACTCTGTAACTCATGCATGTACTGAGTGCTGCAAGTTCACAAAGTTAGCAGAAAATATTTATTTTTTCTGTGGCAAATATACTGACATTTCATTGAACAGTCATGATATATTTCAATTTCTTCAGCAGAAGGGTCAGCAAGTGAGGTCTCAGGACCTGACCGATGCAGTGACATACAGTCAGGATGTAGTAGGATCTTGTAACAACTAGACACTTCTGCCCAAGCCATTACATTTGGACCGCATTGACTGGTCTGCTGTGAACAATTAGCATATATTACTGCATATCTGAGTCACATCGGGGTGATCCACACAAAACCTTGCTAAATTTATCATCCAACAAGTTCATTTTGGCTGACAAGTTCATTTAGGTTATTGATCTTTTGTTTTTTTCTTGATATTCAATAGGTGTGACATTTAATAGATTAAATACCAAAAACATCTATGCCCAATCAACTTTCTAATCAAGTGACTGAGTGTTTGTGCCACAGTTATAGTCAGCCAAGGGTATTACATTATGTTCTGAATGATCATGTAGTCAAAAAGACACCCAAAATATTTAATCAATATCCATACACTTTTTTTCTAAAACCATACAAGGATAATATGATATGCTTCTTCTGATCTAATTTTCCGATTAAAAGTAAATAATATACATGCTGGTCACTTAGCATTAGTTCTATTTCACCATATAAGGTTTAAGATAGTTTTAAAGACTTCATAACAGTGTACAACAGGGGAAGGGTTCTGGGTATATTTTCTTTAAACATACTGTCATGAAGTCTTAATTCCTCTCCAAAGTCTGTCTGTACATTGTGTTTTGATGAATTTACCTCCTCTTCCTCCTTTTTCCTTCTTATTGCTTCCTCCCTCTCCTCATTCAGCCTGAACTCCTCCTGAGCAATCCTCTCTCTCTCCAACCACTCCAAGTGCAGACGTTGCCTAAACAGCAAAGAGGAAAATAATTTTCACTCTTGATTATTAATAGAATATAAATATAAGAGACCACATATTTACAGCCTTCTCTAGGTGGTGTGAGGTGATAACCAGGAAGTGAAAACCTCTTGATAACATTACAGTGACAGCATCAATTCAATGTATATTAAACCAGGTAGGCTTTATAACTATTAACTATTAAGCCAGGTAAGCATTACAACAGCATTTGGCTACACTGTCTTATTTTAAAAGAAAGCAAGTCGATCCAGCAAAGGTGAGGTAAGACAGAACATACACATCTCCATCTCCAGGAACATCAATCAAATGGAAAAAGCTGAGGAATGTGATGAGTTTGGCTTACTATCTAGACAAAGAGCAGCGTCTTTATGTGTAGCTGCTGAGATGGGACTAGGGAGACAAACCTTTCTTCTTCAGCCCTCTTTTCCTCCTCTTCGTCATCCTGATCTGGTAAAGTCTCATTCTCTGCTTCCTCTTCTTCTCCTACTTCTAAAAATGCAAAAGGAGTTGCAATTTTTTCTTCTTTAGAAAAAAAGAAATACATATTCAGAAAACTTAACCTTACAATTTTGTAGCAAACACCAAATGCCTAAAATATAACTGTTTGCAAACACACCATTTATTATTAAACACAACATAGTAAGCGATACCTGAATCCCTCAGTTTCGCCAAGGCTTGGCGCTTTTTTTTCCGTCTCTCTTTCTTTAGTGCGGCTCTACGCTGTTTATGGCTGTAAAGGAGAATAAGTGGTTATTTACACATACACTTAGGAACACACTACCCTTCGCCTGTGTAACCAAATAATTGCTCCATTTCCTTTTTATAACAAAATCTTATTTTATTTATCGGTAACTTATTTGCATCCGAGTAAACTATTCTGTGACCACAAATTAAGATGCCTGTAAGGGGATGCAGTACTTCATGTGCATATATCATACATTTCTAAAGTAAATTATATATTTCAAAGAAAACAGAGCAATATTTAATTTGAGGACTCTTAGTGCAAAGAAATACCAGTTAATTTATGTAGTTGCGTTGTCACATAAACGTACTTTCCAATCGAACCCTTTCTACGTGAAAACAAAGACAATCCCTACACCACATCAAACTTTCGTTTTAGTTTATACATATCAGTGCTTGCTTAGGTTCAATTTAAATGGGAGAAATCCTGTTGTAATTACTCTTATTCACAATTCAAAATACTACCTCAGTCCTGAATTCGTCAACGCTACCACGGGCGCTGCCATCTTTGTTTTTCTGACGTCACGTCCGGATCATAAGTGAACCGATTTCCTAATGTCATAGACGAGCTGTAATGCTTTTAATAGACCCACATTTTTAATAACTTATATTACCTTTGACAAAAATATACCACCCCACTATTGTTTTTGGTGCAACAAAGTTTTGATTTATTTTTCTGAGGGCATAATTTGACAGGGAAAAGAAAAATCAGCTGTTGATATAATCAGCATACACTGCTATATGTGCTATTTTAAACTTTTTATGTTCCATTTCAGTTCATTCAGTTATAGGTATTTAACAAATGGCATCAGTGGTATTAATGAATGGACTACAGTATATCCTCATTTAGGGGCTTTCAATCATCTTCTCTAAACGATTTTACGGTTTATCTAACACCGAGACAGTAGTTCTTCATTGAACATTGTACAGTCGGTGGTACTCATCAATAAGAAGCACAAAAACGTCTTGATAACGTATCCCATTGCCGAGTCAGAAAAAAAACTGAAAAGGCCCGCTCTTTAAAAACTCAAACACTGCCCAACTTCCCCTCTTTGAGCTGAGCAGGTTCAGGCGCCTGTGCGGTGAACTCTGTGGTCTGAGAGGGCGCAAGCGCACTGGCTCTCTGGCGACGTACAGGCGCGGATTGTTGAAAGGGGAGTACAGCAGGAGACTGATGCTAAAATTAATATTTGGCGCATATAAAACCTAAAATAAAAGGCGGCGTTGTTTCCCGTGAGCAAGCGTATCTCATTGTAATACCTTAATTCGCGACGTATATTCGCCAACAACGAGGGCTGAGTAATGGCGGACAAAGAAGGTATAGTAGGGGCATGCTTGTCCTTTATTGTGCGTGTTGCTTTATCCTGGTGTCGACTGATTTTTTTTCTCTGTTTTGACCGCTGGAAAACAACCCCGAGAGACCCTGCATTGGTTAAAAATTGGTTTAAAAATTCCGCTGGAGATTTGGAAAGTTGGAAAGTGGATAGAAAACGGAGTTTGACTTGATTTCCTTAAAATATCCCGTTACATTTCGTGTTGTGAATTATCTACTCCCCTTTGTTAAAAATTCTAGCATAAGAAAAGAATTAGAACTGGAACTTTGTTTTTGCGATTGGTGTAGAACAGAGTGCTGATTGTGCTGTTTTCCCTCTAAAACACACATGCAAATACTTCGAAGATTAAAGTGACTCTGCTTACTGTATCCCTTCCTTGGGGCTGCGTAGGAATATGGTTCTTGTGTTTAATTTAGATGGTACTCTGAATGTCTGTCTAGAGTTAAGATTGACGCAGATACAGTTCTACAGAAATCCAGTTATTGCAATGGAAATCAAAACCAAAGACTGAGGGTGGATGGCAAATTTAAACTTGAGCATACACCTTTTATCTTGGCTTAAAAAAACAATATAATAATAATAAAACATGTACTGTGAACATTTAGAATCGTTCCTTTAGCAACTAATTTCAAGGAGGGGGAGTTGTTTCCCTGCCTTTAAAATGCACATCATTAAGTTTGGTTAAGGGAAGTGCAGTTCAACCGAACAGGAGTGATTTCTGCACACAAAGGGTTGTGGGAGTCTGGAACAAGCCTGTTGCCATGTTGTTGAATCTGCAACCCCAGGATCTTTCACAGAACAGCTGGACGAGATCCTCTGACCAATCACCATTTAGCAACCAAGCGAACTGTATGGTCTGAAAGGGTTTCTCTCCCTTGTGTCCTGTGTTCTCCTGTATGTGGGAATTGGGATAGAAGGCTGTGCCATTTGCCTTTGTAGGTTCCAGATGTCAACAGAGACACGCGGTGTTAGCTGAGCATTTTTCTTTCCTTGATTTTAAGATGCTGAGGGTTGTGGGAGGCGGATAACACAAGGGAGCTGCAATTCTGTTTTTCTTTGGAGAAAATGCATGGTTTTTCAGTGTCTCACAGCTTCCACTGTGTTTTGCAGTGTATGACGATGCAGTGGAAGAGAGGGTCATTAATGAGGAGTACAAGATCTGGAAGAAGAACACACCTTTCCTGTATGACCTTGTAATGACACATGCCCTGGAGTGGCCAAGCCTGACTGTGCAGTGGCTGCCAGACGTCAATAGGTAAGTCATGTTTGGAAGCCAATGTGTTTTAATGGGGCCCAATTCAATGGGACAGAAATAGAACTTAAGGATTAAGTTCAGTTTAAGGATCACTGTTAGGGATCTTATACTGTATATGTCATTGTGACCAAGTAAATTCTGGGTTTGCTAATAGGCCTCCGTACTGTGTGGTGGCTTCAGAATGCAATACTGTTTGCATTTTGTGGTCATCAGGAGTTATTTGGAATGATCTTCTGCTTTCATTTGGGTTTTCAACATTAACATCTTGCACCATTGAGGCATGGTGGAAAAAAATATCCCAGAAAATGTACTATAAAGCAGTAGTGTAGCCATTTGCAGAATGCACTGCATTGTTACCACCCTCTAGGCGATCTTGTCAGATTATAGAAGCTGCGCAAGGCTGGGGTTGGTCAGTCCTGGGATGGGAGGCACCTGAGGAAAACCAGGCTGCTGCTCTAAGGGGTGTTATTAAATCAGTAGGTGGGAAACCTTCCTCTCAACCAAGATTGTCAAGACCAGTGTGGTGACCTAGATGCGCAGTAAGAGGTGCTGGCCTCTGGACAAAACATTCTACTAAGATCCTGACTTATTATGAGTTCCTTTACTTAAATAGTTAAAAAAAAGAATAGTACCTAATCGGGTCTTTTTTAGTGCAGTTTCTCCCGTTTCCATTTAATTTGTATGACTTTTAAGAGGTACTTTCATTTTAATGCTCATGACTGTCGTATGTGTGTGTGTATATAAAGGCCTGAAGGGAAGGACTATGCCATTCATCGGCTGGTGTTGGGAACCCACACTTCAGATGAACAGAACCACCTGGTCATCGCCAGCGTGCAGATCCCCAATGACGACGCCCAGTTTGACACCTCCCACTATGACAGCGAAAAAGGAGGTGAGACAGGCTGGTGTGCCCCATAGAGTGTGTAGTGTCAGATTAATGATGATGATTATTATTATTAAGCAGATGACAGATTTTGTAATTGCATTGAAAACAATAGAGGATGTAGAAGTACGTTCTGCAATTAAAGCAATTGCAGATAACAATTCTGCTATTTCCATTCAGTTCTGAGCACAGGGATGAATCTAAAGGTGTAGCCTGGGCAAGGGGGTCTTTGGGAGATGCCAGCTGAAGGTCTGAGACAGTGCAGTGGTGAAGCAAGGGAAGAGAGGGGCGAAGAGGGAAGAGAAGAGCAGCTAATTGCCCTGCAGAAAATGAGCAGAGAGGCTGCCGGGATTAAGGAGAGAGGAGGGACTGGGGATGGGATTGGCGCAGAGCGAATGTACGACATCTTAAATCTGGTTGAAGCAGTGATGGTTGAATAGGAGAAGCAGTGGTGCTGAAGAAAGGATGAATTGTGCATCTGGACCAGACTGGTATTGGAAGAAACCTTTAAGATGGGATTTATTTCTTTCCAAACGAGAATGAAGAGGTGTTTCATTTTTAGGTGGCTTTTGTAAAGGTTAAATATTGTGCCCGTGTAACTTGTAATGTTGTTTCATGGGAGATTTGTCTTTTGTTTCACTATAAATATGTTTCACTATTTTTTTTTCTTACCATCTTCTAACAATGATCTGTTTTCATATTTTTGACCACTGAATTGTTTGGAGGTACAGTGGTCAAATGTGACCGATAGAAAATGGTCATATTTCAGTCCTATACGGTCCATCAAATTTGAGGAATTTGTATAGTCACGATTTATAGGTTGGTGAATTGGGAAAACGTGAAATGGCAGAGGAACCTTGTCGGATTCCGGTACGAAAGCAGTCGGATTTTAACGTTTTTGTAGGTGTCCTTGAGTTCTATCAAGCTTGATATGCAGCATTTTGCAGATTCGTTTTTAACGTTACCCTTCAGCGTGTCTTTTTTGTTAGAAAAGTGTAAGGGAAGTGGGCTTGTGAAACTTCTATAAAATAACGCTCTTTCATTCTCCCGTTATCAGCAGGTAAGCGATTCCTCAGCTGGGCTGCAGAGGGAAAAGATCCTGGGGGTTGTGGGGCACCAGTCAGCACGGCCAGCACACACCCCAGGTTACAGGAGGGGATGAGTCGCAAAATGAGCACCTTTCCTGAGGTAGTATTATACATTCTGGGGGGCGCACCTCCCTTTTCGGAGATTTTGGGATGCACTCCTTCTCCAGCCTTCCCTGTGCAGTGAGGCTATAGGTAACATGATCTGGAATAAATTATCCTTAAATTTATATACACTTATTTAGCGCTTTTCTGGACACTCCACTCAAAGTGCTTTACAGGTAATGGGGACTCCCCTCCACCACCACCAATGTGCAGCCCCCACCTGGATGATGCGACGGCAGCCTTAGTGCACCAGTACCCTCACCACACATCAGCTATCAGTGGGGAGGAGAGCAGTGTAATAAAAAAAAGCCAATTTATAGATGGGGATTATTAGGAGGCCATGATTGGTAAAGGCCAGGGGGAAATTTGGCCAGGACACAGGGGTTGAAACCCCTACTCTTTTTGAGAAACGCCCTAGCAAGAGTAAGGTGCCAGCTGTTCATTGGCTATGTTTACCAACATGGGAAAATTAACCAAAAGATCTGTAATTGTGTTAAAATATATAGCTGAGTTTTGTTCAGGAACATTATGAAGTTAGTCGTTTTCCTCTGCATTATTGTGATGCTTGTGTGTGTTTTAGCTTCCAGTTGAACTTGAGATATTGTGAAGAGTTTTTTCGTAGTCATAGAAATCATATGATAGAGTCCTGACTGCACAGAGATCATTTGCTTTTTTTATGATTGGCCTCCTTGTTTTCGGGATTTGTTGTTCTACTGTGTTTTGTATTGCTATAGGGTTTCTTTCAGATTAAGCATTTAGCTACTTGTGTATGATGTAACGGGTTTAATGTTGTAGGACAGGTGCTTTTTATCAAAGGAAAAAAAAGATTTAACAGTGTCGATTCAATTGCAACACATTTATTGTTCCTGTTTTTAATTATTTTTGTATTCTCTTTAGAATTTGGAGGATTTGGATCAGTGAGTGGAAAGATAGAAATTGAAATCAAGATCAATCACGAGGGAGAAGTGAACCGGGCAAGGTACATGCCACAGAATCCCTGCATCATCGCGACAAAGACGCCAACTTCAGATGTCCTGGTTTTCGACTACACCAAACACCCCTCCAAACCAGGCAAGTGAACGTGGACTTTTTTCAGTTGTATTCAAAATGGGCCCCTTCAAAGCAGTTTTCTACCAAGTAAAGGAGGTGTGGATCTGTGAGGGAAATTAATAATACATCTCGCAACAGGAGCTTGTTTAGCTGGTAAAATAAGCGACCTTCCTTTAAAGGCTACAGTTTTAAACGGGCAGTGAGGAGCCAAGCCGTGCTGTGACGTGCTGCAGGTAACAGCTGGAAGCAGAAAGTGTGAGTGTGGAGTGAAGACCTGGGTCTGCTGAAACAGGGTCTCCATCTGTGTAAATACATAATTCATATCTGTTTGATTCGGGGCTGAGCAAATTGAATTTGGAAGCAGAACCCATTTCCTGCGCATGCTTGAACACCGACTCTGCCTCCCCGGGGTTGTGCGGTGCTGGCAGTGGAGTCTGCAGCCGCAGGCGCGTAGCGAGGGGAGCGGGGCTCTGCTGCCCGAAGCCGGCTGTAACGCGCCCTGTTTCCTTGCCCCGGGCGCTGCTGCAGACCCCAGCGGCGAGTGTAACCCCGACCTGCGGCTGCGGGGTCACCAGAAGGAGGGCTACGGGCTGTCCTGGAACCCCAACCTGAGCGGCAACCTGCTGAGCGCGTCGGACGACCACGTGAGTGCCCCCCGGGGACCGCCGCGCCGTGGTCGCGTCGTCGCGGCACTTCCAGTGCCAGATCAGCAGCATTGAACGAGGTGGTGGCTGTAGGGCCAGATGTACCTTGATCTTTTGACGATTTTCCTGTGAGTTCACTAATTCACCAGTGCTGTAAAGTGTCATAGATTCAGTTTAAGCCAAACTTTACATTTGGCTCAAAATGGTATTGCGGAGCTGGAGCAACTGTGCCGTGACGTTGGGTGTAATAGGCTGCACATCGCTCCAGGAAGGGGCAGGGTTAAAAACAAGGCTCTAGCTTCCCTGCTAGTTTCTTGCGCTTTTAAAACATCTGAAATGGCTATTTCTTCTCTTGCTCTAGACAATATGCCTTTGGGACATCAGCGGAGGACCGAAGGAGGGAAAGATCGTCGATGCCAAGACGATCTTCACCGGCCACACCGCGGTGGTGGAGGACGTGTCCTGGCACCTGCTCCACGAGTCCTTGTTTGGCTCCGTGGCCGACGACCAGAAGCTGATGATGTGAGTGCGGATGAGCGTTCCCACCGTTCCACACCATCTCTGGAGATCCAGGCGAACTCTTCAGGATATACAGACAGAGAAACTAGGCGGAGGGGGGGGGCGTTTTGCAAAGGCTAAATCAGCCTGTGCAGCACTGTCCGGTTCTGTAACCTTTTCCTAAATCCTGCGACTAACCGTACGACTGGTGTGTCTTCCCCAGCTGGGACACGCGGTCTAACAACACGTCCAAGCCCAGTCACTCCGTGGACGCCCACACCGCGGAAGTCAACTGCCTGTCCTTCAACCCCTACAGCGAGTTCATCCTGGCCACCGGCTCCGCTGACAAGGTTTGGACGTCTGTCCTCCGCTTTACTTCCAGTACGGCAGAGGGTCACGAGAAAGCGTTTGTGCTCTTTTTGGCACAAATGCTTTGGTGGTTACCATCCTCAAAGCTTCCATCTGCTCCACCACTTGCCATCTTGAAATCTTACCATTGTTGCCTATTTGTGTTTTAACATTAAGTCACAGGAAATCAGGTTGCAGCCTTTGTATATACTTCACCTTGTGACAGAGCTGCTGCAGAAAACGGATTTTCAATTGTAAACCAGTCTGTAATCATTTTGACAATGACATGCACCGTCGTCTGTCACCCTTGGCTGGTGTGGATCGGGTTTTGCATGGAGGAAATTGGATTCCTGTTGCTCAATATTATGACTCTTGACTTAGATAGGATTTTTACTCATTTACATTATAGAGATGTGTACAACAGTGAAAAGAAAACCGATGGAATGTGCTTTATTTTTTGTGCTCACCATATGTATTTGGAGGACACCACAAAGAAAACACTCAAACTCAAACTGACAACAAAAGAGCTGTACCCAGAATTCTTTTTTTTTGGGGGGGGGGATCCCCTTTGCGGTTTAATATCTGAGCTCTTAAAGTACAGATCAAATGCAGATGCCCTGCTTGTTTTGCGAACAGTGCTGTTGCGGTGCTGTGGCTCTGGTCTCAGTTGATTTTGTTCTTCAGACGGTGGCCCTCTGGGATCTCCGGAACCTCAAACTGAAGCTTCACTCCTTTGAGTCGCACAAGGATGAGATATTCCAGGTAATACTCAATATAAAGGGTGGCATAGAAAGAAGAAAGCAAAGACTGGATAGGGTGTCTACTCCTTGGTTTCCAAATTAGAGAGGCTCTAATTCAGTGTCAAAGATGGGAAGTGAAAAGCCTTTGTTCCTGAGAACTGCTTTATTTACCACACAGAACCTTTCAAGACTTACAAACAGTAGAAGTACAACTATACCAGAACCCTGTAACTTTACTCCCTCCCAATTACACTAAACCCAGTTAAAATCACATTACTACTTCTATACTCACCTTCCGATAGCAGTTGCACATAAACCATTACACCTTTTATTGTCTACTCTTATGTTGAATGGTGTGATGGAGTATGGGATAGCATTTCTTTAGTTCATTTGAGAAATTACAAGGATTACAGCAAATGTCATGCTCCCGATTATTTTTCTGAGAAATGATTTATTATAGTTGAATGCAATTACACCATAATGGCAATAAAGTGCAGAAGCAGCTGCTATACCGTCATCAAGAAAGCTTTATCTTTCTGTGAAAACAAACAGTGTCTTCACATCATCCTCTGATTGAAAAAGATGCCCCAGTAGAGAATCCTGCAGAGTGGACATGATCTGAACTATATCTCATATCACTATGGGCATTCCCCCTTCCTTTGTTCACAAATTCAATTACAGCTCTCGGCTTAAAGCACGGCTGACATTTCGGCTAGTTTGAGCTCTGCGCTTATATCCCGGAGGTGGAGCCGCAAGTTGGAAATAATGGAGTCAATTGCAATAAAACATTGCTCAGAAAAACATCGGGACTTCTGGGTTGGCCCACGTATTTGAGGGTCAGCCCCTAACTTAAACTGTTTTTTCAACGTATTGTTGTGTTATCACAATTACTCAAGACTACAGAGGGCTATCTTGTGCATTTACAATCAGAAGCGTATGCTGGCCTGAGCTTTATTGCACTGACAGTGAATTACTGACTTCATTGGCAGGTGCAATGGTCCCCTCACAACGAAACCATTCTGGCTTCCAGCGGCACAGACAGAAGGCTTAACGTCTGGGATCTGAGGTGAAACTGCCCTTTCTCTTTTTGACCTCGGTGTCTTGTGTATAAAACCAGCATATTTTCACATTGAAAGCAACTTAAGGAGATATCGACCTGGAATGTATTTGCTGTTAGTGTCTGATTTAAATTGTAGATGTTCAGGAATGTTAGTGGTCAGTTCTGACTTCTGTTTTTGTTCATGTAAAATCATAGCATTTAAACTAAGTCTTTTTAAAAAAAGCTAAACAATGTTTCTGGCTAATTATCCACAACTGTAATCCTAAAGAAACACTGTTTAAAATGGGTCCCAAGTCCTGCTGGAAGCCAGCAAGGCTGCAGAGCTAAGGTAGGCTTTCTCATTTGACAGTTACTGCCAGTACATGTGATGAGTAGTGAAAATATTAGCGTTGCAGTTTTTAATTGTTCGAAGAGGTGAAGAAAACTCAGCTGATACCATTTTTCAAAGTGTCGTATTCTATTTTGAAACCTCCACAAATTTTACCTCTACTCTGTAGTGTAACCCACACCTTGTTAAAATGTTAAGTTCAGTTTTTGAAACGGCATCAAAAATAAAGTCCTTGTTGTCTGTGCAGCAAAATTGGAGAGGAGCAGTCAGCAGAGGATGCAGAAGATGGACCTCCTGAGCTTCTGGTAAGGCGTGATGAAAGGCCGAGTCTCCAGAGTCAAGTGGATGTTGTATTGGTGCTGACGATACAACCCATGTCAGTGAACCAGGAAGACAATTGCTAAAGACCTATAGGATATGCCAGCTGGCATCTGAGCCCCCATCTTTAGCGGAGGAAATACTCTTTGCAAGTGTTTCATTTTTTCAGTGACCCCCCTGTTACAAACAAGGACCAGTTGTTTTCTGAAACACCCCTCAGTCGGCAGAAAAACACTGTAGTGTGAAGGGTAATGTTTAACTGTTAGTCTTCATTGGAGAATGAATGTAGCGGTGATGACCGACACCGATTGATCTATATGGTAGCTGGATCCGGTGAGGGCTACCAGATTTTTTAAACCAATGAACGTATTCAATCTGCAGTTTATCCATGGAGGACATACAGCCAAGATCTCTGACTTCTCCTGGAACCCCAATGAGCCGTGGGTTATCTGCTCCGTTTCGGAGGACAACATCATGCAAGTGTGGCAGATGGTGAGTGAGAACACGATCCAGATGATCACTGCTGCCTCCTATCCACAGCGCTGTGCTGTTGTCTGACAACACGGCTCGTCTCTGTGGTAATGGTAAGACATCTAAGGGCAGAGACAGTACCAAGGCGTTCTTCTGATTTGTGGTAGTATGAATATCTGGGGTCTCATGACACTAAGCCCGAATGTACTACCTGCTGCACCCATGCTTTGTGTAGCCCTCTATTTCTAGTTTTTCATCTTGTCCTTTAACCTTTTACTACCAGTGACATATTTAGCCAATGTCCGCCTGGAATTTCCTCCCCCTTAAACATTTGTTATATCTCTGCAGCAGAACATAGCAGGAGCCTGGTTCAGGTCTTAAATTGAAGCTAACCCCCTTGGCTTTGAACGTGAATAGTCAAATTTCTTATATTTCTTAATGTGTCCACCCAGCAGACAAACATATGGGGAAAAAAAAACAGCTGGCGAACATTTTTTCAGATTTTTCAACTATATGCATGTCAAGGGCCTGGGAATGATTTGAAAACCTTGTTCTAGGTGGCTACTAGCTTTGATAAAAAGTTGGGACAAATTGATCAATTAGAAAAAAATTCTACATCATGTTTTGTGAAGACTGGACCTGGAATGAAATTTTACGCCTATAAAAAATCATTAAAATATTGAAAATAAGAATAAAAACCATTGCAATTGCTATAAAAACCTTAAGACACTACTAGAGAGCCTTTATCTGCTGTTATGCAATGAAAAAAAACCTCAGAGTTGCCTTCTGGTGTGAAAAAAAGGAGCACTGATAAGAAACTGAAAAACTGATTGATTACCCCTTCTGAGTCAATGATTGACAGCTAAAAATGTAGCCTGAAGCTTCTAGAGGAAGTCTCACCCCCTAAGGGCTCTGAATGGCTGAAAATACAATGAATGACAGCGTTTTTTACCAATCAAATCACCTTATTTCTGGCGCTCGTTTTTTCAAACATTTACTACGTAATCAGTAACGTTTACTAGTCTCTAGCTCTTGAGATAACTAGTCTGGGTTATTTTGGATATATATCATGCTCCAGAATAAGGTAAAAACATGGGATATATATATATGCTGGTTTTGTTGGTAAAAATGTATGATATTGACATGCTGTGCTTGCCGGGTTGCCGTGTGTTTTTATTGGGATTCTGCTAGTTCATTAATTTATTGGTTTATTGCATAATAGTGTCATGTCTGTGGAAACAAACTTTATGGTTTAGTTGTGGTGATATTTGAGAATACGTGCATGTGAGAAAATTTGTGGAGCGGTTTCAAACAAACGTTGTTTATCTCACGTTTATCTTAAAAATAAAAAGTGTCACCTGGGGAGACAGGAGTGGTCCTCGGTGACCGCGATCCGGACTAAGTTGTTGCAGGGCCTCAGCATTGAATTCCTTCACACTGGCGAGTGTGTTCTAAGTATTTAAATTGATAACACTATTATTAGGGTTTCTGCAACTCATTTTGCTGACTGAATGCAGACGTCGTTCTTTGGCGAATCGCTCAAGTGAAAAGGCTGTTGTGCTTCCTCCAGGCCGAGAATATTTACAACGACGAGGAGTCCGACACCCCCGCCTCCGAACTGGAGGGGCAGGGGTCGTAACCCCACAGCGCCCCAGCAGGGCCGAAGGAAGGGGAGCGACAGGACAGAGGCCGGCGCCTGAGAAAAGCCCAGCCCCCCCCTGGTTACGGACTCCTGTGATTCCAGTCTTCACCTGCCACCATCTTCTACAACCCATTGATCTACTTCCAGCTCTCCTCCCTCTGCACTGTTAATAGATGCCTTTACACTTGCAAAGCTGTTAAGGGGACAGGTGGACAAACGGGGTGTGTTCCAGTTTATTTTTGTAGTATAAAATGAGTATGTCGCTGGGAGAACTGCTGAATGCGCCACCTTGTCCCTTCTCAAGATGAGGTGGTGCTCGAGCGCAGCAGAAGCGTTTGCTAGCGTAGACCTGCTGAAGACATTCTGGTACAAGGCTCTCCAGGGAGCACTGTGCACAGGTGCCAGGACCCTGTGCTTCATTCCGGCACTCGATTTCAAAGAAAGAACACAAGATAAGAGCTGGGGCTTTACGTTTTACCATTTAAATCAGTTTAAGTTCTTTTTCTTCTTCTTCTGTGTTGATGTTTGCGGTTTGGGTACAGTCCTCGGTGGCGCTGTACACCACGACGCTTTGCTTGCGCCGACGCTTTTCTCCGAATTGCGCCCTCCTGTTTCTCCCAGAGCTAAACAAAGGTTTGATTTTGTGACGCGGCCTGCTAGATTGCTTTAAGGATCAGTTCCGAAAAGCAAGTGTAATCGCATCTTGAAATTATGCTGTAGCTCATCAAAAGTGGTTCAAATGCTATTCTTCTATTAGGAGCAGCAGTTCAACGCTGCTGAAATGGACAGCACTTGGCAGGTAGTGGAGATGGCACTTGAACGGGTTTGCGGAGAGGAAAACAAATTTTGGGATGTTAGTAAGGAAAAGCAGTGAATTCCGCTTAATGAGAGTGCTTTTACTTTTTAGTTTTCTGGAGATGCAGTAGATGGCAATGTGACAAATCACACCCATCATGCACCCTGCTTGTTCTTCCAATCCTGTCCACAAGGTGGCAGTGTAAACATGGCATGGGTAGCATTTATTTTCTTTTTTGTACTTTTTGTTCCATTTTGTGCAAAGTATGGTATAAAATGCAATAAACCTTTTGTTATGACTTTTAAAAACTCTTTATTTTGTATGCTTTTTTTATACCACCATGAAGAAATAAAGGTAAAGCAAGAATTTAACTTGTGCTTTTGTCAAGGGAACTTTGCCAGTAGCCATATCACCCTGCAACTCACAACTGGCAACCCACTGAAGCTCGGCAGGTGTGAGTCTGGTCAGTACCTGGATGGGAGACCTCCTGGGTTGCTGCTGGAAGAGGTGTTAGTGGGGCCAGTGGGGGGGCGCTCACCCTGCAGTCCACGTGGTCCTAATGTCCCAGTATAGTGACGGGGACACTGTTAAAAAAGTCGCCGTCCTTCAGATGAGACGTAAAACCGAGGTCCTGGCTCTCTGTGGTCATTACAAATCCCAAGGCATTTCTCGAAAAGAGTAGGGGTGTAACCCCAGCATCCTCACCAAATTTTCCATTGGCCCTTACCAATCATGGCCTCCTAATTAATCCGCATTATGAATTGGCTTCATTACTCTGTTCCCCTCCCCACTGAGAGCTGATGCGTGGTGAGTGTTCTGACGCACTGTGGCTGCCGTCACATCATCCAGGTGGGGCTGCACATTGATGCGGGTGGAGGGGAGTCCCCATTACCTGTAAAGTGCTTTGAGTGGAGTGCTATACAAGTGTAAGCAATTATTATTATTAATTATAACTTCGAAATTCTATGAATAGCAAAAGCATTTAAGCAGATCAATCAGGGAAGGTGCTTGTTTGCAAAACAGAATGCTTTATCCAGACATTGCCAGTGCGAGTGCCATGATTGATTAGGATTCCCCAAGTAGAGCCATGCACAACAGGACTGGCAATACCCAGGGTTGTCTGGGCTTGAGTTTGCCATGTTTGCTAACCCCCCCCGTGAACTTGCAGCATAGTGCTGGAGAGATACATCACTCCACCAGTCAGTACAGCTATGTGACTTCTGGCCTGAGTAAGAAGTTGACAGTTTTGGAGGAACGTGGCCACAGTCCTTACTCTTCCAGTACCAGAAGAGAGGCCATTGTTCTCAAAGGGGGCTTGGTTAACTATTGGTGCTCCTGCATTAGGATGTATAACAAGTACCCCATTTTTTTTAGATCTGTAATCATTTAATTAAAATTTGTCGAAGAAACTAGTTTGTTCATCAGGGAGGCTTTTGTTCATAGCTGAACTCCAGTTCGGTATTGAGCATCACTATTAACGGTACATAGAAAATTTCATATTAAAATGCTTGTCAAATGTGTAATATGGTGAAAAGGATTGAAAATTAGTATTAAGTAGCAGAGGGGAGTATAAAGAGCTCACCCAAGTGGGTCAATTTTGTCACCTAAGATTCCAGATGTTCCTAAACAAAACCCTTCCAAAACACATAGGGTCAACATAGATGGGAGTTCAGGTTAGATCTGTTAGTGGTGATGATTCAGAGTACTAGTTATGTTGAGTTTCACTATTCCCTGTAAAACATTTGAGAAAGTCTATTTTCACACGAACTTGAACCTGCTTCAATATCATGAAAGGCTGTGTTATCCACGTGTAGAAAATGTTAGTGCTCACACCACTTTATCATTTTTTCCCCACTCCTCATTTCCTCCCGTGTATGAAATGACTGAAGTGGTGACAAACTAGACTGTTGAGTGATAAAAGGCAAAAAGGGTCACCCACTGCAACTGCACACCTCAATAGTAATAAAATGTTTTCTTTATAAGTAACTTCTTTCTTCAAGGAAAGAATGGGTAAGGCACATTGCAACCTGAGAAGAAGACTTTCACAGTTAAGCCACTAGACTCCACAAAGGTTAACAGAAGGACCTGGATTCTGTCAACATGTAATGTACCAATAACAGGATCAGAAAGCTATTTGGCTATTCCTTAAACATAAAAATAAGAGCGTCACAAAAGATTCACAAACCTGGGTACAGTCAGTTATGTACAAGCTGCCAGATTTGAGTGCCTTTACAATACGTGACTCATCTTACACGTAGCTTTTCACTGCCAGGAACCTATTTACAATTAGTGATGCTTTGTCAATCAAAAGCCAATTGCGAAGGGTCAGAAAATAGAAATAAATTGAAAGAGCTATTTTTACCAATTATTTTTTGTGCATTTTGCGATTGGTTTCCAAAATTCATAGATGTTAAGTACAAACAAGCACAAATTTGATAAATCCAGAAAATGTCTTAAAATATTTGACAGAGTGCATCAGGCAAGGTTTCGTGACCTTTAGAAACTTCTCTTAACTAGTATTGATCCCAAAAGGCCGCATAATATAAAATAATATAACCACATGAAACATTCTATTTTGTTTTGACCTTCAACAAATAAAACTGACAAGTATAGAATCATGGAAAAAAAGAGCTACAAAATGTTTTATTGAAAAGCAAGACAGGACTAGCAGTACATTTTACAATCTCTTAAAGGGAGCTTGGGGGTTATACTTTAAAAAATAAAGCAATTTTTGAAAAAACAGAAAGTCAATGTCTGCCTCATTTTCTTTCACAGTTAATCTTGTATACAACCTGTAGAGGTAGATTTCTTGCATAACCTGAGAAACTGGCGCTGCCAAAGAAGGGTGAAAGTAAATATTGAAAATACAGACCATCGCATCAAGAATGTCAGTACCTTTGATCCTGCGCCTACAATGACTTCCACACAATAAAGAGCCATCTGATGAAGTGAACAATAAAATAACAAATCATCTACCATAAGAATGAGCACATGAAATGAGTATTGAGTTTTACATATAAATTACACTGTGAAACAATCATCAGACTGGAAAATGTATTTTTGAATAATGCCAGCAGTATACAGAACAGCCGACATGACTTTTTTTCTAGGCATTCTGATTACTGCGGGCATCCAATACATTCTTATTTAACTCAAATAATTGCTCCCAAAAGCAAGCAAACAAAAAAATATAAACTTTTGTCTTGAAGTCACCTCTGAAATAAATTGCATCTTTTCATTTAGATTTGTTTCACTTTAATTCTATTTACTCTCAATAAATCAAAAATCTTAAAATTTCATAAAAATCACTCTGTATTACTCTACCTCTTGTTTCCCCAATTGGGTTATTTTTGAGAAGTGTACAAAAGAAATGATAATTAATTATTCAAAAGTAACAAAAAAAGTACAGACGTCTTGCCATTATTGGGAAACGGAACTAGGAATGACTCACATTTTATGCTGCCAAGGCTGCAACATAGATACTAAATAGAAGTTGAGGAGTAAAAAGCTCTAAAAGTTTTAAAGGTGGGCAGTGAAGTTTGAAAAACTAACAAACAGGGAAGTGGTAATGGAACATGAAGGGCCTTTATAAACACAAACATGATTGTCCCAACCTCATGATGGACACTTCTCATAACCCCTGGTTTCCAGACATTTCATTTGACCATAAAAGCAAAACGGCCACATTTGTCTTGACTGAAGACATCAAGCCCACATCTTGCAATGAAGAACTTCAAGGTTAGCCAAGAGCTGCTCTACTGCACACTAAATTAAATTAACCCTATGGAAGAATTACTGGTGCCAGCTCTAAGTGGAACAGTTTGACAGCATTTCTTACTAGTTTAATGCCCAGGACATTGTGAGCAATGTGTTCTATTGCACTGCAGTTTTTCTGTCTTGACATACCCTCACATTCAAGTAATATTTAGACCCCAACATATGATGCAGTTAAAGTATCAAGTAGTAGGTACATTTTTCAAGCATTTTTCACTGGTCAGATAAATGTTACTAACTTCTTACCTCTCAACACAAACACAAATAGTTGTGTTACCCCCCCACACACACTTACAGGATGCATTACAAAGGCCACTGAACATGGATTTCTGTCTCCTGCTGTATGTGAGTAATGAAGGAATCTAAATTCATCTTTCAGTGAATAGAGTTCACACACATGGTTTAGGGATTTCACCTTAAGTGCAAAACAACTCTGCTAAAGACACTTTAGCATACACTACAATTACACAACAGTTTAAAATAAAGGTGTTTAGAATTAGCCCAGAAAAAAAACTGATGGTTTCCTTTAGTCTTTGTCTGTTCACAGATAAACAGGCAAGCACTACATAATATGGCAGTACCTACATTTTGGCAATTTAAATGTAGGAGAAGAGTTGCTTTTTTGAGAAGGAAAACAACATCTATTTATTCAAGTGTTTTATGTTTTTTTAATACATGCTAAAAAAGCCTGCATGGTGGTAACATCATGGGGTGTTCATATTTCTGAAGGGGAAAAGGGAGTGACAAGACACTAAATCCTTCCCTTCATCCTTGGATATCTCAGAGCAATATATCTGGTTTAAACCTTGGACTGGAAGAGTGAGTGAGACGAAGCTGTAAATGTAGCCCTGAGGAGAATGCACCCTGTGTTTCCAGTAAGGATTTTCATGATTTGAAGATTAAAGATTTCATGTTTAGGGATTAAATGGTAACTGTATCTAAAGTCATTATGTAAAACTAACGCAGTCTGGGTAATTCACATATGCTACCCATGAACAGCTGAAATTGGTACATTCAACCGTGCCTTATTTCCATCCTATGATTTCAGTGTCATCAGGAACTAAAATGCGAATTGCTCGTCATGACTTGTGCATAACCTCAATATATAGATTCAATTAACATTCATTACCGAAGTTAGATACAACATTACTTATGTTCAATACTTAAAACTGAACATTACCATTTAGCAGTCATACAGACAAAGCAGGTACTTTTGAAAAGACATGGGACATTCTAACTCAAATGTGCAAACATTTCAGCCCTTCTTTTACAAAGCACCTTTTTGCAAGTCTGCATGACATATTCTGCAGCACAACACATCTAAAATTGGATGAGGTTCTTGTCATAAGCACTACTTTACAAAAATGTAACTCCCCATCAGTCCACAAAATAGGTGCTTCACTGGAATGTAGCAAAGTGACCCTAAATTTATTTAAAAGCTCTGGAGGTATTACAGAATTCCATGAAAAGGACGCTGCAAAAATGATAACAATACTTGAATCATGGCATTATTAGAAACATTAGCTGGTATCAAGCCAAATACTGAAACTGTTCTTGTAGGTAGCTCTGTCAGCATGCATAGGCTGCAAAGGAACAAGTAAAGGTTTATTCCATGCTGAAAAGAAGAGAAAATATATTTTCTTTCAGCATGGTATAAATGTTTACCTGTTCCTTTCCAAATAATGAAACTTATGATTATTTCATCGGAGTGTCCAGTTAATATATGAAGAGTCCCTCTTAACAGCAAGAAAGGATGGAGCTTAATAAGTAGCCCTCTTCAGAATGCTGTTCTGAAGGAGGCACCTTTGAAGTTCTTGGGCTGAACTTTTCACAGCTTTGTTTTAACTGGAAGCCAGTTCAACACGAAGCTCGGCAAGTGACTGTATGTATCCACACAGTTCACTGAAAATGGAAGCAGATTGAAATAAATATAGCCCTAGGCATCTGTCAATTTGAAAAATAATGCATTTCTTCTTAAATATTGTATCTGTACAGTGGTATTAACCATGTCGGCAGAAGGAGAGGTGGAAATGTGAAATCCCTAAAATGAGGCAGATGTGCGCAAAAAAAAAATCCATAAAGTAGTGGACTATAAAGCTGCCAAGGCAGAGCTGTCCTGAACCACATGAAATTTCCTAAGAAAATACAGATGTGGTAGAAAAAAAGGAAGTAAGAAATCCTCACAACAAAGCCAAATAATTATCAAGTACAGAGTAAATTATAATTATCGTCGTTATTATTACACAAAAATATATACCTTCCAAAACCCCCAGGGGGCACTGCGCTGGCTCAGTTGTCGACATGCTCAGCTGTGGGCAAGGCTGTGCCTTCCTCTGCCAGGGCAGGTCGAGGCTGCAGGCCGGCCTCCTCTCTGTCAGACTCCCCGCCCTCCTCCGCCGGAGGCTGCTGTCCCGGCTGTGGACCGGGTGGGCCTGTCCCTTCCGACAGATGGCCACGTAGCACCTCCATCTTCTTGTTGAGGTCATTGCGCTCCTTCTGCAGAGCCCGGCACAGCTTCTCCAGTCGCTCCAGCTTTCCCTGAAGAGCCTTGTAGTCCTTGTCCCGCACGGTTTTCTGCATCCACAAAGACACTCTCAGTACAGTGACACCTTTACCAACAGCAGGAAATCACCTTGGATGTTTTATATCAGTAAGAGCATAACAAATAATAATAATCATAATCCTCATAATAAAAATAATCCTTACATAATGGGGACTCCCCTCCACCACCACCAGTGTGTAGTCCCAACAAACAGCAGCCCCAGTGCCCCAGAATGCTCACCACACACCAGCTATCAGTGGGAAGGAGAACAGAGTGATGAAGCCAGTTCATAAACGGGTATTATTAGGAGGCCATGAGTGGTAAAGGCCAGGGGGAAATTTAGCCAGTTGAAGGTTTACACTACTACTCTTTTCAAGAAACATCCTAGGATTTTTAATGACTTCAGTTTAACGGCTCACCCAAAGTACAGGTTTCATGGCATATAGTCTTCACAGAAGCCTTGCGGAAGCATTCAGACCTCTGCACAGTTTTACAATTTGTTGCTCTAATGTCTGCAGTCATCTCACCCTCCAGTCAACTCACAGCTGGCAGCCAACTGAAGCTCAGCAGGTGTGAGCCTGGTCAGTACCTGGATGGGAGACCTCCTGGGAAAAAGTAAGGTTGCTGCTGGAAGAGGTGTTAATGGGGCCAGCAGGGGGCACTCATCCTGCAGTCTATGTGGGTCCTTATGCCCCAGTATAGTGACAGGGACACTATACTGTAAAAGACCCCGTCCCTCAGATGAGACGTAAAACCGAGGTCCTGTCTCTCTGTGGTCATTAAAAATCCCAGGGTGTTTTTCGAAAAGAGTAGGGGAAGGCCAAACTTCCCCCTGGCCTTTACAAATCATGGCCTCCTAATAATACCAGTTTATGAACTGGCTTCATCACTCTGCTCTCCTTACTCTGATAGCTGATGTGTGGTGAGCGTTCTGGCACACTATGGCTGCCGTCGCATCATCCAGGTGGATGCTGCACATTGGTGCTGGTGGAGGGGAGCCCCCATTATCTGTCAAGTGCTTTGAGTGGAGTGTCCATAAAAGCACTATATAAGTGTAAGCATTTATTATCATTATTATTATTATTATTAAAACCCCATCTCAGTTTTGCACTAAACTGAAACAGTTTTGCACTAAACAGCTTGCACTAAAGCTTGGAATAAAATTGGCAAAAGGTGTTGCGGTCAGATGAAACCACATTGATGAAATCAAACATTTTGAACTAAATGCTTTGTGGTACATCCATCGTTAGCCCAACACAGCACATCCCTCAAGGCTGTTCTGCTGAGAGAAGCTGTGTCAGGGAAGGGCTTCTAGAGCAACCGGCTAATAGCACAACCCAGGCTCAGACCCGCGATCCGCACTCAGGCTAGCAGTGTCAGCGGGAGGAGTTTCAGAAATCACCCGTGTCCGCCAGGACCTCCACCCCTACCTGCGCTTCCCCCGAGAGCCGCAGGAGTGGAGCGTGGCTCCCCCGCGCGCCCCCCGCCCTGCCTCACCTCTTCCGCCATCTGCAACAGGGCCTGGTTGTTGTTCTCCCACTTGGTGCGCCACACCGTTGTCTCCTTCTCCAGCTTCTTGATCTTCTTCGTCATCTGGGAAAACGAGCCAGAGCGAATGAGGAGAGGCCGAAAACGTGCAGCCCTGAACACTTACGCGGGACAGACACAAGTCACCCATGAAAAGTGTGAAGTGCTGTGCATGCCGTGTTCAGGTGATTTAATTCTGCAGTTTCAAAACAACTCTACCTATGAAACGTTATCTACTGTATATACAAAAATCAACACCTAATTGTGCCCAGAATTGTTGTTTTGTTTTAGAGTTCAGCACAACTACTTATTCAGAATGCACAGGCCTCTTATTTTTCGCAACGAAATCGAATATTAATTACCACAGCTGTGAAAGGTTTTACGATTTTTTAAATACAAATATTCATGGAATTCTTTCAGAACATGTTAAAACTTGTGTTTTTTAAAATGCTTTTTTGATATCAAAACAACAAAGTGTTCGCACCCTGCTGCACAGGTATGACTCACCTTCTCCATCTCTTGCCTGAAAGTGGTGAACACCTCATTGCTCTTCGCCAGAGTGGTCTGAAATTCTTCAAACTTGTCCATGTAGAGGGAAAGCTGGAACACGCATCAGCACAAATTAGGAAGACGCAGTATTCAGAGTGTGTGTGTGTCTTGACAGATGATAACCAGAATAACTGGTAGACCTTCAGTAGTGTGACATTTGGTATCAAAAAGTTAACAATAAACACAAATCGTTTAGCATGATTTTAGCAAAGGTTACTAAACCCCTGAGGAAGGCTCCATAGTCAAAATGTTGTGTCTCAGAATAAACATTTAGTTGTTCCTTTGGTACTAAAAGTGTTTTGCATTTGTTGGTGTAAAAGCAGCAGTACATTCTGCATGCCACAACCCCAACATTTAAACTAAATAAACAGCCGATAACAAACGGGACACAAAACAACTGGTGTCCAGCATACCTGCTGTTTGAGCTGACACTCCTGCTCCTTCATGAGCTCACACTTGTGTCTCGACTCCGTCGCCTCCTTCAGCAGCTGAAGACAAGACAGATGTCAATTAAAGACTTGTCTCATACAGCTCAGCAAAAACCAAAGGGGGTTCATTAAAGAATCTTTCACCTACTTTTCACTTCATTTCACCAACTTCTTGTACGTGCAGTATAACTTGTGAAGTTCACTGTATTTCATGACTCCTCTGGCCACGAGTGTATGCGGGTGCTCTCTTGGTTACCACTTCTCTACTTTGGCAACCTTTATTGTTAACTACCCTTTATTGCCTTTTTTATCCTTTTCCTTCTGGATTTTACTCTCTTTGAACACTATAGTACCCAACATTGCTGCTTGAAGTCTGAGAAATCTTGCAGTCTCAGCCTCCCCTCTGCCTGCCAGTACCCAAACTCTTGGATGATCAGCTCCCAGTTGGTGCTGAGGTCAGTGCTTCCTTCAGTACTTCTCCAACTGCCTGTAGCTGCTGGAAGTCTCTTCTCTGAGCTCTTAGTCTCACTGGCAGAGAGCCTCTGGATCATTATTTATCCTTGCCATTATGTACCTCAGGCTACTTTTGAGACTGCCCATCATGTTGTCCTGCTCAAAAGATCGGATTTAGGTCAACAAAAACAGTTATACCAGATGCAGCACGTCTGAGATGGTGCTCATCAGGGATCAATTTGGGTATCAATTTTATTCTGTTCTGTTAATTTTGGGCTGATTTCTTCATAGCCAACAAACATTGTTATGCTGGCTATACTCTTTATCAATGTAACAGCAGCAGACATCTGTAACACTAAACACTAGGTGTGGAGGGTGTGTACAATCAACATTCTGCCCATAATGTCAAGCAACGTGTGTGCAGGGGGACTCACAAAATCTCTCTCGCGCTGGTGCTTCTCCTCCACCTCCCTCATCATCTCCGTGGTCCTCTGCAGCTTGGCGTCCACCAACTGCTGCTGAAGCTCCTTGTGCTTGAAGACCTTATCAATGTGCTGAAGAGGATCAGGGAAAAAGTTTAGATCAAGTTTAGACCACCTGAACGCTAGATCAAGGAACCGGCTTACCACCTGAACACTGGATCAGGGAACAGGTTTAGAGCATTTGAATGCTGGATAAGGGAACAGGTTTAGACCACCTGATTGCTGCATTTAAGGGGTTACTATAACTTGCTAATTATACAAGATCTTCCTGTTCAGAGCAAGTCACTTCTGCAGCCAACATTGACAATTACAGACCACATCTTTAAGCTTCGTTACACAAAATCATACAGCACTGACGAAATGTGGATGTTTGTTACAGAGTTATTGTCCCGTAGAGAGTATATGTAATCAGAAATGAAATTAATCTCATATCATATTCTTCATATCTAAATAAATGGGTTTGACTCTTGGTGATTTTTTCCCAGCATGTCTTTAGCTTTATTTTCGGACTTGGAGCAATCAACAGTGAGCTTCAGCTGGCGGCCATATGGACTGCTCGAGGACGGGATTCAGAGAACGGAAATGACATCACAGGCTCCTGACAGCATGGCAGAGAGCACATTTCCAGCTGTGAAAGAGGTCATGCAAATGCCACAATACTCAGCCAGATTGTTTTATGTCCATAATAATACACAGCTCTACAAATGCGTGCGTAATGCGCAATGTTCAATGTTAACAGTACTTAAACTTCATAAACATCAACAGGTGGAGCCGCCTACAGCTGCGACAAACATTTCTGTCCCTGCTTTTTCAGCTGATCAAGTCCCAGCCGCCAACGGATGAGAGGCAGCGGAGAGGTGAAACTCCCGGCCCCCCGGTCAACCTCACCTCCTCCCGCAGCTCGTACTGCTCGATGAGTTTCTTCAGCTTCTCCGCCAGCTCCATGTTCTCCTGCCGCAGCTTGGCGTTGTGGAGGTTGTGCTGCTCCATCTGCGCCTCGATCTCGTTCAAGGTCGTCTGGAAGTGCGCCGTGGCCTCCCGGCGCTTCTCCTCGTACTCCCGGGAGCGCTGCAGGTTCTCCTCCTGCGGCCACAGGGTTTGCAAGCCACATCCTCAGCATCCCCAACTCTTACACAAAGGGACTTCTCTGTCCAAGCACCATATTGGTGGACGCCCCTAGTGGAACTTTCCATCTCCTGCAGGGTTATGCAACAATTTGCCAAAATCTGCTTCTTTGGAAACAGTATATGTTCTAAAGTCACTGAACATGCATCAAACCTAGAGAGCAGTATGTACGATTTTAATTTGACTAATTCAAGGCAGTGTGATTACTTCTTTCGAACAACTCACAAGTATTATATATAAATGCAATATTCCTTGCATTGATTTATTATGCATATTATGATCACAATATAAGTAATAAATTGATGAAAGCCGCTGATGACCGGTACAAACAGGTATTTTTGTTAATAATGATAATAATAATAATAATACTAATAATAATACATTAATATTATTATTATTATTATTATTAAAATACATCAAGTGGCTTCTCAATTCCACTAATTGCTACACATGGTCGAAACTCCAGGGCTCAAGCTATCAAAAGCTTCTGTTTGATGCAAGTGTAGCATTTAGCAGGACACAATTACAACTGCATGTCAGCTAGCACTGTAATGTAAGTACAGAAGAATCTGCATACAAAGCCACATAGGCAGGTCTGATGAAATGGGTCTGAATGGACTGAGCCGACGTTGTTATTTATTTTAAAGGTGAAAACTAAACACTCTGCGTGGATTTGGCGAGGAGTTAGAACCCGTACCCCAGCTCCGTGGTCCCACCTCCTACCTTGAGGGTCTTGTTGTGACGCTGGAGCTCGCGACACAGGCTCTCCAGTTTGCTGCGTGCCAGGATGGCCTTGCTGTGCTCACTCTGAAGGTGGATCTTCTCCTTGACAATCTGAGACTGCTTCTTCTGCAGCACCTTCATCTGCTTCTGCATGCTGCGGCTCTCCTCCAGCTGCCAAACCCCCCCAGAGAGCACACAACTCCGTCAGGGCACGGCACAGGCCCGACTCACCCGTCTCCAGTGACAGACAACTGACAGCAACCACATTCAGAATGGCGCCTGAAAATGCTAAGGTCTTGACCAATTTTAATTTCCTTTGTGTTAAATTGTGTACATGTGTACTGTTACTAGCATGACTACGACTCTGTGATATTATCTGCTTTGAACAGAATTGGAAAACAAGGTCTAAACATACACCTTTGAGTGGGTTTCACTTTTAAAAATACTCGAAAACTTAAAACACAAAACTCTTGAACTTAATAAGAGACATTTCCAAATTCTATGATCATTTTCCAACACCTCCATGCATTATGATAGATTATAAAACTGTAATCTTCAAAATGGATTCAAACTGGAAAGCCTTATCAAAAACAGGGATTTACACCACAAAATGGTAATTATTACACTCATTTTTGGTTGCAAGTTGTTTCCAAACATTCTCACTTACTAGATCTGCGTATTTCTTGCACAAGGCAGCAAGCTTCTCCTCTGGGGTAGCTAATGTATTCAGGGCCTGCATCAATAACAGCACCTCTTTCCCTGTCACAAAACAGAAAGCAATCTGTGAGCAGTTGTGAGTTCACACCCACCCTGCACTCCATTATCAACTCAACGCGAATGAGCCACAACTGCTAAAGACAGTACGCAAATCAGGAGGAACTAAAAAACGTGACTAATAAAGCATGTACGTAAAAAAGGAAAATACTTTCCAAAGAGAAATGGTTATACATTTTAAACACATTCTTTATCTTTCAAATGCTTAAGTATCACTGTTAAGACTGGAAATCTGTACCTTAATCTTAGAGTCACAGTAAATTTGGTCAACAACACAGTAAAAGAAAAACAGATCATAAAGTTACAGTAATTAAAGTTCAGCTGCCTATTTAACATAATAGTATAAGAACCCCTGTGTAAGTATAATGTAGAAAAAAACACTATTCTTAATAGCCGAATAGCTTTCATTCCAGTCTTAACTAAAGTCATCAGATGATCCCTTAACATAGCAAGCATTTACACAGGTAACCTACAGTATAATCTGTAAAACTTCAAACATACAGCAAAAAACATTTATTTTATATTGTCTTCCTAGCACTAAAGGTTCGAAAAGTAAAAGAAACTAATATAAAATACAAAGATTTAGCATCTCTTAAAAAATAACATGAGATGTGTTCAAAAACAATGTTTTTACTCTATGCTCATCTATTGTTATAGTAAAAGTTTCTAACTTTTAAGTATTATCTGATACAAATAACCAATTTCAGAGTGATGGTTTCCTATAGCGTTTTGTTTTGTCACTGAAGATCCTAAAGTGCTTCACACAGGGGAGTGCACTCACTTCATCCACCACTGAACACCACCCACCTGGATACTGTGCTGCGGTGATTATGCATCAGCAGCCCCAGTAATCAGTTGATCAGGTAGAGAGGCAAGAAATGAATTCACCCATGAAATTAAGGAAGAACTTTAGGTCGGACTATAAGAGCCCAAAGTGGAATTCAGCCAGGACATTGGGGTTAACACTACAATGCTAATATCCCTGACTATATGGGATCCCCAAAATATTCAGGAACTCACTTTAACATCTCATCTGAAGAGCACTACCTCCTATACCACACTACAGTGGGCTACTGCGCTGGGAATTCTGGCTTGGAGGGAAGACTGCCAACTACTGGTCCACCACACCTTTTCCTTAGAGGCCTCTCTTCCCAGTACTGACGAGGCCTAGCCTGACTTATCTTCACAGATCTGACAAGACCAGGCTACCAGACAGAGCTAACGCTGCTTTCTCTGATCTCATTTCCTGTTTACTGGTACTGGGAAGCACCAGACATCAAACACCGGGATTCTTGGTTCCACATCTTTCACAAACTGGGAAATGCTGCCCCCTCTTATCCCTCGAAAACGCCTTGTCCGACAGCCTACCTAAACCTTTCTTCTCCTTGCTCTTGCCCGTGTCCGGGTCCTGCTCTCCATCAGGGGGGTCCAGGCGGAAGTCCTCGCGGCCAGGCGTTTCTCCTCGGGACCCCCCGGCGCAGCAGGCGGATTCCTCCTCCCCTAAACCGTCCAGCTCGTCCCGACAGGGGCCCCTGCCCAGTTCGGGGCACGAGGCACTCACCAGCAGGCCCCGCGCCACCACGCCCATCCCACACACTCCCGCGCTTTCCATGGTTCGGCTCCCAAACTGGCCGGGGTGGGAGAGGGAGAGAGAGAGACGAGAGTCAAGCCCCCCTGTCTGAATGAGAAACCTTCACAGCGCGACTGAGCATCTGAACTCGTAGCTTGAGACAGTGGCTGCTTTTTATCTCCGATATCTCCGAATACTATGGTACCTGCCAAGCATAGCGATTGGGACAAAGGAAGTTATTCTCTTCACCAAAGTTGTTTGTTCACAAAATCCAGTGCCTGTTTATAGACTGCAAAGAAAACAGCCTTTTAAAACATTTACAGAACATGGCTGCAATGCTGGAACATCAACAGCAACAGATACTGCCAAGAATCAAACTCAGCACTACAAATATCCCTTTCAGTCTTAACCATGCAAAATTAATTGACATCTTTATCAATTCCAATCACTGGTACTTGTAAAAGGTGCCCAAGGATTTAGGTTTTCAATATAAAAGCTGTTGGTCTTGGCCTCATCTGTTGGATTTGACTTAAGTCACAAAAAGCAAAAGAAACTTCCAACTGTAAGAGTTTGTTTTTCCCCAAGACGTACTTTTCATTTTCCTGGCTGTACATCTTGCATAAAAGGACTTAATAAGCTTCTGAAACAAAATAAATCTCTACTACTAGAAAAAAGCTGAAATTCTTGGTGTTCCAGCAACTGCACCATTAGTTAGGACAGAATGCTGGTTATATCCTTGCATCAGTTGCCATAGAGTCAAGTCAGATCTGCCAAAAATGAAGTCAGGCTGTGGGGCAGCGTGCTTGCAATGATACAGGATTCCTTTTACATAAACTGTTAAACTAGGAGGCATCGCATCCTTTTTGTACATGACAGCAGACATTTTAGTTTAATGTACTAGGAAACAATGTGTAAAGATAGGAATAAATGTATTGATAAAAGGCAGATGAGGCCAGTAACAAATTACTATATGAATAGATGCACTACAGGTTAATTAATTGGTACACATCTTACAAACTGGTCTCACGTTAGGCAAAAGACTCCACATTTCAGAAAGGGAAAGCTAATGTGTTGTGCAGAGGAACGCACTCTTAACTGAAAAATTCACTCAAGAATTAAATTTCCACCGAATTAACAGAGAGCAGGAGACAGAAGGGTTAAACCCCAGCCTGCGCCCACTAGATAACTTAAATGGCTCCGATGCAGTCTAAAATATACACACATACAGCATGTAATTTCTTTCTTAACTAATGTGACACTATTGTGAAAGAGGAAATACTTCTCGAACACCTTGAGAAGATTTGTAATGTTAAATCGTCAACATATTTCTACGCAGTTATGAAAGATGAATATGTGTTATAAGGAAGTAAAACACAATACAGAGGAAGAATTCGGAGTTCCAAAATGTCTTTATGGCTGTTTCAACAAGCGGTGCCGCGTGATTTCCAACCGTATTAAAACAGCCCGAAATTATTCCTCAGGCATGAAGAGAACCAACACACTCCGACTTCACCACGTGTTTCCCTGCAGCATCAACAGCGCGCACAAGAGCTCCATGCAGACGCTCTCCGGGCTCTTAAACGCGAGTTTAGCATAATTGCGAGCGGGTCAAAAAAAAAAAGAAAGCGATAACAGACCCCAGAATAATCGTTTTAATTTTACAATTTTAAGCACCGAAACCCGGCAGGCCACATTCACCGTGCACATTTCACAAGTACATTCGTTTCAGCCCTGATGTTGAAAAATGCCTCTCTATTTTATTTAACGTAGTTTTAAAAATGAAGGAAACCAGACTCGAAACCACCTTCTACACGGTGAATATAAAGCCGAGGACTAAGTTTGAAGCTGCAATACGATACGCAGTTAAGTTTCATTTATATCGGTCATTACGCAACAACAGAGAAACTGTATACAGCAAAAAAAAAAAAAACTGCGTGAACATCTGCGAAAAAACACAGACACCTTGACCTTTAGGCCATTTCGCTAGGCATTACTATACGGGTCAAAGATATTTACAACGTACTGTATTCGGTCAGGTCCATACGCAAGTATGTCGTGTTTATCTTTACAGTGCCTTACTCTCTGTACTGTAGTACCGAAGTAGCTACATTTTAATCTCACTCGGGCCTCACTATCAGTGTAGGACTAAGCGGAAATTTCCTAAATATAAAAAATGAAACAACGACGATCGTAACCGCATATTTATTCGACATTCTGTTGTAACCGAGGCCGGCTTATTTGTTGTTTTTTGTGTTACGAGACGTGTATTTAAAACCTGTGCAAGCCGTGTTTCCCCTTAACACGCGAATAAAGGTAAAGCACTACGGAGCCAGAGCGTGAGTAACTAGCAACCTGCTGTGGACTTCGGTATGGAACATACATTTCCTGGTTTAAAGCGGTTTTCAATTAACTTTTTCCTTTCTAGCAACTAATTTACGCTTTAACATCTGTCCTCATTTCGGTTTTACATTCGGACCAAAACCGTCACACAATCGCGGCAGCAGAACAGCGGTACCTGAATGTTTTCAGTGTTTAAATCGACCCTGGCTTCAGAGTGCGTCGCCATGATGTGACGAAATACAAGAACTGGGAAAAATGTAGATAAGAATTAGGGGAGGGGCTTAAACTAAGGTAATGAAAACATCAGTGTGCGGCATCGCTGAAATGCATTACCTCTAAATTGGAAAACATAATTTTTGCAGGTCTGCAGATATTAGTGAAAAACAAGGAAATGTGGTTTCGGTCGGTACCGCGATGCCCCCATTCCGAGATGCGCGTACAGAGAAATTTAGTTTTGTTTAGCCAAAATACACAGCAAAAACCCATTCTTGTAGTGAAAGATACAACTGAACACATTTTTTAATCTAGTGAATGAAGACCATAATGTCACAATTGATATCAGTGGCATGGAAAGCGAGTGCAGCTTTTCATTTGTGGTGAAGTCTGCTTTATGAAACGACGTTGCTCATGTTTGCGACCTTTTCAGTCTTTTCTTCCTTTTCTGACCACTACCCTGAACTATTCATTTGTGGGTTTGGCGGAACAGACCTGTTGCTGAATATACCTCCTCAGAGAAGTGACTTTATATTGTTTAGACAACTGATTTCTCCGTCTTCCTCGGTGCTGAAGAGCAAACGAAGTTCACATTATATCTTTAAAAGGAGCCATCATTGCAGGGAAGAAATAAATACGCATGGTCTGTTAAAGAGTTTCGAATAAAGTTCAACAGTGGCTATATTTATGACAAAGACAAACGTGTTGAATATTATATACAAGGCTGGTCTCCACGTCATGTATACTTAGAAGTGTTAAAAGCGACAAATGAGTACTGGAAACAATAGGAATAATTGTATTTTTAATGCTTAAACATCGATACCCTTAAGAGAGCAGCTCTCAACTACAAGTCTAGAGGAGAGCCTCAGAGACCTCTCGCCGACCCATGTCTAGTCAAATATTCTGGCGCTGTGGATCTGTAATCTACTTAATTTCATTTTTTCTACTGCTAAAAAGGTAATAAATTTTAACAATTTGCAAAAAGATTAATTTCAGTTGGATTTAATGTTGGCTGTTGGTACTGAGGAATTTCTTTGGGGGGGAAAGAAAGCCCCAAACCAAGGAAAGCTGGCTGATTTAGACTCAGTGCTGAGTTTTTGTAAGGCTAACTAAAGCCAGAACGTAAATGTGGTTTTAAAACTCTAAAGGGATTTCAAAATCGATGTTTGAGATTGTGTCACAGGGTGACAAAATATGGGTGTGGGACAACAGGTGTCAGGGATTGTGCCGACTTTAAATTTACATAGATTAGCCATTGTCTCCATAAGGGTGGTACATTTGTCTTTCCTGCCCCATGGATCAAAGGTTCTTGCATAGACACTCGATAATTATCACACAGGACCATCAGAGGAAGGTCCCAGAATCATCTTCATCCTTCCTCTGCCTAAAACCGGGTCGAGGAGGGATCATATGGGACCACATTGTTCAGGACGGCCAAGACTAAGAGGACATCTAAGAACCACTTAGAAAGACTACAGAGTTCCATCCTTTCCTGTGGTACAGTGAAAGCTGACACCAGTTCAATAACCTGAGCTGATTACAAAGAAGAATGCTGCTTACTTTTCCTTTGGGACCTTGGTTTTGGTAATTAGTGTCCATGTGTGTTCTTGAATTGTTCTGCGAGTGAACAATACATTCAATCATTAGGCCTTTGAGGGTAATTTGCATTATGTGGTCTGTGTGTCAGGTAGAGAGTTATATAAATCTTTGTGCTATGGGGATACAATTTATGATGGCTAGATTGATAGACAGTAATAAAAAGGTATATTATGTATTATGTCTGGTCTGTGGGTCCACTGGTGGCTCTAGTAGATAAAAAAAGAACATGTTGTAGGAGAAAAAGGGTCCTAGCGCCCTTAAAATTGCTAGGTGATATACTCAGCCGTACCTGCATTTAGGGGTAATGAACTGTCCATGACACAGAAGGAAAGCTATTAATTGTAGATTCTGTGCTTGTACAAAAACGCTTTGGTTTTTTACACACAATTCTTGATGTTTTGGAGGAAAAAAAGCCAAGACACTATTTGAAGGCTTAATTCAATGATCTTTCAGAATTCGTCTTCATCCTGCGCCATGACAAAATCATTTAGCGTAGAAATATTAACAGCTCTGATGGGAGGAATTGCACTTTGCTTTGAAAATTCCTAATGTTCCAATTGTTTGAAGCAATAATTGCATGTAACATTATAGTATCATTCATCTTCTGACCTGTATCCGTCAGTAAAGAGACACTGAAATCATGGCTACAACAGTAACAGGATACAAAGACTTTTTAGGAATAACTGAAGCCTAGCAAGGGAAGGATGGAAGGAAAGAAGATGTGATAGAACAACTGGGAAATTGTTATCATAATATGGCATATTTTTACTTATACTTAAAACCTCTACATCATGATTCTGAAAAACTACAAAGGAATAAGGCAGAGTTTTGAAGTGGTACACCGAGAACAGATGGATTCACTTTCAATTGCAGAAGGATGTTCATACTGCAAAAACACATTAATGGCTGAAAATGTGTTTATATCTAAAATAATGAAGTCCAAGGCAGAGTTTAATGGAGAAATTGGGAAAACAATCAGAATGTTCAGAACACTCTGCCGAATGTATAAAAGGGCCCAAGATTCAAAGATGGAAAAGGGGTGTACTAAGCTGCAGCTGGCAAAAAAGACATTTATTTTATATAAATTGGCAGTTGTCAATTGACAAAAGCAGCAAAAGCAATACTAGTACAACAGCACTACAATAGTAAAAGAGCTATAATACAGAAACAGTTTCAAAGATAAAAGCAGAAGAAGATAAATGTATAGTAAGTATACTGAATGAATATTTCATGCTTCTACAACACAAGATGGCACTGGGTAATTTAACTGTTCCTGACACTGAGGATCTACTGGGAAAACGTGGTTAAAAACTAATAGATCTGATGGCATGTACCCAGTCAGGAAATACAGGATATTAATCCAAGAACCCTGGCTAGGATATTTCTTCTCTCACTAAAATGGGAATGGTACTTGCAACTGCAAATGTAACACCAATTTATAAAAAGGGAGACAAAACTGTACCAGGAAAATACAGAAATACAGGCAAATCAATTTTATTTCTATTACTGGTAAAGTTATGGAAATTATAGAGCTAAAGGGCAAGAACGTTTGTGGAATGATGCAATTTTAAGAGTCAAAGTGGACTTAGATAAAGCACGTCTTGTTTCAAGTCAAATATTTAAAATCCTAAGGGGCAGAGATAGGGCTAAGCACTGAAACAAGGATGTGGGGTCACAACTGCAAACTAACGTGGAGTTTGTTTTGGATGTAGGACAGAAAATGCTTCTTTACACAGAGTTGCGGTTATCTGGAAATCTAAGCTCTTTTAAGAAACAGCTGAATTCAATTTGATCACTTGTTTCAAAATGTTCACATTGCTACTGAATTAGGAGAAAAGCATGACCAGCCAAATGGCCCCTCCTGTCTTCTGCCTTTCCTACGTTCTTATGCACAAACTTTATTCATCTCAGTTTGATGACTATTTTAAATGTGCGGCACACTTTGTGAGAGCTTGTAGCTTATGTGTGCTTTTGTGTCTGTTAGGTTTATATCAATTTCTTCTCGGTCATTTTTCCTTGATGGTTTAAGTACAATTCAGGAATTCATTGAGGATTTTGTTGGATTAGTCCTCCTGCTGAGATTAACGGATTAACTAATATAAAAGACAGGTCTCAAGTCAGCAGCAGGGTTTCCTGGCAAATTAATCCTTCATCATACCCCCAACAATCACTGTCCTTATGAGGTGCTAAAATGAGAAGTAGTTTATGTAGCTGAATAGTTATTTTTCCGTAATAGGTTCTGTTGATTGCTGATATCAGTGCAATCATGACATCAATATAGCGATTAATTTGACTTCAGTATAGGCCTGGTCTGAGGCTAAATAGGCTTTCTTGTCCATAATCTTGGCATTCAAGACCATGCATTTTGAACCCCCCTAAAAAAACAAAAACATTTTAGAAATTCAGTAGAAGGAGAATAATTGTGTTATATGGGAATTTCTATTGCAGTCTTATTGTGCTTACAAATTAAACCAGCTATAAATTCTGGAAACTGTTCAAGAAAAGTGACTGTTTAAATGAATAAGGTTCGACCCCTGTCCTGGAGGCTGATGTTAATTTCAACAGAGCACATGATGACTTAAATCAGCTTTTTGTTGGCTTCGTTGAACTAATTTACCAAGATCTCACTCCTCTTCAGGTGCTGCTGCTTTAAAAGTGATGGAAATCCTGCAGAGACCCTGGCCCCTGGCCTCAGGGTTATTATTATATAATCCTTATGGATGCTGGTGTTTAACATTTAGGTGAGGCTGAAAATACATAACTCTGTAGTAAACAGGTTTTGTGTAAAGCTGAGCAACTAACAGATCTTGAACTTGTATATTGCTTTATTTTACATTACCTCACATTACTAATTTAAGTACTATTTTGGATTACTAGGAAAATATTCAGGTTACTGGTGAGCAGTGACAAACCTTTATATGAATTGTCTTAGTTCATGCATTATTTTTTCTCAATTTTTATTTCAATTTTATAACATTTCTTTCCATTAACATATGCTTACATACTTCAGGTGTACCTTATATTTGAAACAGAATCAGTTTAGGTTGTTCTCTCAGCGAGCATCATCTGAAGGTAAGAAAGATCAAATTAACTGCATAAGAGTAGACTGTTTTTGCTCTGAAGTACCGCAGAACATTTCAGACCTGGAACATATCAAGTGGTATAGTTGTTCTACACAGCTTTACAATAAGGGGATTCCAATAAAATGCTAAATAACACTTAATAAACAATTACGTATCCTAGACAAAAATGACCATACAAAAGGCTGTGTTTCATGTTTTACTTTTAAATTGAGGGTTTGTTTTGACAGCACTACTTGTGAAGTAGAGATGACTGAAAAGAGAACATAAAATATGCAGTAACAAAGCTTAAGTTTATAGAGTTTAATTTCCAGTCTTATTCCCAAACATAATTAAAATACTTTTTTCGATTAAGCATAGACAAGTCGCTTATTAAAAAAACAGGCCCTTTTTAACTTTGTTTTTGTTTTTGTACTGTGCAAACAAAACATATTATCAGTATAATTAAAAGATCAAGAGTACAAAAAAACAAAAATCTGGTCAATGTGAAAACAATACCTCTAAAGAGACACTGCATTTCTTCACTTTCAGAGTAAGCCATCACTTACTAGCTACCAGCTGGCGGCTGTAAATAACGTGGGTGTTTTAGCACCTCTTGCTTATTGTAGTGACAACTAAATAAAACTGAATAAATGACAAATAGGTCCTCTAGCAGACATAAAGAAGCCGATGTCAGCCGGTATCAAAGAGTATTGGTTAGCATGAAGAATAACATTTTCCTAGCACTCCAAAATTTTCAGAATAGATCCATTACAAGTTCCATTTTATTCTTAACAGGAAAAAACGACTCAATGGCTGTGCTATTTATAAGAACTTAAAAGACCACCTCCCTACCAACAAAAACTGAGATGTATTTCTTTGAATGATATGTATTAAACAAAACAAAGCCACACCTTTTACAGATGCATCAGTCCTGGGTTGGTGTGGTTGACTGTTTGGTTTCCAGGATGTAGCCTTCACTCACAGGACCTCTCCAGGTGTTTGGTGAAGCAGAAGATCTCATTCTCAGGGCAACATCTCTCACAGACTTCTCTCCCCCATCAATCAAGCTGATAACAACCAGGCGGTCTTCATCTTTCTCGAACTGGACATGATCATATCTTTACTGTTCTTGCATTACAATCACATTATTGAATGGCTTTTTATAGACATTGTTAATCAGAGCAATGTGCCAATTTTAACTCACCTACAATAACACATGTTTAGCACCTGGTGTCTTTATTAAATGACTTGAACTCATCATTATTTTTAACCCAAGGAACACTACCACTCCAATCCTATCTGCTCATTACTGATGTAAAATTTAACATCGATAGCACTGCATGCAGCACTGATGCTGCTTTTTCAGGTTTTCAAAATAAATCACAACCCTACATTAAAATCTTTTAATGTACAACTATGAACAATTATTAACTTGCAATGTATAATATAACTAAAAACAGGAAATTTGAATTGCATTGTTCAGAAAAAAACTCTGCAGGTATTTATGTTTTATAAACAACTTCAAACGTACACAACCACAATCAATGTCTTCAAAACTACAAGATAAATACATCCATTGCCAGTATTTGTAAGTGATCTAAATACCACATTATAATATGTGTTCCCTCTACAGAGATGTACCAATAATGTATACATCGATGAAGACTGGGTAACAACAGTACATTATCTAACAATATCTAATTACCTACCATTTTCTGATATCCAAATATTCTCAGGTAGAAATGACAGTTTCTGACTAAGTGCTATGACACAGCAGCAAAAAAACACTTTTCACTGTGATACCGCTGTTCACCACCAGTGCCTAATTGGGAACCCTATATTAAATGCTCACGCAGCTGGTGTGGTGTTCGTCTCAGAAACCCAACAAAAGCCTTACTGCTTAGGCACTAACTCATTCTCAGCAAAGAAAATAATTTTCTCCTTGTCTCTAGGTGGCCTCAGTTCTATCAGCTATTGCACACGTTCCTGATCCCAAAAGGGAGTAAAGAAAGTGTACGCTGGTGATTAAAAGAATGGACAAACCTCACACATGTTCACAGTGCTCACCTAAAGAGTTGCTCTTCTTTTTAGCACTCCAGGCATAAATTGTTGTGATTCGGCCCTTTCTCTAATACAGATATTTAGGATGACCTTCAGGCTTTCTTAATTCAGTTTCTTTCATGATAGAGTATCTTTGAAACACAGAATCGTCAACTTTGCAATATTGGCTCTGATTTTGACTCCACTGCAGGTTCTTTCCCCACCAGTGTGATCAATACTTGAATGGAAAAACGGGCAAAATCAAATTAACCTGGGAAAAGCAGCTAGGATTGCTGCCTATTCGTGGCATCTCACACAGACTGAACTGACTAGGCCAAAAAGAGCCCCGTCCTCTGCTTACTCTGCCTGTTCTTGGAACATAAGAGAGAAAATGTTTATACTCTGTCATTTTGGGCAATTATAATTAGGAGAAAAAAAATTGCCACTTGTAAGTCCTTATTTTTTTACAGTTTCTTAGTGTCAGAGTGCAACTATAGTAAATAACTTGCTCTTACCAAATGGCAAACGGTGACCTTGCTTTAAACGACACTAAAAAAGAAGAAAATACAAGGTAATACAAATTTTTAAATTATTTATTTGTGTAGGGTAGGCAGTGTCTGTTGTCTACTCTCACAATTTACATCTCTACTTTAACCCTCCTGTCACCTTAACATACAGATCCAGATAGCTGACACTCTGGGGTTGGTTTCATAAAGCATCAAATGCCTTAAGTTTTAGATCTGGACACCATTTTCTTAACGAGGTCACTACCTACTACATCTCCATCACCACACCCTTAATCTCAAGAAACTCCTGAGCATAAAATTAAGCGACTGGCCTCCTGAGTATTCATTAACATCTAGGTTTAGGAAAATAAGGTCTATTATTTTTTCAAATAAACAGGTCACGTTTGAATCATTATCATCTGAAATGGGCAAGGTAGTGGGGAAAAAAAATGGAAAGCTCTGGGCATATGAAAGTCACCAAATATGCTAAAAACATGGACATCCAAACAGGTGCTGGTTATGCATTAATAAGCAAATAACATCCCAACATGGTAAGGGTCATGTATAAAAATGCTGGACAGGTCAGGCTGCCTACATTTTTGTTAACATGGCTGCTGGAAGAAACTACATTGATGCTGAAAGAGGGATGATTGTTAGGGCTATTTGGCCATGTCACTTGAACTTATTGATGTTGCACAACCATTGGTGTATAAGGTGATGTCAGTATGGAACTCCAATGGAAAGACGTCATTAGCAATGTGTAACCACAGGTTGAAGGGCATTTTCCAGGATTGTGACGTCTATGCATTCATCTATGCTCATCACACCTGGCGCAGCATGTTTGCAAGTCTGGTGATGCACAGGCAATGGACTGCTGAGCAGTGGAGAAATGTAGTTTTTTTCAGATTAATCATCCTTTACCATGTTTTTGACAAACAGATGTGTGTACACATGGTGCCGACCTAAATAACTCTACAGACCTAAGTGTTTGGTTCCAACAGTGAAAGGTTCTGGTGGTCCAGTAATGTTGTAGGGCACATTCTTCTGGTACGGTCTGGGTACACTCATTCTCTTAGAATGCAAGGTCAACACCGATCTCCACCTAATGGTACTGGATGGATGAACATCACACTGATGTTATCACTACGTCACGGCCTTCTCAGTCACCAGATACAATTCCAATCGTGTTATGGGGTATTCTGGAAAGATGTCCACTTCCATTAATCAGGTGTGATTTGATTGTCTTTCTCAATGAAAAATGGTGCTGCATCCCTCCTTTAGACTTCTAGACACCTGCAGACTCTATTCCACTATTCCACAGCGCAACAAGGCTGTCTGTGTTGTCCAGTCGCCATATTTAGTGACTTTATATGATCGTTTCCATTGCTGTTTCCACTACCTGTACCTACACCTTAGATGTACAGTTAATATAGAGCTCAAGTATAGCTTGGTTATAATTTCTGTAAAACTGTAATGTGGTTGCAGCAGTCTTTTGTGCCTGTGGTCCCTACAAACACTAGTACAAACTCCCCCCTGTCAGCATTTGTCTTTTCAATCATGCACCCTCCTGTAGCAGCAGTGACAGCTAATAAGAAATGCACCTTAAATTGAATTGTGTTTCTAGAATCCAATTAAAGGGTTAAAAACAATATGTTAAAGGAAATTAAAGAAAACACTAAATATGTTTGCAAAAAATACCTGCATTACATAAAGCTAAAAACAAAACCATTTACATCAGGTGGAGATCTATTAATGAATTCAATGAACAAAAGCACATATAGTAGGCCAATTGAAAACAAATCACTGGGTATAAATCCGTTTCTGATTACAATAAACTCAAACAAATATGCAAGTTTGCAGTTTGGCACTGTCTACAAACTTGGGAATATTCTTACAAAATAAATAACCGCTAGAAATGGAAGCAGACGTAAGGGAAAAAAAAGAACCCATTACACAATGGATATAAAATTATAACTATATAATCACCCTCAAGAAACACTTAACATTTGCTGGAAACGTTAAAAATATATCAGCTTAAAACCTTCAGTGTCAATGCATAAATCACTTTAACTGGGGTACAATTTGTTCCAGATTTCAAGCTTCAAAAATGAAAGTTTTTTCATTTCTTTAGAGAATTCAATGAATGTTGAGAGACAAAGGCGAGCTGCATGGCTTGTTGGAGTGAGTGCTGCATGCAGTATTAAAACTTACTTGGTCCTTCATAGTGTTAAAAGTAAGGTGAAAACAATATAGCCGATCAGAGTTCACTTGTATAGTTCTCAGTTACGTACACTTAACCATCTGCCTGCAGCATTTCCTCAATTTCCTTGTCCCAGGTTTCATCTCTGTTTTCAGATTCTGCCACTACTTCATATTCCTGAAGCTCCTGCTGGAGTTCTTTCTCCCAGTCTGCTGTCTCTTCTGCAGGAAGATGGAAACAACATTGAAACATTGAAAACTTCAAAAACTCCTCCACTACCAAAGGTAAACTAGAAGAAACGAGACTAGTAGCTATGTTTCGTACTTCAGTGAGAGAGAAACTAAAGCCTGAAACACTTAAATAACAGAGTTTAGAAGGCAGGTTTCAACAGTTCTATATAAAGAGGATCAATCTGCTCTTCAAGCTAGATTCAACATATTTTCAGATTGAAATAAGATAAGAAAGGATTGGCTAGGAAGACAAGGCAGGCTGGGGGAGGCACAGTGAGTACTACTGTAGGTGCTGGGTATGGGCCTGCCTGTGACAGTACTCACCCTCTGGGCCAGAGACGTCTTCTTTCTTATCCAGTACCAGCTGCTCCATCTCCTTCCTCAGGTCTTCCTGGTTTATATCACATGAGTCAAAGGCATCACTGACAAACTCCGAGACTCCTGGACTTGTTGAGATCTCCTCCTCATCCTACAGCAAGAGAACATGGATGGTTTTTCTTGCCCTAACTGATTACTCACCACTACAGTAGAGTAGGTCTAATTCAGCTACAAAGCACCAATCCTCCAGTTTTAAATTTTCAAAATAATAAGTTCTTTAGAATAGCCAAGAATGATACAAGTCAACTGCACTTATATTAAAACCTCCATATAACTTAATGTTGACCAAAGAGAAAAGATAAGGCCTGAAAACAAGCACATTAAAGATCCCCCCCCCCCTTCTTCCAGATAAGAAAGTGAAGCACTTTCACAAACTGACGCCACATTTCACAGAAACAATTTAATCAGATAATATTTCTACTAAATTTGTTTTGTCTCCCTTAAAATTCACCTCATCTTCTCAGGGCACACAATAAAAATATTTCAGAGCTTTTAATCCTTACTCTCAATGGATTTCTAACACAATATGGCCGATAAAGTGATCTTATCTTATTTCTTTGGTGTAAAATACTTACTGAACTTCCAACAGTAGTTATAAGTAACTTCTACTTCATGAACTAAAACCGTGTTTCAAACAATGAATCTTTAAAACATATCCATTTAACAGGCTCCTGCAACTGCAGCATGTCGAATCACACACCGAAGGCTTTGTTTTTTCATAACTTGAGCATTTAATTGATTCTTGTCACATCCAGGGATAAAGAGAACTAGAAGATAACTATACTTCCACACCACATCCATTATCCCTTACCTCATTTGGCTTCGGTTTGCTGTTGATGGCAGTGGGTGGAGTTTTGGGTCTTATAATTTCTGAAAAGCAAAAAGAAACACAGACTGTGTTTGATTGTCCTGAAGAGTTTTTCCGAGTGTCTGCTGAAAGAGCGGCTAAGCAAAGCCACAACTTGCCCAGCTGTACTTTTTTTCCTACTGTTGCAAATTGCATTATGGAACTAGAGAGGGGGACTACGATGACAATGAGGCATCCACTAGAGGTCGCAATGTACAATATTGAAAAAGCTGTATTGTAATAGGTCATCTGATGTAATAAGAGCAGCTGATTGTATAATAAATAATAACTGCAATGTTGGGATGTGATCTGTACATCATGACTCTATCCTTCACTCTGGTCAGTCAGGGTATGCAGTAGTCAGTGTTGCGGTTGGCCACTCTGTCAATAAATGTTGTGTAGAGCAGAGGCCTTATTTTGTTTAAGCACCTTGCATAATAAATCCAGGAACGACTCTTGGACCTTTTCTCTATTTCTGTGTTGAGTGGTTACTGCAGCACATAACTCTACGCTACCACACTCCACATTTACAAAAAAGTCACATGTACAGTAACACATGTTTTTCAAAGCCATCTTAAACCGTGAACAAAGTTGGAATTGAAAATTTCAAAAGGTCTGATTAGCAAATTCCAGCGGGCTACAGAAGGCCATCTTCAGTAAACTCCAGCTGGTCACACTGGATGGACAGAGAGCAGCTCTATGTTTGCCTGCATAACGCTTCAGGAATTAACTACTAGAATCCAATACAAATGCCTTTTCAAATCAATTGCACGTATTAGGCCAGAAAACACAAGAGTAAACGTATTGTTAGAAAGCAATGTTTAAAACAAACAGTTCTAGAAATACAGCTTATTATTATGGGTGGTGAGTTTTTCTACCTTCTTAAAACCATTTACAGGTGGTGTTAGATATAAAAAAACAGTATCTGAAGGTTTTCACGCCTATTTAAATCCTTCACAAAACCAGCTTAAAAACTTGACAACTGTTTTGCTCATTTGTATTCCTCTTTTAAGATTTCTCAACTGCTACCGCTGGCCTCTTCCTGCCCAATACGCGGCCCTACAGCAGCTGGCGAGCCTGATCACAGACGGGTACCTGTCAGGCGTCCGTCTTCAGGACTGACACTGCTCTTCTCCTCTTCCTTCCTGTCCGCAGCCTGCTGCTGTGCAGCCAGGGCAGTGAGCTGAGCCGACTGCTTTATCAGAGAGACACGGTAGAAATAATTCCTCCAGAACACCTCCTCTTTTACGCTACAGGAGACAAGGAAAAACAATACAGAAATAAGCCCAAATATTCTTAGGTGAAACTAATATTTTTCACAGAACAGAGATGTAAATATTAAACAACAATAATTACAAGTACTACGTGTGAGGGTATTAAAATGAAAAGACTCATAATACATCCTAGTCGCCGAGAGCAATGAATACTTTTAACTGGAGTTAAGACTCACCTACTGCTTAATACCATTTAAAAAGGCAGCTGGAAAATACACAGCAAAAATGGAGCCCTCATTGTGCAGAAACACATGCAAATCAAACCATAAGAAGAACCCTCGCAAATGATCTGGCCAAAAGTAAATGAGATCTGCTAATTGTGCACACGGATCTTCAGTCTATGAACAGGTTCGTTTTGTACAGGCTAGCAAGATACAGGGCAGATGAGGAAAATATAGTATAAGAATGAACTAGTGCTCAAGTTACTAACCCTTGCACTGTAGATGATGATTAAAATCACAAACAAATGACATATATATGAGCTGTCTCAGGTAATAGGGACATTATCAGAACCAAACACTACCAGACCATTTTTTTTTTACATTACACAGATCAGTAGGGTTTGCTAAGTGTCATGGGTAGAAAGCCTATAATACGAGCCCACTTGGATAAGGAATAACTAGCCATAAAAAAAAGGCTGAGAGGTCCCTAAGGGAAGTTAGACAAAGCTCTTGGAGTTTTAACACAAACATTACTTGAAAAGGATGCTAAATTACTACAAAAGAGGAACATCTTTATTTCCACCAGCGAACAGCTGGTAAGTGAAATTTTCAGTCAGTAAAGGCATCTTGCTTACTGCTTAGGAACCAGGTCGAAACGCATCCTGTTGAGCAGCTCGTCCTCCTGAAGCATCACCAGCGCGATGGGGAACATCTGATTGAAGTCAAAGTGATACTGCACTCCTGCAGGAGGGTCTCGGAGAAAGTTTCTCCTGTCCTGAAACACAGAGGGAACTAAACCTCAGTTTAGGAAACACACTTCTTCAGAAGGAAATGCTGTATTTTGCTTTGCTCTTCATAGAGGTAACAGGTACTTCCACAAACATCTGTCCACTTTCTAACCACTTTTTCTACAGGACTACAGGGTCCTGGGGGAGACAGAGCCTATCCCAGTAAACAATGGGCACAAGCCAGGATACACCCTGGATGCCGAATATCCAAGTATCCAGGATGCCCATTTATTGCAGGGCACACACAGGGCACAAACAGAGACACACTCATGCCACATTTCCCAGAAAGCAATTAATCTACCAGCATATCTCTGGGCTGTGGGATGAAATCAGAGCACCATGAGAAAAACACATGAGAAGACAGGGAAAACATACAAACTCCACGCAGACAGCACCCAGGAATTGAACCCGGGGCCCCAGTGCTGCCAGGTAAGAATGCTAACCACTGTGCCGGCCACTTCTACAAACATTTTAATTGCAAAATACAATTTCAAATTTGTTTACTGATTACAGTGTTTCTCAATCCATGCGTGTGGCCCATTTCTGTCTGTCTAGTTTTGTAATGGCCTCATTAAAGAATAGCAAATGAAGGCTGAAAGTGGCTCAGCCAGCACGGGCTGAAGTTAAACCTTATAACTCAGATGCCGCTGTTTGGAGCATGGGCTATAGCATTAGCCGGCGGTGACAGGCGTTTCCCCACAAACCACCGAAAACCAGCTGGGTATCCTCAGGGCCAACAGGGCTCTCGACCAATCCTCAGTGTCAGTTCTCCTGTGAGGCACTATAGCTCTGACAGATAGGCATGTCAGAGGTATGCAGGCACAGTTCACATTCTCCTTGGATAGTACAAGAGTGGCAATGGTAAGATGACCGGTCAGTGTCAATTCAAACTGCTGCATATAAAATAGAAAGTAGTGTGATTCCATTTTTTTTTTTAAAAGCTTAGAATAGACCTGGACTATTTCTCAGTTTGCTCAGTAAGTATATCATTCCCACTCTAGGAAAGGACAACAATCTTTTGTTCTGTACTCACTGCTGATAAAGCCAGAATCTGCTGTTGAATTGTTTCCTCTTCACTGTAACCGACCCAAGGAGGAACAGCAGTGTCTTCAAAAAGGATCGAAAACAGAGTAGAAAGTTAATAAGCTGCATTGTTTTAAAAGAAAATTGAATGCTTACTCCTTGAAGTTCTAAAATGTCTTTTCACTCCGAAGCACAAGCATGCACAATTTTAACAGCACAGTTAAATTCTGTCTGGCAAAAAAGAACATTTTGCCCTTTACAAAACTGCCACTCACCTGTCCTTTTTGCATTCTTTTCTTGTACAAACTTTTCTTGTTCTTTCTGAAAATCTCCTAATATCGTCTGAGGAAAAAAAAGAATCTTCTCTTACATCATTATCTTGATTGTTTTTTCCTGCAGGCAGCGTCATAGAGTTGGAATTATTACAGAATTAGATTAATGAATGAGGTGGGAGCACTGGAAGCAAACTATTTCCACATTTCTAGTTAATTAAGATGCATTGCTTGCACACATCAAGGAGTTGTTGGGAAGAATTCTACACTGATGTGAATTTCAGCAAAAAAAGACAAGCCTACATTATTTAATAAAAAGACTGGGAGAGGCAAAACAAACTTATTAATTTTAACATGCATCACAGAAGAAGACGAAAATTAGAGAAAACAAAAACTTCTAATCTAAATGTAGTAAAGTAACAATATAAAGTTAAGAACTCCATGAAGAGGTTCTGAATGACCCACGTGCTGCCCTTCTTCCACAAGAACTGCAAGGGGGCAGAGAGTGGTTTGGAGATCAAATGTCGGAAGCTGGGCTCGGATTTTTACCAACTAAAAAAAAATCATTGAATTTGATTTTTAACTGGTAGTCTACATTTTAATTTAATTCATTCCTTACACTTTTAGAGGACTTTTCTGGACACTCGACTCAAAGCATTTTACAGATAATTGGGACTCTCTTCCACCAGCACCAATGTGTAGCTCCCACCTGGATGATGTGACGGCAGCTATCGGTGGAGAGGAGAACAGAGTGATAAAGCCAATTCAATTAATAGATGGGGATTATAAGGAAGCTGTGATTGGTAAAGGCCAATGGGAATTTTGGCCAGGACACCAGGGCAACGCCCTTTTCGAGAAACACCCTGGGATTTTTAATAACCACAGAGAGTCAGGACCTCATCCAAAGGGCAGCGCCTTTTTACAGTATCGTATCTCCGTCGCTATACTGGGGCATTAGGACCCACTCAGGCCCCCTACTGGCCCCGCTAACACCTCTTCCAGCAGCAGCCTTAGTTTTTCCCAGGAGGTCTCCCATCCAGGTACTGACCAGGCTCACACCTGCTGAGCTTCAATGGGCTGCCAGCTCTGAGCTGCAGAGTGATACGGCTGCTGGCAGCTTTCACACCATGTGGCCAAGTGCCATGCTCAGACCATTCACAAGTGCCTCCTACATGGCAAACTGCCAGGTACAACACTGTCACATTGACAGGCAAAGCAAAAGTACTGACGTTTGAATAGGTGTAAGCAGCAGACAGAAGGACTACCTTATCAATAATGCCATCAATATTTCTGTCCTCCACGCTTTTTTTAATGGTCTGTGCAGTCTCCACTACTGACTCCGAGATCTTTTTTGTGGCAGTGCTAGCAAAATTGTACAGGTATCCTAAAAGAAACAAAAGACAAAAGAAAACAGCCTCAGTGGTCCTTGTACATTTTCGAAATATTGTGTGCTACTCTGCTGATTGCTGGCAGCAGAAATGTCTGTATTCTTTAGGTTTATCTTCTCTGCCACAAATAATTATTCTTCATAAGAGAGCAGTTTTAACATGTGTTACCAGTTTTTAGTAAAATGCACATGGGGCTGTACGCAGTCCCCCATACAATGAAAATCAACATAGCTGTATATTCCTATTTAGTATTCAACAGATAATTATAAGGACACATTTTACACATACAGAGGTATAACAGAATACAGACTGCCATTTTATTTCGGCACTTTTAAAGAAAAATAAACAAATCTCGCATAGTAATTAACTGTTTTATTATCATTCTGATGAACTGGCCAAAATGAATGACTTTGACTCGAATGTGTTTGTTGCCTAAGCGTTAGCGAGGGAGTTTCTGAGGTGATGAGGTGATTGAACCTGTTGAATTCAACTATGGTGAACACCGAGAAGAACACAGAAATACGTGCCCCGCTCATCAAGACAACCAGACAACAAAGCCTCTTCTGTGCACTCGGTATGTCCAGTGGCTTCATTTCATTACCTAGAGCAGACTTGCCATCAGTGGAGCCTAGTCCTCTTCAGTGGTGTTTTTTTGTAGACCTATCTAATAGATGTCAGAGAGTACGGGAAAGATGTGCATGATGACATGCTAGAAGTTGTGCACAAAAGACAATCTGATGAGGAAGTCCAAGAGCAATGGTCTGGGCAGGAGTGTATAGCTGCTACAGAACTCTACTTGTAGTGATGGTGATGTCAGTCTGATGTTATGGCGCCAAACCTTTCACGTTCTGAGACCTCATTTGCTTCCCTTCCTTTGAGCTCATTCTGAAATCATATCACTGCAGCAGGACATTATGCCTGACATAAGGCAACACTTTTCTTGGAAAAAAACAGAGCCTATCCCAGCAGAAAATGGGCACAGTGTAGGATACACCCTGGGTGGGATGCCAGTCCACCACAAGACACAAACAGAAAATCGCACTCTGAGACCAGGGCCCATTTAGCCAGAAGCTTATTAACTCACCAGTATGTCTTTGGATTGTGGGAGGAAACGGGAGCCAACAGAGAGAACTCGCCTGAACACGAGGAGAACATGCAAACTCCACCCAGATACTGCCCTGGGAATTGAACTCGGGGCCCCAGCGCTGAGAGGCAGCAGTGCTAACCACTGCACAGTGCCGGCTCTCTTTGATCGTTTTCCTACTTATAAGTTTGCGGTTTTGTTGCAGTTAAAACTGAGACATTCTCATTTCGACTTTCAGTGCGATAATCTCAATAGAACTAAACAATAATTGACAGGACCTTAAGCAAATGCTATTTGTGTCGCGACAAAGAGCTAAAATAAACGAGAAATAAACCACACAGACCCCACTCCTGCCAACGAAACCCCGGACATGTAGGGAAGGAATGCGCTGTGTTTTCCGTGCGGGTGCTGTGATCTTACCGCTCAGCCCTCTGGCCTGCTGGATGAGCTCCTCCGCCGGGTCACTCTCCTGCTTCACACTCCTCTCCTGCTTGTTTACTTCACTTTCCCCCTCTTCGCTTTCCTTCCCCTCGCACCTCTCGGCATCTTTAGGAGTTTCCTCTGACTTCACACTGGCGGGATTCTCCAGACCTAACCACGACCCCCAGCCCTTGAACATTGTCGTTATTGTTTTTGAATGCCGTATATTACCGATAAAGTAACACAGTATCGCCTCGCCGTGTTTACTCTGCTCACATCCAGTCCAGAACGTCACCAGGAAATGTATGACTGTTGACTTCCGCGTTGCAATGACGTCAGGGGTCAAACAATTTTGTCCCTTTAATCGCCCCTTAGACAAATTTCTCTACGAGATTATATGACACAACCATATTCAAACCGATAGGAACTGTTTTTTTCAGGATTTCGATTTGTAAAAAAACACATTGAAAATTTTAAATACCACTCCCCATAGTTCAATATATCTTCAGAAAACACGGAACATCGCCAGTCACCTGTTGTTTAAAATGAAAAATTAATCTGCATGTTCCTTCTACTCCGTACTACTGACCCGCAACCGACCAGAACGGTACCAGTACCAAAGCTACAATAGGTTTATTCCATGCTGAAAAGAGAAGAAAGAAAACACAACGTTTCTGCCCTGGAGTATTCTTCAGGTGTGCGAAAGACAGGGCAGTAAGCAAAGGTAATGTAACATAGGAGAACAAAAGCTGGGAGAACTACAGTACCAAAGCTGACAGCACATAGCTAAAACTATAATTTAAGCATTCAGAAATGAAAACATTTACATTTCTTTTAAACATGCTTTAAATGTTAAGAATATTTACCCATCTAATTGTTTACTACTATTGTAGTAAACAATTAGATGTAATATGCATTTCAATTCAAAATTCAACATACTTTACTCATTGTAATATGCATTTCAATTCAAAATTCAACATACTTTACTCATCCCCAAGGGGGGCTATTTACTGTAAGGAGCAAGCCGTGCAACACACACACAAAACATTTTGAAGAAAGAAAAGTATACATAGTTAAAAACGGCAAACGGACCACAGAAGTGATTGAAAGTAACAGTGTATATACTTAGGAAGGTATTAGTACCTGCACATTTGTGTGTGTGGGGGGGTGCTGTTCAATATACCTCATGTTGATAAGACTACTTTACAGCCATTGTTTGCAAGCCCATGAAAACGTCTTCCTGAAGGCAAAAGTTCAAAAGACTGTGAAAGATGTGAGATGGGTCTTCAGTGATAGCCCAGGCCTTCCTCAGGGTCTGCTGGGCATACCGCTGTCTTAAAGGCTCACCAGGGACTTTAGAGCTCAGGTTTACAACATTCTGAAAGTGGTTTTTCTCTTTGTGACTGAATGAAGTGAACCAACAGATAAAAGAAGTAGTTAAAATACTTCAGATTAAAGTGCTATAAAATGTTGAAAGAATTCCATTTTGGACTCCAAACAAACTCAGTTTTCTCAGACCATATCGGCGCTGCTGGAACTTAATCACAATGACATCTGTGTTCTCAGTGAACTGTAGTTTATCATCAAACACAGTGCCCATATATTTGTAACTGTGTACTATACCAGCAGACCCACTATTGTGGATTGGTCATAGGTTTTTGGTTTCTCTAAATTGTCAGTGTGTTTGTGTGCGCCTCTATAATACCTAGCTAAATAAATAACTAAAGGACTTTATGATAATGAATGGATATATCATAAAAAAACAATATTTTCATCCTGATTTTCTCTTTTTTATGCATGTCAAAAAGGGTGTTACAGTGGCTCTGTGGCTAAGGATCTGTGCCTGTGGCTGGAAGTTTGCTGGTTCATATCCTGCGGCTGGCAGAGGAATCCTACTCAATTTGGCCCTTGAGCAAGGGCCTTAACTCCAACTGCTCCAGGGGTGCTGTATAAATGCCTGACCCTGTGCTCTGACCCCAAGCTTCTCTCCCTGTCTGTGTGTCTCATGGAGAGCAAGTTGGGGTATGTGAAAAAGACACTCCTCATACAAGAAATTGTACATGGCCAATAAAGTAATCTAAAATATTTCAACACAGGTGTGGAGACTGTAGTTTTTTAATGATATATGTCTGCCTTTTTTTTTGGTAATATACAATGAAGGAAAATAAAAAAATAGATGTGTGTTGATATTATTGGATATGAAGATACAGATTTGAAGGAAAACTACTGTCGACGATACTCTTTGCGTGATAGTCGTCGTCTAATGCGGTTGTGACAGATAAGCAGGGCTGAGCCTTGTCTCCATGGAAACCGGGAATGCATACATGATGGTGCTTGGCTTGACCCGGAAGTAGCTGTTACTTAGTAACACTGGTGGTGGAGGATAAGGGCAACAGAAGCTGAATTCGGATTCAGCTTCGGGAATCTCTTTGTTTCTAGAAGGACTCTCATTTAAGTCGCAGTTGCATTTTATTTGACTTATTTTAATTCTTAACGAATCATTAATTATTCTTGAAAACATTTGTTAAGCGTCATGTTGGTATTAGAAAATATATACTAGCAACTCACAAGGCTTGAGCACATTAGTGCACGTAAGACCTTAAGTGCTCAAGGAGGCATTTTTAACACAGTTCAAACAGTTTCTATTTCGAGAGTTAATAGCCAGTCACGTTTAAAACGATTACCCCACTTAAGATATTTCCATGCCACGTCCATTTCACTATTACAAATTATTTGTTCTAAACGCACAACCTTCTGTGTTTCTATAACCTACGTGGATAATCTGGCCGGATTTAGCATTATTGTCTTTACCTCAGGTCAGCGGGATGGGAAGGACCTACAATAGTGTCACTTTAGTATTCAATTCATTGGTATATTTATTGTGTGAAGCAATTACTCGCTTCTTTATCTTATCTGTTATGTACCGGGGCTGTTAACACATAATGGCGCTTGTTCTGATGGGTAGAGCAGGTCCCCACTGATGTGTACGTAATGTATAGCGCTTTTCTGGGAAACTTTGAGATTAAAAAGGAGGCAAATAAACAAAAGGAATTAGGTTTAGTGGAATGTGTTTCAGTTACCCATTAGAAATGAGCTTATTTGTAGGGAAACGATCTTCGAATTTATTTTTTGAAAGCTTTCTCGCAATTCCTTGTCACCACCCTGTCTGTGTGTCTGTGTCTCCATGGAGAAAAGCTGGGGTATGCGAAAAAGACGAATTCCTAATGCAAGAAATTGTATAGGGCTAATAAAGAAACATTAAAAAAAAACATAAAAAAACACTCATCATTTCTTTTTCCAACTCCGGAGTACAGTAGGTTGGTCTTTCAGCAGTACCGGCACGGCGAAGCGCGGCCGCTGGAGGGCGCGCCGCGCCCTGTGCGCAGGTACTTCATGCCGCGCCTCTGCTGGCCGGACCAGGTAGCTGCTGCCTGTGCAGTCCGCCGGCAGAGTTGTGGAACCAGTCCTCTGCTTTTGCTCCGCTCCGTTTGTCACTTTATTATTATTATTTTTTTTTTGTCAGCCGGCAGGGGAGAAAAATGGAGAAGGCAAAAAACAACACATAATTTCGCCTTTGAGGGATTGCGGAGCTCACCTTGGGGAGGGGAGAGAGGATTAGAAGCAAGGGAGCCGGTGAAGCGAGACCGAAGCGATCCTGCGGGAAGCGTGCTGAAGAAATGCCATTCCGCCTGTTGATACAAAAGGCAGATGAAAGCGGAGCTGGCTTGTGGTGCTGGGAAGCTCTCTAGTTCGCGTCGGTTTCGATGACTGGCCGAAAGAGAGCCGGGACCGTCTCATTTCCCCCAAGCGAAGGGCGAGACTTTTGTTTTTTTGTTGGCTGGATCTCGGGATATTTCAGGTGAAGCTCAAGTCAATAATTCGCAGCTCCTGGGAACCATTGTTACCGTATTTAACCACAGAGGATACATCTTTCAAGAAAGAGAAGACAGCGATTCCTTTCCCTCGATTCAGGTGAAAGTCTTTTTTTTTTAAATTTTGGCGACAGATGTCCCTTGGAAGTGTTTGAATCCGTGGGATAGACCCGGAGGGGCAGGATTTGTTGGCTGAAGTGGGGGAGATTTCCGAGGGGACAACTGCACCAGCCTCCCAACATGCTGCTGCTTTGTAATCTTTTATTTTAAGAGCCTTAAGTGTCTGGGCTGTGGACAGGTGTTAGCACAGTTCTGGTCGGACGCAGATCGTTTTAAGAAGGGCTTGCCGTCCTCTTTGTGTGGTCCAGGAGAGGGACCGGGACCGCCGGACCAACGGCGTCGGATTTGCGGATTGATCGACTTTTTTTTTTGTTGGGTTTTTTTTTTGTCTTCTGTCAGATGAATTGTGCCTTGTGAAAACGAGGTGCGCTCATTTCCCACCCACGCCGACCGGCCGATCGACTGGGATCCCCCCCTCCCCCGAGAAGCATGGACGCGCTAGATCCCAGGAGCGACCCGCGGCTAACGGGGAAGGATCACAGAGCGGCGCCGGGCATTTTCCACCAGGACGCGGAGACCGTGGGGGCGGCGGAGCCGAGGGACGGCGATGGCGAAGCAGTCAGGCTGGTGAAGGCTCTCCTGACAGGCGGGGCGCCATGGGGATTTACTCTGAAGGGGGGTCGGGAGCACCAGGAGCCGCTGCTGATCACGAAGGTGAGGTGGGCTGCAGCAGACCGCGACTAAGCATCTGAACCGCGTATAGCCCGGGCGGCGTGGGGCGTGATGGCGTGCCCCGACACCGCTCCGTGTGGCCCTGCTGTCAACAGGGCGTCCCTGCCTCCCTTGATCTGACGGTGACATCATCACCACCACAGGTGGGGATGGATGTACGTGTCCCCTCTGTCCGGGTGTCGTTCGCTTCACGGGTCTTGACGAAATCGGGGGACTTGGTATGTCCCCCAACTCTTTGGCCGACCGCTGTAGATTTACTTCGTGGACACCAAAAAACAAATTGAAAATGAGTAATTTTACTTCGCACCTCACAGCCGAGTTGTGAATATTCACCATTTCCGCGTCGATGACTAAACGTTTTAATACCAGGGAAGTTGCCGCCGGTCACCCTCTTCGTTATATGTCTTTCACAAGACCAGAATAGTGATGTTTTCACAGCTAAAATGAACAAGGATATTAACAGTTTAATGTTCAGTTTGAAAATGTTAGTAGTTTAATGAAGACCCACGTATTTTTATAGTTCTTTGTAACTAGCGCTGTATAAAGGTCACAGTACTGTACTCTCTGCAGTGTAGGTTTTTTAGAGGATCAAGTAATAGGCTTATTCCATGCTGAAAAAAGAAAACGCAACGTTTCGACTGTGGAGCCTTCAGGGACTTGAGAATGTTTCCCATTGTGAACTTACTGGTATCTTTAAACCTGCTTCAATATGATGCAGAATTTCCAGTACAGTTAAAATCAGGTTCAGGTGAAAGATGGTACTCTTAATTTACACTTTGCTTGTGTCTTCTCACATGGTGCTTCGCATGAAAGCTGGGGGAAAGAGTGCTGTGCAGTATTTGGAGGGAAGACCTGATATCATTAGATAGCTCTGTACTGCTCTCTGCATAATGGATGTTTGAGGCATGCTTAACTCATATTCCAAGACCAGTCAGAGAACAAATTTGTGTTTAATATTTAGCTGTCAGTAGAAGTACTTGGAGGATATTCGATTATTTGTTTCTCTTTCTGCATAGCAAATGGAAATACTGTACTACTAAAACTGCTTCAGCATCAAAGTAGTGATATTCACACAATCCTGCCTCTGCCACTCTGCTCTAAGGGAGGTGGGACATTATTATAATGCCAATTGATAACTGGACAACTCCAATAACGCACAATAACGTGCACATGCCTCTATAAAAGCTGCTCAGTCAAACCCATGGTGTGTGGTGAGGACATCTTAAATATTACCCAGCCAGCCGGTTAGAGCCCATTCCTTGGGGTCTTTCCAGAAACAGCTGGTTCTCAGATGGATCAGTTCCCCATCCAGACACGACGTGCTGAGGGACCTCCTCTCTTCTGTAACCTTTCCTGTGTTGTCCTGTATTCTCCTGAAAGATTTTTGAAATGGAACCAAAGGGTGAAGGAACTGGGGCTATGTTCCTTTGCTCCGGCTTTGAATGAAAGAGCAGACAGCACCTTCTTTCATGACCACCCAACGACAAAGGACTTGCTTACACTTTAAATTGGGAGTTCCCTTAGGTCCCCTGTCCACCATCATAGAAATATTGTGCTGATGTCTGCTCCACAGCTTGTCTTCAAAGGGAAACCATCTTGCACCAGATCAACATTGGTACGTTCAGCAGCCACTGATTTTGCTGTTGTTAACAGTATAAATCAAGTCGGGAGTGCCGATGCAGTGGTTCTGCTTATCAAGAGCTGGATGATTGTTATGGGTTCTTGATTTTGAAGTGTCAGGGAGGGCTGATTTGTACCTTGACTGCAGTGGCTATCCTAGCTTATATTTGATATGTTCAGGCACATTAAGCTTCATGTTCATTTTTGATAAAGCCACTCCCCTAAGATGTGTCCTTGTGCATGGAACGAGAGGGTTAAAAAATATCTCTTGCCTGGGATAAGGGCTATGGAGAAATGCCCCTTCTGAGATGTGGCATTAAAACTCAATGGAAGCGTGTTTTTTTTTTCCCCCAAAAACTTCCCGTGTGGTCTGCTTCAAGGAAACAAAGGAGCAGGAAACCATCTGTGAGATGCAGTTTGGTTTGTTTTTCTCTTCCTTAATCGTTTTGAGGCATTTCAAACTCTCTCTGTGGGGCTGTTTGGCATCCATCAAAAGCAGAAAAACGCAGGGCTGCTGGTGCCGACGTCTTGATTTCAAAGTCCTGCCTCCGTTCTTGCTGCAGAGTAAAGCTGCTCTGCACCTCAGCTGTAGCATTTTTTTGTGCTTTCACCTGGCGTTTCAGAACATTTAACAGCGCTTGATTTTTGAGGTGATGGGGGGGGATATTTCTGGCAGTTGCTTGTTTCGTCTTTCCAAGACCATAAAAAGTGATCTTGTTGTGTGTGTGTGAAACATTCAGAATTGAACGTTTGTGTCTTGCTCAGCAACGGATCAGCCAGCTTCGCCTTAGACTAGATGGAAACAACTGCCATGAGAGTCTGGGAACCGTATCTTCGGATCATGTGACGGAAGCAATCTGGATGTTTGACCAACTGATGATAATATGCTACAGGCATACAACCACTGTGGCTCTTAGCCAGTGCGATGCTCCCAATCACCTCTGGAACTTCTGGCACCCCTAGAGCCATATTAAAGTATCGTCAATTGTATGAAGCAGAAATAAATCTGAATTAAGATCATTTTCAGCTCCATTTGCTTAGATTTAAAAAAGGCTTTGCATTAAAATGCTGAGGAAACAGTATCAATATTCAAGTCTTGTCATTGTTTCTCAACTGATTACTTTAGACTTTATGGTGTGTCAGGTCTTTAATGTGGTAACCTTACATTGTAAGCAGACAAAAATGTTAGCATGCGACTAGATAACTATACTCTGTACTCTTGTAAAAAAAAAAAGGTTTTATGGCGATTAGATAGTACCGATTGCTCTTTGAGTGTACAACTACAATTTTATAAAACAAAACCTCTTGGTATGGTAATTTCTACTTTATAAAGTACATAGATAGGCACATTAACTGTACTTACTACCATACCACCTACCTTACTCTTTGGAGTGTTTCTCCTCTAGCCTTACATTCATGTTTCTTCGATAACCAACCATTAGCCCATCTGTATCAATTTGTTCTGTTAGGCTGCTTATTTAAGCAATGAATCACATTCTAATCTGAACATTATAGAGGCTTTTTCGACCTATAAAATGAAAACAGACAACACAATGCAAATTTTACTCCCTTAGTGAACCATGAGAGATTGCTTAACTGTTTAACAGCACATTGCTCTGAGATGGGTTGTTTTCTAGAGCCCTCCAAGTGTCTGTGTGGTCTGTTATACAAGACTGGCTCCTGTTCTTGGAAAAGTGGATCAGTGTGTGATGAATTAACCGAGTAGGTACACGAACAACGCATCTCGCATAGTGATGGTTTTTGAAATACAGCGGTGTAACCATTCACTTTTGTGGCAACAATTTGGAATGTGTGAATGGTACTGTAGAGGTAGGTCTCTTGTGTTTCGAAGGAGTTTTCTATAGAAAATCGTTGTGTGGCTGTAAGTCATGTAGGTGGTGCTCTTCCCTCTGTCCCAGAGTTTTTAAACTACTATGGCGAATGAGGCCACTGTACAGCACAGGCAGTGCTGTCCTTTGGATAAGATATTGAATTGAGGTCTTGATTTTCTTGGTCATTAAAGATCCTCTTTTCAGTGCTTGTAAGAGTAGGGGTGTTAACCCTGATTAAAGGCCACACTGGGTTTGTACAATCTGCACACTGGTGAAGCCGTTTTCTCATCCTCCACCTGACCTGCTGTAAAGTGAGGCTACAGGTTGTGAAGTAGGTCCTCCCCTACGTATAGAGCACTTTCACATATACTTAAAGACAAACTCTTGGTTGGTTGCATTATGTGAAGTAAAGGCCACTCTGACAGAAAAGATTGCGTTCAAAAAGTCAGAAAGCATAATTCAATTTTGGGTGGAATGTGGTTTTTGCGTTGGTGCTGTTTGGAGACTGACTGTAGGGTGAAGGTGCTGTTTTCTTTCCAGGCCAACAGGAAGCCAAGTTCATGCTAGCTTTGCGCTTCTCATTTTAATGGCATAAAAGTTTTAAAAAAACAACAAACATACAACACAGTTTGAGACAAAGGCTTTTTTAAAAAACCTGAGTTTCACCGACCAGAGTGGAGGAGTCGTTTGGAAATGCGTTGTTGTATCAGCTGTCTGTAGCAATGCCATGCAAGCTCAGTTGACCTTATGGCATGGGTCTTTCTACTGTGGCTAACTGTAAGTAAGCTTTACAGTATTTTTCTGGTTATGCTTTAGCCATTGTTACGTAGGTTAAGTATAGTGTACAGGGTGGCTGTGCTGTGTCTCAGGGGTCCGTACACAAACCCATGTTGATTGATAGCTTGTATTCTTGTGCACATACACATGTGGGATTGGTATGTTTCTTCCCTGCTGTCTACATTCATGGCATGTGTAGCTCTTGGCTTGCCTGAGCATGCTGGATATTGGATGAAATAGTCCTTAACTGGTTGATACACTGCGCTTAAATGGAATATGTACCAAACCGTAACAAGCAGGAGCTTGAATCGGAGGCTTTTCTCAAGAACTGTGCAGCCATCCTCCTTAGAGGTCTTACTGCTTTTGTTCTCGGAACCAAACCACCCGAATCTCTCGAGAATTTCCATGTTCGGACTCGAAAGAAACAAGTAGCAAGGCGTGAGTTTGCAGTGGTATTGTGAGCCTCTTGCCCGATGTTGTGGGATACTGGGCTGTGCCCTCGTCTTCTCATTCTCAGAACACAGCTTGGCTTCCTTGCAGGAGATGTCTCTTTCCTGCTGCTTCCAGGTGTGAGGGATGCAGCAGTCGCCAGTGCACTAAAGAATTGAATAGGCCAGGTCATGTCGCCTCGATTCTGTCTCTGCTGTTTAATTCCAGCATTAAATTCCTTCTCTACGGTCCTGAAGTTCCGTTCCAGCATGAAGAGGGTTCTTGATGCCACTCATTTCTAAAGCCATGTTTGGATTCGTTTCC